CCTGAGCTACTGCCGCCAGGACTGGACAGCACTATGGACTGCTGCGGGGTGACGCAGCTCAAGGAAGAACATTTATGATCATTTCTTCATGGAAATGCAATCAGACTGAGCTAAGGCAGAAGAACCACTGCAGTGCAAAATGATTAGTATGGTGGTTATTACTTCAAGGAAATGATAAAGAACACATCGTATTACGGTATGTTTAACCCTAAATTAATTTTATGCTGGAATATCCCTTAAATTACCTTGTTTTCTGCAAACAGGGACACACTCCTGTCCATGAAATCATGTATTTCCCATTTTAATCCAGTGACCGGGCCATCAAACTAAGCAGGTCCTGCAGACTAATGTCAGACGTCCAGATGTCTGTGGTCAAACTTGAGTCCCTGATGTCACTGTGGATCAGACTGTGAAAGTGTGCAGACACATCTCCACCCGCCCTTTATGATCTGATCTCTGCAAAGTCAGGTCAGCTCAGGGTATTATTCTTAAAATACCACGAGCAGGGGTAGATAGATACTCGTTTTCAGGGCTGGTACTGACACTGATTACGAGGCGCCCAAACAAAACCTTTCCTTTGACACAAAACTGGAACTTTTAACATCACATGCAACATCACACTTCTGTGCAGAAGCCTAGGCATGTAGCCATCATGCAAAATGTAACCCTGCATCAAAACAGCCCAGACCAAATACCCTGTAACTGGTCTGCCAACCTTAACCCAACTTTTCCCATCTTTTCTTTCATAAAACATCGAAAGACTTCAGCTCCAACTCACATTTATTTCACTTGTATTCAGTTTCCATGATTTTTTGTACACAAACAAGGGGGGAACAAAGCGAGAGGGGTCTGGCTGCAGACCTCCACTGATGTTTTTCTCACATGAATACACAACAAAATCATATTAACATTATAAACATAAAATAACCCCCCCCAAAAAAAAAAAAAAAATCATATTCACGAGACAAAAAATATATACTTCCCGGTGTAATCACTTTTAATTTGAAAGGCTTTGAATGAACTTTGGAAGTAAAAAAAGAAATGTACTCCTGGTATATTTGCGTTTATTTTTAAAGGCTTCAAACAATTTTGGGTCCTCTCAGTGGAGGTCTGCCTGTCTTGAACAGAGCAGGACTGCAAACTGGAAATGTCTGATACAGAAGCAAAAACTTGGCTTTACACCTGCAGTTAAGTTTCACCACACTGTTGTGAAACTTCTAGCAAATCAGATAGTGTTGTGGGCGGGACATAAGATGAGACAGAGAGAGAAAAGTGCGAGAAAACAGACCCTGAGGGTAAAAGACATCCATGCTCTTTTTGATATCTTAACCTTATCTGCTATCTATTAAATATAGTGTTGACACAGATGACCAGCCATACATAGGCCCGATTATCGCAGCACTATGAATTTACTGATTACATCATGACTTTGCATTATCTTGCCAATGCCAATGCTCGCTGCAGAGACTGCTGGAATTGACAACTTTTAAGGTGGCTGTCCAGATTTCTTGTGCTAAAACTTGAGCAACACCTGCAGCAAATATTTAAAAGTTAAAATCATATTATTGTCTGAAAACACTGACAAACATCCACACAGGTCATATCTTTTCGTTTCTCTTTGTGCAGTCAAAGCAGCCTCTCATCACATCATGTGCAGCAGACAAAAGAATAGTTTGACCCCTGTAAAAGCTTCCCTCTTCATCGAAATAAAGTTGCTTTTCAGAATAAAACCGTGAAGACAGGAATGTAGAGTAAGAAAGTTTCAGTATTAGACACAGCGGGGGAAATCAGAGTGTGAAAGGACACAGTATTGGGAGAACAGAGTGGGGCCGCACAAGAAGTGCTGTGCTGGTTGATTTGCTGAGTTTGGGTTTACATACTTGTCTCTATACAAGCAAACATCTGAAAAAATACAGGATGACTTAGAAGGAAGAAAGAAAGTAAATGAGGGGAAAGAATGGGAAGTACTCTAAGAAGGAGGAAGAGGAGGAGGGAAGTTCATCCTGTGGAGATTCATTCATTTTGAGTGTATATTTCTGTCTAGACTGCTAAGTAAAATCCTCTATGAACAGGGCTGAAGTCAGCAATTAACTGCTCCAGATAACTTATCAGCAGGTCTACTCTGAGAGGACATGAAGACAGTTCACCGGGACACACAGCGGACTGAAATCATAAATCAGACAGCTGGACCGAGTCCTCTTGTCCTTGAAAACACCTGAATAAACACAGAGCTCTCCGTTAAACCTGAACAGACACTCACTCTGCTGCAGCAGACACAAACATTATCTCAAGTTTTTTTAAGATGTTTCAAGCGGATAAGAGGATAACCTGATGAACTCTTAACATGCAGATTGGATATCAGAGACAACATCAGAGATAGCATCATTATCTCCTCTCTGCACTGTAAAACAAACTGCAAACACACACACACACACACACACACACATACAAACACACACACACACACACACACACACACTTGAGTGATTAACAGATGTAGCTGCTCTTCCTCTCTTATAACTGCATCTGTAAACGTCAAAGGTTTGAGTGTTTAAACTCTGATTGAAACCAAATGTTTCCTGCCGGGATAATAACACTAATGTGATTCAGAAAACAATCAATACAGGCGGTGTTACAGTGAGGGGCAGGCTCATAAAAAGTCACTTTACCTGATCTATTATTGATTAAAGAGCCTGATTACTGTGCACAAGTCAAACGCAGACAACAACACCTGACTGAGAGAAAGTAGCTGTAAAGAGGAAAACTCGGGTTTACAGGACAAATGCTTTTTTCTCCTCTTTCCACATGTGCACCTGCACGTTTGTTTGTTTGTTCAGCATTATGCTTAAAACTGAGGATGCAACGTCTATGATTTCCAATTCTTCATTGAAAGGACTACTGGACTTACTTGGGATGTTTCTCCTTAGGCAAAATGTCACAAGTAAGTCCAGTTGCCATTTCCAAAAGAGTGCAAGATTTTTATTTAACAGACCCCAGGACAGTTCACAGACAAGTGATATTAAGCCCATGTGGTGACTCCAACTAGGGCTGGGTGATATGGCTTTAACTCAATATCTATTGAGCAGTTCACCTTGATAACACCTAACTACTCCACAAGCTGCTCACCCCTCCTAACAACTTTAATTTTTTTGACACTGATTATTATGATATGGGCATAATGACGTCGGTTATTGTCATAAATTTCGGTATTGGTAAACTTTCAGTTTATCATCCAGCCCTAACCTCAACTACAGAGTCCTGATGCTCCTAAACCTGTACATATTGTTTAGCATTAATGGAGCCTTCACAGATGTAGAAGATACCCATGAGATGGACTCTGATGATCCCCAGACCATCAGGGATGCTCGATTTGAACAGGTCCCTCTACTCTTTGGAGAGGAGGATGCAGCGTCCAGGATTTCTATTATTTCTCTGGATCATGGTTTCTTCTGTGCACGGTTCAGTTTTTACCTGCATTGGTGAATTTAGGAAGTCATTTTGATTCCATGCAGTGACTTCCACTACAGAGCCTCATGTCTGTTTTAATGCAGAGCTAGCTAAACATCACAGTCATCCTGTTACCAGCTTTAACCCTTTATCTCACAGATTTATCTGGGACACTTTGAGTCATTGAATGATATCAAAGGTGAAATCCACTAATTCTCTAACACAAAGTCTCCCAAATCAGACCCTGTTTGAGACCCTGCACTGCAGTCTGTGGGGGTTTTAACTCTACAGGTGAGAACAGAGAACAGAGTCTACACAGTGAACAACAAACACACTTGTGACTGTGCATTGAGGAAAATCTGACCTTTAAAATAAACAAGCAAAAATTACACTTGTGCAAAGTCCAAGTCATGCAACATAATAGAAGGCTGAAACAAAAACACAAGATTTTTGAATGGATCAGAAATATCAAAGAAAGTTTGTGCTGGTATTTCCCTCATATCAAAACTGCCAGGTGGTGAAAAATAGTGTTTGGGTTATTTTTTTATGAGATCAGAAAGGCCAGACTAGAAATGTTTAAGAAATGTTTCATACAAGAGTGAAACAGCAAAAAATAAAACAGGTAACAGGTGTATGACCATGTGTTTCCGTTCTGTCTGTCACTGCAGTGCCGAAGCTTTGCTGAGAGATGCTGTGTCACCTCAAATAAGAGAGAAAACTCTCTTAGTCATCACTCGCTCAGCCTGAATCATAAATATTACAGAGAGCTGGATGACATCCTGAAGAGAGCAGGAGGGAAACAGTACCACCTGGAAAAGACTCTAACACATGAACAAACAGGTTCAACTCATCTGCAGAGAGCGAGGTATCAAAGTTTACCCTGTACTGATGGGTTCTTCTGGATTTGACATACATTCATTATGTCCTCTTTACAGGTGTTATATATCATTACATTAGAACAGCAGCTACAGTTGGGTCATTTCATAACAGAGCTGTGTAAAAAGTAGCTCCCAAGAGCTGCGTCTGACTGAAAATGCTTAAAGCAGAAGCTAAGAAGTGCTGACATGAGGGTTTTCACTTGTGTTTCGAGCTGAAAATCATGCAAAGCTAAAGGTGAAATTGACTTTGACAGATCTCCTTTAACACCTTCAATCAGGATCAGCTGCTCAGGAGAGGTCAGCAGTGTTCTCCATCAAAACCAACATTATTTTCTGTGAATATTTAAAGCTCTATTTTTGATTTTAGAGCCTGATGAGAGTAACTTTAATATCTGTCAGCCCACAGAGGTGTGAGCATTAGTCACACATGTAAGGAGGGGTCAATGCAGCAGTCTGGAGCTGTATCACCCATACTATAACTCATCAGAATACATATATGCAGCTGTCTGCTTCATATATGTATTCTAGTATTCAACGTCCCAATGTTGATTATTCAGCCCTAAAATACGTTGGATTTAGTATCAGTGCTTCTGTAATTATAAAGGTTTTCATGAATGACCTACTTTCCCAAAATACGAGTGTTTTTTTGTGTGTGTTTGTGTATGCAGAACGAACCTGCTGCTTGTCCTTCTTGTGTATTTTCATCTTCTATCCCGTCACTGCATCTGTTGGCACAAAAGGACATAATACACATTACTTCCAGAGAACGCACACAAAACAAATAACTCTGAAAACAGATTAAACCACCCAAAAGTGAAACCAAGGGGAGAGTGAGAATACGCCTGAGAGAAAACCCTGACAAAGGCCAATAAATAGTAGAATTTATAAATAGTAATAATAATCAATACATAGTAAACAATAAATCTTAATTCTTTAGACCACATTAATAATATCTAAGTTCTGGGTTTGAGTTTAATATTTTGGACTTTTCAGCTTTTTAAACCAGAAAAAAAAGCTGTTTGATTACTCAATACGAAGACACTAGACATCATTGATAAAAACAGTGATTCTCACTTTGCAGAGCAGAAGAAATGCCAGAACACAGCTGCTGTGTGTGTGAAGTTTGTTTGTAAGCCTGTAAATTTCAGGCATTGACTGGGCAGTTTCTGAGCAATTCAACAGTATTCAACACAAATTAACACACCCAAAACAAGCAGTTACACCCTTGAAGTTTAACAGGTTAAATGACTGTTTTTGTCAGCGAAGTCTGGTGGCTGAGAACAGAGAAGTAAAACACCTGGAGGATCATCCTTCAGGCCTTTTCGATAAAGAGACAGATCCTTGGTTTAACCAGAAACAGCCGTCACAGTCCTCCCTTTGAGGCCACCAAACTCCACTGACAAAATCTATCATTTTTATTTTAAAGGAATGATAAGATGTCATATCGCTGCCAGAGTGATTTACTTTTTGGGGGTAGTTTTGTGTCGTACAAATACTGGGTTGAGTCCAAAACAACCATTTCAATCACAAAATTCACTAAGAGAAAAACCAAGCCAGGCAGCAACAGACCAGCTGCTCCTGCAGCTGTGAGGTTAAATTCCTGGTTTTATCAGTGTAATTTGGTGTATTTAGGAATAACCACATATCACCTGGTGGAGTTAAAAGATAATCATCCTCTTGACTACAAAAAGGTCCCTTTCTTTGTGCAGTTTGCTTGAACGAGCTGTCAGCATCTCCTCTCTGATGCACAGAGCTGAGCTGTGCACTCTAATCGTGACAGGGCTGAAATTTACCAATATTGTTTATTGATTGTAACCACTGTATTAGGGAGTTATTTTAAGACATATGTGGTACAAATTTCACTGTTTTTGAATGGAAACCAGCAAGAGCAGCTCATTTAAATGAAGATACATATTGTGCTTCAGGTACCAGACTGCCTCTACTCAAGTGCATCACAATAGCAGTATTTTCTGAGTAATATTAACAGACTATGTACACATTCACAACTTTTAGATCTTCCAGCGGTGGGATTGTTGTCACGCTCCCCTGACAACCTCATAGATACAAAGGCAGTTACACTCTAGGGCCCTAAGAAATCAGTTTTATTTCATTCCAAATTCCGTTTCTTCCGTTATGGTTTTTTTTTTTTTTTTTTTTTTTTCTGTTTCTTACCTTTTACATTTATTTACTACCATAGGGTGTGTGCTTTTAGTGTCAGCAAATAAAATGTCAATAAATAAAATGCAAATATTCCTAAATTTACACCTTTAATACATCATTGCCCAGTATTTCAAGTCAAGTCCTCTGTTTTCTTTTTCAGGTAGGTTTTAGACAAGTGGTCATCACACACATTTTTGCATTTTCAGTCAATGGTATGTTGACAGAATTTGCAAAAAAAGCATGTCACCTGACACATAAAAGTCATTTGGATATTGCTCAGCTCTGTATTTTAGAGACAGACAAGAGTTTCAAAGTATTTTCCGTGAATGTAGCCGGTGTCTCTGGTAGCTGGTTCAACATGCTATTTATTCAGGAGGGAGGGGGCGGGTGAGTGTTTGTGAAGAGATGCACGAGTGGTGCCATGAATTAACGGTCCCTGGGAACATTTGGGAACAGCACAGTTTGGGGTGCATTTAACTTTTTGGGTTAAACTCCGCAGGACTGATTCACTAACTTCTGAGATGATTTGCCTGTGAAATAAACAGACCTGCCCCCCCCAGTAATGCACCGCTTAAACAGTAATGCATGAACAGTAACGGTTACCTGCAGGGATTTTTTGATCCTGAAATGAAAACTCAAAAATAAGAAGGCTCTGTTATTTCTATATCAATACTTCATAATTACACAAACAGAAACATCACAACCACATGAATCAGCGAGGTGACGGTAATAGAAAAACATAAATGTGTGATTCAGGCTCATTTTCACTCGTTTGCACTGAATAAATTCCCAAGATCTGAAAGAGCGATTTGCTGATCAATCATTGGACTGACTTCATACTTGCAGCAGGGATCAGCAGCACAGACACAGTTATAGTATGAATGGTGCCAGAGTTAGCCTGTGTTGGCTGCAGTATATACTGCTGAAATACTGTGGTGCAGAGTGCCATATGTTCTCTGGTACCAAATGAAGGACTGTTCAGTGTGTTTGGTACAGGAACAGCCAGTCCGGTACCTGGACTGTGGCAGGACAAGAGTGAGAAAACGGTTATATGAAGAACTGAGCAGGTGCGCCCTCCTCTGCTGGGTCTGAGCTTTCAAAGGAACATTTTACGGCTCAGGTCAGTTTCAAACCATAAGAGGGAAAAGTTTGAACAGGATGATTTGTGAATGAGCCGAACATCTCCACATTTAAAGGCTGAAATTATAAAAGAGCTCTGGCTGTTCATGCTGAGAGTGGGTGTGGTTTTACACAGAGATAAGATGAGACAGACAAAAGCAGGTGGATCGTACCTGCTCTTATTTTTCTTATTCTCTTTTTTTATTTTTCTCTCAAGCATCTCTGGTGATAATTTAAAGACTTCCTTGTGAAAACTACAAGGGAAACTTTGGGTTTGGTGTCATCTTGTGGAAATACGCCAGGACATCAGAGTGTTTTTGGGTCCGTTTTTAAGGAAATAGAACTATTTGAAGAAAAATTAGGACCTAAAGGGCTCCGCTTATGAGATGTAAGGCTGCTGCATCTACTCGTTAGTTTAATTTAACCTCACAGTAAATATGAGTTTCGCTTTGACTTTCTTAGCTCACTGCACTAATGAAAATACTTAATTTTAGCTGCAAAATGCATTTAAAAGATTGTTAAAGAGTGTCCAGTTAAATCAGAGATAGTTCAGGAAAAATACAGATTATACTTGCAGCTCAAGTAAGAACATTTATGATCATTACTTCATTGAAATGCAATCAGGCCGAGATGATAAGGCAGAAGAACTACTGCGTCTGCATTGCAAAATGATTAATATAATGATTATTACTTCAAGGAAATGATAAAGTAATGATCATAAATGTTCTTCCTTGAGCTGCGTCCCCCCGCTGTAATTGGTAAAAGACTCGCCTGAGGTCTCCGTACAAACCAGTGGCTGCCGGAATAGAGTAGGTGAGTTGTGTTTAGTCTCTTTGCTAAAGAAATTAGGCAAAGCTGTTGTTTGGTGGCTAGTGCTGTGGCTAGGACCCTATATGTACTGTTGATGAAGTTAGGTGTTGTTCTGGGCATTGTTTGTGGCTATAGTGTGGCTTTTTGATTGAGGTTTGTGCACGGCTCCTTAAACCGCTGTGTATTGCTGTCGTGCAGTTATTACTAAAGTTGGTATAACTAGAGAAGAAAGCAGTCTGCAACATTAATCTCTTGACAGGGTGTCTAACTAGGTGTTGCAATGTGTTTGACACCAACTCAATTTAACGCCGGAATATCTCTTTAAAGGAAACTGTAATTTATCTGAAAAGTAAACAACAGGCCATAAGACAAATGAAATCTGAGCAAAAGGAAGGCTCCATTAATGTTGAACAATATGTACAGGTTTAGGAGTGTGAGGACTCTGTAGGTGGAGTCACCACATCGGCTTAGTATCATCGGCTGTGACTACTAAGGTAGTTTACCACCCCCAAAGTGTGACTGTGTGAGCCAATGAATGATGTATCCAATGTAAAGTGCTTTGAGGGTCTCTGATAAAGCGCTATATGAAATCGGATGCATTATTATTATTATTACTTGTCCGTGAACTGTCCTGAGGTCAGATGAATCAAAATCTAACACTCTTTTGGAAAGGCCACTGGACTTACTTGGGACGTTTGCCTAAGGTAAAACATCCCAAATCCAGTTAACCTTTCAACGAGAACTGGAAATCATAAATGCTGCATCCTCGGTTTTAAGCATAATGCAGTCATAACCCAGTCCTGACTTGTCCCCCATATTTTGAAAAAAAAATTTTTTTTCAAACCATCAGATTCTGCAGAATTTCACACAAACAGGCTTGTGTGCACCAGCAAGGACAGAAAGCAACAATTCAGCTTTACACTCCATGTTTTAGTCTCAAGTGTCAGACTTGTGTAATCTGGCAGGTTCACATTGTTTCACATTAGTCATTTTTACAGGTACACTTACACACCTGTCTCCCTCATCCTGCATGCCTCAGAAACAGGAGGAAGTGTAGAGAGAAGCAAATGAACAGCTAAGTCTGGTGAGAGACCAACACTTCCCTCATGTGGAGACAAACGACAAACAGCAGCAAACAGTCCTGAACACACACAGAATTAATGCTTCCTATGTTTCCTCCTTCAGGGCTTTCAGAAATCAGATCGTAGCCCAGACTGGGTTTATTTACTTGAACACTTAACACACTTTTCTCACAGCTCTAAAACCCAGAACATTCTCTCTCAGTCTGCAGCACAGAGGAATTTAAAAACAGGTCAGACAGTAGGACAGTAACTGGTTCAACAAGGCTGCTCGACCACTCAAATCTCTTATAAACGCTCAACTCTCTGCCTTGGAGGGAAATACCTTTCAAGAAACATAAGTCCAAAACATATTGAATATTCCTCCACACACTTCTCCACAGCAGAGCCCCCCACCTGAGCCTCATTTTAATGTGATTTAGGATTCAAACTGAGGCTCCTATAGGTATAAAGACCCAGGGGGAAAGAGCATCAACATGTTCTTGTTTAGATTGTTATTCTGAGTGTTGATATTATTACAAAAATGATCCATTAAGACTCAGTGTTTACTTTAAGAGGAAGATGAGTGACACCAGACTCGATTGACAAAAACAGGGATTTTACCTCACAGGACTCAGGAGTTGCTGGTAAACTGCTGCCTGTTGTTAAATGCTGTTGTGTGACTTTGGTGTTATAGATGGTTATTTTAGATTCGACACTTTATTTAAAAACACCCAAAAACACAAAAAAAAAACTTAATTATAGGGTTAGAGGTAGGACATTTACTCCAGTAATCTGTTGTGTTACATTAGTGTTTTTCTTAATGGAGTTTGGTGGCTTTGGGAAAGAGACCAATGACTGTTTCTCTTTCATTTTCTGGGAGGAAAAGTGAAAACTGGATCAGTAATGCACTTCTGAAATTCAAAATATACAATAAATCAGCACATCAGGCTGTCTGATGATCTAGCAGAGGGCGCTCTAACCGTAACCTAACCATTAAATGGCACTCTTGACTTCAGCAAATGAATACAATGGTGTTTAGCTGGAAAAATACTGCAAGCAAAGCCGCCCTGAGCCAACAATCACAACACAAAACATCTGAGAAGCGGGAAACACCAAACGGGAGATAGAAGACAAAGATGGGGTTAAATGTCGACTTCGTTCAAAGCAACTGGCTAACAAATCTGCAGGCTCAGCTGTAAAGCAGGGGAGGAGGGAATACAGTTTAGAAAAGTAACAACATCACATGGTAAAAGTAAATAAAGTCCAGCAAAATATGAACCACATGGTTATCTATTAGATCTATAAGACTATAAAATAATTTAATAATATTATAACTATAAAATGAGCAAACAAAAACTGTTCATGAACCACAAAATATTTTCAAAAACTCTGAAAGTATACTGAAATATTCAGTGAAGCACACAAATATTTTTTTTTAATTGAGGAAATATATTTCAGGGAACAAAAGCTCTTTGTAACAATGCAAAAATTTCTTTACACACAAAAATATGTTACTTTGTTTTTTTTTTTTTACTTTTGATGCTAAAAAACTAATGACAAACAAAAAATGTTTGCTGATGTACAAAATTATTTAAAAAAATTAGCAAAATAAGTAAAAAAAATACAAAAAATATATTTCATGAAACACAGAAATATTTAAGAATTAGAAAAATATTACAAAAAGTGGTCCAAAAGTAAACATAAGTTTTAAATGAAACCCATATGTTTCAAGAAGTGAGCAAAAATAACTTGTGGCCCAGAAAAATTCAAAGCTGGAAAAAAATGTTGACTGAAACAAAAAAAAGTTAAAAAGGAATATTAAAACTGATTTACAGAATTATTTTGTAAAATCTGAAAAAAATTTGATAGAACACTATTTGATTTTTTTAAGTAGACTAAAATGTCATGTGATGACTGTTTTTGTTTTCATTGTTTTTGTCATCATTAAATATTTGTGCAGTTGACGTTCAGGGCCACCATTGATCTACATAGTTTTGGAAATAGACCAGAACCTGAAAAACAAACTTGAAGCCCCTCAGCTCAGACATGTGGATTCAAGACCAGACAGCTGCTCTCAGAAACAGGAGCTGCAGAGTTTTCTGCTGTTACTTCAGACTCATCATCTCAGTATTTAGGTGGCTTAATTACACCTTAATCTTCTGAGAAATTCATTAAGGGCTTTAATTGTGTGTTTATATTCTGGCAGCAGATCAGTTTCATTCAAGGTGAAGTCGTCTGGTGCAGAATTTCAAGTCAACACACAGCTGCTGTTAGCAAAACCCCATCCTGAGCTAAAACTGTCCACGTGCTCCGACATCCATTCGCTCCCATCCTCTTCATCTCATCTCTCTGGAGCTTTTTGAGAACAGGTGATCTGAAAAGATGACTGTACTTCATGTAAAGATCAGGTGCTAGTGAACACTGTGTGCCTGACATTCAGGAGAATCCCTCCCTTCTGCCTAACACAGGGATGATAAAACACTATCAGCAGTCAACAGCAGACACACACAACACCCGCCTGTTTCACTGACTGACTGACTGCAGGATGAAGGAAGGAGAGCAAACACAGACATATGCACGAGTCTGAGACAGCCCTCTCAAAGAGATGACACTTCATCCTCACACCAGAATACAGCAAGTAACAGAGACCGACTGAGTGTGATGTGCAGTGATGGATAATTCAGAGTTAAAACCAGAAGTTAAGGCAGAGAGCAGCGACATAGAGGTGAAGTAAACAGAGCAAGTGTTGCTAATGAAAACAAAGCTGTGAAACAGAAGAATCATGTTTGAGTTGGTTTACTGTGATGTACAGGACCTATGCTGCCGCCATCGAGTACCTGGAGTTCACCACAGCCCCAACACAATGCAGACTGATCAAAGTGATGAGTCACGAAGTACCGCCGTGATGTCCACTTCCTTTGGGGTTTCATTGTCATAAATTACATTTATGTCAAGCAGGCATTAAGTAGAGGATAGATATTATCAACCAGAAGCTGCTGCAAGAGAGCAGCTGCAGGCGATCGAAATAGAGATGAAATAAATAGAGCGAGTGTCGCTAATGAAAACACAAGATGGTGAAAGACATTACTAAGAACACTAACACATTTAAGCAAAAATCACAGTTTTTTACAATTATTTTCACTAATATTGATATAATGATTAAAAACAACTACCTGTGATTTCAGATCTGCATCACACACATTTACGCAACTTCAAACTGGATGATACAGACTCATGTCTTTAAAACGTCATGTGTGGGCTTGTATTTTATTATGATCCAGAGCGATGTTTCTCACTAGACCAAACTTGTGATCACTACGGCCTCCCTGGTCATGCTTAGTCTGTCCCTTTGCTTTTCAGACACTCACAAGTACACACACCTACCTCCTCTCTCCTCCTGTAGCTCCCTGGTGGATAGTGAGTGGATAGAAAGTACTTTTACCTCATAACTCACATTTACCCTGTCATATAACATTCACACACTGATGGCAGAGGCTGTTGTGTAACACATGCATCATTTTTAGCTGAACCCATTCACACACTACGAGCACCGCCACAGGTCTTTGCAGGATTAGGTGTTTCACTTTAGGACACTTCTGCATGTGGACATCAGGACCTGAGAACAAACCAACAAACTTCTGATTCAATGTTGAAGTAAAAGGTAAAACTAAAAAGTCTATTCTTTTACCTAGCTTTTATTTTGAAAATCTTTGTTCTGACTTTTATTTTTGACCTAAAAAAAAAAAAGAAATTTTTCAGCTTGCAGATTTTTTTAAGTAAACACCAAATTACTCTCCAAAACAAAGAAAAAGATTTAGTTTTTGCTGAATTTTCTTTTTTTTAAAATAGTTAACTGCATTTGAAAGTGTACAGTCAACCAAATTTTGTCAAAGAAAAGCTGATGTGATGAGTCCTGTGATTCCCAGATTAAGTTTATCTGCAGACAGAAATATCAAAAGAAAGTGAACGACTGTTTCTTCTCAGGTTGGATTCTTTACTTTTTCTCCAAACTGCTGAGGATTTTCATAACGCATCTGATTTCCTGCTGTTTTCATCACATATATTTTAGCCTCTCTGAGCTGCATCTCACCAGGTTTTATATCCATCCATGAAACCTTTTGTTATCATCTTACTGCAGCAGAGATATTCCCCTCCATAAAGAGTTAAAAACATCTGAATTTATGTCACTTTACAAGTTAAACAACAGGTGATACAAACCTCATTTTCAGCTCAGATACCTGAGAGAGAGATACAAGACACTCTGACAGTAAATAGACTTCAATCCTCCTGCAGCCCTAAAGTCAGTCTGTGTGACAGAGAAGTGAAATAAAAGAGAAAAGCCTCCTTTTAAAATCCCTTTCTTTAAATTTAACTTAAACAGACAGCATGGAAGCTTTAAAGAGCTCTACGTCACCTTGTTTTATCTTCACACACTCACACCTGTCAGCCATGAACACCGAGGTGGGAGGAGGAATAAAACGTCTGCTGCTCACTCATTTAACCGCTTTTATATGCAACACACACACACACAGAAACACACACAAGAAGAAAGCTCAATCTTAAATCTGAATTCTTTACCACAGGGGAAACAGGACAAAAACAAAATCAGGACTCAAGAAATTATCTTGATCCAATTAGAAAATTCTCGAACCCTAAAAATAAAAGTGGATTTTATCATCTTACACCCTCTGGTGAAATTCAGAGCAGCAGAGCAAAGTTTTAAATGGAGGTGAGTTTAAACATTTTTTTAAATAAGTCAGAAAGAAACCGTTAAAATTGAGCCAAACTGGTTTTACACAAATTAGAATGTCTAACATTAGCCGAACTAGCAGCACTGGTTGTTGGTTCTCTTTAAGGTCCAGATACTTGTTTGTTAAGCATCACTCCAGTCAAGTTGTGCAGCCCTATTACAGAATAGGACTGCACAATTACATCAATTTCAAATCGTAATCTGATTACTTAATTATGAAGATGTTAAAAAATTAAAATCGTCAAATCGATTTTCCTCTCTATCATGTCTCGTGCCTCCAGGCCACTGTAGGCTCCCCCTTCCTGTGGGAGCGCTCCCCAGTTCCCACACACACCAGTGTAAACAAACATGGCCTTTGCAAAAGAAGGTGATAAATTTGGGGCTAAATAGTACAAGAGCAAGTCAGTCGTGTGGAATTGGTACGGCTTCACAGTTTCAGATGAAGAGCAAACCATTCCCCATAACAAAGTTTGTCTGAAGGCAGTATCAACCCGTCCACACAAAAATGAATTCAGGAGTAGACACTATAGTTTTTTGTCATATCAGCATTTCATCTACATGGAAACAGTGTTTCAGGTGACTGTAAACAGTACTTTTTGAAAACGGGGTAAGAGAGTGCATAAAGCTATAAACGACTACACTTTCATCTCCGTGTGGATGTCAATCTGCATCTTTTAAAACGATTATGTGACACACTGCATAACTCTTTTATGGCACCTGCACGTGTCCGGCCAAAACAACATTACAACATACATTGTTTTCATTGGTTTCGTTTTGAGATATGATAGAAAAAAACTGTTTATTAAAGTGAAGTTTAGTGAAGTTGTCACTGAATAAATAATTGAAAATCGAAATTCAAGTTTTCAGAGAAAAAAAATCTGGATTTTATTTTTGGCCAAAATCGTGCAACCCTAGCCTGAAGAGCAGCCGTTCAGCACAGCCAGCTGCTATAACGCTCTATTACAAGGATGTAAACAAGCACCAATGACAGATGGCATGCCATAGTACAGCAGCATGGTTTGTCAGTGTCTCAAAAATAGAGATTAAGTGTTGGCTGTCATCTAAAATCTTCATGTAAACTCTCAACCTGAGCAATCTGCAACAGGCATCAAAGCGAGGACGTAAACCTGCAAAGAGGACAGAAGGCTGGTAGCGCTAGCTCTGTTAATGTTAGCTCTGCTAATGTTGGCTGTTGTTGTGAAGTCAAGCTTTCTTAAGTTTGTCTTTCAGAGGAGAAGAAACAACTTTGAAATCATTTGTTAGTTGGACGGAGATCGGATCGACAGGAAATCAAGAAATCTAAACACTGACTCAGCATGGAGCCGATCTGTGTCTCGGTTTTTGATCTATAGCAGATATCAGTTTAATGAATTGTCCTCAGATTACCGCTGATGAGAGCTGGGATGTCATTATAGCTAATTGGGTTCCTCCTAATTTTGCACAAATACAGACACCAAAGCTGATCCCTGAATGGTCAGAGCCACAAACAGAGACCAGAAACTCCCCATGCTTCAATTCAGACACAGAGAGCAGATTCTGCGTTTTTATGTGCAATCTGTGAATCTAGATCACTACCGAAGATAAATTCTTTGATAAACTACCTGCAGGAGTGTTTTTTTTAATCACCTATAGACGTGTGTTTCTGCAGCAGACAGACTCAGACAGAAATCCTCACGTCTGTCTCAGAGGAGACTCGCTCTATTCTCAGTGACCTTATTCTCTCTCAAACACTCACAGAAGAGCAGAAACCAAACGTCTAAAAAATCATCAGGAGACAACTCGCAGGAGGGACGACACAGAGCAGCCGGCTGTGCAGAGTCACAACCAAAGTCAGCCTTGTTTTCCCCAAACGTGTGTGTTTGTGTGTGCTCGTATGTGTGTGTGGACCACAGGAACAGAGCCTGTCCTAGACACTCCCACGAGGGAAAAAAAACAAAGAGCAGGCACCGCTGTCGCTTTTACAACACACTCAGACTCCACAGTCTCGTATTAATTAGATTAATCATGAACAATCAGCGCTGATCCTCTGACCTCTGCAGCGACTCTCATGACACATTTCTCCTCCTGTACAGCCTCCATTTGACCCAACACTCCACTACAGCTGTCACATCCTCTGACTTAGACCCTATGATGCTATTTTTAAGGAGAATCCTGCAGCTTTTTCAACTTCATGAACCACATCTGCAGTCAGGATGCTCAAAGACTTACGCCTATCTGCAGGTAAAGTGGAAGTTTTAGATATTACCTGGCATTTTAAAAACTTGATTCTGATTGGCTAAAACCCAATAAAAGCAGCAACAACAAAGGGACAACCTGATTTGACACTGTGGCTAAAATGTTAGTCTCCATTGGCACAGATATGACGTCATCCTGAGGAACTACTGGACCCAAACATCTCTGTTCGGGAAAAGAGGAGCAACATCCTGTCCTGCAATTAGCACCTGAATCCAACAAAGCAGGGGTATTGGCGAGGGAGGCATGAGACGGTCAGTGGTTCACATTTACAGCATGAGAGAGAAAAGCAATGCCTCTGTCTAAACATGTCCACTACTGACGACGACAGCGAGTCATCTACTAAGAAACGACCTCCATAAGGTAGACCTTCTCAGGGCTGCAGCTATCGAATATTTTAGCAATCGGGTATTCTACCGAATATTCCATCAATTAATCAGACCCAAACGGCAGACTCAGATACAGTGTGATTTCCAACGTCACAAAAGCAAGTTCCACCCCTGGATCCCCACTGTGAAGGCCAGACTTGAAGAAGTTGAGAGGACAATCACGGAACAAGCATGTGCGTTAGTGGATTGCAGTGCTCATAAGAAAGCTAATTATATTATCTTACATCATGACCCCAAAGACATTAGTGTCCGAAAGCTGAATAGCTCCTATATTACCTGCTTTTGCTACTATACCAGCAATGCTAGGCTGCAAGCTAGCATGAAGAGGAGTGTGCAGAGCAGCTCTGTCTCTGCCCACGGCTCAGAGGTGAAGTGCTACTGAGCTACTGGAGCTCTGCTGAAGAAAAAGCCCCTCTCCTCATTCATTTTTTCCGCTCCGCAAAACCAAGACCGCGCTTACTCCTCTTTCTACTGTGGTGACGTTAGGGCATTGTGTCACCTTAAAAATAATCCATGCCAAACAGTGACCATTTGAGCTTCCAAATGAGTACTCGAGACAGAGTAAATTCCTCGAACATTTTTTATAATCAAGGTACTCGAGGAATCGTTTCAGCCCTAGACATTCTGTCCCCTATCTGAGCTGACTCTTCCTCTAATGGAATAACCATTGCTATTACCCCCACCACATACTTGCCACTCGGTGAGCTGGGCTGTTATGTTACCCATGCTACTTTCTATCAAGACCATTGAATGTTACCCTTCACATGAATGGAAGCGGCTTCGCCAGGCTTTGATGCGCTCGTTGATGTCGAAAAAAACGTGTGTTATTGTGCTCAGACAGTGCAAGTAGAAATCATTAGTGGCACATTGATATTAAGGCTGCAACAACGAATCGATTAAGTCAATTCGTCGTGAAAAAATCCGTTGCCAACTAATTCTGTAATCGATTCGTCGGGTCTTTATATATGTCCATGGACACCGGCGTGTAAACATCAGCAGAACGCACAGAAAAGAAACAGCCATGGCCGAGGCAGCGGCTGAGAAAAACATGGACACAACCCAACCCAAATCCCGACCTAAAACATCAGTGGTGTGGGAAAACTTTACTAAGACTGAAAAGGAAGGCGTTCAGTGCAACATTTGCCAAGCCCGTTTTGCATGGCACGGGAGTACATCGATGATGCGTGAGCACAGGGCTCTCAAGTCTCACGCATTCAGCGTATGACACACGCATTCCCACTCGTTCACACGCTCACACACCACACATTGTATTTCTCACGCATTTAAATGAACATGGTGATGTCCACCAAGTTGCACTTCTTTAACTATGGAACAGGTGGAAATCAACTGAGTTTCTCCGAGAGTTCAGAAGCTGCGTGCCACGCGCAAGCCAATCAAATAAAGTATATCTACTGAACAGCCAATCAAAAAGCAGCATTGCTGTATCCGGGTAGATTTTGATATCTTGCGGTTTGACAGTAACCTACACATGCAGAGACCTCAACACCTCATGGCAGATAAACTCATATGATAAACTAAAGCCCTATGCTATTGCTATTAACAGCTGCATTGATGAATTTAGCCTGTTTATCCGATTAATCGATTAGTTATTAAAATAGTCGACAGATTAATCGATTATCAAAATAATCGTTAGTTGCAGCCCTAATTGATATTAATGCTACTAATGCTACTCACTATATAGACGACAATGTATAAGCTTGAATGTTACCTTTCACATGATGGAAGAAGGTCCGACAGGATTTGATGCACTCGTTAATGACTCAAAACAAGTCGAAAATAATGTGTGTTGTTGTGCTCACACAGTGGGAGTAGAAATCATTGGTGGCACATTGATATTAATGATCATGTGAAAATTCAGTAGCAGCGTATGTAATGAATGAAGGGGAAACACTGTACTAGGATTAGGTATCAAGAGTTATTTCAGTTTAGCACCAAGTATGGTGATATTTAACAGTTCATTAAGTCAGTGTTTCTAGTAAAATGTCATTTCCTGAATTATTCTTTCCAAAACACTGATTTAAATGTTTGCAATCACTCTGATATTTCATAATATCCAACTTTAATTTATTCATAATAATTACATTTTGTTCAATTTTGCATTATTTTTTCTCCTGTCTTTCTCGCCTGTATGATGTCAATCCGGCCTGCAGGCTCAACATTGTGATGACTGTGATTTAAAGTAGAATAAATAAACAAATATTAAAGGTTTTATGTTTGCTCTGACTCATAGTTTCTGTCTGTCTGTTTTTAATGTCTGAAATAACACCTGTGGTGTCCAATCCAAAGTTGTTTTTTTAAACACTAAATTAGCTCCAATTAATCTGAGGGCAGCTGACAGCTCAGTGTCATCTAACTGCATTAAAACAGCATGAAGGGGATCTCTGTGCACAGGCCTCCATTCAACAGGTATACCATCGAGAGAGCAGGCGCTGACTGCTAATGCAATATTTATATATACAAATTTTTTGAGTTTGATAAATACCCCAGATTATTTGTATTCTTACTCAAAGACAGGCACTGTTTTTCCTGCTTCTAGAGGGCAAAGGTCATCCCACCTGCCCAAGGAAACTTGTTGATAGAGTCAAAGTGCAGCAGCAGAGCTGCTGCATGACAGGGACAATAAAACCCAGAATGAGAGAGGAGCAGAAGACACACAAACACACACGTCCAGACATTCATTGGTCTTAAGACGGCTGAGGCGTACACAAAAACATGACACAGGAACAGCAGAGCCGGCCGCTTTCTCCTCTGAGGTGTTTAACTGCTGGAACACCGTGCCGCCTGCTGATCAAATGCTGCAACAGTTAAATCTTCAAGATCTGAACAAGCTGGCACACTCGCCACGCAGTCTCTGGGGGCTGCTCTGAGGACCTCAGTGAGACTTTTAAGACCCTCTCATCTTCAGACATCACACTCTGTATGATGCACCATAGTCCAGTTTCTGTTCATTCCTGTTTGTATCAGTGAATATCTGCTGATCCCTGTGTCTCTCCGTCATTTATCCTCCAGCTGCTGAGGTTGTGAGTGACAACTGGTGCCAACCTCAAGGAGGAAATCCCCTTACTCATCTACTGTTGTGAGCAAAAAATTGTAACAAAAGCCAAGAAGAAGACAATCCCACTTTTTAAGATGTAGGAAAGATATCTTTTCTTGACTTCAGGTCATCTCAGTATTAGTTTGGTATTTTTTTGGCTCTTTTAACCGGGAAAGTTAGAGGACATGTAAAACATGGAGGTAATAGCATGGGGGTCTGCGATGGGATTCAGGCCCATGCTTATAAATCACATCGTACCAACTGGACAACCAGGCCATCTCTAAATTTATAGAGTATCTTGTAGAACAACTTTCTAGGCTTGTGATGCTGCCAACAGTTAGTGACAGAGGAGTTCATTCACATGTCCTTAAATAAGCTTTAGCCCATGTCGTCTTGGTACGATTATCTCAGCAAAGCTAAAACAAACTTCTCTTGATTTTTTTAATAGTATATCAGTCATACTCCTTTGTTTTAGCTTGATTTAGCTAAAAAACAAAGATGTTTCTGTGTGTCTTCTTCACTGAATTTAAGTGTTTTTGTAACTATTGAGGAAATCCTGATAAAAACAATAAAAAGTGCACAAATTGTTCAGGGATGGGAATCAAGAACCCGTTTCCATGGGAACCAGTTCCAACTAGTCAAAGCCTAACCATTATTGGCTTTCAATGCCTTCAAATTCCCTTTGCACCTTAAAAAACGAGATGGTGTACAGCAAGAGACAGTCTGTGCGATCCACAACCAAGGAGGTAATCATGGAGGATAGCAGGATTGGTCCAAACCGCTAAAACAGCATGAAGGGGATCTCTGTCTCTGGGTAATTCTGTTATTTGCCATATCAGCTCTAAAAAAAGAGATGTACAACCCACTGATGGACTTTAAAATCCACTTGGTTTGTGAGGCAGAAGCAGCAGACTTTGTGTGTTTGTCTCAGACACCCCGATGATTTTCTATCCCACTAAGATCAGAGTATTTACAAAGGATCAATTCCCTCAAAATACAAAGGTTGAATTAGATGTTTTTTGCACAAATTCCAATGAAATATTCTGTTTATTAAAAGCTGCCATCTTTGTTTCCATGTGTTGACCAATGACAGGCAGTATCTGTCTTCAGCTGATTTCTAACGGTCCAATGAGGAGCCAGGGTTCCCTGTGTCAGTGCAGCAGTGAAGGTAATAAAAGTTGTGATCAAATTTGTGTCTTTCTCACAGAAAACCCCTTCAGATTGACATTTTTACACACAAAAATCCCAGACATGAAGGGAATCAATAAAGAACTATATCAATATGCAGATTAGATAATCACATTGGTATCAATAAATGCTTATCAAGTGTCATTCCTATCACTGCTGGAGTTTTTTTAACCTTATGTTATTTCAAACTTGGCCGTCATTTGATTCTGTTCTGTTAAAGCAAAATGCTCAAAAAGTTCGATTTCACAGTCCCAACAACAGCAAATTCATAATGTTACTCCCTCACCTGATTTACACCTTTAAAGGCATGAATTCAAACTAACTATCTCATGATGATCGTGGAGTTTAATGCTGTTCAAACTCAGCCTATCAGAGTAGGAGTCCTGCTCAAGGGCTGCAGAGACAGACCTGGAACAAATGAATCAGACTCACTCTCTCACACAGCTCCCAAAAATTGCCCACTCTTTGTTGTTGTTGTTTTGCTGTTTTAAGAGACAAAAATCCTTTTTTTCCTCCCTGCCCTATTGATTAACTCCAGCTACAGCTGATTCTGACATTTACACTCTGACCTCTGACCTGGCGTGATGGCACTATGGCAGGTCAAAGGACTTGCATTTGCACTTTTTAACACACCATGCATTTGATTGATGACATCTTATTTTATGCTGCCTAAAATTTACAATAAACCTAAAGTTATTAGTGTGTTGTATCAAATGAGAAAGTCTCAAGTAAAAAAAGGTTTGGACAGTGTGTTAAAAATATTAAATAAACATGCAGGAATTAAACTCAGCACCAGTTTGAAAATTGTGGATCTCCAAAAAAATACTGATCACACCTGAGCTAGTAATGTATGAGCTGTATACGTTTATAATTTGAATAAAAACACGCTGAAGAACACCAATGTATCAGCAGAGCAGAGATGACAAAGACACAAACAAAAGAACACTGGCAAACACAACAAAACATGATGTCCGTGTGTGAATAAAGCTACGATCAACACTTTAAGAAGACTGCTGCACGGTGACAGAGGGGCTCCAACTCTGGGACCTGTTTTCAAAAGTTTGTGTTTTCAGCTATTTCCAAGCACAAATGCTCAAAAGTTCAACATTTTTTTAATTGGTATGGGCCAATTCTGGTTTCAAGCTTTGCGCCCACTGTGTGATCTGTCGCTTTACTATGAGTTTGAACTTCATTAATAACCTAAAATTTCTGCAACACTGCTTCTAGGTAAGTGGATGTACAACAGGTTGAGAAACCACACGGTTCTGTGTATCTATGTGTGTTATGAACGAGCAGCAACAACCAGTTTTTATAAGTGAAGCCAAAGTGATAGAAACTGCAGGTCTTTAAATATCTGCTGACGGCTGTCTGCAGGAGACAACGTGTAGCTCTATTCATGAGAGGTCCATCTTTACAACAATAACAAACAACCAAGTTTTAAAACATCCAATTTGGTCTGGATAACTAATTTCTTTTACCATATACTGTTAGAGAGGGGTGGAGTTTTTGAATGCACTATAATTATGAAGATATCACTGTAGCTAGTTTTGCATTATTTAAGTTTTGATCTGCAGGTAGGCATGCAGCAGCTGTTAGAAAGGAGGCCAAACTCCCATCTCAACTCCACCTCTGTGCCTCATCAGGTCGACTGAAAGGACTTATTCAGTGTGGACTACACTGTGAGACAAGGCGCTCACGATGCTGCTCCAGGAACCAATCACAGACTAGATGGGGCAGGACTGGTCCTCCAGGTATCTAGGAGAATGGATGTTTGTCAGGTGGTCATTACAGAGACAGAGTGGACGGTTTTTGGGACAGTTCACAGAGTATCCACTAAACGAACATAGTCAATATGGTGATATTTAGACAGTTTTTCACTAGTTTTTATTGAAGTTTAATTATTTCAACTTGACAGAACTTCTTTCTACATGTTGTGAGGAAACTAGGTAGATTGTGCTGTTATATTAAAAATACAATTTTCACCAGGGACCCAGATGTTACAAAACAACGCACTTAAAAGCTGTGATTGTGACACCACAAAACCTTAAAGACAAGGTTCAGATTCACTGAATGTGTCATACCGACAGCATTTTTTTGCAAAAAGTTCAAATACATGTACACTAACAGTCCTAATTCATATAAATTATTACAGAAATATTTTTTTATTCCTTTTGTGGCAGTTTGTTCAATGAAGACTAATGAAAAATTGTGTGAAGACGTGTTTCATAGCCTTTCTGTGCTATTTTTATGTGAATTTACACAGATTTTACCTTTATTAGACTTGGAAATATCAGTCTTCACCATTGTCATAGTACTTGTTATGTATTAACTATTACTCTTTAGAATGTGGATAACCTGCTGCTTTTATTTATGTGAATACCAGTTTATTCATATGAATCAGGGCATAATGAGGTATCTGTTAAATCAGGGGGTCTCCATTTAACTTTATGATCTTTTATGTTTTTATTGTCATAAGGTTCATTTATTCTTTTATTCAGCCCTCAGGGACCCTTCATGTTCAGCTCGAGGCTCAGCCTTTGTCTGCTGCCCAGAGGTGATACACCTGGCCGGGTCATGACTCATTACGTGTCCTGTATGTCCACGCTCACACACACACACGCACGCACACGGACACACACCTGGCTGCTGTAGCGCCTACAGTTACACAGGCTAACAGGCTAACCACCGAGCCTACACCTCTGTGGGGTTTTCACTGCTAGCAGACGCAGAGGCTAACACTCTGCTAGCTTGAATGTTGCAAGGATTGCCACAAGTTGTGAGAGCTAGCTAGGAGGAATACAGAGAAGTTACCGGCGAGGAAGAGAAGGATGAAGAGGACAAACACTCACACCGGTAGAGAAAAGAGACACTGTGTCCTTTTTCATGTTAGCACCCGATGCTACCGAGCTAGCATGCTCCGCTAGCTGTGTAATGTCACTGCATCGCTGTTGTAAATACATTATCACAGCCCTCTCTCCTTACACGTGTGGACAGCCGCTAAAACTCCTTCCAGGGGACACCGCTCCTCAGAAAAACCCTCCCCGGCGGACAGCTCACCTGTTCCGGACACCGGACACACGTTCTCACCGGCGACACATCCCCCTGGTCAGCCCGAAAAACACTGGCGCTTTTTATTTCCAAGGACACAAAATCGCCATGACAGTTTAGAAAAATGCATAAAAAATTAGCAGGCAGGGGAGGGAGGGGAGAGAGAGGAGAGAGGGATGGGGAGGTGAGGAAGAGGAGGGAGGGATGGGCTGTTCGTGAACGATCCGACTCAAAATACTAACTCCTCATAGCCTGAGAGTCATACTCATTTTAGTGGTTGTACTTTGAAATTCAATACATATTTTATTACACATAATAACAGCTTTGCAACTGTTGAAGGAAAATCATGCAAAATGGGAATATTCATTCATCTATAGTGATCAGAGGCAAGATTGAAAAACGTCCTTTCCCCTCAGTGAAGCAACAGTGGCCTTTGAGGACAAAAGCAACTGTGCTGCTTAAGTATTTGTCAAGTTCTTACTATGAAAAATGTCTCTTCTTTGCTCTCTCATAATTGAATTTTCAATAAAAAAATCTGTATGGCACACCACTTGACTGTTGTGTGCGAACATAGACTGTATAAAGAATGGACGCCGTCTGCCTCCTTGCTCGGTGAAGCCACTCCGAGAACAGCACCCTCTGCCGATGGGCTGCAGTTTAGGTTATAAATCCCGCCTCCGCCAGCAAAGCTTATGGAGCTGTGGACAAACTTTAGAAATTTATTACACAGAACATAATTTTTTCTGCCCCCTGCTTGCGATGTTGACATGTAGTTACAGTAAGACTGGTTTGTGCTCAAGTCCTCTTTTTCTGTGAAGCTCTATTTTTAAAAGTTATTAGGGGGTTCATGTTTTCTATGATTGACACTTGATACAGCCTATGGGCGTTCAGGGATTGTGTAGGTGTCCCAGGGGATACGCTGTTTGAGCCGAGCATCATCACAGCGACTCTCAGTCACTGCGCACCCAAATGTGCGCATCGCTACTGCACAGCGCTGGTTTCGGGAAATGAAGAAAAATCCCGGAAATACCGAAAGCTATTTGGCTTCAAATCTGTATACAGGCGGTAGGCGGAACCAAGTTGTCCATAGTATATACAGTCTATGTGTGCGAACAAGTGCAAATGAATTCAGTTTTTTTCACTCATTTAAATATACTTATGAATATTATATTTAATTTTTACCTATTGCTTCCACTTACTGCCACAGGAGAGAGTTTATTTATGGTCTGTATTGGTATAATTGACCTGTTACATTTATTTTATGGTCATTTTGACAAATATTTCTAGCAGGGTTAGTGAAAGAGTTAGTCATGATATGATACCTGACGCATTCCGTTCAATAATGATAAACACAAAGTTTGTTGATTCTGCTATAATTAAGTAACAAACTGGTGTAAAATGATATATCAGGACTTAAAAATGAATCAAAAGGGTAAAGTGCAGGATTGTTGTCCCAATGGTTGCCATGAGTTATTAACCTGTGGCACAGCGATTCAATTAAAAGGGAAATATGTTTATTATTTAAACTGATTTCATTTCTATTTAAACTACTGATACTTGGGATACGATAATTGTATTACATAAAGCAAAACAATATAATGCTGTTCTGTTATTTTGCTCGACTACATTTATTAGCCATTTTATTATCAAGTAGCTACATGATTGTTGGATGGATTTATAGGTATATGGCATGTTTTGAGAATCATGATATGGACATCGTTTTGAATTCGAGACAAAGACTAATTATTTCCTGCGGCAAACAATTAACACATCTATATGTAATCTTACAAAAGTACAAAAGGTTTTGCGACAAATAAAATTTGTGTGTTGGTTTTTGTTGCTTTTTTGCGTATAATCAGAGGGCACTAAAAGGGCCTACTCCTCAGAAATCACAAATAAAATTATAAATAGTAGATGTACAGAATCAATGCTAACTTTCCAATGTCCTAGATTATTTGAACCCTTTAAAACCCCTGTGAGTACTGTGTCATTTTGTACATAAATCAGCATGATAAGAAATAGCTGTAAAGATCAAAATCATTTGTTGGGGAAAAAAATCAGGCACGTGTATGATTTTTTTAGTTTGGCCCATGCCCCATCTCTTTACATGGAGGGTATAGGCTTTCTCTGCTTTCTGGATTTATAATGATTCACTTTTGAGGACCTAATCAGGAATCTATCACATAATAAATGAGGGAGTGATGACACATCTACTCCTATTCACTGAGAAGAGCCGTTCAAATGACTGACTTGTTCACAAAAGGCCCATCACGAACACACACACACACGCACGCACACACACCTCCTCCCTGCACACAAAGACGAGCCGCATCCAAAAGTTAAAGCTCTTCTTACCTAAAATGGCCACTGCAGCAGCCAAACACACACTCAGTTCTTTATTCTGCTTAAGTTTAGCGGCGGCAGCAGCGGCGGAGGGTCCGCTAAAGCCAGCCTAACATTGCCAGCAGTGCCTTACTCCTTCACATCCTTCTATTGGCTGCAGCCTGGCGCAGCTGGCCTCGTGCATGTTTCCATTGGCCCTGCAGCTGTCAAGCAAGCAACCCCGAGCAAGTCTGTCCCGGGTTTGTCTGAGAGCGATCGCGGCAGCCCCAGGCAACACCATTGTGTATTGTGTGCGGGTTTTTCCCTTTCTCCTGCTTGCTGATCGCGCCGATGCGAGGCTCCGCGCTCAGCCTGCTGCTTTAAGGTGGGGGGATTGTTGTTGTTCTTACCGCAGACTTGCAGGAGGGTCCTCTTCGATCCGGGGGGAGCGTCCCTCCGCACCGCCCGGCTGCTCCTGCTGTCATTGAAGGAGAAATAAACACAACAACCGGGGAGCGATCAGCCTTCAGCCCCCCCGCTGCAATAAAACGAAGGGTTTACATTTCTCCTCCACTCGCTGCATCCACCAATCATGTCGCTTTTTACTCCTCCATCATTACCGGGTCTGCAGGGCGGAAGAAAAGGCATGAGACATTCCACGTCTTGTGCAGATCAGGTTGTGTTTCCCGGATGTTCAGCCTGTTTGCAGGACTTCAAATAAGCTGATAGTGAACTGCGATGTGTTTCTGTGATCTGGATTAAGTGTTCTCTCCCGGGGGTGTTTTTGGAGTTAGTTTGGTGCTTGTCACCTTGCCCCATTTCCCTGACTTCAACCTGAACTCTGCCTGACCCTCCTCTCTCCTTTGCTCATGATTTAGAGAAGTTATGGTTACAAAAACCCTCGTTTCAATGTAATAAAACACTCACATATGGCAAAAGTAATGCACCCATTCCTATATCACAAAGATATTACATTTGCCACATGATGAAAGTGATGCTGTCAGTTTTTGCACAAATTAAAGCTGGAAAGTCAAGTTTAATCATGTAAAACATAAAGAAAAATGAAAAGAAAGCATGAACTGTCCGAATCTTGAAAACATTGGTCTGAACTCTGGGTGGATCATTTTAAAAAGTGTGCTTTCTTTACATTTGGATATCAGATGCGTCCTAATGCTCCATATATCAAACTTATAAACTTTAAAACTCCTTTCAAAATGACTAATTAAAAGTTGCTGTAAATGGTCAGTTTCTGGTTACATAGTGCTTATTTGAATGCAAAACAAAACAATAACTCTGAGATTAGAGTTACTGAAGAAAAACAGTATAAATGTACTGAATTATTAATTTAAAAAGCTTTCTTTAGAATAAATGAGTAGAAGCTTTGGTTTAGTTAATTTATATACATAAAAATGCATTAGAAAGAACTTCGAACCTGCAGCGATACCGTCTGTAACTTTCTTAACACCATTATGACTGTGAATGGCAATAAGACCTAATCCTGGTAAATGATTGTTTTCCGTGGCAGCAGACTGAGTGTAATTAAAGAGGCAGTCAAACAGTATTTTGCAGAAGCTTGCTGTTACTTTAACAGGAGCAGAGACAGACTTTTAGTGACTGATTGATTCTTCACAGAAAAATGGAACTGTGCAAACAATTCTGACAACTTGAAGCTCATGTATCAGCTCCAAACTGCTGAACTTTTAGTTTGACTGCACCAGTTTCACTTGGACTCTATTCTGTAAACCTTAAAACAAACATTTCATCCTTTTGCATCCTGCTGTCGTCTCACTCATGTCCCACCTGTGCAAACTTGATGAGATCAGATTGCTCCAGTACTGGCTCCCCTCCTCTGGACTCAGGATCTAGTTTGAGATTTTAGTAAAGTCTTCATGAGCTGGTACCACTGTGCCTGGCTCCAGTCCTAAGAGCTGCTCCGACCTTCCACGGTTTTAAATCAGTGTTTGAAAACGTCTTTGCATTTGCTTTTAATACCAGTGGAGACAACAGTTCCGGACACTCTGAATGAGCTTTGATTTACCATGGTTTTATTATGTTTTTGGTGTCTTTTAACCCATGTGTGTGTTTTCATGCTTGTGCAGCACTTTTGTTGAACTACAGATGCTTTTTTAAAGGTGAGATATAAATAAACTTTGACTGGACTTTATTTGTCAGAGTTTAAAAAAAAAACTTCAAGTGACTTTTACATCTATGCAGATGAACAGCTGAGAAGAACATTGCAGTCTGTGTGGATGCGGTCCTCTGGCCTGACCAGAGGATGGCAGAGAACCTCTGTTTTTTTACAGAGGTTTATTAGGTTTTGACAAAGTAGTTAGTACATAATGGTAGTTTCCGGTTTGTTTTGAAGTTTCCAGAAGTCAATGTTTGAGAAAGCCTGTTAGTATGAATGTAAACCTCCTAGCTCAAGTATCCTACAGATCTTATAATTCAGTGCATGTCCATAACTCTAAAAAAGGAAGACAACGCAAAATCAACCGTGCAAAGCAAAGTTAACAAGTCTGTCATCAGGAGGATCTGTCCTGCAAAGCTTCAGGCTGGTTTGGACCAATCAGTGATGGTCGACTGATATCAGTTTCTCAGCAGCTAATACAGATAATGCAAGAGCAAGTCCACTGATGGCCGATATATTCTGCTGATGTCAAGACTCTTTAAAAGTTTTATGAAGCCTCTTTCTCACATGCACTCTTGGAAATGACCCAACATTTAGGAAAACGAGCTTCTGATCACAGTTTGAGTTCCCCAAGGTCAGACATGGAGCACGGAGATTGAAGCTGATATCTGTAAGCAGGATAAATCACTGAGCTGAGAGACGCAGTCACAGCGCAGTGAATGGTGGAGGTAGACGAGCATCCATGCATACATGATGAGCCAGGCAGCCATTGTGGATGTTTACCTGCCTCCATCTATCTCGCACTCTCTAAATGATGTCTCTGCAGGGGGAAAGAAGGGGAAGGAGGGATGAGCTGCTTCATGCATGTAAAAACTCTGATTCAGTGTGAATATAAACCACCCTGTATGCGCGTGCGCGTGTGTGTGTGTGTGTGTGTGTGTGTGTGTGTGTGTGTGTGTGTTGTCTCTGCTGCAGTCAGTAACACACTCTACATCCTGCAAACATCCCTCACTCATACTGAAACACTCTCTGCAGAGCATCATTTATTCAGACTGTGAGGTAAAGCCATTCGGACATGTTGAGCTGTTAAATCATGAAAGTGTTTGAAATAACTGGATGTAAAAACAGTTTTTACCTCCTGATATGTTCCACTTTATCTCTGCTTTCTGTTTTTACCATCTTCTTTAAGATTAATATGTTTCCAGTGTAATTGAGTTTTTATTTGTTGGGCTTTTGCGGAATAAAAAAATTTGCAGGCCGTTAATTTTTGTGATTTATTGCAGAAATGCTTCATGGAAGAATTCTGGAACAGGTTGACCTGTGCATTGAAAGTCCTTATATTTTAATTTCATGCTCTAGATTACTCCAGTATCTCCCATTTTCTTGCTGTGTCACATAATGTAATGGTGTATTATTTCATTAATTTCTTAAAAAGTGGACTTTTTAAAATCCCAGAGCAACATTCCACACATTCTGCATGTTCTGCATGTTTCTTCACGTTTCTGCACGTTACTGCAGGCTGTGAAAATGTGTAGAAAATATAAGCACACTGCAATATCCCCAAAACTAAGTGAGTGATATTTTAAGATAATTCAAGCATAAAATAAGACTTAAATGATTATGAATGAGTAAAAATCTGCCGATAGGGTGGTCAATTTTTTTTTATTTGTTCGTTTGTTTGTTTTTTTGTTTTACTGAAATTTCTGGGCATTGAGACCATTAATTCTGATAACAGTGGCTAACAGTAGTAACAGTTTGGAGGTAGTTAGGCTGCTGCAGCTGGGGGAAAGTGGGACTGACAACCAGATAAGCCTGGAATAAAAATATGCCACAAGATTCACCATCCAACATGTTTCTCTCCTCTGAAATTATACAATGTTTTTCATTGTTAATGAAATTGTTATTTTGATGTTTTTGTGCTTAAATTCATCTGAAAACAACCACCTGTTTAAAACCTCTGCTTTGTAATATAGAAGAAAACAGAGAAATAAACAGATGCATGTGGAAGAGTCAGTCTCCTTTATCTCCTCTTTCACTTTTTTTATTTTTTATTTTTGTCCCCCCACCCTTTCCTGCAAGAAGAAGATTTAACCGGCATTACTTTGACAGATGACTCACCTCAAGGAGAGAGGATCGAGGAGGTGCAGGAGGTGTCGCCTCTTGATAAATAAGAGGATTTTCTCCCCCTTTGTCATTCTTCTCCAGTCCACCAGGCGCCCTCATACTTTCCATCCATCCCTCTCTTACTGCTGTTTCTTCTCCTAATCAATCCTGCAGTTGACTCTGCCCACATGCTCACCTGTGTCATAAAATCTGCACCTGCTGACCTACACCTGTACCTGTAGGCACTCTCATGAACAATAAGGCTTTACCTGTTTTCATCTGCAGCTTGGTCCCTCTCTTCCTGCCTGCACTTCAAAACTTGAAGATAAATCTGTAAATTTCATTAAATTCTTATGTTTAAAAAAGGAGTAAAAGTTTTAAATCTCTCTGTTTCTTAGATCTCTGAGCTTTTATCTGTCCTGGTTGGTTTATGTCAATCTGCTTTCAAGTCCTTTTTTAAAAAATGTTGGAATTATCTCAAAGTGTCAGTTCTTATCACTAAAATAAGACAGAGGAAAAAATGTGATGTGTGATCGGCCCTGCTGACTTATCTGCACATTTTATGCTCACCTACCTGATGGATTTTGGTCCTTTTTGTGCTGATTGCTCTTCAGACTTTGTCTACATGTCCACCTACCTACCAGTAAATTTTATGTGCAAAAAGAATAATTTAACTGCACATATAGTTTGCACATTTATCCACATTTGGGGTCTTTTTCATGCCACCTGCATGGAAATTTGAGATAAGAAGTCTGTGGGTTTGTTTTTCCCTCTATGAATCAAGAAGACAGAAGTGTGGTTTCTCTGATGTTTACCTGCAGCACTGGTCTGTTTGTGTCGATCTGCATTTGGATTTTTTTCCAATCCGTATTCCTCCTCCCTTCTCCTTTGAGACCTGAACAAAGTTCCTGAAAATTTCCTGTGTGCATGAACAGAAACTCTGATGTTAAATTTTGGTCTCTGACTTCTTCCTCAGAGTCCACACATGTCTTTCAACATAGACACATAAATCAAGAAAAAAGCTGGCTTTTGTGTCACATCGAAGCTTGTCTGTCAAACATCTACCTGCAGCGTCCAGAATAAAAGTATATTTGTTTACATACATTTAAAAATATGTTTGCCTGTTCATCTGCATTTCGGTCCTTTACTGTCTAACTAACTCCAACAAGATCTTTGCAAGACTGCAATTTATGGAGGTTTGCTTGTCCTTCTCTGTGTCTTTCATTTCCTTTGTTTCATTGTCTTTCTATATTTATTCAGTTTTTGGTAAAATCTCCCTCAAAGAACTTGAATCTTTAAAGTTGTTGGTGTTGTTCCATAAGAAGTGTAAGTTTCGATGATTTTAAAAGGTTTAATCGTTGTGTTATAGTGAAACTCATTGGTTTAGTGTGAACTGATTCTGCAGATCTCAGTTTGGACAAAAGCTTTGTGACTTTAGAAATCGGGAGCACCGCAGAATTCAGGGCTCACTGAGCGGGAAGAGTTAAAATGTTCTGCATCTGTTCCTGCACCCCTGCAATCCCTGCTGATCCTTCCTGCTTTCCCTCCCTCCCTCCTCCCTTTCTTTCTTTCTCCCCCTTCCCTCCTCCTCCTCCTCCTCCTCTACCTCCTTCCTTCCTCCCCTCACTTGGCCCCAAGCCCAGAGAGAGGCTGGAAGAAGGAGCAGATATTTTTGGTCCTCCCCCCCCCCACCCCCGCCCCAGAAAAAGGAAAAAAAAAAAAAACCTTCAGATCTGGTGTTTCAGGAGTTTTTTGGTTGCAGATGTAAAGTGTCGATTTCTGCAGCTTCACAGGAAATAAAACACAACATGAGGTCATCTCTACATCTCAGTGTGTGGCATTCAGCTCGATCGCTCCCCACACATGCAGCGCACACATCGTTCACCAATAATCTGATCTATCGTGGTCAAACCTCCGCCCACATCCACAGTCTGTTTCCTCCCCACTTTATAAACATCAGTGTCTCTGTAGAAGGTGAAGCAGCTTAGGGTTTTATCCAGCAGAGAGGAGCTGATGCGGAGAGCATCAGCAAGAAAGGGAGCTGCAGACGTTATGAAGCGCTTCATTAAAAGATAATGAAAAGAAGAGGAGACAAAAGAGAGTAATGAAAGACATTAAAAGTAAATCAGAGACTAAATTCAATAAACAGATCAAATTAAGATTAAACACGCCTGTTAGACACCAAAAACAAGGATGGAGACGACACATCTTCAAAGAAACGAGACTAATTCAATTAAACAGTTTACTCTTCATAGACGTAAACACAAACGATGATTTTTAGATACACTTTATACTTCAGTTTGTCCTTTTTAATTTCTATTGATGCTTACTCACAAAAAACACAGCTGCCAGGTGAGAAGAAAGGTCAAAGTTTGTGTACCAGTCGCCGGGAAAAAACTCAGTGAAAGCATAGACGTGGTAGAGCTGTGAGAGTCTGGTTCCTGCACGGTGGTCAGTGGCCTACGGCGGTCCAAACAATTCTCCATTTTGAGAGAATTCTGAACTTCAGAAACAACATGAACTTAAGATACATGCATGCATGCAAAAAAAAATCTTCAAATAAGATAAACATGAACTAAAAGGTATAATAACATCTGCATCAAGAGGGAAATACAGCAAATAGAGTAAATGATCCAAAGACAGAAACAAATTCAGGTCACAGACACGCTCCAGGTCTGTAGGTGTGCCCCATCCACTTTTCTCTGTTTGCATTTGTTCTGGAGTTCCCTTTTTTTCACAGCACGTTTCTCCTGCAGAAAACCAGAGGATTATTGCAGCATATCTGCTTTGTTGGCTGCAGCAGCTTTGGGTTTGAACTGATGCAGCTTCAGAAATCAGTCACACTGATGTCTGTATCTGGATTTTTGTTGCTGCAGAAAACTGTTTTTTCCCCCCTTTTCTGTTATAAAATGCTGTCTCTCTAAGCAGGGGAAGGTGCATATTTGCAAAGAGATTCCAAATGTCTGTGTTGAACAAAAGCTATTTAACTTAAATTTTTGGTTAATCACTGCAAAGCATCATTGAAAAAAACAGATATAAGAGGATAAACTTGAACTTTCTTCTACCCTGGTATGATAAGGAGGGCTCTGTCTGCATGCAGAACACAGTTAACATGCGAGGATGAGCTCTCACATTAACATTCACATGCTAAAACAGTTTTTACTCCTGCTGCATGTGTGTGTGTGTGTGTGTGTGTGTGTGTGTGTGTGTGTGTGTGTGTGTGTGTGTGTGTGTGTGTGTGTGTGTGTGTGTGTGTGTGTGTGTGTGTGTGTGTGTGTGTGTGTGTGTATTTATAGCTGGCTGCTGAAGCACCAAGCATCCCTCACATAACTGTTGTTATTTTAGGATTCAACCTGAGAATATCTGCTCTGTTGGATGCCTAAGAAGAAGACGAACGTCAACTTTTGCTTGAATTCATTGCTGTAAGAATGAAAAGCTGTTCCTCTCAGGTTGGCTTGGTTTACTTGTTGTGACAGGAGAAGCATTTTTGCAGGATTTTTGCGACTCTGACTCATTCTTTTTCTTTTTCATTCTGTCTGCATGTTCGTCCCCTGCTCGGTCACCAAGGACAGCCCAGATTTAATTTCACCCTGAGGTTTCTGGATGTGTCACAGTGCATGTTGTTTCTGATTCAGGTGTGCATGAAAACAAAGGAAACGTAGAACAGGAACATTTAAAATCTGGAACATGAAGGTCGCACACGTCTGATCCAGGATGTTTTCAGACAGACACAAAGACAGACGGATTGGCTGCTGTTGCTGTTCTCCTTTGGTGGCCATGTTGGCTCCACAGTCTGGTCCCTGGCTGTTGCCATAGTAACAGATGCTGATCTGCTGAGAGCTGGGCGTCTCGCCCTGGCTCTGCTGTGGAGGACACTGTAGCATATTTTCGACAGGAGAAACAAACCAGGATTGAAAATGAACAGTTTCTCTGCAGAACGCTGAGACAAACACCGATTTAAACCCTGAAACTGAAAAGATCCAGAGTAGCAGGTGTGTCTAAGTGTTCCCTCCACAGACTGTATGAAACATGGAGGGGGTCTTAGTGAGGTCTCCCACTAATTTCAGAGCCAAACAAGGGCGGTAGCCATGTTGGAAATGCTGACTCACTCTACCTTTAGTTGGCCTGAAAAGGAGCAAGTGGGTGGAGTTGAGGTGGGCCTTAAGCTTCCTGGAGCCTGTCAGTCAAATCGGCCACACCTCAAATTGTGCAAAACTAAAACCTTAAAAAACAGATGTGAAACCCTGCCCCAAATATATGAGACTGAAATCTTGTTTAATACCAGGTTTTAAGATTTTTACATTTTTGCTGCAGGGATGCATGCTGCTTTCTGGGCTTTTGCAGCCAGCCTCAAGTGGACACTGGATCCTGATCCTGGAAAAGATCTGGACTTTTTCAGTCGCAAAAAATGTATAAAAGTTCTGACATGTAATGGGCCGAGGTCAGAAACCTCTAGATGACAGTGCAGGACAAACAAAAAGTGTAAGAACCGGGTCATTGTGTGCAAAGGAGTTTGTTTTGATGGTAAAAACTTGACAAATGCAGGATTATATTTATCATGCATAACAGGAGCTTCTTGTCCTCAAAGTCCACCATCACTGCATTGACTCTAGGGGTGAGCAAGGGTGCAGTTCAATCTTTCTGTTGCTCAATATCACCATTTTCATTTCTGCATACAAAACATCTTAAGTGAAAAACAGATATACCGAATTAATAAAACAACATAATGTGTGGTTGTCCCTTTGATCTATGCTCATCTAATTTGATATGTTCTTAGAGTCTGATCTGCAGCGTCCTTTGAGTTGCAGTAATTTTGAGAAAAACAAGATTCATGTCCAAGTAAAGCAGAATAAACTTCACTCTTATTCTTTTAAAAAGGAAGAAAATGACCGTCCTGATTGTTGTTCTGCACACCCTGCAGTGTGACTAAAACATTTGTCCTTCCACAGAAACATTATAAACCTGGATTCAGCCCTAAAATAACCAGGAGTGAAGGATTCTGCTGGGGTTTCTTTCCTCTCTTGGTCAATCTGGAAAACACTGAGATAAATCACAGAGATGAGTGTGTGGGTGTGAGAGTAAACTGTTCCTCCAGTAGCAGCTCTGCACCAGCAGGGGGCGTCCTGCTCCAGAAAAAGAGAGACAGTTTACCTCATCAGTCATGGAGCAGAGGTCTGTCAGATCAGGCTGAGAAATGTGTTGTGTTTTGTGTTTTTCATGTGTTTTAGAAGCGGAATAAAAAAAGACTCCGCTCAAGTTCTTGAGCTTCACTCAGGGACAGATAACCTGCTCTAAGGTGAGCCTTTAAAACCTGTAACCTGGTGAAACAGCTGTTTGTTAGATGTGAGTTTTTTCTGGTGTGAAGCCATAAAAAAAGAACTTATGGGCTGTTTATAAAACCACATTTAGAAGTCATTTTGTGCTGTTAAAATGTGAATTTGATGTGACATGTGTGAACACGTTTTTGTAATTTCACAAGTTTCAAAATTAAAGGCCTGATTCACAAGAGAATTCGGCTCCATGATTTGCATTGTAGAACAACTTGCATTCTGTCTGCAGGTTCTGTTTGTGTATATTCTAATGAGACATTGTGCATTCATTTTGGGTGAAATATTACATCCTTAATTACCTCCTGTGGTCTAAAAAACAAACTAAAAACTTACCCCTAAACATGAATTCTGTTCATGATTACTGTCGCTGAATCAGTCATGCAGTTTTCGTACAAGACTTGTACCTGACACATACATGCAAACTTTTCCAGGTGTGCAGACTGAACAAGCTGATCTCGCTGACTCACTTCAGAAGACTTGTGTAAGTGTGAATGCAATGGCAGTTCCTCTCACCTCTCTGCTTGTCTCCTCTCTGCAGAAAGATTTAAGTTCTGTCAGGATGAGAGGGCACACTGCAGCTCAGTGTAACAAAGAGCGGAGATGCTAACAGCTTGTTAACCAGATGCAACACAAGAGCAAACTGCACAGAGTTGCAACACTTTGTGGGCATGTTTTTGTTTGAATATCATGAGGGTAGTATGCATGGTGGACTGGATCTTGAAAACTACGCTGAATTCTTTATGCTATTAGCAACAGCAGTAGCTCATCAGGAAATTTATTGAAACTAACACGTTGAATTAAGTTTAAGTTTGCAATTAGAGCTACATGAACTAAATTTAAATTTGGCGCACTATAAATATCTTTAGCAAATATCTGAATCTGTTTTTGGACTTTGGTTCACTTGTATAAAAGTTTTGTTGTTTTTCTGCAGAAACAAAATCATCAAGATAAAATATAAAAAAGAACAAGTCAATAAAAAAACTGATGAGAACATGAGCTTAAAAACAACTTTAAATTAAAAAAATAAATGATAATTAGCTAGCAGTCACACACACACACATATACACAGATGAAGAGTCAGCTGTTCAGGGACTGTGTGATGAGGGAGAGGCCTTGGGATGCTCTGTTCTCTTCTCCTTATCTCTGTCTGCCATGTGTCTGACAGTGTGTGTGTGTGTGTGTGTGTGTGTGTGTGTGTGTGTGTGTGTGTGTGTGTGTGTGTGTGTGTGTGCGTGCGTGTGTGTGTGTGTGTGTTATGAAGTATCCGTACCAGCTGAAGTTTGTATTCGTGTGTCATTTCGGTGATAGCAGCCAACTGATGGTGTATGAGGGTGTGTGTGGTATGTGCACATATTTGAAATGTGTATATGTTTATATCAAGTCTATGTGTGTGAGTGTTAAAAATTTGCAAAGTATGTCAGAAACATGTGTGTATTTTAAACCTTTTGAGGGTGTGTTTACAGGCCTTTCAAACAGCAGCTGACAGACTCGTGATGGTTAACGTAACTTCATGCCTAAAGCTACTTTAACAGAATTTCAGCTGATGTTTGGAAACTTCAAACATCTTAAAGTTGCATTTAACGTTAAATCGCTTTGCGCTACATTACACTTGATCTTTTTAAGACTTTAAGTTTGTACTAATTATACAACTAAACCTCAAAGAAGCCAAACAAAAGAGACGTAAAAGTCGACCTCAGCTCGTTAAAAGATCCAGACTTTAACACATAATCTGGTGTCAACGTTTCACATCACAGATCCTCCAGCTGTGATCAGGAGGTTTCATAAACAATGCAGATTAAAAGGGTCCAAAAATCCAGCCAGTGTACACAAACTCATGAGGTCTTTAACGGGGCATCATGGGAGAATTTCTGCTGCTTTAACCACCCGAGTCTGCATAGTTGTCTCTACGCTAACAAGCATTTCTGTTATGTGTTTCAGGGTTAATGTGAGTCTATGATGTGGGCAGAAAAACCCTCTCAGACCAGAAACAAAACAACACAAACAGAATTTGATAGTAAACACAACTTTGGCACTTCAAACCCACACTTAGTTTAGAGCAGTGTATGCCATCAGGGCAAAACTTGGAGCTTATTTACAATTTCTCTGCTTTTTTCTTGATTTATTGAAGCAATGACAACCTGTCACAGACAGTGGTATTTGAAGTGATTCTGAGTCCATATGGTGGATCCCACTCCAGAGTCCTTACTGTTTTTAATGGCCTGAAGATTAGGACCATGCAGTCTTGGTTTTGGTCCTCATCCCTTTAGTACAGCGATTTCTCCAGATCCTCTAAATCTTTGATTTCCTCCGTAAGAACTTTTTACCTGTTTGGTTGTTTCTGTCCAGACTTCTACAAAACCTCAGATTGAAAACAAGTTTTTATTTGTTTTTGTTGACTTGAAATTATTTTCGATCAAATATTAGTTTTAAATTATTTGTAAATCCCAAAAAGTTTTCTGTTTCTTCTTCAGCAACTTTTTTGTTAAAGGCCAGTATGAGATTTGCAAGACTCCTGAGTTAGAAGTCAAGTCAGCCGAGTTTCTGTGATCAGACCAGAGTTCTGTTCTTAGAAGTGTTGACCTGCTGTAAGAAAATAACAGACCTTGGAATGCAGCTACCAACCAATCAGCAGCAAGTATTCCACACCGGCCTTTAAAAAAGCTGCTCCTACAGTATAATGATACAGATCCCCGCCCACTATTACAGATCAATATCAGGCTATTTTGCAATAGTTTGACTGATCTGTCAAACTTTGATTTATGACTGTTTTTGACTTTTTGGTTCCCAGGAAAATCCGCCACCTCAAAAATAACGGGGAAGTTTTTATGCTTGGCTCCTTTCTCCAACATTTCGAGGTTTATACCCTTTTCTTTTTGAATTCTCCAAACATTAAAGACGTGATGAGTCTCCTAAAGAATGAAATGTTTATTTCCACAAACCCCGGACCATCAATCTGAACATAAAGCTGCAGCGAGAGGGCTGTATGTGGTCTGAGCCTGAGCCAAGTCCTGTAGTTTAAAGACGATCTGTCAAACATGATACTCACTGAGTGGATAGAGAGAGAGGGGGAAGGGACGGAGGGGAATATTTTCATTTTATTTAAGAAAAGGAAAAAGTAATAACAGGGAGGAAAAGAGGAAGTAAAGAGTGATTTTCAAAGAAAAGGGGGATTTGTGTTGAAAAAAGGGAGAGTGAAAGCTAAGAGGAGGGGGGAAGTGACAGATGAGAGATGACAAAAAGAAAGAGGAGAGGAATGGGAGAAAAAGGAGGAGTCAATAGAGGAGATATAGATAAGAGAATCGAGAATGACAAGCGCTGAAGAAAGGAGGAAGAGGAGATGAAGCCAGGAGTTCAAAAGAAGTGACAAAAGGAAAAGAGTAAATTGTTGAAGAGGGAATTCCTGAAAGAGGAGGAGGAAAAGCAAAAACAGGGAGTGGAAAAGAGAGAGGAAAAGGAGGAGGAGGAGGAGAGGGAGAGGGAGAGCTGTGAAATAAAGTGAGTGTAAGAGACAGAGTGAGCAGAGCTGAGCTGAGTTTGTGTCTGACGTCGAGCTGAAAGTCTGGAGGCTTCAGACTGGATATCAGGAGTGAGCAGACAGCTGCCAAACCCAGCGATACACACATGCAGATACACACACACACACACACACACACACACACACACACGCGCGCGCGCGCATGCAAATACATGGACAGTGCAGAAGGAGCTGCGAGGCTCTGTTGGATATGACTCATCCAGTGAGGCGGTTCGCTGAGATGGACTCTGAGTGACCGTTGGGATTAAACCAGTTTACATCCAGTCAGGTGAGTTTAATCTGCTGATCACAGCTGGGCTGGACTTTAATTTAGACATTAAAAAAAGGTGTTTTCTTTCAGACAAATTGACTGTCATTAAAACTCAAAAGTTGATCAGTTTTTTTTTCCTGAAAAGGCTCCTCAGATAAACTTATTTTGTTTGTCTGAATACTTCAATAAAAAGTTCAGATGGCTGTTTGGAGATGTGCATTTAAGATGTAAAGAAAAGCACAGGTGAGCCTGAGTTTGTTTGTTCCAAACTGGACTTAAGTGAGGATGCTCCCTCTGTGGAGTCTGGATGTTGTTGGTCTGAGCTCATAGTTTCTCCTCATGACTGTTTAGTGTTTTGTTTCACTCTGCAGGGTTTTTTTTTCTAATTTCACACATAAAAACATAATTCTGCTTCTGGAAACTTTGGCTGAACTCCCTTCACGTTGTTTTCTGCAGAGTCCATCAGTATTTACAACTTTAGACTTGTTTTCTGGTAGAGCTGTTGGAAATGTTGCTCATAAACTTTTCATTTTGTTTGTGTATTTCACTTGTTAGGGCGACCTGGTAGTTTGTTGGTCCTGTTGCAGCCTTCATTCACCTACATGATACACGTGCAGTATCTAATTTCTTTTCATGGAAAGTCAGAAGTCCCTCCCAACTCAAAGACTGATTAATTAAAGATTAATGATGTTAGTGTAATCTCTATTTTCAACAGATTCAACCCAAACATGCAGAATCTAGGCTTGTAGGTCTGGATCTCATGTCGTGTATGCACCAAACTAAAGCATTTTCAGGTAAATTTCCTGTAAAATCAGCGTAAAGACGTTATTTGCGTTGATTTGAACATGATGTTAGAATGGGAGGTGTTCAGGATTTTGTTAGTCTGTTTGTAGTCAGAATAAAACCGGCCAATCAGATGACAGCAGACAGAAAAAGAGTCTGTATGTATTGAGAGCAAAAACAGGTGAGATACAACACGCCAGCTCTCATCGGCTTAATAATCTGAAATTTACTCAGTTCTCTTTGATCAAACATCTGCATGCAAGACCTACAAAAATTAGACAAGCAACATTTTTCTTATTCCGATGGCAGGTTTATTTTTTTAACATTCATATTCGAGTGATTTTATTTTTCACCTGTAATATCGAGAAATAAGACATTTCTCTGGACTTGTCAGGTGAATGATACCCAGACTTCCTTGAATCCATCAGGAAAAGTTGTTTTCTTCTCTCGAGGACAGACTCAACAAATCTTGACTTTTACCAACATGATCTGCATCATGTTGGTGTCGTGTCAACAAACTTAAGGCTTCTTAATTACCGGAAAATCAAAATAAAAAGAATTTATTTTCTGAGTTTCAATTCTCTCTGAGCTGATCTGATCAGTAAATGATTCCTCTATCCAAATTGCACCTCTGATGAGTTGATTCATTTTGTGTCTTTGCAGAAAAATAAGCTCTGGTTGAAAAAAAACTTCTAGTCTACAAGTGAGATCTGTGTTCTGTCTATTATCTTAACATCGTCCCTTCAATCCAAGGCATCCACTTCGTGCACCCGAGACTTCCCAGTTTGTTTCTGTGATTATTTAAAGACAATTGTGGTAGGAATCTGAAACCAAGTTTATATGTTCTGCAATAATTGGATTGCTCAAAGAGCCATGTTTATATGAAACCGCCTGGAGGTCAGAGTCCTCCCCAAACCATGATGAAAATTTTAACCAAAAGCTTGCAATCCTTCAGGTCGAGTCATCATCTGTGGGAACATTTATTGACTTCCGACTTTAAGACAAATTTCAATCTAAAACTGAAAGTGTAGCATCATAAAACTCCTGTAAGTTAAAGGGAAACAGCTTTGCTGTAATATTCATTTTATTGTAGGAATAAAAAACGCCAGGGGCCTTTTTTTCGTGTGTGAACTCTTCATCCTAACATATCTTATATCCATCTTTTAAACATTTCAGTATTATAACTCTGGCTGTTTCATGTGTCCCTTAACGTAACCCCCCACCCCCCTCCCCTGGTGTGATGGAGGTTTTTGCTCTCAGAGCTAGCAGAGAGCCAGTTTCTCATGAACCCTCAGTGAGAGTGGCTCAGAGCAACAAGCTGCCAGAATAAACATCAACACGACGCAACGGGTCAGCTCTGCTCGCTTGACCTCAACTATACCCTCCTCTCCCTCGCCCCTTCCTCTCTTATCATCTACTTCTCAGTGTTTGAATTTGTGTATTGAATCAACACACTTTTATTTCCTAATCAACTCAAATGAGTGAAAGGTAAATTTGATGATCTGAAGCTGAAATAACAGACATCATACTGATCTTAAGTCTTTTTATCTTTTTATTTTTTTTTTGCAGGTTTGTTAGATTTGTCCAGATACAGAGCCGACCAGCAGCTTTATCTGAACTGATTGATGCACTAAAACCTTAAAAGTCTGCATGAATCTGTCTCTTTGGTACATTTACAGGGCAGCCCAGGCCCCAAAATAATTCAGTATATATGCATTACATTTCACAGACAGTCAAAAGTAAATCCAGATGTCTCCAAACATATTATTAATCATCCTTTCAGCCTAATTGCTGTCTTTAAATCACAGTAAAATCATCTCTTTTATTTGAGCTCGAAGCGCTGAAATATGACAGTCTTCAGTTGGCCTAAAGCTACTTTAAGGGATTTGTAATTTATGTTAATTTTGGTGCCCCCTTGTGGACAATCTGCTCATGTGGATACTGTTTACTGCAGAAATCTCATCAGGCATTAAAAGTCAAATGCACACAATTTAACACTTTATCTGACACCCACACCTGCAGTTTCAGACATTAAAAATAGAGTTAAAGAAATGGTCGTAATTACATCACAGGTGTCCTGTGTGTGTGTGTGTGTGTGTGTGTGTGTGTGTGTGTGTGTGTGTGTGTGTGTGTGTGTGTGTGTGTTTCTGGTTATCAAGACATTTCAGCCGTAAAGCCTCAGAGCTTGTGTGTTCATGTGTGGATGTTTAAGCAGTAGAGGGTCTTTTTAAGCAGATATTACATTGACTCAGCAGGAAGTGAGTAGCTTATTGGTGACGGTGACGGAGTTAGACACCAAGGGCTCTATTTTCGTGCGCGCCGGTGAGGCGACGGAGGGTGGCGGACCCCATGCAGTTGTATTTTCGTCTGGCGGAGCCCGGCGTACAGCCAGTTTGGTATTTTCGTGGACTGAGGCGCACGGAGGCGAGCCGAGATCCGCCAAGCTGGGCGTGGTGGCATGGCAGGGGGAGGTGTCGACAGAATCAGCGGGGGGCGCAGTGACATTTTCGTGCTCGCCACCGGCGTGTAAAGTGCGCTGAAAGCTCGCCGATTCAAACCTGGTCAGCTTTCAGCGCAGGTGGAACGCAGATGGTCTAGTAGTATTTTGGTAGACTGGCGGCGTATCGACATACATCACTGATGCCTCACCGGCAGGTTTCCACAGTGTCAGGCACATTTCAGTGCAATAAATAATCAACAACAACTATTAATCTGAGTCAGCACATACATTTAGATCTATATAGATATATTCTGATCTATATCTGATCTGATGAGCGCGTTTGGCACGCGTTTGGACACACAACCTGACCGAATCAACACAGCTGAAACTGCATTAAATTAAATTAAATATCTAGTAAATAAACACACATGATGAAGTTAACTAGATATGTAATTCGTCTCCCTCCTTTTCTTTCTTCCTCTTATTTCTCACGCAGCTCGACCTGGACATGTCTCTGTGTCCTCTCTCTGTCCTGCAGCGGCTGAACAGATGATTTGTTTCAGTGCCCAGATGCGTTATCTACTTTAAGCCGACATACAGATATTATAATATTCAGTTTTGTGGGCCAAATTTATTTTATATGCCAACATCTATGAAAGAGAGAGCCAGGCCACGGAGCACAATGCATCATTACGCACAGATGGTTCCAATTTTAATGCCGTTTTTGGAGTTTATGTTGTGATCTGTGCGCTCAACCCACCTTTGTCACGTGAGGTTTGAATATGTGCACCTTTATGTGAGTGTCTTTATTTGTGGAAAAGGGTGTTTGTCTTACCAGTGGGTCCAACATTACACACACCAAATCCATCTGTGCTCATATGAGAGAGTGTGGAGGATGCCCAATGCAGCGCTTACAGTGACACTTGTTGAGGAGCTGCCCTCTGTCGCCATCTTGTGGCATTACTGTGTTCAGACATCTCTTGATCTCTTTGACTACTTCACGAAAATAGTAATACGCCTCGCCTGTGGCGGATTTAAAGGCAAGGAGAGGAGCTGATTGGTGAAAACAGGTCTCGGCTGTGTTAAACCCACTCTCCGCCCTATCTCCTCCCTCGCTACGACTTACGCTGCTGGGAGGAGATAGGGAGTTAGGGAGGGGGGATACTTACGCCGGGCTGCGCGGCTCACAAAAATACCAAAATGTGCTTGGACACGCCTTCAGCGCGGCGGATCTGACTTACGCCGGGCTTGCGGCACGTCTCCGGCGAGGCACAAAAATAGAGCCCCAACACTTGTTACAGTGTGTGTGTGTGTGTGTGTGTGTGTGTGTGTGTGTGTGTGCGTGTGTGTGTGTTGGGGGGGTGCTGTCAGAACATCTTTGTCTAAGTGTTAATCTGCTTTCATTGTGATGGTCATGGTTTAGTTTTTTTAACAGCAAATCACATTAACAACATGTTTCAGATGAATGTGCCGTGTAATGGAGCGCGCCGAGCAGATGTTTGTTGGAGTTGCTTTACTGTTACACTCTGGCAGTAGGGTGTGTGTGTGTGTGTGTGTGTGTGTGTGTGTGTGTGTGTGTGTGTGTGTGTGTGTGTGTGTGTGTGTGTGTTTATAATAATACTGAGGAAGTATTCGTATGCACTGTGACACTGCATTAAAGGGGACGGCTATCACATTGAGTTAGGTCTCATAAAGCAGTATAAGGATTTAGGCCCCATTCATACGACAAAACCAAGCACACAAGCCACATAGATTTGCAATAAGAGGACTGAAAATGTTACAGTGTGCATGCCTGGGAAGGTAGCTGGCACTTCATCATTGAAAGAAAACACAGTCGAAGATCGTAACCTACCTGTCCGCGAACCTAAACAGAGCGGTGAGTACAGATAAATAAGAGGATGATGGTTAGCTGCACAGACACGGCTCAATTGTCTTTCACTGTATAACAGTTAATTCTATTCTAGTGAATGCATTTCTGTAAATACGTCCTCATTTTAACAATACATGTGATGTCCATTTACACTAATTTAGGAGCTGATGACCAAAGTGTGGGCTGCGCCCCCCTGCAGTAACTAAAATGTACTGCAGGTCCACGGCAAGATATCACACTAAGAAAGTTAAGGGTTTTTGTACAATTTACTCAACATACTATGGGATTAACTGGCGAAGTTTCTTTTCTTCTATATATATATTCTATATACACTCACCGGCCACTTTATTAGGTACACCTGTCCAACTGCTCGTTAACACTTAATTTCTAATCAGCCAATCACATGGCGGCAACTTAGTGCATTTAGGCATGTAGACATGGTCAAGACAATCTCCTGCAGTTCAAACCGAGCATCAGTATGGGGAAGAAAGGTGATTTGAGTGACTTTGAACGTGGCATGGTTGTTGGTGCCAGAAGGGCTGGTCTGAGTATTTCAGAAACTGCTGATCTACTGGGATTTTCACGCACAACCATCTCTAGGGTTTACAGAGAATGGTCCGAAAAAGAAAAAATATCCAGTGAGCGGCAGTTCTGTGGGCGGAAATGCCTTGTTGATGCCAGAGGTCAGAGGAGAATGGCCAGACTGGTTCGAGATGATAGAAAGGCAACAGTGACTCAAATAACCACCCGTTACAACCAAGGTAGGCAGAAGAGCATCTCTGAATGCACAGTACGTCGAACTTTGAGGCAGATAGGCTACAGCAGCAGAAGACCACGCCGGGTGCCACTCCTTTCAGCTAAGAACAGGAAACTGAGGCTACAATTTGCACAAGCTCATCGAAATTGGACAATAGAAGATTGGAAAAACGTTGCCTGGTCTGATGAGTCTCGATTTCTGCTGCGACATTCGGATGGTAGGGTCAGAATTTGGCGTCAACAACATGAAAGCATGGATCCATCCTGCCTTGTATCAACGGTTCAGGCTGGTGGTGGTGGTGTCATGGTGTGGGGAATATTTTCTTGGCACTCTTTGGGCCCCTTGGTACCAATTGAGCATCGTTGCAACGCCACAGCCTACCTGAGTATTGTTGCTGACCATGTCCATCCCTTTATGACCACAATGTACCCAACTTCTGATGGCTACTTTCAGCAGGAAAATGCGCCATGTCATAAAGCTGGAATCATCTCAGACTGGTTTCTTGAACATGACAATGAGTTCACTGTACTCAAATGGCCTCCACAGTCACCAGATCTCAATCCAATAGAGCATCTTTGGGATGTGGTGGAACGGGAGATTCGCATCATGGATGTGCAGCCGACAAATCTGCGGCAACTGTGGGATGCCATCATGTCAATATGGACCAAGCTCTCTGAGGAATGCTTCCAGCACCTTGTTGAATCTATGCCACGAAGAATTGAGGCAGTTCTGAAGGCAAAAGGGGGTCCAACCCGTTACTAGCATGGTGTACCTAATAAAGTGGCCGGTGAGTGTAGTTTCTATATTGAAAACCATACCAGGTGCGTTGTTCCAGAAACCATCCTCATTTCAGTCTCTGTTATCTGCAGGGTTAGGGTTACCCCCAATTTTGATTGCATCTGGAATGGCTGCGAACAGGCCGTATCCGCCGATCGCAGCTGATCATAACCATTCAAGTTAATGTGTCAATTTCCACCAGCTTCTTTCTGCTCCGCTATGAAGGCGGACTCCACAGCTGATCACAAGAGTTTTATTTTTTCCGGACGCCGGAGCATTCCGCATAAATTCAGCATAGATTAGTCTGTGCTGGAAAGGAATTTGGGCACAGACACAAAATAAAACATCCCACTTCTTTTCAAAATAAAACACTTCGTGCTTAAGGCAGATCATATTTCACACCATGCAAACTGGCGGGAACGAACAAGTGAAAGGTTTTCAGACGTTGACACCATGGATGAGGAGATGCTGATTCTGAAGGTCTAGAAGTGGATTTCCTTCTCTGGAAGGACACAATCTACTGCTTATATGGTTTTGTGCCTGTCTTTATCGAGACAACTCATCATTACATGATTGCAAGTGAATCCGTGGGTTCTTGTGAGTTCTCGCAATTCCCACTGTCCGTAATCCGCCCCGAAATTCGCCTCACCGACGGATCTGGTAGGAATTAGCAGATAGCGAAAATCGGTGGTTTTTGGTGCTTTTGCAGACATCCTTGTGTGAACACTCGAGGAACTGCAGATTTTAGTGCTTCAGTTTCAGTGTCATCAGCTCAAGACTGGAGGTTGCTGCTTGGTTTGCACAGTTTATTCAAAGATGTTGATGTTTGAAGGTTTCCTTGGAGCTCAGCCTCCCCTCTGAATAAGAATTGGCTGTTTGTGTCTGTCTTGAATATTTATACAGTTTTGTACATGTAACTGAGTGTGTAGTTGTGTATCTGTTTGTGTTTGAGTTGAGAGTTTGTACCTGCATTTTTATGGCTCTGTGTGTGTGTCCAGAGACGGTGAAACAGCTGTTGGATGAATTCCTAAAGAGGTGTTCGCCATGCACTCCAGTGTGTGCATGTGTGTGCGTGCACATGCAGGTGTGTGTGTGCAGATTTACAGCCTGCAGTGATTTATAGAACCATTCACAGTCTGTCAACGAAGCAGCTCTATTCCCTGATGCCTGTAAGTCCATTTATTTTCCCTAAACACACACACACACACACACACACACACACACACACACACACACACACACACACACACACACACACACACACACACACCTATTCTGCTTTCAATTAGTCATATGACATCATGCACACACACACACACACACATACACACACACACACCCTCAGAGCTTATCTTGCCCCATGCTTTGTGACCTGCAGGCCCTCAAACTCTCCAGAGAAATGATGAACTGAGAGAAAAATCCAGAGCAGGATGAATCAATCCTCTCCTCCACATGACAGCAGACTCTGTCGTTCCTAAAACATGAAGTGTCCTGCAGTTTATTTCATAACAATCAACAGTTGTTACAAGTTTGACACCATGTTATCCAGAGGATCTGACGTGATGAATGCAATGAAACCAATGACACGAAACACGATGAGACGATAAATCCCTGAGGAAACTTTTCTGAAAGTGTTGATGCAGATTTGGCTGAAGAGAGGATCTAAACTGACTGAATATTTCCACAGATTAACAGTAAACAAGGCCAAAAGAAAAGGCCAAACTCTATTTACAAAGACCCCCATCTAGTAAGATCAGATCCACTATAATCCAACCCACTTTGCAGCATCCAGCAAGTTACAGTGGAGAGGAAGAACTTCCTTTAACAGGCAGAAACCTCAAACTCAGAGTTAATGGTACAGATGGAAGGAGGAGGGTGCTCACTGTACCAGAACCCCAGGAGTCTAAACCTGCAGCAGCCGGTCCAGACCTTAACCAAACTCCAGCCTGAACCCAGGCACTTAAACTCAAATTAAATTACCTGTGTGGTTAATGGTCACTTTTCACTGTGTAGTGATTGAGGGATCCACGGTACAAGAGTGAAGGATCCTCGTTGAAGAGTGTGAAGGATCCTCAGTTTAAGAGTGTGAAGGATCCTCCGTTAAAGAGTGTGAAGGATCCTCAGTTTAAGAGTGTGAAGGATCCTCCGTTAAAGAGTGTGAAGGATCCTCAGTTTAAGGTTGAAGGATCATTGGTTTAAGAGTGAGACTCTCCGTGTTTGCAGGTGAAGATTTCTGCAGTAAAATGTGTTTTCATTCATCAGTAATTTCAAACATTTGTAGGCGTGATTTCTTTTTCAAATGTTGGATCCCAGATTCTTGGACTGAGACGTTTCCATTGTTCAGAGACTGCTGTTGTGAAAATCTGTTTTTGGTTTCTAACGTGGGACTAAAGACAGATACAGACCTTTTTTTATTATATATTATTAATAATAAACATACAGAGACCTTTGTGTATGTCCTCTCTGGAACAGACTCCCACTCCATACTGGTTCAATCAGACGACCTGGTCCATCAGCTGGTCCCAGTCAGTACTTGACATGTTTAAACACATTTCTGTTCCTTATTTCAGCAAATTATCACCACACATTCCTCCACCCAGGACAATCACAGCCAGAGGAACTTAAACTAACTTTCACAGTGAATATTTACACCTTCATGTTTCCTCTATAATCACCTAAATTTAGAGCTCATGACTTTCTGTTGTGTTTTGATACTAAGAGCAGCAAAAAAAGGTCCTGAATGTTGTTTTTATCTGAGATATATTAGATTTAGTGTTTCCTGAGCAGACACACACTCTGTGAAGGTTGTTGGTCTTTAACCACTGAGGGGTCCTGTCTGCGCTCTGACTGATTTCCTGTCACATTTCACAGCACAGCACGTTCCAATAAAGACAGAAAAGGTAGTAAAACACCCCAAAATGAGCTCTCTGTGTTCATGGTCCCACCAGCAGGTTCTGGTTTCTTTACTATTCTGATGTAGAGCCTTTTTGTGCCTCACAGACAGACTGATGACCTGCAGGCGAACTTTTGTTTAGCAACAGTTTTACAATTATGCAATGGAGAAAAATTAGAGAGGCAGAGCTAAGGAGTGTCAGTTTAATTAAGATGATCGACGCCTGTTTTAGAGAGGGACAAAGATTCTGAGTCATAGAAACTTAACGATGAAATTTACTGCACAGTTACTCTATGTATATCCATGATAAAATATTAAAATCCATTCATTAATTCAAATGAGACACTTTGGATATTCATCGTGATCATGCTCAGGCTGCAAGATTTGAGAATTGAACAAATCTTTACATCACAATAATATTAGAACTGTGAGTCAGACATTAAACATGACGTTAATGATAAACCAGCAGCTGATTTTTCTCACTTTTTAAAAAGTGCAAAACTTGAGAGAACTCTTTTATAGCTGAGTGTTTGATTTAAAGTCTGTATAACTGCAGAAACTTCATGCACACGTTTGTGAGTCTTAACACCTCTGAGCTTCAGCTGACGGTCACAGCAAGCGGCTCAGTCGGTGTTATCGTTGTCATAAATCTGAGATATTTGTGCACGGTGAGGACTAAATGACCAAGCAGTCCAACTGAGACGCCTTTATTTACTCTTTAAACATATGACCACAAATTTACTATAAAACTGTGTGTGAACCGTGTGCAAATACGGCTCAACAGAGCATGCAACACATAATTAAACTGATTTACACTTTAATGAGAAAAAACAGTTTCCATTCATTTAAATCAGCAACAGAAATTTTGACGAAAGAACAACATTCCCATTTTAACACTTTCCTCCAGTTTAATGTTTGAATTAGGGCTGGGACTTAACACATTAATAGCGATTAATTAACTGCAGTAAAAATATCTTGTGAAAAGTATTAACGCATATTAATCACACCTACTGTATTTTTACACCTCAGAACATTTCTCACTTGATGAGTTTCAGGTATAACGCTTATACCAGTGCACTCCAATGTGAGTGAGTGCAACAGTGATTCCAGTCCCACCCAGCACATGGAAAAAAGAACAAAGTCGCTGATGAATGTGCTTTGATTGGCTCTGGTGTGGATGGGCATTTTTGTTTAAAAAAAAGATGGATGGAAATCTGGATAAAAAAATAGTCTTGTGCAAACTATGCACAAAAGACTTTGCATATCACTGCAGCACGTCAAGCCTCCGGTATCACCTGAATGCTAAACATGTTGCAGCTAATGTGGAAGCTGCCATTACTCAGACTCCGATTACAGCAACCCTCACCCAACCCACATGCGACCAGATGAGAGGATTAAGAGCTAAGGTGTTCTTAGGTCAAATATTTATATACAATTTAAAATGCGATTAATTGCGATTAATTAACTACAAAGCCTCTGATTAATTAGATTTTTTAAATCAAGTCCCAGCCCTTGTTTGAATACATTTTGCGTTTAAAGCTGTTTGCAAAGTGCATTAACAGATGGAGCATATGCACGATACTGAGACAAAAATGCATCAGAATTAAATTAAAGTCTAACTTTACAAGAAAACATGCAAGTGCTTGTTTTTAAGAAAACATTTGCAATGCTGTTGAAGCCAGAATGAACATGCAATGTTCAAGGAAACTTGGAGATTAGAGAGTTTGAATAAGTGAGAAAAATGTTGCACCTAACAGCAACTGCAGCCAAAGCTAGATATGTCTTCAAAAGGACAATTATTGGCCCGGGAGGTTAAATCTATCATACTGATCTGCATTCATTTAAAAAAGGTAACTCTTAATTTTTGCACAAATGTGAAGAGTGAACGTTATGTCAAGAAAACCAAGTTCTTCCTTGAGCTGTGTCACCCCGCTGTCATCCGTAATGGATTGACCCGAGGACTCGCGACAAACAAGCAGCTGCTGGAGTAGAGTGGGTGAGTTGTGTTTAGTCTCTTTGCTAAAGAAATCAGGCAAAGTTAAAATGACGTTTGGTGGCTAGTACTGTGGCTGGGATCCTATATGTACTGTTGATGAAGTTAGGTTCTGTTTTGAGCACTATTTGTGGCTATAGAGTAGCGTTTTGGTTGAGGTTTGTTTATGGCTCCTTGGACTGCTGTGTATTGCTATCATGCAGTCATTACTAAAGTTGGTATAGCTAGAGAAGCAAGCGGTTGGCAACATTCATCTCTTAAGGGGGTGTTTAACTTGGTGTTACGGTGTGTTTGACCCTAAATTAATTTTATGCTAGAATATCCCTTTAACTTGTTATTTGGCTGCTTGAAATAAAATACAAATATAAAACTTTGGCTGTCTGAAATGAATCACTCAATCTCTAACCCCTAACCCCCATATGGTTTCACTATATATTTGACTATATACTGAACTCAATCACCGGAGGTTTCGGACACTACATGGCAAGACGCAATGCATGACAGGAGGCCCACCACCGGTGAGTGACCACTGGATGGTCACTACATTTTGCAGTGCTTCATGGGAAATTTTGAGTCGCCTATACAGGGCACTGGAATTGATTTCTCAGGTTTAGGACACCCCTCAAAATGGCGTTAAAACTCCCATGTAGTCACCTATATAGGGGTTAGGGATCCATTTCAGACACAGCCTTTGTCACCTTCTGTGTCATGCATTGAAAGGTTTAGAGTGCAGGGGTAAAATAAGAGTAATTAGTGCAGTGAGATAATCACATTAAAAGAGAGCAAAAACTCCCTGATCCAAATTCTGCAAAAAAAAAAAAAAAAAAAGAAAAAAGAAACTGCTGAATGATACTATTATAATTATCAAATTATCTGAAAAACACAACTTAAAAAATGTATAACACACACACACACGTAAGGGTCACACTTGTAAGGTCAGACAGTGAGAGTTCATCCAGACTGCGTGTGTATCTAACTTTTTACAGAAATGACAGAATAATATCATATTTAAGAGGATTTGAATCTCAGATTTTAAAGAAAGAGTGAATTTAGAGGAATTTACCTCTGTGTCCAACATCAACAGTCTCCTCTGAGTTATGTTTATGTGTAGAAATGTGAGTTAGTGTATGTTTGTGTGTTTATCTTCTCCCAGCATGCAGTCTGCTCCCCTCTGTAAGCCCTCCAACTTCTCCTCTGTTCACCAAAGATAGAAGATAAAGTCCTCCGCTGAAAATGAATGTTAGTAAGACTTCAGCGGATCACGTCCACTTCAGGAGAACAGGTCCACTTTTAGAGCCTCTGAAACTTTTCAGGTTTCTTACCTGCAGAATCCAGATCAAAACCACCACGGTGCACCTGAGCAGAGTCTCAGGGCTGCACATCACAAGTGATCTGCTTCATGTCAAATTAGTGACTGAATTTGAGGAGGATTTTCTCCTGAATCAAGCTCAGTTTGGACCCCCCCCCTCTCTCTCTCTCCCTCTGTGTCATTTGTCGGGTAAAAAGCTCCCAGCCTCAGGAGGCAGAACAAGAATTTCCATTTCACACTCGGGTGGAAGTCCAGATTGGCTGAGCTCACCCCACAGGGATGTTCAATGGCCCACGTTATGCCAAGTTCTGTCTGTCATGTGGAAGGAAAAACAAAGCAGAAAGCCTCAGCCATGTTCAGTCTGGAGCTTTATGGATTTACTTAAGCCGCTGAGATGACTTTTTCTCTGAGAGCGGGTCACACAGAGAGTAAGAGCAAGATAAATCAGCGTATTCCTCTTCCAAGTGGCATCATTACAAGTGCAAAATCCGATATAGTGCAGCAATAAACAATATGAGGAATGATGTTATTATTGAGCAGTACATTAGGTTATCATGACGCCCCCTCAGGCCTGGCAGAAAGTCCTGTTATCCTGCAGATTGTCGAGCTTTAACCCTACAGGGATCCTCGTCTCTGTGCCTTGCTCTATGCTGTCACATATGTGTTCTCATTTTCAGATATCAGTTTTTGGCTCTGTAAAGACACAAAATCAGAGGCAACAGGACAGAAATTCACAAAAGAGAGCAAGCATATACAGATGTTTGAGTAAACGAAGAATAACCTTCACTTTGTGCCAAACTGAAGAGAGGTCAAACAAATGTGGAGCAACTCATTACAATTTAAACTCCAGTAATGAACATAACTGACTGACTTCAATGTCAACGTTCATCTTTAATGATTTCCAGCACACGTTGTCTAACTAAGAGCAGAAGAAAGTTTTGAAAATGGAATAAAACTTTGACATAAAAAGCTACTTTCCTGCACATGTCTGGCTGCTAACTTTGTGAACATGATGTATTTTTTTCCTGATTTCCTTTATGGAAAAGTTTACACATGAAGGCTGCTTTATTGTGAACCTCGAAGTGATGGAGGAGAGAAACAGTGGTGGTATGTCTTAGGTTAGGAAATGTGTGTGTTTGTGTGTTTCTAGGTAAAAGGTTAAATTACTTGATTTACCCCCCCCCCCCCCACATCCTTACTCCCTGCAGAGACACTGAGTATCAAATACAACACACACACACACACACACACACACACACACACACACACACACACACACACACACAGGTCTCCTCTGTGGTCTGTGTTATTGCCTTACACGTGGTGTGTGCCTAACTGTGTTAGAAACCTGAGAATTTAATATGTTATGATGTTTGAGTATAAAGACAGTTAAAGAGGCAGGTGGACTGATGGAGAGTGACACTCAGGAAGAGTTTCCTGCTGTGTTGATTCTTTGGAGCCTTTTTTTTTTTCGGTCATATCTGTCAGGGTTTTATTTTTCTGCTATAACCGTGTGGGTTTGCTCTTTCACTGCATCACTGAATAGATGTGGCGACATTTACTGGGAAATAAGTTTTTTTTTTAATAATAAAAATAACCACTGCCAAAAACTGCAGTTCCACGAGTGTCCACTAGAGGCTGTCTCACAAAGTGAGTCACTCCCGATAGAGCCCCATGTTAAAATGTCAAACTTTACAGCAGAAATACACATGTCTACAGCCTGGTACAGACAAAAAAAAGTGTTGGTTTGCGTGGCTAGTTTCTCTGTTCATGCTCATCTCTTATGATTTTGATCACAGACAACAGCCGACTCGTCACTAGGCTGAGGATCATTTTAATCAGTCCTTCTACCACACAGTAAAACATTCAAACATACAAAATAGAAGTGCCGGCTTTTGTGGATCCTAAAGAGTTGTCACTGTTAATTTTCATGTGTTCATAACCATACATATTTGGGCATCATAACATCTCTTCAGAAACCACTAGGTGACATCACTGACACTGTGTCTGCCTTTAATACAGATTTAAACTCGTTTATTTTGGCTGCAGCTTCTGTTTGCTGTTGGTCTCAAAATGGAGGGAAAAGGAGTGTGTGAATGAGAGCAGAGAAATTTACTGAGGACTTTTTAAACGCTGCTGCAGCCATCGATCCTGATTGTGATGAAAGCATGAAAGAGTGACCGTCAGAGACAAGCCAGAGAGCAGATCTCATGATGTGGTTGACTTGATCTTTAGATGAGAAGTTACGCCTAAATGTGGCTCCTGGAGGTGAATTCATGTTTGTAAAAATAATAATAATAATAATAATGATAATATCTTACATTTGTATAGCGCCTTTCAAGATACCCAAAGCGCTTAACAACACACTACAAAAAACCTAACTAAATACCAAAAGCCTGAATAAACAAGTGTCGCTTCAGAGCAGACTTGAAAGAGTCAAGAGACTGTTTACTTGTAGAAACAGTATTGTTGACGATGGTATGGCAGAAGGTCTGAGTGTTTCTGATAAATGATTATGAGCTGATGATTATCATGTCTGATTTGCCAGAGTTGAATCGGAGAAAGCTGGCTCGTATTTATATTTTTGTTTCAGTGAGGCAGCAGGTCAGTGTGGACCGCGGATCAGGACTAAAACAAACCAAAAAAAACAAAAGCTTTTCTTGTGTTTTCCTGATGCTCAGATATCTGGTAAATGAAATAACACAGGAAATAAATAGCATATTTTTGAATGTAAAGATTAAGAGTGAATGAAAGGGGACCAAGCACAGAACCCTGTTAATCAAAGTTGCAGTAGTATGCAATGATGTAAATATTCTGGAGTTAAATATCCTGACTCCAATCTTTCACAGTTTTCCCTTGACGAGGATCTGAAAGTTCTGGTTCAGAAATATTTTGAGTAGCTGGAATAAGCCTGTCAACTTCATCTTGGCTCACAGATAAAACATCTCCATTTTAGCATCAGCCTGAATAGAAAAAAACTGATTTCCTCTTCCCAATTATCCTGAAGATATCTCAGTCAGGGTAAGCTTTAATCCTGGTCAGAGTATCAGGTTTTGTCTCATCGACTGTTTCTTCCAGTTTATTATTTCTTTCAGTGCTGAGATTTAAGAAGTTAGTCAGTTAAACAAAGAAGAACAAAAAGAAAAAAACTCACGCTGAGGTGGGATCAGGATGAATGCTAACCAGGTACTTCAGATGAGACACTTTCAGAGCTAAAGGGCAGGTGTAGAAATTGAGGGATTTCTTAGGATTGAGCTGTCATGATAATAATGTGTTTCCAAGCTTTAAATCCTAACAAGCTTCCTCCCAGCAGTTCAGAGGATTCCCAGTCTGCAGGCCTTTGGGTGTTATTAATCAACATCTGCTCTCAGCATCTTTTCCTGGTGGTTCTGTTTAAATTATCAGAATCCAAAATCTTTACCTGCTGGAGCTCGACCCAGAGTCAGAATATAAATCAGTGATTTGGTTTTTGTCAGTGTTACAGAAAACAGGGATCAGGGATTGAGTTTAAAAGAGAAATGAGTTTATCCAGACAGAGTTATCCTTACAGAGCTCAAGTATTTATGTGTTTGTCTGAGAGTGCAGCATGTTTGCAGCTCAGTCTAAGTGGTGTTGACAGCAGGGCTAATGGAGGGAGACCAAGGAGACTTTGTCTGATTACAAACCCAGAACTCCTCACCTTCTCTTCCTCCTTGTCTCTGTTTCCTCTCCTTCTTTACAGCCATCACATCACATACACAAAAACAGACCGAGACAGTTTAAGAGAGAGAGGAGGACGACTAATGAGAAGACCTGTTGTTATGTCTCTTTATTATGTTTCTGTCAACCCATGAAAGTTCGGCCATGTTTTCACGGTCAAAGCCTCGTTTTCTAGGATGTCTCTAAAGGTTGTTGAGTTAATGCTCGACAGCACTGGAGGCTGGGATATAGGACCAGTGATGTTTGGTTAAAATGCATAATTCAGATTAGCACTGATAGATAACTAATCCTCTTTCTGCCTCGATACAGGAGCATGTGCACCGGCCAAACAGCTGAACACTCTGTTATTATTTCTAATTAAACAATTGGCTTCACCCTTACGGCCCTCTCCTCTTATGAGCATACTTTTAACATGAGCATGCAGAAGAAGTGTGCGAGGGAAGAGGAAACGGTGCCTGTTAGATTTTGGCAAAATTATTTGAGACATTTTCCAGCACAGACGCTGCAGAAAACACAGGAAAAATGTGACAGCAAATTTAACGTCTTCAAAAGTTCTCCAAGTGCACCATGCAGATCAAAAATGTATGAAGTAACCATGAAAAAAATAACTTTTGCATTATGCAGAAAGAAGCTTTTTGTGGCCAGAAAACTGAACCAGCTGATGTTCAGATTCATGTTTGTTTAAGGTTTTCATGTTTAGACATTGAGCCCGTTTTAAACCAGAGATCAACTCTGAGTTTCGTCTTTCTCTGTTTTACTGTGAATTTTTGTATTTTGTTTCAGTGAGTTTTGTGACGATGAAGTGACTCCACCAGGATCTGCCACAGCTCCACAGATCGGATGCTTGGATCAAACTGAATACCAAAGTGAGTCACACACTTGTTTTGGGGGTCAAAGGTCAAATTCCTCTCTGCTGTATTTCCTAATAATGAGGATGAGGTTCAGAGTCCATGCACAGAGATCTGTTTCAGTCTGATGAAAGTCTGGAAGTCAGCCCGGGCGACACAAACATCAGGAATTTAAGTTTAATCCACATCTGGAGGCCAAAGATTTCTCACTTATCTGCACACTCAGCTGTTTATTGATGAAGATAATCACAGGAGGATTATCTTTATCACACACACACACACACACACACACACACACACACACACACACACACACACACACACACACACACACACACACACACACACACACACACACACACACACACACACACAGACACACATCAGGACTGTCACTGTGTGTGTGAGTGTGTGAGTGAGTGGGCAGATGGTTTATATCTGCTGGAGAAGAGGCTGATTGTGTACGTGAAGATCACAGAGTGTGTGTTTGTGTGTGTGGGAGAGCACAGATGTTTGTGTCTTTAGAGGACTTTAAAAACCAGGCGTGCGCGCACGTGCGTGCGTGTGTGTGAGTGAGTGTGTTGGTGTGTAGAGTCCAGATGTTTGTGTTTCCTCGTGAAAACAGAGATGTTCCCAGTGTGTTAAAAGTTTATGATAACAGATTTAAGAGATGAAGTTTCTTTGGAGTGTGTGAATCTTTGCTCTGGCTCGATGGACTCAAACACACAGGAACTCTGATTTCTGCTCAAAACACAACACACAGCAGGACTGAGAGATACCGAGAGACGGGGAGAGACTTAGTCCTCTTACAGCTGAAGATATGGATTCTATTATATATATTCTATAGGAGTGAAGGGAATCTTGAAAAGGGTGTGTATATCTGCTGGAAAGAGGCTGTTACAAATATGTGAAAAACTTTATTAATAATAGAAAGAAAGACAAAAAAACAGACAGCTTTCACGTCACCACTCATATAGAAGGTCTGACATGTCACCAGTGTGCAAAAAGTAGTGAATAAAAAAACCAACAACAGTGGTGTGTTCAAATTAGTTTGTTTTTAGTGATGCGTTCAAGTGAATCTAGTACAAATTTAGCAATAAAAAAATCTACTATGGTCTCTCTCATTTTTGTCTGGGATTCATTTCAAGGTTGACGAGTTCCTCTCAGATTATGCAGTAGAGATGACTGACAGGTGGAGAGTGGTCTGGCTGAAGACCTCCACTGTCAGGACCCACCTCTACTGTGAGGACCCAAGGTGACACTGCTTCTCACGCTCTCCAGTTTGAAGTGGTCATCCCATTTGTATGTTCTCCTTGTTGAACACATGAATACACCAAAAATTATATTTACATTATAAACATAATTTAAATCCCAAAGAAATAAAATATATTCACACAAGACTAAAAATATGTACTTCCTGGTGTAATCGCTTTTAATTTGAAAGGCTTTGAATGAACTTCTGGTCCTCTCAGTGGAGGTCTGCAGCCAGACTGTCTTGGATGGGTGAGAGCAGCAGGTGGGCGTAGCTTTTGCCTGTAAGCTGACACGCCGCCATTGTTCTAATGCAGAGATAATGACTAATTTGTTATGATTTTAATTCACACACTTGGTGACTTTTTCAATCATTCAAATTTGTCTGAGTGGTTATTAAAGCATATTTTAACATTTCAAAGTCACTCCTTCTTTATTTGGTTTATTTTACGGTTGTGGTTTCAAAAAATCAACATCCTAAGGCAGGATATAAAATACTTCAAACTGACTCCATAAAGTCTTCACTCAGTTTTCATCACCCTGATCATTTCATCCTCCCCCTCCCCTCTCCCTTCGTCTCTGTCACACTCCTCCTCCTCTCTAAACTAAATCCAAACATTTGTTAAGAGCTGAATGTTGAAATCTGATCTCCAGCTCGGTGCTAATTCACTCAGTTAAAACAACAATCGATCAGACGACCTGCAAACAAAACTGGAGAACATCATTACACAGAGAGGATCATACCACAGAGATGAGATCTGACCGCTCACAGATCTGCACTTCAGGACACTTTGGATAGAAAACAGCGAGTAATCAAGCCTGTAATAACCACATTAACTCTGTTAGGTTGGATTTATTTATGCTGGTATATTATCCTTCCTTTGTCCTCCCTCTGACTGAAAGCTCCTCCTCCATTAAAGTCGACCTGTTTGTTAAATCTGCGGTTTTGTATTTACAGTTTGATTCTTTAGAAGTTAAATAACATTTTCTGGAAACACTCCAGCTGAACACAGAGAAAAAAATCCGCTATTTAAAGTATCTGAGTTTCTGAGCTGACAGAGTGTTTGGAGGCTGTGTGTCTGTGAAGAATAGTTGAACACTCAGGGGACATGAGTCATCTGTGACCTCTGACCCCCACAGAATGAACCAATCATGTTTGAGCAGGAAATGAGCCAGAGTTGGTGACTGGTGTGGGAGAAGATCCAGAACTGCACAAAAAAAATCCAATGAATGAATGTTGAAGTTCAGAAAAGTTCATTAAAAGCTTTTTATTTTATTTTTTTTTTATGTTTTTTCTCCTCTGGTGACAACAAGTCGCTTCAATCCGAAGATTTATGACCTCGGGAAGTGAGAGATTTACTCGTTTCAGCTCTCAATCAGACATGTTCAGCAGATCGAGTTTCTTTGGAAGTTGAACGGAGACTCAGAGAAGTTATTTTAATCTCTTCCAGTGATCACAGATAAGTGATACAGGGGCGGGGAAACAAACTAAAATCAAGAAAATCAGATAAAAGGACGAAAACAAAATGGAGGAGGACAAAGGAAGAGAGAGAGTACGCAGCTTCAGGTTTAGTTTTGGAAAGAGGACCAAAAGTCTGATGAGTTTCTGGATCATCTCTGTGTAAAGAGTTGGATCGAAAAGAAGTCTGGAGAGTTTTTGATCTTTCATCTCCTAATTTCACATATGTCAGCCAGTATCTCAGATTATAAACTCCTGCTTTACTGTGGCGCGGCGTTGCGGTGTTCCTGAAGCCCAGAGCGGTGTAATAGAGGCCTTCAACTGGTCTGTGTTTAAGGTCCAGGTGTTGCTCGTCTTCCTCTTGATAAATATCCAAAGATTCTCCATCAGGTCAAACCCCTTTAATAACATGCTCAGTAAACTTGTGGTAGTTTTGGCACTGTAGGCAGGAGCTGAATCCTGCTAGAAAAGGAAAAATCAGCCTTTTTATAAGGCTTGTCAGCATATGGATTAACAGTGTTTATGGTTTAGATGCAAAGAAAAACTAATGTGTATGTTTGTTCTGCAGAATTTCTGTAAGTTATTTCAAACTCATGTTGTACACAGATTGAAACTTGAGACACAAGCTGCTCTTGAATAAATCTTCTAATCCTCTAAACACAGTCAAGCAGAAAGTGAGAATCGGCTCTCTCTTGGATGATGTTAATCAGGATCTCTCTTACTGTTTGGAGGGTTGGAAATTGCCTTCATTTAAAAAGCTGTTAGTCTGATAGCTCCTGATTTACCCCGACTGAGTTAGATGATCATTGCTGAGTCCAAACCAAGAAAAATGGAGAGCTTTAATAAGACCTATTAAGGCCGAGCCGAGGGAGAGAGAGATGACACCACAGTGGAAACACAAACCATTAGGAGAGAGGGACATCAGCTCCGCGTATATGTGTGTAAGAATGCTAACTTTCAAGTGTTTGACATGTGTTTCCTTGTGTGGACATGTGAGTGTGTTTTTGCCTCCACAGACAAAGTACAGACCCCAGTGAGGGTCTGCCCACTGGGGTCACACACACGCACGCACGCACGCACACACACACACACACACACACACACACACACACACACACACACACACACAGAAAGAGTGGCCCCGACCTCCCAACTCTTCACCACATGGGACCCCGTAAATCACTGGCAGGTCAAGGCTAATTATTTAAAACCAGAGCTCAACCCAGCTTCACTCTCTCTCTCTCTCTCTCTCTCTCGCTCTCTCTCTCTCTCTCTCTCTCTCTCTCTCTCTCTAATCGCTGACCAAATTCTTCTCCTTTACAGGAACAAGTCTCTCTCAATTTACACATTCCAGCTCTCTGATTCGACATGCTGCACAGACAAACAGACACTTTCTCTCTCTTCATTTTCATTTTCTCGCTCTTCATTTCATCCCCCTTCTGGTGGCATTGCTGCATGAAGATTTCACTCATTTCTAGTCAGAATAAAACAAAAAAGCTGCAGATTTTCATTCCAAACACAGACTGAACACCTGCAGCTGACGGTAGCTGATTGACCACCAGAGGAACCAGCTGGTCCAGAGCTAGCATCACACAGAAAATACGAGGATTTGATCTGTTTTGAATGTTTGGTTACATAAATACATGGATGACACAGAAGTATTCACCGTGATAGTTTGGGGAAGTATGTTTTTTTTTTTTTTTATGTATTTCCTCTGTATTTTTGATCTTAATATATTTTCCTTACATTACAGAAGGTTTCATGAAGCTTACACTGCTGCAAAAGAATTCACTTATGCCATAAACGTGAACTTTAATCCATTTAAGTGTGCACAAATCCACTAATACATTAACTTTCACAAACGTGCACACGTATTTAGATTTCAAAGGTCTAACTAGATCAACAAATGCGCACAAAGATTCATGACCGTGTCCCTGAAATCGCACACTCAGATTACCAAATGTGTGTCCAGATCTGCATGCAGAGTCACGAATATGTGTGCAGATCCAGAGGTGCAGACTTGTATTTGCACATGTCCACTCAGACTGTTACATGTGGACACAGAGCTGCAAGTATGTGGACCTATTTGCAATCAGGTTTTTCCTTCCAGAGCTTAAATCACTGACAGGTCAGCCACTTTAACTTTAGCAGGCCTCTTACTTTACTAACACTTAGCTGAGAGCTCTGCAAACACATTCATACACTCATTAACACATTTCAATATTTGTTCCCAAGACTTCAAAGCATTTAATCTCATTTTTGCACTTTGTGTTTTTTTTTCCTGTCACTTATTATTCTCTAAACCGTTGTTGTGCTTGGACAGGATCTTAAAGAGACTCCAGAGGAAAGTTGATCTCTTTGGATTTGAGAACAAATTTGAGCTGTGAAACTCTCACTCATTCTTTCTGATAATCATAAACATCCACACACAAATTCCTCTCCTGCTTTTACTTTGACCTCTTGTATTCAGACCAGCTGTATTCACATGCTTTTATGCAATACCAGAGTTTTTCCAGCATGTTTGGGTGTGCTCTTTTTCAGTTTTATCCCATTATTGTGAGATTGTGCACAGCTGGACGTCTCATTGTTGAATTCAGAGGATTTTATTCATTATTCTCTCTGAACCAATCACTCTGCATCAGTCAGTAAAACATTCTCAGGATGTGGTAGGGCTGCTCGATTAATCAATTTTAAACCGTAATTGAATTATTTGATTATAATGTAACACTTTTATGGCGCCTGCATGTGTTCGGCAAAAACAACCTTTATACACATGCCCTGTACTCCTCTGTCTTTTGTGTACTTCCTGGGCAAAATTACAGCGCCACTTACTGGCCTGGCATATACACTACATTGTTTTTAATGGTTTTGATTTGAAAGATTTTAGAAAAACATTTAATTATTAAAGTGAAGTTTGGTGAAGTTATCAGTTAATAAAAAATCTAAACTGAAGATTGAGTTTTCACAGAAAAAAAAGGATTTTATTTTCTGATAAAATCTTCAAAACGGCCACATACTCTGTCCTCATACTCTGTTCGAGTCTGTTGCATGAGTTTGAGAGGAGTTAAAGCTGATAAAATGAGGTTAAAACGTTGGTGGTTTGCTGCTCTCTCATCCATATTTGAGTTTATCTCACCAACAAGAAGGACTCATATCAGACGATTTCATCTCTGAGCCACAGAGTTACAAAAACCAGTCCTGGCTGGACGCCACATTAAGCAGCTGTAACAAACTATGATATGAATGTAACACAGTCTCATTACTGAACAAGCATGAAGTCTATTTCTGCTGCCACACTCTCCATCCATCCTCACCCGTTTGTCTGTTCGTCTGTCAGCTGTGTTACAGTCTCTGTTTGAACATTTCAAATCGTTGATCAGCTGAAGGAGGTCTTAGACTGCAGCTGTCACACGACTGTTTCAATATGTGATATTATATACAGATTATCACGTATTGGTACCCCATAGCATCCCCGGTTGATTTATGGTCTGACTCTCCAACTGATGGTTCACAAAGTTTTATTTAAAGCAGTTCCTTTTAACATCCATGAACAGAGAGAACACACTCTAAGAGCTCAAGAAAACAATAAGAGCAGTAAAAATACACTTTCTGTAATGAGAAAATAGTTTTAGCCCTTTAAATTATATGTTCAATAACCTCTTTCAAAATTATATTTTTTATAAACCTTCAATAACATTGATCTTAACCTTCTCAAATAACATGGAATACATTTTTAGACATCATTTCAATGCAGGCAAAGAGCTTTATGATGAATAAAATACACATAGATTCAAAATGTGCATCAGATAAGGTGCTATGAACTGAATGAATCACGTCTGTGTTAAACATGACCATCATCGTTACTATAGCATTTTTGCTAATGATCAGCAACACGAAACTCGACCAAATTTCTCAAAAATATTTAAAAGGCACTTCGTATTAAAGGAATATTCCGGTGTATAATTAATTTAGGGTTAAACACACACCGAGTTAGACACCCCCTCAAGAGATGAATGTTGCCAACCGCTTGCTTCTTGAGTTATACCAACTTGACTAACGACTGCAATACACAGCAGTCTGAGGAGCAATAAACAAACCTCAACCAAATCGCCACTCTATAGCCACAAATAATGTTCAGAACAGCGCCTAACTTCATCAACAGTACATATAAGGTCCCAGCCATAGTACTAGCCACCAAACATCTTTTTAGCTTTGCCTTACTTTTTAGCAAAGAGACCAAACACAACTCACCCACTCTCTTTCAGCAGCCGCTTATTTGTAGCAAGACTTTGATCAGTCCACCATTGACTGAGGCGGGGTGACGCAGCCTAAGGAAGAACATTTATGATCATTTATAAACCTTGTGCCTCTCTCAACCAGGTACTTAAGCAACTTCAAGAGATTGTTATTAGCAATAATGTGTCTTGGATTTACACATCATTATTACTGTTATTACCGGTAAATTTTCCTTCAAAATAAAGGCATTGGGGGGTGCACTTGAGCATGAGTGATGAGTAGACGTGTCCTCCACAGCTCCCACAGAATTTGTTTTAAAATTTATACATTTTGGACCTCGTAACCGCTCAAACCTAGTCGTAAACATATGACAGCGCTAGCTAATGCAGTTACTGCTGTGCAAGCCTCTATCAACCCATTTCAGGAGGAGAACCAAGCGTCAATTGCCTCTCTTTATTCGATCCTGAGTGTTTATGGCCAACGAATTACTGAGGTAGAGGATGGTATGAATGAGTTCGACATAAGACTGAGCAGCATGGAAACCTCTCAAACTTCACTCCCTAAAGAAAACGAAGCCTTGAAGGAGAAGGTAGTGTGCACATTGTGGGGATACCAGAAAATGTGGAGGGCAGACGATGATCAGAATTCATTACCAAACTACTACTGGATGTGCTTGGGGAAGACAACTTTGAGAAGCCACCATCAGTGGACAGAGCCCACAGAAGCTTGGCCCCTAAACCAGTAGATAGCGATAATAGATCACGGCCATTCATTGTCAAGCTACATCACTTTCAAACTAAAGAGATGATCCTACGCCTCGCCAGACAGAAGGGCCCGCTCTCCTACAACAGATCAAGATTTCACATCTGTCTTGATTACAGCCCGGATATCAACAATCTTTGCGCAGCCTTCTCCGAAACCAAAAAAGAAGCTCCACGCCGCAAAGATCCAGTTCATCCTCTACTACCCAGCCACTCTGCAGTTTACACACAATGGGAGACACATGAAGTTCACAGACCCCACAACGGCGCTGACCTACGTCAATAAAAATGTGTCTGCTGATGATGAAAGCTCCGTTTCACAAGTTACAGAAGATGGTAATTGAGGTAATGCTGATTATCGGGTCAAAATACAAATAACTAATTAAAAGAGACGGTGACATCACTACAAATGGTTATTCTGTCAATTTTAAATGACAGTATTTTTTATTTCTGTGGTATAATTTTATTAGTACTGTGTATGTAGCAATGGACATTTTGTGTGAACGTGTGCACACATCAAATGTAATGCTACAAATGTACACCCTCCTAAAAATTATTGTTTATTATTATTATTTTTTGTTTCTTTTTCTTTTTCTAATGATTACCACCAATCTCATTACACTGACTTTCAATGACCTATAGATATCATAGTTTCAACAGGATGAAAGGATATCGCATGTCATTTAATACATTGTTTGAGAGGTTGATTAATGGTTAAGAAATGTATTAACTATTTGCAGGTAGCGTGCAAATGCAGTTTTGCAGCAGTTTGATGTTATGGGGGGGGGGGGGGGTAGCAGCCTTTTTAAGGCTCGTTTATGTGTTAAGTGTAGTAGTTATGATGTGTTATTTGTTCTGTATACAGTCTGTGCACCTACTTGGCTTTTTTATCATCTAATAGGGGTAGATACTGTTATCTTTGATTTGACTGTTTCTAATGGCACAGGGTAATTCACATTTCGTCCAAGGTAAAGATGGCGTGAAAATTATAAGCTGGAATGTTAAGGGTCTGAATCAAGCAAGCAAAAGAAAAAGGGTTCTCACTCATTTGCAGCAACTCGGGGGTTGGTATTGCCTTTCTACAGGAAACCCACCTTTCAAATCAAGACCAGTCAAAAATTCATAAAGAATGGGTAGGGCAAATGTTTCATTCACAATTTAACTATAAAGGTAGAGGAGTAGCTATACTCATTCACAAAAAGATCCCCTTCAGTGTATCAAACACTATTTTGGACCCAAATGATAGATATGTGATGGTTGAAGGAGAGCTGTTTCAACTTCACCTTGTATTAGTTAATATCTACGGCCCGAACTTTGATGATGACCATTTTTTTTTTAAAAGATGCTAAACTCCATCCCTAACCTAGATAGTCATCACTCAGTTATGTCTGGGGATTACAACCTGGTGATGGATTTCACTTGGGATCGCTCTTTTCAGCCTGTACTAAGACCATCTAAATCTGTGCAAACAATTAAATCATTCATAGATATGCATACACTTATAGATCCATGGAGATTTAAGCATCCCACTAAAAGGGAGTATTCGTATTACTCTAATGTACATACGTTTTTTTCCAGGATAGATTTTTTTTTTCGGTTGACCCCTATTTGCTGAATGTTATTACAGACTGTAAATATGATCCAATAATTATCTCTGACCATGCTCCAGTAAATATCAAAGTAACTCTTCCAATTAAGAGGACAAAACAGACATGGCAGCTTGAAACACTTATGTTTGCAGATTGTTAGGATGAGTTTCTTTAGCCAGTCATATTAGCCTTTAGAGTGTTGGAGCTGTGTCCCTCAAATACCTCAGATACTTAGGTGTTAGATTGCTGGAGCCGGGGGCCTCCGACAACCATCCCTGACCGAAGAACCCTGTACACATTATTTACATCATGTAGGTCCCCAAAATGTGTTTTGCTATGGTAATTCCTTCTTGGGACCCTCCACATATTCACCTAAGGCTTTTTAAAATATGTTGTCCTTTGTTTTAATGTACATGGATTTCTCTTAAGGTCAACTAAATATCAACAGTATGTTTAGAGTTGTGGACCGCTATATATACTTGAGCGGTCTTAGACCACTCTTTGTTACACTTGTGGCATGATGGAGCTGTAACCCAGATCTGCAACCAGTAAAGCTTGTCAAACTGACCATTCGTGTGGACCTTCCATTCTTTCAAGTGTGAACCTGGGCTAGGCATCCTTACACAGACTCAGACATTAAGTTTATTACAGAACAGATAGATTTTTTTCCACAGGTAAACAGAACTGAGAATATGTCAGCCTCAACTCTCTGGGAAACACTCAAAGCATATCTCGCTCTGCTCATATTAGGAAAATGAAATAACAGAAAATTAAGGCGTTATCTTCAGAAATTCAGAATGGACTCATAGCAAGCTCTCCGACCCCTGGCTTGATTAAGAGAAGAGAAGGCATACAAACTGAAATAGATCTCTTAACTACCACTTAGGTAGAGAGGTTTATCCTCAAATCCCGTAGCAGATTCTATGAAGAGGGGTATAAACCATCCAAATTATTAGCCAAGCAACTTTGTCAAAAAGCGGTGTCCCATAATATTTTGCAAATTATGCTACCTGATGGCTCCCCAACACAGGATCATCAGGCTATTAACAACCGATTTAAAGAGTTCTACTCTAAATTATATTCTTCAGACTCATCATTGGATCACAACCAATTTGACTTATTTTTTTTCTAATCTAAATATTCCAAAAATTGACTCTGACTCTAAAGAGAGATTGGAAGAAAATCTGACGCTGATGGAAATTAACAATGCTATAATGTCTCTTCAGAGTGGAAAGACCTCTGGCCCGGATGGGTTTCCAACTGATTTTTATAAGAAATTCAAAGATAAACTTGCCCCTCTTCTTCTTTCAGTTTATACAGAAGCACTGGAAAATAACATTCTTCCATTATTAAAAAAGAATAAGAACCCTCGTGATTGCTCTTCCTATCAACCAACTAACTTGACAAACTGTGATGGTAAAGTATTCCCAAAGGTCATTGCACTCCGGCTGGAGACAATTCTTCCTCATATCATCTTGGAGGACCAGACTGGATTTGTCCAGGCCAGACAATTTTATTTTAACCTGAGACGATTGTTTAATATTATCTACACTGAATCTAACACTCCATCTCCAGAAGCAGTTATATCACTTGATGCCAAAAAGGCTTTTGATCGGGTAGAGTGGAATTATCTTTTTTGTACACAAACCAAACCACACAGGTTTTTTTGGGCCCTAGTTTCATTCAATTTATCAATCTAATTTACACTGATCCTACTGCCTCAGTTTATGCCAAGGGTATTTCATCAGAATATTTCCCTCTTCACAGAGGGACGAAACAAGGGGATCCAATGAGTCCATTGCTCTTCATCTTAGCTATGGAACCCCTTCTATAGCTCTCAGATGCAATAATAGTATACAAGGTATTACACGTAGTGGCCTAACCCATACTGTCTTGCTTTATGCAGCTGATTTATTACTATATGTCAACAACCCTGTTACATCCACCACCAAAATCCTTAGAATCTTGCAAGAATTTGTAAATATATCTGGATATAAACTTAATTTTGATTAAAGTGAATACTTCCCCATTAGTAGTAATGCTAGAGAATAATATAAAAGTCACCAAATCCTATTACAGCCTATTCAAAAGTAACCTCCCTCCTCTGTTAGAACAGTGTAAACAAAGATGGTCTATTTTGCCTTTTTCTCTCATCGGAAGAACAAACTCTGTGAAGATGAATATTGTGCCAAAGTTTTTAGACTTGTTTCAGGCGTTGCCTGTTTTCATACCGCAATCTTTTTTTAAGGCATTTAATCAAATGATATCTTCCTTTATATGGAACAATAAACCAGCTCGCATATGAAGAGAATTTATGGAAAGACCAAAAGTTGTTGGTGGACTTTCACTTCCAAATCTGCATACGTATTATTGGGCTACAAATCTTAATGCCATTTCTCTGTGGTTAAAAGTTCGGAATGATAAGATCCCTGCATGGCACCAGATTGAAAAGATCACAACCAGCCCACACTCACTTCCTGCCTTGCTTTGTGCTCCCCTACCATCACTAATTAACAATATTAAAGATAATATAATTATAACTCAATCCTTATGTATCGTCAACCAGTTCAAAAGATGTCTGGGTATTCAGAGTGTTTCTATTCTTTCTCCAATAAAACATAATCACCTTTTTCAGCCATCTCTATTGGACAATGGTTTCGAAATTTCAGATAATAAGGCTATTTATAGTATTGAAGATTTATATGTAAATAATACTTTTGATAGCTTTGAACAGTTATCCAGAAAATTTAATCCGACCAATAATCATTTTCTGCCATTTTCCTACCCTTCCCCCTTCTTCCTGTTTGGATACCCTGTTAAGGCTCAATAGTTGAACAAAAGCAGAATATCATTTATTTATTCCCATATCATGGATTGCTGCAACCACTCTATTTCACATATTCAAGAACGATGGGAAAATGACTTGGGGGCCCAGCTGTCCAACAAGGATTGGGATATGGCTTGTACAAGAGTCCACTCTTCTTTCATATGCTCTAGACATGCTTTAATACAGTTTAAAGTGTTGCATAGGTTATGTGACAGATGTAAACAAATCGCAGCTACTTCATATGTTCTGGCCTTTCCCAAAACTTGTTCCTTTCTGGTTATCCTTTTTTGAAGTAATCTCAAATGCTTACACTCATCACATCTCATCTTCTCCGCTAGTTGCTGTTTTTGGACTGTTTTCTGATCCTACAGGAGCTGTTCCCCCTGCTCATTTACAGAGGGTCATTGCCTTTTCCTCCTTATTAGCTAGACGCTTGATTTTATTCAAATGGGAGGCTGCTACTCCTCCATCTCATCACCACTGGATTAGGGATCCACTGACAGATTCCGCAAAACCTGGGACCCTCTAATAGCTTATGTGAACAATTTACCTGGTCTGAAACTGGAACTGGGACTGGAACTGGAACTAACCCTAACCCTTAAACAAATTCCGTAATAAGAAGTATTAAGGTGGTCTTTACACGAGTACGAATTTGTAAAACACCGGTAAAATAAACTATCGATCTGGTGCTATTGACACACGGAGACGCGTATTTGTCCATGACTCCGCATCTTTTTTGAAAACGGGTCTGCAGGTGATTATCTGGGTATTCGTCCTCATGCGGTAGTTGGTATAAATAGATAAGTCTGGAAAGACGGTGACCTCATAGCACCCCTCCTCCTCCCCACCCCCCAATCCACGTTGTCACACACGCAGCATGTATGTATGTATGCGCATGCGCATTCTCTGTTTTTGGTGCTTTGTGGCAATTTCACAGTGTCACCTTTAGGCCGAGTGTATGTACTACAGGATTTTGCGTGGATTTTGTGTGGAATTTGCATTGTCATGTAAATGCACTAAGCCTATGTACAATACGATGTGTAAACAGCGATAAATGTTTTGGTGCCGACGCCAAGACAATACGGGGCTGCCCTCGTGTGAGGAGAGCCTAAGTGCACTGTTTTTTTTTTCTTGTTTGTCTATTTGTTTGTTTTTGTCCTCTTTTCTCTGTCTCTGTCTATTGTCATGACTGTTTTTGTAAGTATCTGTAATACAGAGAATAGGATTGTTCTATATGTTAACTAAAAGTTACAAATAAAGTTGTTTTTTTTTTAAATAAAGGCATCAGTCTCTGTCATATCACTTACAGGAAGTAAAATAATGACAAATAAGGATTACACCTTTAAAATAAGATTGACAATATCAATTTATAATGTAGGTCATTTACACACACCCTTATTTGAAGCTCCAGTAAGGAACTTTAGGTTTTTGTAAATTGTGGCGCCACCTGTCGACAAAGCAGTCCGTCACAACAGTCTCTGCACCTGTAGGTGTCGCTGTTCGGCTCCTAAAGCAGCCATGTTTGAAAAGTCAGAGCACTCATGCTTTCTAGTAAATCTCATAAATCACAGAAATATTTCGAGCTTTCATGATGGAGCGATTTAATAAACATGAAAAACATCCAACACTGAAAGCAGCTTCCTGATGGTAAACTATGATATGAAGCAGTTTTCTCTGAACTCCAGCAGATGTATTTTTTTTACCCCGGGGCTCTCCGATTTCCAGGTTTTTAAAAGATTTTAAAGTGAAAGGCAGGAAATGAAAACATTAAAATAATGATCATCCTGTTAAAGTAATGGACACTTTCTCTACTGGGAGATCTGTGTGCGTGCGTGCGTGTGTGTGCGTGTTTTTTTGAGTGTGTTGGTGATGATGTGACCTGGTTCCTCCATCACTGTGTGTGTTTTCTGCAGTTGCTCGGTGACTCTGTTGGTTTTGGCGTCTGGACCCGAGTGAGTCTGGGTCAGAACTTTAAAACTGGGTTACTCTGATCCACAAACACTGGCAGCAGGTTTCTGGAGCGGCCTGCATTTGAATATCAGATTACAACACCTGTGGAAATTAGGAAACATGTCGAGAGGAGGAAAAAATGACCGACAGAATCAGTAAAACAGGATAATTAAGGTGTTTCTTTTTTTAAGGTGTCTCCTCTGGGCTGGAAGCTGGTCAGTATTTCTGTGTTTCAAAGGCGGTGGTGAGAAAACTGAGTAGAAACGAGAGACAGAAGCTGTGATGTGAATTTTCCTCAGTGGAAAGAGTCGATGTGTAACTGCATGTGGAATTTCCCTGGCCTAATAAGTTCTGTTGTGAAGCAGTGTGCAAGAAAATCCTTTTATTATCAACATGTTCAGACGAATCACTGTCAGAATAAAATACGAACAAAACTCCAGGCTGTGATGGGGACAATAAAAACCTCCAGGAGAAGTTTTATGACCAATGTCATTTACTCAGATTCAGATTCATGACCTCCTCCTCCTCCTCCTCCTCCTCTTCTTCTTCTTCTTCTTCTTCTTCTTCTTCCTGGTGACTCATGGTTATTTTCCCAAGTTTCTGCTGTTTACTTAACTTTTTAAAGTTATTTTTAGATGTTTGCTGATGCAGATAAAGATGCACAAAGATTTTCAGCTGACCAGCAAAAAAAAAAAAAAAGTTTTTCCAGCATTTGAATGAAAAAAACAGCCTCACATGGAAAATACGTCACATTCATTTAAGGTGACACATTTAGGATCATATTTTTTACAGTTCTCCCTTTTAATGTTCAGAACAAGTGATGAAAACAGGAAGTGTAAGTAGAGAGAGGGTGAGGTCAGACTGGGGCTGTCAATCAAAGGACAGTAGCTTCAGTCATGAGAAATAGCTGAGCTGAGATGGCACCACATTTGAGAGTATTTATGAGACATGGTCACAGTGGGTGTTTGACGAGACACAAGGACATCCAGAGAGAGGAGATCAATAACAGCCATAAAAACTGAGATTTTTGTTTAATTGCAGCTCTGCAAAATTTTACCCAGAATCCCCTAAAACAGCTTCATTCTTACGGAGCTTCAGATGCTTGAAAAAAATTAGAGTTTGCTTCAGTTCAGACCTGTAATTATGGTACTTGAGAGACAGGTCCTGACTGTGTCTACCCTCTCTATCCATTCATCATCAAGTTTGATCTATGAAGCACAAGTCTGGGTTAGGAAGTGATTTACACTTTCTAAAGAAGAAGAAATGAAATGGAAACAGAAGAAACCAAAAAAACACAAATTCAAATACATGTTAAAAATAGTAAAACAAACAAACAGTAAAGAAGAGACCACAACACTGGAGGAGGTTCTTCATCAGCCTCAGCAAGTCCACCCTAGCAACGCTTCCCATTTACCAGCAAAATCTGGGCCTACCCTGAGACCTTCTCCCCACTGGCTGAGTCCAGAACCCCTCCAAAGGACAGGGGCATCCTTATCAAGTACCCGAACCTCCTCAGCTTAGTCCTTTTGATGTGAAGGAGCAGTTCTTTTCTAAGCTCCCTCTGAATGGTCACTACCTGCAGATCATGACCACAGGTGAGGGCAGGAACGTAGACAGACCGGTAATTCAAACGCTTTGCCTCCGAGCTCAGCTGTCTCTTCACCACGATGGTCCAGTGTAACACTGGCAGTACTGCTGATGCTGCAACGACCCACCTGTCAATCACTCATAAACAAGAGGAAAGACTCTGTACAACCTTTTCCAGCTAAAAGCCACAGCCTCAGGTGTTGATTCTTACCCCAGCTGCTTCACACTCAGCTGCAAACCCCTCCCCAGTTCCTGCACCAGGTCCCAGTCTGAAGAAGCAAACAGAATCACATTGTCTGCAAAGAGCAGGAGTGGAATTCTGAGACTCCCAAACTGTAGACCATCCTCCACCTGTGTGCATGTTTCTTTGAATTAAAAAAAAATAGCAGAATTCAATATTAAGTATAACTCTGTCTGCACCACCCTGACATTGAATAACCATCAGTGTACCATCTGAGGTGCTGCGGCTCCAAACCCTGTATAAACACAGGAACTCCTCCTCACGTGTAAACCAGCCTGTGAACATATCTTTGTCTGTTTTTAGGACGTGCCTTTTATAATTTATCCCACAGATGTTGTTCAGTTTCCTGTTTGGATGCCTCAGCGTTAGGGTGGTCCGGCTGATTTAAGAGTTTGTTTGTGAGCGTGTGGAGTAAAAGGGGAAATTCTGGACGGTAAAAACAGCAGATCACGTGAAAAACAAGGCCAATCATATACCAATGACCAAAAAAAAAACAACAAACACTTTTTTATATTGGTGCAACTTTGTACTCAGCTGTTCCTAACCGTGCAGTTGGATCCAAACAGTAAAAATGATTGTTTCATTTCTGCAGGATGTCGGTGAAGCTGCGATTCGACTCTCCGTCAGATGGAGGTTTGATCCACAGGAGTCGCTCCTTCACTGGGTTCAGTTCTCTAACTGGTCGCAGACGGTGAGTGAAAACCTCCAAAACAGCCAATGGGGAGGCAGAACACAAACACCAACTTGTTTTTTTTTTTTTTTATCATTTCAATCCTGGAGTTTAACACTGATCATTAGGACAGAACCAAGCAAAGAGTGGTGCTCACAGGACTCAAAGATTCATACAGATTAGAACATTTATAACTCTGTACACAAACCAAAGATGTGGTGATTCATTTTCTAGAGGACAGCTAAATTTACGCTGATTACTACAAGAATAAATGACTGCCAGAAGAAAATCAGAAAATTCAGCTCAGTGGAATTTAAATAACGACGAAATTCCAAAAAGAGCAGGAGCCAAGACTAACCTCTAATTTAATCTTTTCAAAGAGATAAAGTAAAAGCTGTTACTGTACTTTGATATTTATGTACTTTATTTTTAACTTTCCTACACTATGTGGAGGGAAACCCCTCCATCCTCAAGTGGGCCTGTTTTTGATTATTGGGTAGACAGTAAACGCACCACAGAATTTTATTTCTAAATAAGGGAATAGAGAAAAACAAAGAGATGATGACTGAGAGAGAGAGAGAGAGAAAGAGAGAGATGACAATCCTTTCTTTTTTTGTTACGCAGACTCTCTTTTCATTCCTGAGGATCTCCTCCGTGTGGTCTCCCGCCATCACTCATGTCAGCGTTTTGATAGTTACAGAAACACAATACAACCAGGCTGTAAACATGACATCAACACACCGCACACAGAAAATATCATGCACAATAAAACAAGATGAGTCGCTGCCTTGTTTAGTTGTTTACAAAACAGCTGATAAAACTCTGAACGTACGAGTTAAAGGACACTATTGTGCAGTAAAAACCTCAAAGTTGATGTCACAGCATCTTCCTCTTTTTTCAGGTCGTCTTCTGTCCGCAGCTCCATCCACTCAAAGTCCATCACAGGAGCCAAATCCCCCAGAATGCACCTGTCTCCAAGCAGAGGGGGTGGGGCTATTTTGTCTCTGCAGCCGGATCAGGTGGACATGATTTTCCAGGCGCTACGCAAAGGACTCAAGTAAGTCAACCTCACATGAACCTTGAAATAAACCCTACAACCAAGGTGATGAGGATTTGTGGTGGCAGCAAGATCTCATTTAGCTACTTGACCTCTTACAAAACCAACTTAAGTGTAAAACCAACAAGCAGGAGGCCTAAAGCACAAAGTTAGAACTCTGCACAAGAAAAAATCTTGTTTACTTCTCCTGTCGTGGTCTTGTTTACCACCTGCTTCCTCAAATGTTTGGTGTGGAAACTTTGGAGCATGTGCTTAATGTTTGGGCTGGTCTGGGTCTGATAAAGATCGAAACATGTGAAAGAAAACTGTTGCCATGACAACATGTTCTCACCAGGCAGAGAGCTAGCCAATCAGAAAAGAGTAGGCTTGTCGGAAGGGGGTTCTTGAAGAGACAGTACCTGAAACTTTTTTTTTTAACTACAAATTTTTCAGGAAGTGAAAATTGAGAACTTTTAAAAATAAATCCCAAAATTTATGTGAACATGTGACTGTTTTCAGAGAGTTCCTGGAAGGTCATCAGTCTGAGATGGACTTCCTGTCGTCACAGCAGAGAGAGACGAAGAGGAACTCCAGACTGGTGAGACAAGAAAGAGAAGAGGAAACTGAAAATACTTAATCGTTTTTAGACAACTGAGATGGAAATTAAAATGCTCATGTTTGATTTTTCTGTTTCAGGCCTTTCTGTACGATCTGGAGAAGGTAATACCTGCACCAGAGCACCAAATTCTCCTTACTCTGCAAACTTTAACCAAACTACAACAAACCAAATATGTTTTGATATTTTTTGTCGGGTTTGAATCAGAGCTCATATGTGCATATGTGTTGTTTCTTTATGTCAACATCTTTCTGACGCCTATTGCTTTGGAGAAATTAAATTGTAATATTGCATCATGAACTCATAAAACTGTCATTTTTGTCTTTCACAGGAGATCAGAGCGTTGGAGAGATACATACGAAGATTAGAATTTCAGATTAGTAAAGTAAAGTGTTTTTATTTTCTTATTTATTGTGTTGTTGTGAAATAAAACAAACACAGATCATTACCTCTTATCGCTGAAATGCTTCTGTTTTTGTTTGTGTCCGTTGTGAAGGTGGAGGAGCTGTACGAGACGTACTGCATTCAGTGGAGGTTGTGTCAGGGAGCGGTGAACATGAAGAGAGCTTTCTCTCTGTCCCCGTCAACCCAAGCGTCCAGAGACAGTCTGCTGGAGCTCAACCGCAACCACAGGCACAGTCTGCAGGTACGAGACCATCATTAAGCAACAACAGAGACTCAAATAATGCTCTGACTTGACCCACAGACACGACAGACTACACGGCAGGACATGACCAATCACCAGGCGTGTCTTTTACACTGTAAGAGGATCCAGAGCAAACGTTTTTAACTTTTGATAAAGTAGAGGGACATTCAGGGGGCACTTTTAGCACTATTTGACATGGAAAAATCATCTAAAGATGAGTGTTATTTACTGACAGGTCCTTCCTTGTGTTCTTTTACAGCATGTTTGTGTGGAAGGACATTTAGAGGGCATTTTCTTTATATTTTCAGACTCAGATAGAGGGACTTTTTTATGTTTTATATACTGAAACAGCATCTGAAGGAAACCTTTTTTTGCAATTGGAAGGACATCCAGTAGTCACTCTGTCATGTTTATCCTTTAGGACAGCAGCAACTGAAGCTGTTTTTAAGCATATTGGATTGAACAGGCATCCAAGTATCAAAACGGGGCACTTTTGCATTGTTTATTCTGATGTCATTGGGTCCAGTCTTACTTGCACCTCCACCAGCTTACTTTAACTTCTACAGGATCCTCCCTAAACCTCAGAAAAGTGTCTAACAGACTCCAAAAGCAGGCCTTCATTTGTTTCTTTCAAACATTCACAGTCCACAGTTTGTATTATCACATTTTTGACTGTGTGTGTGGTCCTGCAGACTCGCACAGGAGCTGCTGTTGCAGACAGAGGTCGGCACCTCTGTCCTTTAAAAGACTGGTCCTGTTTGGTCGTTAAACTTGATGAACACGAGACAAAGTGAAGCCTGTGTGCAGGTTTTTCTTCTGTTTGTCAGAGTGATAGAAAGATTTTAGAGTGTTTTTTCAGGGGGAGACAAAATGCAAAAGAGGGGCTGAAAATGAAACAGAAAAGAGACATTAAAGTGCTGCCAGTGTTGTCGAGTGTGCGATGAACAGATGGAAGAATGAACGAGTTGTCAGTCATCTTTTAATGGCCCTCATCCTGTGGCTGCAAACATTACTGCAGACCCATCACACACACTTATTTGGGTTGGCAGCAGAGAGAGCAGGACCTCTGCAGTGTGGTGATGATGGATAAATGTTACCCCTGTTTTGGTCCGGCTGTGTTTGAATTACAGCCCCGGTTCTGGCCCTCTGTGATACATCTGATCTCAGGAATCTGTCTTTGTGGACTCAAAACAGCTTAATTTTTCAGCATCACTCAAATGCAAAGTCTGATTAAGGATCTTTGCTCTCTAATCACCTCTCTGAAACCCTCTGTGCAAACATTTTGGTTCTAAAAAAGCTTCAATAAAAGTTAAATCACCCTCAGCCTCGTTTTCACATGATGAAACTGTGGACCACTCCTGCACAGTCTGGTGCACAGATGCTACAGGAAAACACAGCTGAGGGAGTTTACTGACAGCTTAACAACATGTTGTTTTCTTTTGACTCATGAGAACAGCAAATGAAGAGCAGGGCTTTAAAATCCAGAAAAAAAATCTGTTTACTTTATCCTGAAATTATGGAAAAATGAAGCTGAGGTTCAACTCTGACTTTTGGTGATGCATCATGCAGTCGGTGATTACATGTTTGACCCCTGGTCTGCTGATCACCAGTGATGAAGGAGTTTCACCAAAAATACATGTAACAGCAGATCAGCTGTAGACAGAAAAAAAAAAAATTCATCGTCTAGCTACAGCACCATGATATAAAATATGGTATTGAGTCTGCAGGTTTTAAACGACGGCTGCACAGACCTGAAATAACCTCACTCTGAGCTTAGACTTTCCACTAACACATCATTATGTTTTCACCAGCTTTGTCTACTATTAACGCTAATTCAATCAAGCTGCATGGAGTTTGTGCACAACAACAAACACAATGTAAATGATTCAAACGATCAAAAATGCACAAAAGAGCTGCAAGACGGTGTGAAATAAAAACAGATTATGAGGTTTTGCGAGTTATTTAATAGTAATAATAATAATCACATTTAAAAAATTAAAATGGTACACCTTTTTGTTGTAAACTGAAACTCCAAAACATCTCTTACCCTTCAGCCATCAGCAGACAGAAAACTGACAGAGAGAAGATGACTGTCCAAAACAAAACAATAAAAATAATCTGATCATTTTAAACATGAACCCCGACCAGCTCCAGTTCCTTTTTCCTGATCACGACAGTGACCTGTGACCTCTCTGTGGACAGGAAAATAGGTTAAAAAGTGTCTCCGTGCTGAAGATTTATCGACTTTTTCTTAATATCCACTCTTACCCAACGTTTTCTCTCTACAGGACATGTCAGCGATGGAGGGAGAGTTAGAGGTCCTCCTTGGAGAGCTACACATCAAAATGAAGGGTATACACACACACACACACGCACGCAGCAGCAGAAGTTTATGAGCATGTTATCAGCTTCACGCTAACTCCCCAGTCTTAAACACGTTTTCTCTCTCAGGTCTGATCGGCTTCGCTCGGCTCTGCCCCGGGGACCAATACGAGGTGAGACTGACAATGAATGTTCAAGAGGGAGAAACGCTGACAACATTTGTCTTGAATTCATCACTTTATTCCACATTCATGGTCTTATATGAACCATGATTACTGTCACTTCTATATGTTCGATTTGATTTTAAAGCTGCTCCAAAACACCAACACAAGTTTTTGATTGGGACTTTAAATCTGAAATCAGCTGTTAGAAAAGAGTCTTTGGACATTTGTTTTGAGTACTCTCTTTTTGATGTCACATGATCAGGTGGTGGTGCGTCTGGGTCGTCAGCGATGGAGGATCAGAGGGAGGATCGAATCAGACGACACACAGTCCTGGGATGAAGAGGAGATGGTCTTCCTCCTTCACATACACCACAACTTTGAGATCAAGGTAACAAACTCATCTTTAAAAGAATTATACACACACACAAGAGCATAACCCACTCCCTGTGGTGTCCCACAAGGCTCCATCCTGGGACCCATTAACCTTTCCATTTATGAGCTTTTATCATAGTGTTTGCTGATGAGCAGTCGGGTGGTCCCTCTTTTCTTAATGTCAGTTTTTGACTAATCCGACCAACCATCTTACACCTTACCTCCATCCATCTTTAACAAGCTCAGGTCCAGAAAAGTCACCAGCATCTTCAGATCATGTAGTTTCTTCTTGGCATGTTAAAGTTGTGATTTTCATTTATAACACAGGAATAAACTGAGCTCACAGACAGTGGTTTTTGTCGTGATTCTGAGCTCATGTGGGGATTTCCACTACAGAGTCATGTCTCTTTTTAATGCAATGTTAAATGAAAACCTAAAGATCAATCAAAACTGAACAAACTGCCTTACTGTGCCTGTCTTGTTGCTGGTATCTTTCAGGTGGCAGAGGCGAAGGGTTTGGGTTGGCTGCTGGTTGGCATGGTAACGTGTGCAAGCGCTGACTTCTTCGTGGCAAGGCCGCAGCTGATGCTGGTGGACATCACAGAGCTAGGAACCATCAAACTGCAACTGGAGGTCACCTGGAAGTACGGGAACACAAAAACACGTACATGCGTCTATAAAAGCATCTGTGCACTTGTTCTGATGTAAAAATAACAGACGAGGTGGCAACGAAGATCGCCATGTAAGATTAAGAGAATCTTGGCACAGACAGGAGTGAAATCAGTGATATAACCTGAAAAAAACAAGAGAACAGTGGGGCGATCTGATGAGGAAGAGGGTGAGGAAAGATCAGGAAATTAAATCTGTACCATCAAATCTGAGACGCTGTCCTCTGACCTTTAGTTCTGACCTCTCACTCTAACCTGCCCTTGTGTCGTCCAGTGATGATTCACATGAATACTATGAACAGCTGTTTCACAATCATGCCACATACTCTCTTCTTGTATGAAAGGATGAAGGATGAGGAGATGACAGAGTGAACGATGACTATGTGGAGAAGGGATGAATTAGGGATTACGGCTGATTTTCCCCTGCTTGTCTTCGCTCCTGTCAATCCTTTAACCTGTCTGACGTCCGTACAGTGAAGATCTTTTTACAAGGGAAACATTTTTGAAACCAGAAACTCATGTTCTGTCTAAAGACACCAAACTACTTAAAAAAAAGCAAAGTATATTCTAAAAAACAAAATGTTTTTGTTTATAACCAATTTTTCGTAAAAATGTCTCATCAGGCTGAATTTATATCTGATGTCATATTTCAAGAAATAAAAACATAAATTACTGATAAAGAGATGAAAAATAAATATGACACCAGGATGGGACAATTCATTTCGAAAAGACATTTTCTTCTATCCAGGATCTTCACTTGTTTGCTTTCTTTTTGATTTGTTTTTAGATTTTTGCTTCTTTCTTTTTCTTTCTGTTCTTCTTTCATTCTTTTTGATTTTATTTTTCTCCTTTTCATTATTTTATTATTTTATTTAAAAAAAAATTCATATTTCCTTTTTCCTAATTTCTCTTATTTCCTTTCTTTCAAATTCTTTTATCTAATTTTCTTCTCATTATTTCTTTCTTTCTGTTTTCTAGATTCTCTCTTTCTTTTTTACTTTTTTAAAATATTTTTCTTTATTTATTTTTTCCTCTATTTTCTGTATTTCCATTTTCTTCCACATTTCTGTATTTAATTTTTCTTTTCTTTTTCATTATTCCTTCCTTTCTGTTTTCTAAATTCTCTTCCTTCTTTTTTACATTTTTCTTTCTTTTGTCCTCTATCCTTTGTTACTTTTTTGTCTTACATTCCTTTATTCAGTTTTTCTTTTCTTTATTCCTCTTTTGTCTTTTTCCCTCCTTTTCCCCGTTCTTTTTCTTTCTGCTCCATTTTCCTTACTCATTTTACATTTTTTAACCTTTTTTCTGATTTTTTTAAATTATTATTCTGTCTTTGTTTCGGACAAACTTAAAGCTCTTGTGAGGAACTTTTGGTCTTTGTCAGTTTTGGCACCCCACTGTCGACAAAAGAGGTCTAAAAACAAATCCCATCCTGCTGATTGTTGACAGTCAAATGTCTCTTTCAGTGTGAATATTTTAGTTGTGAATTGCAAGACGGGACTGTGTCTATACAGCTTAGACTTACTGCACACCTGGTTTTAGACAATAAGAATAAGGACATTCAAATCTTCAGTCTGGTTAATTATAATTTAGTTTCCTCAATAAACTAAGTTATTTTTCAAACAACATGTAAACATATTTGATCATGTTCAATCATTTGAGATTCTGGTCCAGCTGTCCTGCAGTTTTTGTTGTTGTTGTTTCTCTGCTCCTCTGAACCTGTAACCCGAGCCAGCTGTCCCTGAGCGGCTCACTGAACACAGTGGTTGTAACGCACACTAGACACACATGCTCACACACACACATAGTCTGTGTTGCGTCCCTGTACCATGACGAATCACATTTCAAGGTTTACAGAAGACAGGTGGAGGAGGTTTCATGGGTTCTCAGAAACACGTTTGTACAATCCTGCCGGAATCTCCCGCTAACACAGCAAAACAACAAAAACACTCATGTTTACAGTTTGTGATTGCTGATGATAAACTTTATAATTCATATACTGAAATATAATCCTCTTCGGTGAATCTGTGGATAAAGATACACTGAAAAAAGTGACTTTTTGATGCAGTAAACTCTATTAGAGTAACTGTCATAATTTCTACCATGTATTTTTACTCTCAAAGTGTAGTGTTTTGAAACAACAGGGCTGGCTCTGCTCCGAGTCCAGACATTACAGGATCACAGAGCAAGGTAGGAGGCGGCAATAGCAGTAGCTTAGGAGGTAGAAGTTTGTCCAATAACTGGAAGGTTGGCGGTTTGATCCCCCCCTACCCCTAGTCTGTCTGTTGTGTCCTTGGGCAAGACACTTAGCCCACCTTGCTGCCAGTGTGTGTCCTCCACTGGTGTATGATTGTGAATGATGTTTGGTGGTGGTCGGAGAGGCCATGGGCGCGGGTTGGCAGCCACGTTTCCATCAGTCTGCCCCAGGGCAGCTGTGACTACTAAGGTAGTTTACCACCACCAAGGTGTGACTGTGTGAGCGAATGAACGATGTATCCAATGTAAAGCGCTTTGAGGGTCTCCGATAAAGCGCTATATGAAATCCGATCAACCAAGTAAATAAAAATGTCAAGCACAAGAAAAGAATTTATATCTACTTAATTACTTCATAACAGCAAATACTACAGATATATGAAATGAACTTAAAATTTTGAGTAAAATTAGGTTCCTGCCTATGAACCTCAAGTAGACATTACTTAATTTGTTTAAATAAATATAACTTAAAACTTGGATGTAATTTAGTAAATGTTCCTTCATATCTTCACACAGTTATGTTTTATGGAAAGTAAAATTTACTTGATACTGGCAAGTGAATGTTACTTGATATTGCAGCATTAAATTTTACTTAAAGCTGTGTTTGTTATTGATCAGCTGTAATGAAGTGTGTGTTTGTGCTCCTGCAGCCCGTTCGACAGCTCTGAGAAGATAAGGCCGCTGTCCGTCAGCAGACAGTCGGTGTCCAGCAGAAAGAGTTCAGTCTACAGCTGGACGGCCCCGAGCACGCCGTCCTTTACCGAGAAATACTTCATTGTGAGTTCAAAATGACTAACGCACAACTATTACACGTTTCTGACACTGAAAACACTGAGTACAGTGAGGCAACAGGTACAAAAAGGAGCAAATATGAACTCGACTCTTATTGGTTATTTTTTAACAGTCGATGGTGCGAGAGCTGCGAGATCGAGATGGCTCCCTCCCGTCTCTTTTGCCAAACAGTCGACACAACAGAGGGGGCGTGTCTCTAATCAGCTACCTGTCCAACCCTTCACACACCTCAGTCACCCCTAACCACAGCTCCCAGAGCCCCTACACCCTCAGGTGAGCAGCAGAGAGGTCAGGAGTGAAGGCTCACACAGGTGACGCTCAGAGTCAATGAACAAATCTGATGTTTTTCCTCCACAGTCTAACTCGGGCTCACAGCTTCCCCTTCAGCCACAGTCAGGGCACCAGTCTGGGGGGAAGTCACACCCACCTCTCTCTGGGGGAGGAGGGGTCTCTGGAGGTCTCTGTGGAAGAGGAGGAAGAGGAGGAGGAGAGGAAGAGGAGGAAAGAGAGGGAAGGAGGAGAGGACGAGTGGATGAGTGTGATAGATACTTTCCAGACCCCTGCAGAGACTAAAACAGGATCTCTGCTCGGACTGCACCTGTGAGTAACATCGTCCAAACTCTCACTTCTTCATCTGAGAGAGGAAACCCCTTAATTCAGTAACAGCACCTCAAACATGTTTCACATATGTGTGCAGGTCCAGCACTCCTGACATCCTCAGGAAGAACACGACAGAACCAGAACCAGAGAACCACAGCACAGCTCTGAGACCGGACTCTGTCTCTGCACAGGTGAAAAACACAAAGCTGTAGGATTCACTTGCTGTAGAGTAAGGACCTGGAGGTCTGAACATTTATCTGAGGCCAGGTTCAGGTTCCAGGTTCAGTTCTTTTAATAAATCTGGTGTTTTTATGACGTAGTTTTTTTCATCTTAAGAAGATTTTCAAATGACAAATTTAAAGTAATACTCTACATTTATTCCAGGACCCTCCAGACTCTCAGTCACACCCTCCCTCACCCTCACCTCCAGCTGTGACCCCTCCCTCAACTACACCTGAAGCTACAATCGCAGGGAGGGCGGGGCCAAGTGGGGCCCAGCGTCGAGCTGTGGCCCTCAGACTGGGGCTCCTGATCTCAGAGCTCGAAAAAACATCACAGAACCAGAACAGTTCTGAGAAAGAGCTGAGAACACTGGACCACCAAATACTGCAACTCACTACTATACTGAAGGTTATATATATACTAATACACACTTGGTTACTAAACTGAAGGCAATCTATGTTCTATTACACACCTGGCTACTATACTTAAGGTAATACATATACTAATACACACCTGGCTACAACACTGAAGGTAATACATGTACTAATACACACCTGGCTACTACACTGAAGGTTATACATGTACTAATACACACCTGGCTACTACACCAGAGGTTTTGAGCATTAGCATATGTTAACTATTCTTTTTGTAGTGGGTTTTATTAGGATCACACTACTATTGTTATCAAACTTTAAGGTTCAGGTGTATTTCTGAACAGAATGACCTCTCCCTGCTGAAGAGTTCCTCCTCAGAGGAGACACTTGCTGTGGAGGAAGTCCTGGGCAGCTTTGACTTCCTGTCACGTGACTTCAACGCTGACGATGACACTTCCTGTTTGGGCAGCCTGCGGCTCAAAGACAGCGGGTGAGTTTACAGAAGAACAGAGAAGAAGAAAAACACTGACTCTGACATGAAGTAACTCCTCTTCATCTTCATCTCAGCATCAGCTCCTTCCAGCAGAGCACTCTGAAGAGCCTTGGCATCCTCTCCACCAACAGCCAATCAGCTTCTGAGGAGGAGCTGGTCATCGCCCCACTGACTTCTGGGAATTGGGGTCTGGACCAGGCTATGGAGACTCACCTGGATATGTGCTGCATGCTGCTGCAGGTGCAGAATGTCCCAACAAACCCTTGAGAAAGTTGTGTACTGAGGCCATCTCCATCCTCAGTCTCACTCGTTAAAGTCTAACAGACACTTGTGATGTTTCCTCAGATGTTCAAATTGACAGACTTCGCCGCATCCAGGCATGAGCTGCTGGAGGAGATGAGTCTGCAGGCTGAAGTCTTGGAGAGAGTGAGCTGTCTGCTGCTGGAGAAGAACGACACCATCTCTGCTAAAGACAGTCAGTAAAGACCTCTGTGTTTCTTTCTCCAAAACGGTGTCAGTCTAATGTTTGATGATGGAAAGTGTTTGATTTGAACATCAGGAAGGAGCTCATACTTGCAGTGAATAAAAGCAGGTTTTCTTCTTGTCTGCAGTCCTGCCGAAGCCTCAGAGAACGAGGGATGTTCTGTCGTTCTGGGACGAGTGTGTAAGCGACAGCAGCTCTCCTTTTTGCTGCAGCTCCGACACTTTCTGCAGGACGCTGAGGAAACGATACACTCACAAGGTGAAAGCCAAACAGCCGGGGCAGTCAGAAAAAGGTAAGAGCTGTGTGTGTGTGTGTGTGTGTGTGTGTGTGTTTCATTACAGGTCAACCAGGAAATGGCCCTGATGTCTCAAGCTCAAAGAGGGCTTTGCATAGGAGGACTTATTCTGGTCAATGAATTGATTCTTGCCTGATGCTTGTAAACTGCGAGGAGGACAGTAGTCCAGTAAAATCACCTACTCAAGCTTTAACTGCAGCTTGACTTCACTGTGCATGTAAACAGACTGACTAAGAGAAAGACTTGTGTTACTCTCGAATGGATATCAACATCCCTCCCTCTCTCCGTCTTCCCTCAGTGTTTTCTCGTCTCCTGCAGCAGCTGCAGACAGTCTGTCTGATGGTTCCCAGTCCTCGTCCTCTCTACAGTCCTGACAGAGTCTCAATCTTCCAGCTGTCCATCTACCTGAAACGCTGGAACATCCAGGAGCTGGGCGAGCACATCTCACGTCTCTCCAGAGAAGGTACACACAGCACAACATCTCTCAGATAAAACCAAGAAATGACTCATTGTTTAATATATGAGAGTATAATTTTTTGTGTTGAGTTAAATGCACATGAATAAAAATAGAAAGTCAATATACATAAATATGACGATATATAAATATAGACATATTTGCATATAGATATATGCATAAACTTCCTCGGCTCCAAAGTGTTTAAACTGTATCATTTATTAATCATGACCTCTGTTGTGTTTTAGAGTACCTCCTATCAGCCCTGGAGAGTCCCAAACGGAGGCGGGCCTTGAATAAAATTAAGGGGCGGGGCATCACAGAGCTCCTCCCTCTTGCTTATACGTTGCAGACTCTCGCTGCTCTGCAGATTGACTCCAACCACAAAGTGTGTAAAGCTGCTGCAGGCTGTCTGAGCAGAACTGCAGGCTGCAAGAGCTTCAGGAGTAAGGTACGAAAACTGCATCACATGATCATCATCATCAACTTTTCTAGAGCTGACCTGGCGAAATAATCAAGGGCGAAAACAACCTTTATGCACATGCTCTGTCCTCTTCTTCTGTTTTTTTTGTGCATTTCCTCGGCAGTGTTACAGCACCACTCTCTGGCTTGGCATATGTACTACATCGTTTTAGTGAAGTTTGGTGAAGTTGTCACTGAATAAAAAATTGAAAATCGAGTTTTCAAAGAAAAAATATGGATTTTATTTTTGGCATAAATCATGCAGCCCTACATTTGACATGTGTGCGAATCTTCACAAACTTCTCCTGCACCTGCAAAACCTCCTCAAACCTGGATGTGTGTGGATCATTCTTATTCATGCATCTAAAAATTTAGATATTTCTGCAGATTTGTTCACAGGAACACAAAAACAAACTGCAGGCTGTGAAAATATTTCAGAAGCTCAAAGTCTTTTTGAACTTTAATTGACTTTATAAAGTGAAACCTCACATAATGTATGTGTCTGCTCTCCGTCTCTGCTGCAGGCTGTCATTTTTTACACTGAGAGTCTGAAGAGCTCTGATGTTCAGATCCAACATGGCTCCTGTTTGGCTCTGAAGTGCCTCAGGGTGAGGACACACAAATACACAGAGTCTACAAACAAAGAGACACTCAGAAATGCAGCTTCAGTGCCACTTGAGAAATTGCGTGTGTGTGTTTTGTGATTGTGTGTTTACAGGCCACAGAGAGCGTGGACCACATTGCAGATCTGTGGAGATTACAGGATGAGGATCTCCGTACCGCTGCCAAAGAGACCGTCCTCTCCTTTGGTATAAAAGTGACTTTATTTTCTAATAATTTTTATGTTTTTAGATTCATATTTACTCTTTATCCGTGTGTGTGTGTGTGTGTGTGTGTGTGTGTGTGTGTGTGTGTGTGTGTGTGTGTGTGTGTGTGTGTGTGTGTGTGTGTGTTCAGGTAAGAAAGGTTACCTGGCTTTCCAGAGGATGGATCAGCTGTTCGATGAGATGGAGGAGGAGGCGTATCGGAACTTGGAGACTGAGATCACGTTTCTATAGGAGGCAGTGTGTGGACCTGAAATGGAGCGTTTTACACCCAGCAGTCTGGTTTAGTTCGAGACAGTTTGTGTATCTCACTGGAATCCTTGTCAAACAGCTCCTCCTTCTGGAAACTGATTTTTTTTTCTTTTAACAAACTTTGTGCCTGAAATGACAGATAAAGACCCCAGTAAAGAGGAATCATAGAGAAATGTGCAGACTCTAGTCCAGAGATGGAGACTCTGGGCTGTTTGCTTTCTGCTGGATCATCTCCAAGGCTTTGATTTTCATAACCACATGACCAGAAAAAACAGCCCTGCCCAGATTAAGGATTATTTTCAGACTTTTTTTAAAACAAGGATCTCACACTGACAGCAATCTATGAAGACCGACAGAATTTGTATATAAACAAGATGACCGTGCCATATTTATAAGATGGAAAATGAAGAGGAAGAAAGAGTTCCCTCCCAAATATCAGACTTCCAAATCTTTCTTCTGCAGTTTTTAATCCAAACAAAGTTTCACCACCTTGTGACTCATGTAGGTGCTGCCCCCTTCTGGCTGTCTTACTGAACTGAAGCTTGTGAGGGTTCCTGACCTGAGGATGTTTTCACTTGCCACAGACATTGTTCCTCTGTGGTTAAACTGACCTCTGACCTCTCTCACCCAGTATTTTGGGAATGTCTGGGAGGTAAACTGAAACAGCGTGGGAAGAGGAAGATGTTTGTAGGATTTGTTTATGAGATGAGGATGTTTAATTCAAGGTTTGTGCCTCAATCTCAGTAAGCATGTGAAAGTTCAACACGGGACGGCTCTGCAGCGTGTTCATGGAGGATTTATGGTCTCGGGATGAGCCAGGAAACTGACAAATTATGTCATTTTCTCTCCCCAAATATTCTTACTTCTGCAGTCAAAATCATCAGCTTATTAAAACTCTGTCTTGAATTGGTATAGAAATAAAAATTTAAACAAGGGACACCAACATGGGGAAAAAAGCATAGGAATGTAGTGTCCTTTGTGAATAATCAGACCAAAGAAAGAGCAACTGTCCTCTTAATGAAACACTGAAGTAGTTAGGATCTTACACTTGACCCAGATTAGTTTTTTGCAGAATTAGGACTATGTGGGTTGACAGTTTTTAACATAAAAGTCAGGACATAAACAATCTGAGGTTAAACCATGTTGTACCTTTCACTTAAATTTCAAGGCCTATTTTTAGCCTGTTAAAGATCCCTGAGCAAAAAGAAGCACCGATGCAAAAGAAGAATTTTTACATCCGCATAATGACATGCATGTGTTTTAGATGTTGCACAGAAGGAAAGAGTGAGAAAATGCAGCAGTGAAGGAGGGAAACATTGAAGGAAGTCTTGCAGAAACTCAACTGCAGGCAAAAAAAAAGTGAAGAAAGTATTTATTTACAAAAGGGTTCAAGTGAAGGATAATGCAGAGTGAACAAGAGTTCATGCATCACAACAGAGTGAGTGAGAGTCCTGCACAGCCACTCTCTCAGGGTACATGAGGTCAAATGTGCAGGAACTCCTTTTATTGTCAGGGTGCTCCCAGTTTGTTTTGTTATTAAGAATGAATCACCTTTTTATGGGATTTCAACCAATCAGAATCAGACATTAAAGACAGCTGGATAACAAACTCAAATAAAGGCATTTACTTACCTCTGAACCTGAATAAACTCCGTCAAGCTGAGACCCTCCTGTGAAGTGGTTTTACATCTCTCTGTATTATAAGGGTTCAAACACCAGCGTTAAATGTTTCTCCCATTTTTACTTCAGATGTTTCAATTTATTTGTTCTTCATTCAATATTTACAAACACACACACACACACACACACATTATATTTAAGTCAGGATTGTAGGAGAAAATTGTCCTTTAAGATCCAAAGAAGCAAAATGTGTCATTATACATAATGTATCTAGATGTATATTTCTTAAGGAAATGTGTATAACTGAGACCTTATATTGCATTTACCTGCATTTAAAGAAAATAATTTCATTTTGGTAAGAATAAAAAATACTTTCACTGTCAATGTTTGGTGAATTATTTCCATCTCAGAAAACCTTTCCTTTTTTATATCTGTGAAAGTCTGACAAATACAGGTGGATAATTTAATATAAAAAAACTAGTTAAGGAGGGTTTATGAGCCTGAAATGCAAACATACGACAGTTTAGAAAAATCTCAAATACAGTGAACGAAACTAGGATTGAAAGACTAAACCTGCAATTAAACAAGTGAGGAAATGTACATTTTTCTCCTTAAGAATTTTTTGTGTCAAAGTGATTTCTGAATTTTTCAACTTCAAGATGTAATTCATTTTTTTAACTGCAGGATAATCGTCACATCTGATTAACTGAAATCCAAAATATGAAAAAAAGCCTCTAAAATAAAACAAATCAAATAAAAAAGCTGTGTATTTAGTATGTGGGTTTTGTCTGTTTACATGCAGACCTGCATGTCTGTGATATAACTTCCACCTTTAAAATGTGCAGACAGTTGTGGATTTTGTGAATGGGAAAAAGTCGTGCATATTTGGGTTTAATATGAGAATTTGGAGTAAAAAGTTCAAAGATCAGTTTGTATTGTCAAGATTAAAACCAGAAAAGGCGGCTCAGTTTTAGGTTGTTTTGGTATGAAATCCTGAACAGCTGCACTCTCCTTTATATCTTTACAATCACAAAATATATTTTCAGTCTGTTCTCTTAAACTGCGTCTTTGTTTTATTAAAGACAGATCATAATTTGAACCTGTATATGTGCAGAATTCTTCTTTATCTGCAGATACAGTGAACTTTTCAAGCTGATATCTGCCCGTGTTATCGTGCATCCTTCAGTTCAGGTATCCCAACTTTGACTGTGGTCCAATTATATGATATGCAAACAAACCTGAGTAAGTAAATCAATAAGAAAAGTTGCACAAATCAACTCAGACCAAGAGCAACTTTGCAGGAAAAGTATCCACCTTTTGATTTCAAGGTTTTTTAATTTTTATATCCTTAATGCACTTTTTTTGCTTTTATGTGTGTACAGCCCTCTGGATTGACTTTTGCTCGAGGGTTTTTTTAAAAAATAAAATAAAGCTACATATGTGTACATTTTTGTTTTGTCATAGTCACACTTCAGTCTCCAAAAACAGGACAAGTTAATCCAAGCTGTAATAACACTGAGTTAAGCTTCTCAAACAAGTTTAAAAAACAGGTTTTCACCTGGTCCAGCGAGTTCACATCATCACCATGAGTGTAGACTGAGAGTAGAAGGTTTGATTCAGACACAGTATAACAATTTGAGAGGAAAAACTTTATTTAAATTAAAACCAAAGCAATAATGCAGCAGTGAGCATGTTCAGCACTGTGACAGGAGGCCACACTCACACACGCGCGCACGCACACACACAGTCTAACAGTATAAACACCTTCGCTTGTGTCTTACAGCGAAACAGAAACACTTGGAGCAAAGAGACACGAGGAAACAGATCGACAGCTCAGTTTCTCATCTGATTGTGACTCTTTGATTTCTCATACAGCGGTGTGTATTGCTTTAAGTCACCGGAAGCACAGACTGCATTCCCCTCACATATCTGCATGTTTTATATAAGCAAAATACACACATAACACACACACACACACACACACACTCTCTCACTCACATCTGAATTTTCTTACCTTTGGAAACTTTCAGCGTTTTGTCTTAATCATTTAAAACTCGAAAAAACTAAACAGCAACCCATGCACGAGAAACACAAACAAACAAAGAAAAGAAAAAACAGCAAAGAAGAAACAAAACCGTGAGTGTGGTGGTTGGGGCGTTCACTCTGAGGAGGAGGAGGAGGAGAAGGAGGAGGTGAAGAGGACGAGACAGATTCTCAGCATTAGTTCACCTTCAGAGGAGGAATTATTCACAGCATACTTATTGATTGTCCAGTGTGAGTGTGTGTCTGTGTATTTGCCCCGTGTGAGGGACAATTTAGAGCCAAGATGGCGGCAGATTTTGGCCAGGTTTCTCCTCTACACTTTGGGGAAGAAGTCCATTTCCTCTAACACTCTCTGGTGAAGAACTGTGGCGGTGTTAAAACAAACATCCATCCATGTGTGAGCCTGGCAGTTTGAGGTGGCGAGTGATGACCCAACGTGGTTTTTAGAGAGACGTAGTAAATGAAGTAAATGAAGAAATGAGTCCTAGGGTGAGAGAGGAACCAGAATACTGAATCATGGCGGTCACTGTCTGTTGGTGTCACGTGGCATATATATGAACAGTTTTAAATCAAACGCTTGAAAGGAAAAGATGCAGAGACAGAAAATTCATTTGTTTCCCTCCTCCAGCATCTGATGATAGGATGCTCCTCCTCCTTCCTCGTTAGATAAAGTCCTCCTTAAACATTCCCTCCGCCTCCTCTTCGAACTCAAGTCTGTCTTTCTCTACAGCAAGTCCTCCAGCACTGCTTCTCCTCTTCTTCAGCTCCATTTTAGGCAGAACGTTTTTTACATCAGCGCTATTTTCCGTCTCCAACATGTCACTCGCTCTTCCAGCATGGCAGTATCACCCTCCACTTTTCCTCCCTTCCTCCTTTTCTGTAATCCCTCCCTCTCGTCCTCTCTCCTAGGTCCCCACGATGGCTGGGTCCTGGGCAGTGTCCGGCAGTGTGGCGTCCTGGCAGTGGTACAGGAAGCAGTTGCCCCAGCAGCTGTAGCAGATGAGAAAGAGGGCGGCGAGGAAGACCAAGGCACAGATGGTGCAAGGCTTCCTCTCCAGCAGGAAGCTGAGCAGGTAGAAGCCCATGAACATGGAGTGGTTGAACCACAGCGCCGGGTTCAATGGTTTGGGGATGAGCAGCACAGGGAGGAGCCACTGGAGGCAATACATGGTCTCTGTTTATAAAGGGGGACGAAGGCCAGGAATGGATTAATATCGAGCTGTATGAGGGTGAGGATCCAGCAGACTCAGAGAGGGTCAAACCAGACGTCAGCAGATAGAGATGAAGGGGAGGCGATCTATCCGACAGAGCTGGGGTGATGGAGGACGAGGTGGAAGAAGCCAGATGTCGTCAGGTCATCCCTGAAGACGTAGAGGACATTAAAACTTAGTGACATTTCTCAATCCTCTGACCATGATTTTATTTACTGACTGTTAACTTCACACAGAGCAGTGACTCTGCGTTTGATGTTGTTGAAAGCAGAATTTGCTGTTAAAGACAATACAAATGTATTTGTTATATGAAAAAAACCTGGAAGTGATTTTGAGCCCATGCAGTGATTTCTTCTACAGTCATGTCTGCTGTGGAGCTCCTTCAAACTGTCCCTTTTGGTCATTGTCCCTTTAGTACAGAGTTTTCTCCAGATTCACTGGATCTTTCAATGATACTATGTGCTGCAGATGATGAAATCCACTCAATCTCTCCAGGTTTACTTCAAGCAACATTATCCTGAAACAGTTTAACCATTTGTTTACTCAGTATCTCACAGCGGTGGACCCCTTCCCCTTGGCTCCTGACTCAGCCTCTCTGAATGTCCTCCCTATATCCCAGTCATGGGTATAAAAACTTGAATCTGTCAAAAATTACCCTCATTCGTATTCTTCCAGGTGTTTTTTAAGCACTGCACAACTTTTTCAGTAACGTGTTGCTGGTATTAAATTGACATTATTCATAAAACTTATTTTTCCCCAGTTTCAATATATATTTTTTAAATCCATTATAAGCTCTAAATAATTTGAAAATCACCAAACTATGTTTGTATCAACACATTATAAAGTGTCCAAACTCTAATGGAGCTGGGGTTGTACATTTCCATGACAGCAGGTTTCAGTACAGGCCTCACTTTTAGGGATGTAAACAGACTGTGTCATTTTTCCCTTGAGGAAAAAGGTGTAATATAACAGATGATCACATTAAAGGATAAAGTCTACCTGACATGTACATTAGTCAGGATACAGGGCAAATCCCACTCATTCACACAATGAAGCCACTGTGACTAATCAGTATCTCAGCCAATGTGAACGACTTCCTAAAGTCAATAATTGGCCAAACTATTTACACAGGTGACTTCCTATTCAGGGCCTGATACAAGCTCACCAGTTCAGATGGCAGTAAGTATCTATGCACTAACAACCTTTCTCTAAGACTGTTTACACAATGTGAACAACACAGTAATGTAATATATTTACAATGAGTCAAATGAAAGAAAACAAGAACCTTCCTATGAGTCCGAATCTGCTCTGAGATCAGCTGGTAACAACAGCAGATCTGGCTGTGAGTGACTGACTGAAGGACACAAGCAGAGTCACTGTCACAAACAGCTGCTGGCATCACTTCTCCTATCCTTATGTGTTGGTTCATCTGAAAATGACTTAGACAGCTTGTATTCAGCTGGAGCTGTGGCTAGTCAACACCTGAAGCACAAGGGTGTGTCCAGATTTTGAAAAGGGGTGGCACAACCACATATGGCATGTGTTAAATGCCATGTGACTGCCTTTTAACAGCAGGCCCCTTGTCAGAGGCTTGTTTTCAAAATGTGATGGTACCCAAATATTTGCATGTCCTGTTTGATATTCTTGGGAAGTTAATATTTTGATAAACTGACAGCCCTGATATACAAGGCAAGAGCAGCAAAAACACACGGTCACAGATATTTTGATATCTTTGATATATGTGTGCTGTGAACAAGTTGCATTTCAACAACTACAGCTGACTTGTTTTTCAGTCAGAAGGAAACTAAAAATATGACCATGGAGTTTAGTGTGTAAATTCTGAGATGTATTTCAGCCTCTGGGACACCAACAAAAACACAGCTTTGGTGAACATGTACCATGACATAGTGACAGCTGAGCTCTGGAGCATAAATCATGGTCATGAACTTTGAAGTGGCACCTCGGGTGGCTGATCAGATTTTAAGGGGGGCCTTGCCACCCATCTGGACACGCCTGTGCTGTAATTACTTCAATACATGACCCAGCCAGGTGCTAAACCTAGCAGGGGGGAATGATGTTAAACGGATCGACCAACTTTGATGCGTGTGGATTGGGTACGACTAAATTACCTTAACTAATCTCAGTCCTCAGTGACAAAGTGGAGAGGATGCATCAAACCCCATTGAGACATCTGCTGCTTTATTATTTGGCTAAACTGACGGATTCGTGTGCAGTCAGAAGTCTGGCAGGCTGCTCACAGACATAAGAGAATCTGCTAGTTACCTTAACTTATTACAAGTGTCGAAAGGTGCATTTATTTCGAAGTAAAGAGAACACTTTGTACAGTGTCTGATCTACATAATCCACGGCAGTGGGCGGTCACAGGCAGCGGGAGCCAGCTTTAAAAGAAGACTGCTTCTGAACCGCTCGTTCGTGAACTCTGTCTGCGGCAAAAAATCCGTTTCTGTATCAGTCCAGATCTGTTGTTACATCCCGAGTTTACTTCTATGACAACACAGAAACCCAGAGAGCAGTCTCTGAACGTAGTTTGGGGTAAACGAAAGAAGAGGCTACACGATTAGCTGGGTTAGCTTAGAAAACAAAAGATTTGGAAAATGAATTGAACTCGCGGAGTAAACACTGCAGCTAGCTATCAAAGTGACCTAGAGTGGCATATTTCTAAGATCATACGACTGTAATTTTTGTTAAATCAATTCAAAAATGTACAAACCTGACTTCTTTCGGGCTCATTCTTAGCAGACACAAACCAGCAGCACCATATTTGTCCCAACGACTGACTGCGTACACATTAGCTAACAAACATTAGCGTCAGCATAAAGGACCCCTGGTGCAAAGCTGAAGCAGAGACGTTTAGTAGACTGTCATTGTGCCTGAATCAAACTCAGGGAACGTACACAGGATTAGTCTTTTCTAATTATCAGGAATAGAGAAGGAACTCAAGTTAAAATACAGCAATACGGATAGTATTTTAAAAAGGTAGTCTTTTCATCTACTCAAATAAAAGCAAACGGTACTTCATTTGAAATTCATATTAAAGCTCTAGTGAGAGACTTTCAGTTTGTTTAAATATGGCACCCTCCTGTGGACAAAGCTGTCCTCTACATGTTTAAATAGTGCCAACCCCTTCTGCTGACTTTTCACAGTCAAATCGATTATTTTTTGTGAATGTCAAGACAATTATGCAGGGCCATTTCTTCAGCTTTCTGGTAGACAGAGATAAAAAATTGTGATACATAGAGAAGAAGTCATATTGCTCATGGTGTTGAGATATCATGGTGTATATATATATATATATATATATATATATATATCTCAACACACACACACACACACATATATATATGTATATATATATATATATTTATATATATATGTGTGTGTGTGTGTGTTAGTATATATATCAGGCTATTGCTGCAATTACATTGATATTATCTTGTCATTATGTGTCGTGATGTTAACTCTACTCATATTCAGGGTGAAATTTTTGAATTTTTACAGCATCTTTTTTCAGTCTCGCACCCTGCTGATGGTGCCTGTTTACTTCAAACATGGCTGGCTGTGCCATTCACAACATTTAATGAGGTATTAAGTCATTGAATTTTTGTCCAAACTTTATTTCTCACTCTTTATTACACAGACAACCAAAAAAAGCAAACATTATGTGATAAAAAGGCATGTAATAAAAAAATATTCAAGAAAATCACCTGTAAAAAATGGAAATGAAATAACACCTGGTCAGAAATATCACCAGGAAATGCTTTTCAGTTTTATTTTTACAAACTAAGGATCACTTGCTTTTGCTACAACTGAATCCCGTGGACTTGCACTAGCATTGCTAACAAATTTGTAAGACTGCAGGAAGATTCTGGAAATAAAAACATGTTTAAAAAATCAATTGATGATCAGAATCTGTACAGTGGTTATTTTATAGCAATAAAACCACTTCTTTTATTCTTTCTTTTCATGGTTTGACAAATAAAAGCAACAGAAGCTGCATGTTTTCATATATTAATGCTGGCTGCAGTGCCAAAAGCTACATGCTAACATTTCTGCCTGTTTTTGTGCTCTCAGGAACAGGTCATCGACACCGCAGTCGTATCACATATCCAGGATGGATGTTTCTCAGTCACTACAGATTCTACATAAATCCTGCTCATCCTACAAAGTGCATATCAATCTGCGTAGTTTACTGTGAAGCCATATACAGTATTGTTACATCGAAAAAAGTCTGAGAAGAAGAGCTGAAACAGAGGCAACATACTGATGAAATACAGATGGGCAATCCAACCAGTAACAGGAACAGAGACAGACACCTGCAGAAACAAAACCGCTGTTCAAAAAATTTGAATAAAACTTCATCACCACAAAAAAGGTACCACCAGCTGCAAAAGTTTATCTCCACTCTAGTTACTCAAACACTGACTTGAGTCAAATGAAATCTTACAGATAATCAAACAAAAAAAAAAAAAAAATTAAGACGGGTCGTTATTGTAATGACCAAGACATAATCTCGGAAAATTGGACACGATCCCAGTGTCCAAGACAAGTCCATCAAAAATAAGACATTATCGCAATGACTCGTCAAATTACCGTGACATTCATAAAAAATCGTATTTAACTGTGATGACTTTGACTTTGACCCAAGACCTAAAATATTACCTACATTAGCCATTTTGATATGCACTAGGATGCTGACCTCTGTGACGTGAACTGAATGACTACATAGTGACTTGGACTCTAATCACTGATTAATATGACTTGAACATGACTTGAACTGTGACCAGACATGGCATTAATGACTACACTATAACTGCACAGAGACACAAGTCACTGTAATTATTGTGTGGACATCAATTCAGACATTCATGTCCAAGTCACTTTGGTATTATGTACATGAACTATACTGATTCGCACATGGATGCTGACCTGGACATGTGGCTCATGAATGTATTTGACTTGTGTGTTACTTGGACGTACAGACTGACTTGGATATGGTTGCAGTAACACAGACTGTACTGACTTGGTTTTGACTGAGGTGACTCTGAATTGAAAGCACCAACTCATGTATAGCACAGAAATGACTAGGACATGACAATCATTACCTTAACACCATAAAACGGAACTGTTAAGATCAGAACATTACGACAAAAATACGACTTGTGTACAGTGACTTGATCTGGTCCTTTGTTCACTTGGACATGGCAGCAGTGAAGATATGAGCATGTTCACTTTCACATGGTAGTGACTTGGACAGGACCAAAAGATGAATCTGTCTTTTTTGTAGTAGTGCAGTGTTGATCATGTGATGTACAGTTTATATAAACTTGACTTGGGAACGACTGTACTGACTTGGCATTGACTGTAACAAAAAGCATGTTTTAAATGATGACAAATCTAGTGTAGACTTAGATGACGAATTGACTCTTAAACAACTTCCTGACTTGGACATGGCAGTAGTCATTGAGATCTGAGCTGGTGATTCAAACATGGTCGTAAAATTCAAGTGAAATAAGAGCCAGACTTGGCTGTTGTAGTGCAGAGATGATGACAGTGACTCGCACAAGTTAAAATGACTTGGAAAAGCTGTACTAATGACGAACAAAAAGCAAACAAACAAAAAAAACGCATAGCTAGACAATCCTAGTATAGATTGAGACTCGAATGGATGACTGTCTACCATATCATTCTGTTGACTTTGACATGGCAGCGGTCATGGAGTCAAGACCTGGTGACAAGTGAAGAACCATAGTGATCTGGACAAGTCTTAAACAAAAGTTTTACACCGCTTAGTGGTAAGGCAATGACTGTGGTGAATCAAAGTGACTCTGCCATGACCTGGCTAAGACTTGAATTTGATTTGTCCTTCATGACCTGATGACTCAGAAATGAAGAGATATGAACAGGTGACTTGAACATAACCATTAGAGAAGTGACTCAGACTTGAACATATGAACACTGAGGACTTGGGGCTCGACTTGGACTCAGGATTTGTTGACTCGACTTGACACTGTAACTAGTTATATTTTCATGCTTTAAGCCTCTAAAAGTTGCCCATGTGTCATAGCCTCAAGAGTTAACGTACGACAGCCATTCAAACACTATTATAAAGCAGATCAGGCGAACAGGACAGAAGATTAGCGAGTAAACGTCCTCAGAGGTTAAACCGTTCCCAAGAGCAAAACAGAGATATTTCAGTCACTGTAGGTCATACATTTTACATGATGCAGCATTTTTAAGATGACAGTCACCACTTCCAGGAGGACTCCATAAAGTGCCAAATCCTTACTTTCATAGTCAACAAACTTTAGGCTGTTTGACCAGATTCACACAGCGGCCATTTTCCCAAAACTGTTGCCACTGTAGTCCCAATGCTGTTGCTCTAGATAACGTTACATTAGCCAAGAAGTAAATGTAATAAAATATTTACAATTATTCAGATCGCCTCAATAACACAGTTACAGCTCACATGGCGTTTACAGAAAAAGCTGCGATGGGAATCTGGTCGGTTGAAGCTAAGAGGAGTCACCATCGTCTTTAGAGTCAGACACCGGGGTAAAACACTGACCATGTGTGATCAGCAGGTGTAGCCCTGTGAAGGTGATGATCTGGAATATTCTAAATTTTCAGACAGTGTCAAACAAATAAGATGGTAGTTGATTTACTGCACATATAAACATGTTTTCTACGTTGAACATGTTGTACTAATAATCTAATATTGGACTGGAGGACATAAAGTAGACAATGGATTACCTGAAACAGTAATGAAGGATTTGATGCTCTGGTTGGTTGTATGAAACTTTCAGATTTTACTAAACTCAATTTATTAAATGAATTCACTGGTTAACAAAAGGACAGTCCCTAGTCATGTTATATTAAAACTCATTTTAACACTTCTGGGTATTTTTTTATTCTTTAGAGAGCATGTGATATTTTTAAGTGAAATTATTTGTTTAGACGGAATTCTGAGCAGGAATAATTTGCAGCAACTTTATCATTAATTTTATTTTTCTCGTAGAATAAAATACAGTCACTCCTGTTGCTGTTTATTTTACTGTTTCAATTTTAAAAGCTTGGGTACATTCAGTAACCTGAGGTGGAAAAACTAACCATCTTCTGTTAGATTGGACGGTAGTTTCAGTTTCCTTTTTTTCCGGTTAGCATTGCTGCAGAGAGCTAAAAGATAAGGCACACTAAACAGACGTGTTTCTGATGAATATGTCTAAACGTGTCAACAAATCTGAAGTTTACCGCCTCCAAAATCTGCGAGTTTATCGTCTGCATGGAGACAAATGTGATGCACACAGGATGGTCTCCTTGCCCCGATGTCTAAGATTCATTATGGAGCGTGTAACTCCCCCTAGCTTAACTCTGACTGAATAACAGTATACACTTTCAAACTCTCAGCAGTTTCTTTCCTTTCAAAAATTTCACAGTCCTCCTCCTCTTCTTTCTTTCTTTCTTTCTTTCTATTTTTCTGTCTTCTGTGTTCTCTTCTTCCTTCTTCTTTCTTCATTCATCATCTGTCCCTCAGAGACATCCATCCTTCAAGGCCCATCTCCTCTTCATCCTCTTGGTCTATCAGAGATGTGTATCCTGCTCCTCTTCATCATCGTCGGTCGCAGCTTGATTTACAAACACCTGAAAATGACAAAAAGTCAGAACAGATTTTATGAAGTTGTTAATGTTAGCAGAATAAAACAGCCAAACCTTTGTTTGTTGGAGCTAAAACTTCATATACTCTCTGAACTAAGGTAAAAGGTGATCACACTCGCTCGTCCAGGTGTTTTTAATTTTATTCTCCTCAGTCATCCAATCACCTGCCAGCGTTTGCTGTCCTCCCCACCCCCTTCTCCTCCCCCTGCTAGCCCATTGGCGCTCGGCTTCTTTTCTTGCATCTCCGGCTGGCTGTCATTGGCCACGTCTAGTGTGGGGTTGTCGTGGCAACCGTTCTCCACAAAGTGAAGTTCTTCAGCACGGAACTGTAAGATAATGTTTAGCTGAGAGTTACAGGTCTGTCTTATTTATACTCTTCAACAAAGGCTGCATGGCGTGTGCTTGCGGTAACCCACGTTGGTCTTAGTTGCCGGCAGTCGTCTCTGCCAGCAGATGTAGATGAACCCGGACGTGATGATGACCATGCACACGGAGCCAATGATCACCAACACCACAAACAGCTTCCCATAGTCGCTGCGTGTCTGTCGGGGCCGAGACTGACAGCTTCCTGGGGCACTGTAGTTCTGGATCCCCACCTGGAGAAAAAACACACACACAGACACACATTTATATGGGATGTTTTTGACAGAGCACAGACGGAAGCAGATACGTTATAACAACCATTTACCTTACTCAGACTCTTCCTGATCTGTCCCAGCATGTCCAGCACAACTTTGGTCTCGATCACTCCTGAGAGTCAAACAAAGTATAAAATCAACAAACTCCTGAAAGTATGAAAAAGAAACCTCTCAGGGTAAAGGTGTGCTTCATAAAAGAGTAAAGTTTTATCGATGCATGACCATAGGGTCAGATATGTCTCCTTAAAAGCTTTTAAAGCAACATCTAAAGTAGTTTCGGTGACTCTGAACACTCACGCCCTCTGCTGATGTTCACAGAAGGCTTTTCCCAGAGGCTGAAAATATCTGCATGTAACTATAGACCTCTTAAGTTCAGGTTTACAGTCAGGAGTTGAAACCAAGTTCTTGTAAAGACCCTTTTACATATTTATCAAAACTTAATGTAGGAAATAAAGTTTTATGACCCAAAAAAAGTCCCTGACACAGAAATGAATCATCAGCTCAGGAAACGTGACAGTGAGTGAACTCTTCAGGTGGATGTTTTTAGCTGAGGTTTAAGCACCAACATTGTTTTTATGAGCTTTAAGTTTTAGCAGTTTCATTGTTCAGTACTCAAGCAAAAGGTACAGTTAAAAAAATACATATATATATACACTCACCGGCCACTTTATTAGGTACACCTGTCCAACTGCTCGTTAACACTTAATTTCTAATCAGCCAATCACATGGCGGCAACTTAGTGCATTTAGGCATGTAGACATGGTCAAGACAATCTCCTGCAGTTCAAACCGAGCATCAGTATGGGGAAGAAAGGTGATTTGAGTGACTTTGAACGTGGCATGGTTGTTGGTGCCAGAAGGGCTGGTCTGAGTATTTCAGTAACTGCTGATCTACTGGGATTTTCACGCACAACCATCTCTAGGGTTTACAGAGAATGGTCCGAAAAAGAAAAAATATCCAGTGAGCGGCAGTTCTGTGGGCGGAAATGCCTTGTTGATGCCAGAGGTCAGAGGAGAATGGCCAGACTGGTTCGAGCTGATAGAAAGGCAACAGTGACTCAAATAACCACCCGTTACAACCAAGGTAGGCAGAAGAGCATCTCTGAACGCACAGTACGTCGAACTTTGAGGCAGATGGGCTACAGCAGCAGAAGACCACACCGGGTGCCACTCCTTTCAGCTAAGAACAGGAAACTGAGGCTACAATTTGCACAAGCTCATCGAAATTGGACAATAGAAGATTGGAAAAACGTTGCCTGGTCTGATGAGTCTCGATTTCTGCTGCGACATTCGGATGGTAGGGTCAGAATTTGGCGTCAACAACATGAAAGCACGGATCCATCCTGCCTTGTATCAACGGTTCAGGCTGGTGGTGGTGGTGTCATGGTGTGGGGAATATTTTCTTGGCACTCTTTGGGCCCCTTTGTACCAATTGAGCATCGTTGCAACGCCACAGCCTACCTGAGTATTGTTGCTGACCATGTCCATCCCTTTATGACCACAATGTACCCAACTTCTGATGGCTACTTTCAGCAGGATAATGCGCCATGTCATAAAGCTGGAATCATCTCAGACTGGTTTCTTGAACATGACAATGAGTTCACTGTACTCAAATGGCCTCCACAGTCACCAGATCTCAATCCAATAGAGCATCTTTGGGATGTGGTGGAACGGGAGATTCGCATCATGGATGTGCAGCCGACAAATCTGCGGCAACTGTGTGATGCCATCATGTCAATATCATGTCAATATGGACCAATATGGAGGAATGCTTCCAGCACCTTGTTGAATCTATGCCACAAAGAATTGAGGCAGTTCTGAAGGCAAAAGGGGGTCCAACCCGTTACTAGCATGGTCTACCTAATAAAGTGGCCGGTGAGTGTATATAGATAGATAGATAGATAGATAGATAGATAGATAGATAGATAGATAGATAGATAGATAGATAGATAGATAGATATACATAACAGAAATAATAGTCAATAATCTATACATAATGATGCAGAGAATAAAATGAATGCATGTCTAACAAGGATATGACTTCAGTTAGTTTTTAAACTTTCCCTGACTATGGAAAACTTAAAAGGAAGAGATTAAATTTTTGTGTCATTTCTATTTTTTTGTGTTTTCTTGATGCCTCGGCAGTAGATAAAACATCAACCAAGGAGCCTCTCTGGTGCCCTCACATCAGTTATAAAACACCCTCAAAGGTTCCCGTCCAGTGAATAAAGGTTTAAAAATTCCTCTGAACTGTTTTTGTTTTTAGGTTTATAAAATGTTCTAAAAAATGTCTTTTTAGTGGATTAAATGTAAACAGAGCTCCCTCTTGATGCTCATTTAAGTTGGGGAAAAAGTAAACAAACTGCTCTTTGGATGCCCTGTCAGTGATAAAAACCAAAAAAATGCCCTCTTAACTCTCTTATAGTGGGTTAAATTAAAATAAAGCACCTTCTTGATGCCATTTGGTGGGTCAGTTCCAAACTCTTTGATGTCCTTTTATCTGGTTTAATGTAAACAAAATTCCGCTTATTGTGGGTAAATTGTAGACAAAGTGCCTCCCTAAAGCTCTTTCAGTGGGTCAAATGTAAACAAAGTGCCCTCTGGCCTTCGTCCTTTTTTTCCCCTTTTTTTTCCCTTTTTTTTAACCTTTTACCTACTTTGGAAGAAATAACCAAACAAAAATGTGCTTGTGTGATCCAAAGAGACTCAGTCAGTCCACAGAAAGGAAGAATACAAAAAATTAAAGCCATATAGTGTGTGTGTGTGTGTGTGTGTGTGTGTGTGTGTGTGTGTGTGTGTGTGTGTGTGTGTGTGTGTGTGTGTGTCTGTGTGTGTGTGTGTGTGTGTGTGTACCTTGCCCTGAAGCCACATTCATCAGCAGCTGGTGGTGCTCATGTGTTGGTTTGCTCAGGTAAAGTGCCCATGATCCTTCAGGGCTGTTCATTCTGCGTGCAAATACTCGCTCCAAGATCCTTAACAAGCGAACACCCTGGTCCACACGAAACTCCTCCTGTCTCACACACAGACACACACAGAGACACAAACACATACAGGTTACTGATTTGTTTTTCTGCAGAAGTTTTTTTAGATCATACACAAGCTCTTCTTAGAATGAACTTGAATGATTGTTAACAACACAAAAATAAGAAATAAGACAATTTGTACTTACACAGTTCACGTTTTGTGTCATGTTGAGGATGACGTATCCTCTTCCTGCCAGCTCACTCCAGTCCAAACACACCACCTGAGACATTTACAGGATTAACTCTATTTTATTATTATAATTATTATTATTCATGTAACAGCTCAAACATCCACAGGTACAGGAGTTAATTAAATATCGAATAACTTTAGTTTTTTGATTGAATGCTCCCTTATTTTAACATAAAATGTACCGGTAATGACATCTCAGTGACCGGCAGGGGTGTGGTCTTCTCCAGTTGATCCCAGGAGGTGTGTGATGGATCTGTGGTGAGCGGGAGAATGGGTCTGATTCCTGTTTCTTCAAACTGTCTCCACTCCTCCTCCTCCAGCTCATCACCTTTGTCTTTGGGTCCGATCCCTGAGAATATGAGCAAAGGTTGAGTTTGTGGTGGATCAGTTTGTGTTAGCGCTCAGCTGTGATTGGAAATCTGCAGTTTTAGGGATCATGTGATGATAAATGAAGAGCCGTCTCACTACTTATCCGGTGTCCCTCTTCCTCTTCTTCCTCCTCCACGCTGGGCTGCAGAGGCTCTCTGCTGGGCGCCATGCCAACCTCTGGCACTGTGGGATTCTGGGTAAATACGCCTTTGTTTGTCAGGCCTGTTTCCTCCTCCTCCTCCTTTTCTGTCTCCTCATCCTCTGTCTCATCTGCAGGAAAAAGACACTTAACAACAGCAGCAGACACACTCTAAACTTTGCTTGTTTAACGCACCTCTGGTGTAACTCCCCAGCAGCCCAAAGTCTGTCCCCGTGTCAGTCTCAAGTGTCACAGTTGCCTCGAGGTCTTCATCAGCTGTAGATGTGGAAACAGGTGCAGTGACAGTTGTAGTGATGGAGGAGTGAAGGACTCCATAACCGCTGGAGTGACCGCCTTCCTCTTTCTCTGCCTCCCACAGCTCTTTCTCTAGAGGACCCACCTGGACGTGGACATCAGGAGGAGGTTTTTTAAAGGTATATATAAGCCCAACCACCAAAATCTGCCTGAGTACAGTACCATGTAGCCAAAATGAAACAACTCCAGCATGATGCAGAGCTGTCTAAAGTCTGAATTCATGATTTGTCAGCTTTTTCAACAAGACAGGAGCATCAACTTTTTAAACTGCTGTTTTTTATGGTTTTTGACGTGATCATTGACCAAACAGGCTTTTATGTTCCAGTATCAAATAAATTTCTTACTGGTACATAATATATCACTTGGATAACATTTATTCACCTCAAGGACTGAAGGCCCTCGATGCTCCTGCAACCCGGCATCATGAACCTCTGCTGGGGCGGAGACTTCGGGCTCTTGGTGTAAAGATGGACTGTAGCCTGTATAAAACAAAGAGACATGTCTGAGACAGCTGTTTGTGTTTGTGTGTGAAAGTCTTGTAAATACACTTCTTCACATTCCTGTCTCTAGAGCTGACAGAAGGTTTGGACAGGTGGTTAGAATGAAACAAAAATGATTTAGAAAATATACAGCCAAAAGCACAAATTTATGTCCTGTCGGTTTGTTGAAACAGGATTTTCATAAGGTGTGAGGCATTTGTTCTGTAAATGGTTTCCCTTTGAAATATTTTTCCTGAGCATGCACTCGAATAAAAAGTCAAAATGTCAAGAAAATGCTGAAATTTTGAGAATAAAGTTGACCTTTTGGAACTGTAACAAACAGTGCATTTGACAAAACTCCATGCATAGACTTCGAAGCACTCCTTCGCTATGGTAACTTGCTACACCGTCAGGCCAACAACGGCAGCAAACTGAGACCAATTAAAGTTGCCTGGCTTGGGAGACACACTGTCCAAATAAGTGAATGTTTTTATAACTTTACACAAGTTAAATTCATGCCAGAATATGGCTCCAAAGACTTCTAATAACTGCTAACTATGTGCCACTCTTTGGATTTCTCCAACTAGTAGCTTACTAATTTTGCCTCATCCGTCTTCTGCCGGGTTTTTCCAACGATTGGCGCCACACTGTCGCCTTCTACTGGTCAGTATAAGCAACATTACTGTCGGTGACAATTTCACCTGAAACAAACATACAGGCTGTTTTTTTATTTTTGTCTTGTGCTATAATCAACTTCCTTTTTCAAATATGAAAATTGAAAATCCAACCATCATTTGAGTTTTCCTTAATCGTTCCAGATGACAAAAAAGAAAATCAAGCTGTATTTTGATTTTGGAGTTTCTATTTTCAAACAAAAATCAAATAACTAGTCGTTTTTACATTTTTTATATCTGTTTCCAAACATTACATCCAATTACCAAAAGAGACATGCAAGCTAACGGTACAGCGAGCGTTGTTATGCTAATCTAGTATAATCGGGTTTTACTCATTATTTCGAATAACCTTGAATAGTAAATAACATGTCGATGACCATATTTGGACAGAGGGAGGTATTTTTTTATTTGCATCTTTGTCAGATGCTAATCACACCCTTGAGTGTGACAGTACAACTCCCATGAGCACCCCCTGCGTGCAGCTTTTTGGTCATTGGTCCTCTCTTCCTGATACGATTATAAAGGGAAATCTTTGTGTTTTAACAGTCTTTACAGATGTGTTTAGTGATGTTTATTTCTACTGACCAATCAGAGAGTCCAGATCTGGCGTGGTGTGGTTTGCTTCCAGAACATCCAGCTCATGGTCATGGTCTTCTTCTTCCCCTCCTCTGACGTCTCCTCTTCTCCTCTCTCTCTCCTCCCCAACCCCCCTCTCCCACTCGTCCTCACCCCCTCGTCTCTCCCTCTCCTCCCCGCCCTCCTCTCCTCTGTCTCTGTCCTCTGTGTCCGTCCCATAAAAGCCTGAGGCCTCCAGGGAGGCGTCTCCAGCTCCTGGTCCACCGCCGAGTTCCTTTTCAGCATCCTGGGGGACCACCAGGTGGACCATACGCTGGAAGTAAGGACATGTTTGGTCACATGATCAAAGTAATGAATCACAGTGAGTGTGGATCTAACTTTGATCAGTACAGGTACCTGTTTGAGAGAAATCTAAAGACTCCTGCTCACCTCCATCTCATCTTCCACATCCAGATTTTCATCCATGGCAGTCCTAGTCCTGGTTCTGGTTCTGCTCTGACCATGATTGGGAGCTGATGGAGGGTTTAACTGTGAAGTGTTAGCCACGGTGTCCATCTTTCCCTGTGAGCGGGACGTCTCGTGGATCTCCGGCCAGCCCATGTCGTGAACCAGGTGGGGCTGGGATCGGACTAGCTCAGAGGCTGAGTGGCGTTTGGATCGGACTAATTCCTGGAGGATGTGTGCCTGGGCTGAGACTTCATCCTGCAACAGACGGGGCACCGGAGGACCAAGGGGTATGACTCTCTGAGAGGAACCCAGCCTGAAGGCTCCACAGGTGGTCAAGAGAGCTGAAGGAGAGAGAGAAAGACCCAAACCCAGAGCCACATTTCACCAAAACTTATGTAAGTTTGGTCAAATCTCAATTTAAAAATAAAATTTAAAAAAATATGGAAAGACAATAACATCCGTAATTCAAGAAGTAAGAACATGGTGTCAAATACTGACAAAAAAATTATTTAAAAAGTTTGCAACTCATTTAAATTCCTGTAATTAATTGAAAAAAAAAATTAAGACAACTTATTATGACATTTAATTCAGAAATAAAACACCCAAAAAAGCATCTCCTGACAAATTTACATTTATAATTTTGTGGTGCAGTGACTTTCCCAAATATCTATTCTTGTGCTCTGATGTTTGGAAAAATGCTGCTGAGAGTTTTAACGAGTCAATAAATCCTCTGAAATGAATGAAACTGAATAAAGAAGTAGAAAAAAAAACAGTAAGAGGTCAGATTAACAGATTGAATCACGTCACCATTTCCTCTTAATGTGATTTGTGTTTTTTTCAAACTCGTCATACGTCAGGCTTGAGAGAAGAGCTTTCTGCCATCTGCATTTTAAATCAGGAGCTTTTATCGCCTGCTGTCAGACAGTCAATGAAAAACTCTGTTTGTCTTCTCATTCATGCTTTCATTGATTTGTTTTTTCTCTTTCATCTTTTGTTCACTCGTTCACTTATTAAATTTAGCTCATCATCTCTTAGCGTTTCATCTCTGTCTCTTTCCCTGGCTCATCCTTCCCTCTGTCCACAGCTCTGTCACTAATCCCCTGTCTCTTGTCGTGGAGTCAGACCCCCTCATGGTCTCGTTCACAGTTCCTGCAGGGTTCTCAGTCTGGGGCCACAGATGGTCGTCTGACCTCGAGGTCTGACTGAGCAGATTATATCACTACTGACACTTCTGCGACATGTCTGCAACACACCTGCAGCTTGTCATGCTCTGCAGTCAGACCCTCCATGCCACAAAAGGATATGAGAATTTGCATCAATGAAATTGTGAGGATGTTCTCGTCAGAGCACATCAGCCTTCATTTTTATCTTTCAATGTTTGTTGAAAATAAGATGGTTGAAAAATATTGTCCCCTCATTCACCTTTAAACAATGCTTAACAAAACCATGAATGGCTTGCACGTCCTCTGTGCAAGTGCTGCTTTTTGTGGATGACTTGTCCAGAAAAGAGACTGCAGGAGAGGAAGGATGAAGGGATGAGGAGGACATGAAGAGAAAGATAAAGGAGGAGAAGTGCTGTGGTGGTTCAAATTTCTCTCCGGCTCAGACATACACAGTCAGCATCGTGCTAATACAACTGCATGCCAATAAAGACTGTTTTCACATCAATGCAAGTTTGAAAAGAGTCTGAAGATGGTGAAAAATAAAGACCAGAAAATTGATCTGAGAGAGTGTTTATACTTTCTGAAAATGAGGGGAAATGAATCCCAATCAAGGCTATGGATCTGATTATTGGGCGTGGGGACACAAAGCTGGGACATCTCAGGTTCATTGAAGCCGACAGAAGGTTTAAGATTAGCTGTTTCCGCAGACGCTTTTCATTGTCTCACTTATTAAAACTTCATGATGCAGCGTTACTGTTCTATGAGAGCCTGAGCCTGAGAGATTATTCAGAAGACACTGAAGGACAAACTGCAGAAGAAGTTAAACACAAAATCACAACTCAATATTCCTGTTTGAGTCTGCACAGACCTTCAGGACACTTCACTGTTATGACTGTTTTTCTTCTGACACATATAGACAGCAGATTTCAAAATAAAATAAACTAGCCACTAACCAGCCAATTGGTACTGTCTGTAACTAAACAAAAACCTCCTGACATTGACGGAGAAGCTACAAAACCAGTTCCTGGAGTGTCCACTAGAGGTCGTCTCCTGAGGCAAGGCCATCCCCATAGGGCCTCATGTTAAAATGTTGAACAGCAGAATAAACATGCTAACATTTGTTGTCTCTTTAGTTTGTTTCTCTCTTCATGGGAACTTGTTTGTGTGACTGTAAAGTTCTGAGTACAAGGTGCACTTTTCACACCTTCCTAAATACCAATGGGAACAACAAAAAAAGGAACCAAAGGCTGAGAGAGGTTCACATTGTGTTGCTATATTTTACCCAAAAGATGGCGCCTCAAAAAAGCGAACAACTGCAAAGCATGCAGGAGACACAGTGCAGGTCTGTACCACCCATTAGCTGATGTCTCTGTACATGTTTTCTGTTCAGTGGCAGTCGTACCCAATCACAGTCCTGAATCTAGGAAGACTCACAGGGGCGTCGTACCATCATCCATCGTATTCATAAACAACCAAGATGGCAGCATCTGCTGCTATAAGGTTCCTTGAATTTGCTACTCAGACCACTTTAGTGGAGGTGGATAAAACATCTCAAATTAAAACAAGAACAAACAAAAATAGCATTTATTTCCTCTCTACATGATTGTTTACAGTTGTGTTGCTTTGTCACCTGCTGCAGTTGTTGCAGGTCTGAAAAGTTTCTTCTAGTGGCACTGTCATATGCGACTGTTGCAAAACACAAACAGTACCAGACCCATATGGTGACCCCAGGCTGGGTCTGTACCTTTAAACTATCTTTGCCTGTTTGCAGATAAGTAGGAAGTTAGGAGGGGTTTGCATTTCCAACATGGTGACCACTGTCATTTTCTGGCCTTACAAACCAGTGTGTGGCATCACTGGGACTACAGACATGTTTTATACAAACTCTGACTGAGGCTGTCCCTTTTTATTCCAAATTCAAACCTTTGAATCTTCAAACAAACTCAAGGGTGAAAGTTTATAGTCAAACTTCAGTGAGCACTCATATTCGTTTGCAGTTGATTTTCCGAAAAACTTACAGTGACTATAAAAACTCTCTGACCTCTATTAGCGAGGTGTCTGTGATGGACTATGGTGTTTCAGTTTGTGCAGACAATACACCAAGTTTTGGAGCCAAATATCAAAACATTAACACGACCCAAAAGTATTCAAGATGCATAAGAAAAATCTTTATATTAGAGACAGGTCTGAGTCCTCCTCTCATAGATTTATGTTTCAGATCTAAACCTACATTGACTCCATCTCTGTGATGCTGTACATGCCAGCTTAAACTCTACGTGTCGACCTTGAAGGTTTCTGCTCTGTAAAGGCGACTCTGCAGGCTAATTACTTGAGAAAACTCTTCCAGAGTCGGTGGATTCAATGGGACTGAACAGCTAAATTTGTCTTATCAGCCTCACACAGATACACTCCCTGCTGAGCTGGACGAGCAGGACAGACACCTTGGGGGGAAACGAGTGGATGCCTCGGAGGGGGAGATAGTCTGAAAGTTTATCAAACCTGCCTCAGATTAAAGGACCAGGTAAAACTTTCTTTAGATAAAAAAGAGGCTGAAGCTGTGAGTTAGAAAAAGAAAGCACAGAAGGGTGTTTGGAAAACTGGATCATGATAATCTGGTTTCTCTGAGAGGCTTTTTCCAAAAGAGTCCTCCAGGACCAGAGGGGAAAACATGATTGAGTTAGTTTCTCTCAAAAAAACACTCAGATAATCCTGGGTGCACACTGATTTTTTGCAGATTAATCAGAGATTATTCTGACACTGGACTGGAATATATCATGAATTCATACGACCTAAAACAAAAGTGTTCCCTGTTCCTCATGGTGGCCCCGAGAGCCGAACAACAACACGGAAGAGCTCCATCAATAAAACAGACTATTTAAGCTAACGTGAACTCCCAGCAGAACTTTTGAGGTTCAGGGTTTAAAAGTTTCTCTCTTTATGGAAATCTCTACTAAATCCTGTAAGGCGTCCCCAGTATTTCCTGATGACTCATCCTGCACCAAATAAAGCCAGAAATTTCTTAGTTCATTGTGATTTGGGACCCACGGAGCCGATATTGGACTTTTTGTTAGCTTGTGGTTCAAAGCAGCTAACAGGTTTGAAAGTAGATGTCTAAGCTTTGTGTTTGGACGTCAGTTTGTAATTGGGGTGTTGGACTCCAGACCTTAATAAATAAAAATCAGACTGCTATTTTCATGTTATTATCCCACACTAACAAGGCTAACGGTAATAAAGCTAACTGATCTAAGTAGCTAGCAAAACAAAGTGCTGATTGATTGTAAGTTAATTTTTTTGATTTGGCTCACTGATAATTTATTAATCTTACTATTTATGAAATTGTGTTTAAATTGTTTCAGCAAAAAAAAATTTCTTGTTTTTTGTGAGTCTATGTTGCGCCATCTAGTTGAAGTTTTGTTAACATAATGGAAGTTTGAAAGCTAAAGCGATTACGCTGTTAAAAACGTTCTAATGTATTTTTATATGAACGGGTTGCCGGGATGAAACCCAACCGGGAGCACAAGCTGAGGCTCCACCTGGTGTTCAATGTCAGTATTACATGCAGGGTATTCACTGTGTCTCCTTTGCTGTTACTATAAATTACAGGGGGAAAAAAACTTCATTTTGGCTCAAACAAAAACGGAAAAAAATATCTGCTGACTCTGTTTGATATTGAGCACATTCGTCCGTCATTGAAAATCATGAATTTGGGACCAGTTGTTCATTTCTTCCTGTACGAGTTTACCAATTTTATAAATATTAGGGTTCGACCTGTAGCTTATCATTTAAAATCATCTTGAGTTAATCTGAACTGTAAGTTCTGCAGAAAGTCTTCAGTTTCACCTCACATGGAGGATAAAATATGACGTGTGGCTGTCTCGTCTTGTGTTGTTTGCAGCTTTAATTTGATGTTCACGCTGAATATTAGGGAGGAGGGGTTTCCCTCATAAGCCTCCTCTTTTCGTGCCTTTACACCCCTCAGATCAGCTTATACAAGACTGGGACCCTCCCCCAAATCCCCCTCACCCAGACTGAGAGCTCAATGTCCTCGTTCCCTCGTTGCTCTCTTTAAAAACCTCATTTCAGCCTCATATACTGTGTTTATATTTCAGATTTAGACATTATAATGCTGAGTTTTATCATCCAAGATGGGCAAACAGAGGCAAGAGAAATAAATCATCAATCTGAGTCTGCACCATCAGAAAGCTCAGACTCCACACCGAAGCCTCATTACTGAAGGGATTTTGTGCTGCCTCTGCTGCTGATAATTTATAATATTTATAACGGCTGAATCATTTGTTACACAAGGCAGGCAACGGAAAATGATTCAGCATCTACTTTGACTCTTCTTGAATGCTTTTAGACTGTTTTCCAAGCAGAAACGTCAAACATTTGCTGTTTCCAGCTCTTCATATCTGATTACTTGATATTTGACAAAATCATTCAGTTTGTTTTTTACTGATATTTTCAACAAAATCAGTCATTTTATGTGTAAATTTGCTTTTGTAAGCATCCTGCACTCTGTCCACATTGCAAAAAACAAACCTATTGACAATATTTCTGAACCATAACATTAAAGTGTATTCATGCTGTTTAGACTGTGCAGCAGTTTGCTTGTACCTTCTGACAAACTCTGCAGAAGTGCAAAGTATTTTTGTTTATTTTATGTCCTATTTTCTGATATTTTGTAGAGATTACAACATAATCAATCTGTGAAAATGACAGTGACAAAATGGTAGATTTTCAGGTGATAAAAATGCTTGAGTTTCAAGTCATAAATAAACAAGGATCTATTTTGCAGCAGCTTTCTGAGTGTGAGGAATGTTGATATTCTCTGTTCCCGTCTTTGGAAATTTGATATTTTCAGGCTGTAGGTGAGACAAATAAAGAAATCTGAAAAGATCATTTTTAATGTTTTAAACTTTGATGGTCCTGCTGATGATTTTGTAGGTCATCAATACTTCAATAAATATTCTGATCATATTACAATCAACACATTAAAATGCACCAACATGATGAAGCAGATTCAGCTCACAGCCTTCATCATTGTTAAAATGAACTGATATACTCGAGATGATGGTTTCATTTCCCCATGCCATGCCAAGTCCTGCATGGTGCGTGTGTGTTTGTGAGTGTGTGTCAGACACTGCAGTGTGTGTCTGCTGATTTAAGTGCACTGCGTGCCTCCCACACACTGCCATCCTGTGTGTGCATCCACTTTGCAGAATTTAACCTGAAGGCTTCATGAAGAACAGACACTCCGATTCATCAAATAACCATCAAATATCACGTCAGGATGAAAAGCTGCACACAAACACAATGACAGACTTTACACATGTGATCTGATCCTCTAGAGTGTCCTTTGGTTCCTCTGATCCCCGTCTCCTGCAGACCCCTTTAATATGTGTGTGCTTTTGAATCCTGTTTGGATAAATTAATAAAAAATGAGTGGAGATGAAGAGACTCACCGATCAGTGTGATGAGGAGCGGGCCCGGCATGACTGCTGCAGTGCTCAGCATCCTCCTCCTCCTCTTTCCTGTGAATGGACAGACCTCTCAGATAAAACCCGCTCTGTCTGTGTGTTGGTGTTTTTCAGGAGTACGTGGGGCTCATAGCGGGCTGGCAGTACTGTGTGCGGGATCACGGACTAACGGTGTGCGGGCTCCGGACTCTCAGACTGCGGTCATGCCAGCTCCTGTCTGTTCTGCTCTGCTGCAACACCGACGCTGCTGGAAACAACCGCCTGCCAGCCACCTGTGGTTCCCCCTGCTGGCCGCTGGATATCACTGCAGCCGAGTGACTGTGGCTCTCTGCTGCTGCGTTCACGCGCTCCTCGGAATTAACACCTAAAAGTTCCACCGTTTTTTCTTGATTAACGAGATAATTATATCAGTAACACAAGATAATGTTTTTTGCCGACATTTTTTCATCCATTAAATTTTCCCTTCATTCTGACACTATTACCTCATTAATTCAGAAAAACAAGGTCGTTTTTTTAATTTAACAAAACTCTTATTTTGAATTATTTCATCAATTTAAAAGGCTTTTTTTTCAGTGAATATGCTTCCTAAAAAAAGGTTATCCAACATTTCTTACAATCACGTTATCATTCCAATTTTAAAAGCCCAGCCTGTCTGTAAAGTTGCCATATACAAAGTATAAGAGATGAAGAATCATTAATCCAGGAACCTATGAATTCATAAAATAAAGACTTAATCACGTCCTATTTAGGTGTAGTTATAGACTAAAGGTTAATCAACTTTACCTTCGAGTTTTTAAATATCATGAGTTCAGTATTACAATGATTCATGCTCAAAAGTGTTATAACAGCATCAAAAGTATCTTACATGATATTGCATTAGAGCTGGGCATTATGTGCCAATATCATCTGCAATAAACTCATTTTTTCATCAGGAGCATCCGGTACTGTTGGTACAGTGGAAAAAACAGTGGTCCCAAAACAGAGCCCTGGGGCACACCATTCACTGCTTTGAGATATACAGGGGTGAGTCCTTCAGCTTTGTAACGCCCTATAATGTAATAATTTACCGATAATGTAATAACACCTGATAATATCAGTAAATTATAACATTATAGGGTAATTCAATTCTGGACTCCGTGATTAAACTGAAGAGACACCAAACACATAAAACAATTTTAACTTTTGTTTTTATTATCAAATAACACCAACAACCTGACATCAAGTGAATCCAACAGTACAAACATTAAACTTTATTTTACCTTTCAAAGCACTTGATGTGTTTTAGTTTTTTTTTTTTTTTTACAGGAGCTAGAAACAGAGAGCTGGACACACAGCAGGTCTGTAAAATGTTTTTCATTTTAACTTCAGCTAACAGAGAAAAAACTTTTATTTAAACAGAGACGGAAACATTTACATCTATTTACAATCAGCCTGGACTGAGGACAGAGGCCGGAAGGAGGAGATCATCTGGGTCATTTTTGCAGGCTCTCAAATGTTTCATCGACCTGATACTATTTAAGAGCACGAATAAAAAAAATAATCCTGCAACTCCAAAGTTCTGTGAGGATGTTTAAGGCACGTCCACCTCTGACTCGCTGCTAATTCAAGGGAGAATTTAAGTATTTTAAACCAAAGCCTAAATCTGAAATGATTTCTTGAAACAGGCTGAAAGCTGACTCTTAAATACTGAAAAGTATGTTTTACCCCTGTTCGATGAACTTCCATGAATTCTGATGTTTTGGAAAAAGTTCCTTAGTCTTAAGCGAAAGCCAGCCCTGCCAATCCTTTAGGTCCAACACCTTTCCAAAGACCCAGTTGGTCCTTGAAAGAAGAGTCCATGAAGCACTACGAGCCGAGGAGGAGGAGGAAAAAGGCGTTGTGCACCTTAATACTGCTGCAGGATCAGCTTCTTCTTCCCGTCATGGCTGAACCTGTTGGAGCGGAAAAGGTCGCTGTCGTAGAACGCCGACAGGTTATGGATGTTGATCTGTCTGGCCTGCAGGAGGAAAACGAAAACAATTCAAACCTGGAACAGACATGAACCCAATCCCACCTTCAGCAGCTGTTTGGTCTGCTGGAGAGGATCCTTTACTCCAAGGTTACCTTATCATGCAGGTCTTTCTCAGGGATCTCAACTGTGTCATTCTGGACTCCGTATCTGTTCCTCTGGTAGGCGACCTGCTCAGCCACCAGCTGCTTCAGGATGAACAGCAGCAGCTCGTTGTTGTCTCTGCGGAAGGCCAGGTACCGGGCAAATGTCTGGACACAAAAACCATCATCAGCTTTAGGAATCAGAAGAACCTCAGAAGTTGATGGACCTTTAAAAACACCCTCAGGGTCTCACCTTCCTCATGCTCCTCATCACACTGAACTTCTGCGTGTCGATGAAGCTCTCGAGCATCACTCTGATCGCCATGTTCACGTCATCTTCAAGAACGTAATCCCTCAAGTGCATCTTAGCATGAGCCTCTGCCATCCGGATCATCGACTCGATGTGACGCACCGTGATGGGGATGCTGCCGGTCGCCTACACAAGGTCCAAACAGACATTTAAAACTTTCCATAGAAATACTCCTCAGAAACCTCCTCGGAGATCTGTCACAGAAAGACCAAGTCCTCACCATGGACTCTTTGCGCAGGTCGCTGTAGATCCGAGCCACTTTGTCCTGATCCATCTGGTTCAGTTTGGGATGAACCTTGAACATGAGAAACAAACATGCAAAATTACAGGAAATGTTACCACTTTAGGAAGCACATGGTCAAATAACAAAGACTACAGATCCAAAATGAGCAGCAGACATCTGTTTAACTTAGTTATCTAAAGAAAGACACAAAAACCATGACAGAAAGCGTCCTCCTCTAAATCAGCTAATTTCTTTTCTTCAATTCATGAAAATATTAAATACAGTGACCGCTGCTCCTCATGTCTTCATACCCGCTCTTTGGCGTAGATGATGTACTTCCTCATGAGCTCCTGGGGAATCAGCGGTACGTCAGACGAGTTAGGCAGAATCATCTCCTCCAAGGCCACGCCCCCTTCCTTATTGCTAGGGTGATGTTTAATGTGGGAGCCGACCACGAAGCGAGCCAGCATCTCATCCTGGAGGAAAAGAAAGAGCCAATCACGTTTAACCAGAATTAGACTCCTCTGTGTGTGTGTGTGTGTGTGTGTGTGTGTGTGTGTGTGTTTACCTGCACAGGGTCCACAGTGTCTCTGACTACACACAGCACATCAAAACGGGACACGATTGGCTCCGTCAAGTCGACGTTCTCGGCAAAGGTGAGGGAGGGGTCGTACCTGCCGCCTACAGGAAGTGCAGAAGAGATAGGCTGTATTGGCTGAGTGAGATCGTGTTGGTTCGTTCCACTTTAGTGGGGCAACATAAACTGTGATTCATAAAATAGCTCTATTGATAGTGAGTACTAAAAAAAATATCTACTCATGCCATCCTGTCGATTTTTAGTAATCAGTGTTTCGGTGTCGAACTATTTCCTTTCTGCGGCGTAGTGATACTGGCACATGCACAATCGAATATGCAGAGGGGTGAAGCGATTTTTGTCATGTGGACCAATAGGAGCCGAGTCTCGTTGCCATAGTATCAGAAATACACAAACATGGCGAAGAGCGCATTTAGCAATGAGACAAGCGGAGGAAGAAGGAAGAAAAGAAAAGGAAATAAAGAAAACAGCCTTCAAAAGTGCATAGAAAAGGAACGAAACAATGCTATATGCATCTATCATCTGTCCAGATGAAGACGTTCTTGACTTTACAAGGACACGATGGGAAACTTACAGAACTAGTATTAGAAAGTGGCCCTCTCAACGGGGTGAGAAAAAGGACCTTGCAAAAACTTATAAACATTGCGTTGATATCGACTTTGACAATGTTCCTGATGATGCTGGATTTCACATGACATACTACCAGCGATTTATTTGCAAAAGGCGTTTGAGAAACAAGAACATGATGCAGCCGCGGGTCAGTCAACCCCTTCAGCCAGCATTGCCGATGCGCCGATTTGGTTGTCTTGCAACTACAGTGAACTATCTGCAAAACACTATCAGGGGCAGGATTTGTAGTCATCCATGTCACTGCCAACTCCCCATCCTCAATGTGCCACCCATTGCTAATGGGTGAAGGGGCACACATTTTACCAGTCAGAGAATGTTTCATCACCGCTGCTCGGTAGTTAACTGTCATGCAGTGTTGGTACAGGGCGTCACTTGTTGGGGAAATGGACAGTTCTGGCAAATCTGACGAAGCCAAACAACCAAATGTGAGACTCAACGATGTTCTTGTATGTCTGCAAGACTATCTTGTACAGATTCATGTCGGTGCCAAGTATGTGAGAATGCTTCAAAGGAAACAGAAGAAAGAGCTGTATGGGATGATGACTGATTAAAGTGATAGTGATGCGTAATATACGCCATGTACAATTTGTTTTGTTTTTATATTTTGATATTTGTTCTACATTTGTCCTTGTTTGTGTTTTGATCTTTATTTTCATATTCTGGAAGGATTGATAAATGTCAGATGTTTTGACACTGTGATACTTGAATAAATGTTTTATACAATTTTTTGAATTAATTCAGATCTTTTGTGCATTTATTTTTGTCTTGTTACATTTTTTCCATTATTCCAATTTTGGCCTGGTAGCAATTTGACTGATTATCAGCCATTTATGGCCACGATGTGCTGTTTATATTTCATTGCTTTTATTACACAGTAGGTTGTGTCATTTTTATGTATGAAACATAAGCTTTTAGCTAAATTTACTGTATATATTTCATTGTGCTGGGTGCAAATCACTTGAGTTGAGACGTTTTCTTCAAGAAATTTCCTACATTTCATAATCTGAATTCACTTATGCGTATACTAAGGCACCAATAACTGTTTCAGATTTTAGGTCGATGTATTCATGACATTTGAGAAAGATTTTGTCTTGCCAGAATCAACATAGCAGTTTCTATAAGAAAAAACAGCAGCACCATATAATCGTTTTTTTGTGTTACTCACATATGTACATTTCTGGTTGGTGACAAAAGTCGGACAGATAGTCTGAGTAGATATTTTAACCCAAAGTCCAGAAGGGTATTGTCTATACAAAAATGCATTGAACACGTAGCACCAGCGTAGTGAAACGAAATTCACTTTCTCTGCACTTTTTCCTTTGTCCCAATACAGCCTAAGAGAGAGACAGAGAGATGTCTTTTATGTCCCTCATAGATTTTGATTTTTTATTGTCAAACGTGTTTTTTTGTTTTTTTTTAACACCGGCAGGGGAACATTTGATATTTGTGAATTTTACTTTTCAGCCTCATTTTCAGAGACTAAGGAGGCATTTCAGGGGTGTGGGAATCATCACCTTTGATTCCTCGCTGTGTATCTTACCGATGGGGTTAGAAGCGGCGATGACGGTGCACCTGGCCTGCAGTGAGGTGACGATGCCGGCTTTAGAGATGGAGATGCTCTGCTGCTCCATCGCCTCATGGATACTGGTCCGGTCTGCGTCGTTCATCTGCAGAAACACGGTGCTCACAGGTTTGCTCATTTTCCCACATACGAATAATCTTCGTATGAAACTAAAGCCGCTCCTCTGGACTCACCTTGTCGAACTCGTCAATCAGACACACTCCACGGTCAGCTAACACGAGCGCTCCGGCCTCCAGCGTCCACTCTCTGCTGACCGGGTGTCTCTGAACGTAGGCGGTCAGACCAACAGCAGACGCTCCCTGACCTGTAGTGAACACGGCGCGGCTCGCCACCTTCTCTACATACCTGCAGATTAAAACAGTAACAGTTCAGCTCCTGGGCCCGTATGCACGTTGAAAGCGTTTAGCGTAAACGCGATTAGGGCTTAAACGCGTTTAGTTCCTATACGATTTTGGTATGCACAATGCTGTAAACGGAACCGTATAGCTAACCGCGTTTACTGTGTCTTACACGGGTCGAGTGACGCTCGAGTGACGGTTCGACTGACTGTCGACTGATCCACTCCTACTAACTCCCCACACACGTCTTGGAAAGAAGAAGTGGCGTAGTACCGTAAGGGTACGAGGACTTGTTGTAGTGGAGTGAGGGTGAATCCTCGGTTCGAAAGTTCAATTTCAGTGGAAATCTCCTGTGTGAGGTCGAGAATATGGTGCTGTCGAAATCTAAACTTACGGAACACTTCGTGGTCGTCATACGTGTCGAAGGGTGTTTTCTGTCACGAAAAATCCTGTTTCGACGCAATTGTCGCCGCTGTCTTCCTTGGAACAACAAGAGTGCCGCCGTATTTAAACGCGTTTAGACCCGCTATTGGACCCCCAGAGGTGCGATAACTTTAAACGCGAAAATCCGTATAGGAACGGCTATACGAAGTGACGTGCATACCGACATTTTTGGCGTTTAGGAGTTAAACGCGTTTAGCCCGCTAAACGCGTTTTGCCAAGCAACGTGCATACGGCCCCTGGTCTCTCCTCTGAATTTCACTGCAGGTTTAGGTCTGAAATCAGGAGGACTGTGCTCCCAGTCTCCTGCTCTGACTCTCTGAATAAATCCGTAAAAGCTAAAAATATTTCACTTCTAAAAAGTTGATTTTAAATTAAGTTTAGTTTACTTTTAATGTTTGCAGAGGGTTACAAACTTTATACGTACTTGAGGAACTGGGACTTGGCGGTGCCCGGGTCTCCACACAGCAGCACGTTGATGTCTCCTCTCACCTTGTGTTTCCCACCTGGAGGAGAGCATTGACAGTTGATAGAAAACTCAGCGAGAAGCACAAGGACACACACAAGGCGGTGCTTCAGTTCCAGGTAGAAAGCTGAAAGTGTCACCTGGATTTTTGGGCTCTCCTCCAAACAGAGATAGAGCGAGCGCCCGTTTGATGTCCTCGTGACCGTAGATGGACGGAGCCATGCTGGCAAAAACCTGCAGAGAGGACAAAGGAGTTACAGAAAAGTCAGGAGAAACCTTTACTGACATGAAGTCCACCTGGAAATTTAATACAACCCAAAACAAATCAAAACCTCTGAATTTAGTGCTTATTGTTCCATTTATGAACTGTGGAAGTCGTACAGGATGTTGGCGGTGTACTTGAGAGCATTTTACTGAAAGGTGTTCCTATTCATTTGGGCTCCTCATACTTGTTTCCAGTGAAATGGACAAAATATATTAGGAACCCATTTCAATAAAATCGCTCCAGTACAAGATTCATAACCTGTCTGCCTGATTTAAAACTTGAGGACAAAAAATACGACATAATCACTTTTCTGCAGATCAGATGGAAAGCAGGAAAGTGTCACCGTGTGTGTGTGTCCTCACCCTCTCTCCGATGCGCTCATCTTTGGACAGAGCAACAATGGCTTTGACGTCTTCATCCGTCAGCTCGGCCACAGCCATGCCGTCGTCCTTGCAAGTGATGTGATTGGCCAGAATGACAGTGGCAAACACGGGGAAGCCGTTGGCCATGTTCAGAGAGCCGTCGTAGTTGTTGTGGTAGATTCCTGTCAGCTCCTGAAGAAACACAGACCAGCAAGAGAACGTTTAAATACTTTATAATGGCGACAGTTTTTGATTTATGATTCATTCGTGCCGAACTCACAATCTCATCTCCGGGTTTGCAGCTGTCCACAAGGTCAGCCAGCAGGATGGCGTCTTTGGAGCGCGGCAGGCGGCCTGCAGCGACCTTACCAGGGCTTTCCTGGATGGTGATTCGCTGGTAGTTTTGGTACACAGTCTACAGGAAGAAGACACAGAGACAAAGCCATCGGTTAAATCATGACAGGAGATAAACAAGAAAAAGGTGAACCAGCATTATCGGTCTGATTTCTCTGAAATAAAGCAAAAGGAGGTGATTTACTCTGAGATTAAAGGGATAAACTGTTGTTTTTCAGTAGTTTCTTTTCTGACACTTCTAAACTCATGAGACGCTCATCCTCCACCTCTCAGGATCGTCTCACCTCCTCCATGTTGATCTCGAAGGGTCCGAGGGACTGACACTCTGGACAGGATCCGGGTTTCACCTCCTGGTTCTGGGACTGGAAGAACGGCCCCAGCACAAAGTTACACTTGTTACAGTTGTACTTCACCATCCCGAGCTGAGGCAGCACGCCTGTGCAGCTGCTCACCACACCGCTGGTCCGGATCAGCTGGTTCAGGTGGAGCTGCCTGCATACAAAGAGGAGGAGGAGGCGGGGGAGGAAGAGAGTCAGGGATGTTAGATTTTATCATCAGGAATTTTAAGTCAATATTTGTTTTTGCAGGTTTTTGGGGGGGAGAAGTGTTTGTGCAATAACAGCATGCATTATTAAAGACCTCATCTGCTCGTGATGATGCAGGTGGCTGCTCGGCTTTTAGGGGGAAATGATTCATTCAGAGTTTGTGGACTTATGGAGAAAACCAGGGCAGGTGCATTTACTTATGTAACACAAAGATTCATGAAACCATAAATGATGATCTAAAACATGAGTGCATGTTTTAATCTCTCCAATAACTTGTAACTTGAGCTCATATATCAGTGTAATTTGTTTGCAGGTCTATATATTTATGATGCTTTTAAATAAACTTATGGGGAAAACCAAACCTGAGCTTGGACCTTTTTAGTGTTTCATCATTGCATACTCTTAGTCCAGTCTCACCTAAGTGAGCGGATCTCCTCCACCAGCGGCAGGTTGCAGATCCGGACGTGGATCTCGTGGGCGATGCGGTCGTACTTCGGGTACATGGCCAGAACGACTTCTTTAGCTGCTTCATCAAAAATCTGATCAAGAAAAGACAGAAAGATCAAAAACAGTTTTTCACTTTTCTATTCGATGTCCTCTCTGCGTGGTTCAGCTTTAATCAGCATTTTTGGATGTTGTAACAGACTATGAGCCTGTGCAGTGATTTTCTCTACAGAGCAGTGCCTGTTTTTATGCTAATTCAAGATATAGGTCCTAAAAAAGTTGTTTTAGACCAGGGACATCCAAGTGATCAGTCTTTTGTTTTTGCTCAACTCGATTTTTAACAAATGTGAGGAATACTTAACTCTTTCTACGATAATGAGACAAAAATATCAGATTTTTTTGTTTAAAGCAGCTTTTATCCAAAAAACTCAAATATTCAAAAAGCTCCTCTTTTTAACTGAACTGAACTCACCTTTAACATCTCTGACGGAGCCTCGGGTAAGAAATAAGCCAAAACGTGTTCTCTGGCTGCCAGATCTTCATAGTTTACAACCAGACTCTCCTTATTCTCTGCAGACAAACAGGAAACACAAACACACAGTTTTACATCAGATAAAAGAAGAGACACAAAACACACTTTTACACTTGCACTTCTAGACACTCTCAGGTTACTTTGACAGTCTAGAGAATAAATAAAATAACACACCCCATTATGAATGTCATGACCTCTTACCTTTGCACATGTCGCTGATCTTCTCCTTGAACACGTTGTGCCCGTTCTCATCCACATGGGTCCGCAGGAAGTTTTTGAAGCGGTTGTAGATCTCGAGGCGAGGAGCCATCATGGAGACCCACTCTCTCACTGTGTGACCCTGCAGGACAGAAAAAACACTGTCAGATCAGATCCAGCACCACATGGTTACCATCCAAACTTCTAATAAACCATCAGTATCTACTGAACCTTCATGTCCTCCAGGTTCTCAATGCTCTCGATCATCTCCTCGTCCTCTCCTTCAGCCACGCCTTCTGCTGCTCGCTCAGCCAATCGTCGACGCCGGGCTGCCGGACGCTCATCATCCTCATCTTCGCTGTCTGGAACAAAACAAAATTCACACGTTATCAACAGTTTTTCCTAATTTCTCTCCAGAATTTGTCCACTTTTCCAGAGTTGAAACTTTTTTCCCCCCTTCTCGCCATTTTACATGATTTTTCTTCATGTGAGGTATTGACACACTCAAACCAAACAAACTACCATCCACTCCTGCATCACATCACCCCTCTGTTCTTGCCCTTCTGTTAAGAGTTTGTTTTCTCTGACTGGTCAAGGAAAGAAAAAGACGCTGAGCATGAATCCCTCTCCTCCTCACCGTAGAGCAGTCCTCTCCTCAGCCTCCCTCTGATTCCTTGCTCCCTGTCCCTCCTCCTCATCTCCTCCTCAGCAGCAGCCCGAGCTCCAGGCGACATCTCCGACAGGTCTTCTTCATCTAGGTCCAGGCCCTCAGCCTCATACCGATCCAGGGCTGGGATGGCTCGATAGTCCCTAAGCAAAGTGAGGAAATGGTCATCAAAAAAAATAGAATAAAATAAAAACTACATCAAATCTTTTCATTAAACCCTGACCCTGCCCTTACCTCTCCATCCCATCCCCAATCAGCTCCTCTCCATCTCCGTCTTCCTCCTCCTCCCCGGGCAGCGGTCCCTCACCCAGCAGCCCCTCCGACTCATCCTCAAAGGGGGGAAGGTCTCGACCCGGGCTGGAGGTCGGGTCCCCTCTCCTGGAGGCTCGGCTGGGGCTGGTGGCCATGTGGAACGACTCAGAGGAATCCTGATCACAAGATCGTAATAAACCCATTTATTAGATTACTTTTTCCTTACTTTCTTAATTTTTATACTGTTTATTTTCTAAATTTTTGTTAAGTCTGGTCTGAGCAGTTTTCTTGCCTCCCCCTGTTCATCAGCTGCAGTGTTTTCAGAGTTGTACAAAACATTTCCCACAAACTAATTCAATGCATTTATAAGTATCAGTCAAAAATAAAACAGTGTACACGTTGAGTATATTTCTGCTTGTAAAGCTTTTAGTTAGCGTTTTGAAAACTTCAATGTCACTTAAATTAAAACGTTTTCAATGTAAGGCTTGATAATTGAGTCATAACCACGTTTCTTCGAGTATATGAATTTACAATCCAGCATATAATTTGCATTTTCTAGATATATGTTCTGCATTATTTGTCAAGTGCATATCTCTATAGAGTGTTTTGATTTTCAGTTTTAATTTGGTTAGTAAGCATAAATAAAAGGAAACAATGACTCAATGCTGGCTATGATCATAGAAAAACATAGTCACCCCAAAATTAAGGGTAAATGGTGCATGACTTAATACAGTAAACGTGATTTTTGTGGATAATGTGCAGAACGATCGTTTTGTTCGTTTTGAAGTGGATTCAAGTCTTTGAATAACTATACAAAGAGCTACACAACCACATGGCAGATCAGCAAGAGGACAAACAAAGCGGAAAAAGATCATTGCTGATATTTATTTATACTAGAAAGCGAATATGGGTGCTGAAAAAGTAACATAAACGTAAATGACAGATTAGACCTTAAAATATAACGTGTCTGTTGAATTCTGACTCTTAACAGATCTGTCATTGTTATGATCTGGATTAGTGGCAAACTTATTATACCAAAACAATACTTTAAGAACACAAATCTGCGTAATTTCACTCTCTCTCTCTCTCCCTTATCAGTAATTGGAAACTTAACTCCTCGACATTTTAACTATATTTTTAATGATTTCACTCACCGCCATTGTGCTGCTCTGTCTGTCTGCCTCTTGTGAAGTAACTTTCTTCTTCCTGCCGGGAGACTTTTTCCCGCGAAACAACCACGTGACACTGAAAGCCCGCGAAAAACGATGAATATTCAAATTTGTCTGTGACGCTGCGTTAGCTCATTGGTTAAATACATTTCTAAAGGTGGAGTTTATATCACAGCGTTTTGGATTAGAGAACAGCAGCAGCGCGAGGACCGGTCAACTATTCCGGGGGAGATTTTGGTCGTGTACCTTCATATTTCGTATTTATCAATGTGTAATCTCTATGAGTACTTTTGGAGCATTGTTCAATCAAATCCTTCGACAATTTAAAGTGTTGAGAATATTGTTCCTGGAACCGCGTTGCTGATGTTGAAAAATGCTCTGATTAGTGTTCTAGAGGTGTTATTTAAGCATTATTTGATTTTTGTAATTGTGCAATATTCAATTGATGATTTAAATAATTGTTTTATTTTCACTTTTGTATCTAAGGTTATGTGAGCAGAGCCTATCTTTTAATAAACAAAAACGAACACATCTTCCTGATGACGCTGAAGGAGGGGTGTGTGACTGGGGCAAATTTCCCGGGAAAATACGAACATGTTCAAACAAATATTTTTAAATAATACAATGTATTTTCGGCAAGAGATTGTTTGACTTAAATTTTCCTGAATAAAAAGGTTTCTTATCAGGGTGATATTTTCACAACAGCAACTTTTAAATGGTCAGTTTATTGTTATTATAGTAACTTGCTTTTTAAAAACATCTGCCAGTATTTGTTTTCAATGTCTCACTTAATGGTAAAGTTAAAGGTCCTGTAAAGAGTTTCTAGCTGGAAGTAAAACAGCATGAAATCAATACTGATGTCTCTTTATGATCTAGAAAAGTAAACAGGGACACTAAGAAGGAAATGAAAAATTCTTCGAGCAGTTGGTCAGAAATCAAGAGAAAAAAACAAAATTCAGTGAACAAAACAGTGTAACCAACACCTGAAGTTTAATAATCATTATTTTACGACGTGTTCACTCATTCATTAAATATCACATCAGCCCTTTCAAACAAAAACACCCCAACATATTTACATACAGTATCAAAACAACAGAAGCGCTTGTCCTTTAACAAACATGAAAATCAAATAATAATAAAAATCTAGGACAAATTTTAGTGCTTCAGATAAATAAATATCACAAATGACATTTCATTCGATGGCTTAAATGGCAACTTTGGGGGGAAAAAAAAAAAAGCAACTTGACAAAGTAAACTGTAATCTTTCCAGTGTGCACATTTTAACAAACAATCAGCTCTATGAAACGTGTTTTTTTTGCCAGTTTAATACAGTTTCACAGTGAGGGCTGCAGGTTCAAAAACATTCATCTGTGAACTTTAGAACATCATAAGAAGTTAAATCAACCTTCATACCAGTATAAAAACACATCAGAGGAGGTTTAAGGCTAAATTAATGTGTGAAATAAATGCATGAAGACAGATTTGTCAATAGGCGTGAGTTTTGTTCGTATTTAATGAAAAGCTTAAACGTAGCATGTACCAGATAGCATTTCACAAAGTCGTTTGTTAAAGTTTGTGAGATTTTATCGCTGCTGTTATAATAAAAATTCTATGTAATAACTCACAACTATCAGGATAGTTGATTAGCATGAGTATGAAAATAAAGTTTGATCTTTTGAGAAAAGAAAAAAAAATGGCTGCTTGTTAGTTTACCAGAAGGAGGTGGGAAAAGCTAGCCTGGTTTAGTCATGTTAGATTTTAACTCAACAATAATTTAGTTATATTGAGTTTAATATCACAGACAGAAAAACTGAAAATATGAAACTTCAGCTGACAAAAAAATTTAAAACGAGCCCAATTTTGCTGGTCTGAGCTTATATATAGGGATTAAAAATTATGCTTCTCATATTTTTATTAGACAGAAAACACTCTGCAGCCCCCGTCTACACATCCTGGACTGAAATCTATCAGTTTTTAAAACACATTCACTCTGAAGTATCCAAACATAGCTTAGACAAACTTCTGTTCTCAGGCACCTGAAGCTTACACGTGTAAGGTGTGTTAGCTTTTATGAAACATGATGTTTGACTGCTTTCTGCTTGTTCTGAGTTTACACAGTTTAAAAGATGGACAACATTACAGCTCCCTCAAAGTGAAGCCAAAATACCTAAAGGGCTATTCTAGTGTTGTTTTGAAGTGAAGTTGTGTGAGTTAAGTGGCTACTAAGTTTATAAGTCACAACAGATGGCATTCAGCTTGGTTCCTTTAATGAGTAACTGCAGAGAGAACTGGCACACAAGCTAGGCCACAATTTTCTGCAGACAGGACCGACTCTGCCTCTCAGTTTAGCTTATTTTGAACCTGACCCAAGAAGTCATCTCAGTTTAAGTGAATGATGCATTCATAGTTACTGATGCATAATCTAGTGACACATAATTCATACAACCTCACTTCAAAAACACTGAAATATCCCTTTAACTGATTTATGTTAAAATGTTCAGTTTTCTTAACAGTTTGGTCTAAATTAGTAAGGATAGGGCCTTTAACACCACAAATGAAAGCTCTGCTGACCAATGAGGCTTCTGCAGCGCTGCCTTTGTGTTAGAGGAGGGGCTACATCAGCAGCTTCACAGCAGGAGGCAGAGACTTAAAAAAACCAAAAGAGTCACAAAGCTTCCAGAAGATGCTGCAGGAGAGTTGTCACTTCAAAATAAAAGCTGCCTGGAGGAAAGCTGTAAAACAAGCTGGGCTTCAAAATAAGATTATTTTAGAGCAGATCTCAGGAGGAGGAAGGCTTCAAAATACCCCCCTCCCTCCCTCCCCCCAAGCATTCCTTCCTGGGTAGAGTGAGGCTTCAAAGTAGAACAGGAGCCACATTTCTGTGTCCTGTCTTGTGTGTGTGTGTGTGTGTGTGTGTGTGTGTGTGTGTGTGTGTGTGTGTGTGTGTGAGTGTGTGTGTGAGTGTGTGTGAGTGTGTGTGTGTGTGTGTGTGTGTGCATGCGTGCGTCGAACGTGTTGTGACTCACAGTTTGCATTGTTGTGGTATCAGACACACTTTCTGTCTGTGTGCTGATGTTCTGTCTGCAGAGTGTGGTGGCTCTGAGGGTCTCACACTCTCCTCTGTTTGTGTTTGTTCCCTTTGAGGAGAAGTCAGACCTGGAGCCGTTTCTCTGGTGGAGTCTATCAGTCAGGTGTGCATGTGTGTGTGCGTGTGTGTGTGTGTGCAGGTGTTTTTATTTCAGGACGAGCGTGGCCTCTGAGCCATCTTTCCGCTTCAGGTACAGTCCGTAGGTAAGATGATGCTCCCTCCTCAAGAAGGCGTAGAAATAATCTGACACCAGCAGAATCTGAGGGAGACACAAATGAATCCTCTCTGAGAGACTGAAAGGAAAACACTGAGTGATTTCATGAACTCACAAAAGTTCTAATTAAAGGGAAATCATGGGATCTGTAAATCTGGGCACTGACTTTATATATTTGAGGGACAAATTTTGGTCAATCCCAGATTCAAGATCAGGACCATCCAGGGCTGGTTTTGAGCTCTCTCCCATTTGTACAGAGATTTCTCCAGATCATCCGAATCTTATCATGATGAAATCCTTAAATTATTTAAATTTTATGCCAAGTCATTATTCTGGAGCTGATGAACTATCATGACTCACGCAGTGTCACACAAAGCAGTGAACCATGTCCCATCTGAGATACTCAAGCCTCTCTGGATTTCCATTTCATACCCAGTCATGTTAATCACATTAGTGGAGTAATGTTCCTCCATCTGCCAACTTATACAACCTTTCAGTGTTTTGTTGTCTCTGTCTCAACCTTTATACTTTTTTATTAAACTGTGCTTTCAGTTTTTAAAATCGGATATGTCATCTTCCTCTTTTCATGATCAAACATTGTCTTTAATAGATTTCCAAACCATCAAATTCAGTTTTTATCTACCCTTTAAACAGCATCTGAACTTTTTTGTAAAAGTAAAAAAATTCAACAAAGTCGAGTCCACACGGTTTCCCTGTACCTGAGCCACGTTGAAAAGTAGCGTGATGGCGTAGTAGAAGTTAGAGTTGGCACTGCCGGCGTAGATCCAGAGGTGCCAGAGGACCGGGAACAGAGCAGAACACGCCAGCAGGACGCATGAGACAAGAAAGATGTTCCTCAGGACTGGAAAAGGGACACAAACCAGAGCAAAGATGTTTTAACAACATCTTCAAGGTGAAGTTTAAGCTGGAATTTAGATCATCAGATGTGATAAGCACCATCTTTTCTAAAATTGCTTTCTTTGTATTATGATCATGAGGTCAAACAGGCGCTTCTCTAATATTGTGCTAAATATCAGCATGCAAACTTATTTTTAAAGGTGAAAAACACATTTGCCGTCTGCAGAATAAGTTTGATAAGTAATAAGCATGATGTATGTTTTATCCTCTCACATCTGTGCAGGTGACTCCAGACAGGTAGGAAGGCCATGTAGAGCGCGATGTCCCCCACAGTGGGGTAAGACTTAAAGATGGAGATCACCGCCAGCTGCATGAAAATCAGGAATACTGGATGCTCCCTGAAACACACACACACAGCAATTACAGGGGATCCAACCTCCCTGTTTAATAATGAGCAGGGAGTGTGAGGACTGACTTGAGTTTGATGGACAGCGGGATGGTGTAGAAGAAGACGTTGATCTGGAAGACGCAGAGGAAGAAGAGGCGGAAGTGTTCGAACATCTCAGCGAAGAAATACCAGAAGAGGCCAATGTTCGGGGTTAGATCAGGGACGGACAGACTGAAGTGGAGGAGGAGGAAAACAACAGGAGCTGAAACAAAAAACAGCTACATGTGTTTGATAGTCTGAAAATGTAAGTATGTTGACCCCTTACATGAAGCCGTAGACAGAGGGTAGGTAGTCCCAGGAACCGAGCAGGAAGAAGGAGAGACAGACGATGACGAAGAGACTGCCCAGGTACATGAAGGCGTACTGAGCGATGAACCACCAGAAACTCACACGGCGGAAGTTCACAGGGATGTACTGACGCTGACGGAGGAGATAAACAGCATCAATGAGTCTTGATTTTTAAACTGCACAGAGTTTAGTGAGGTGTAGGAAAATGATGCTGGACTCATCTCACCTGCATGAGGTAGAGCAGAGCGGGGGCGCACAGAGTCAGAGGGTAGATGGACTGATACGTGGCCAACGACAGAAAGATGGCGCTCAGCAAAACATTTCCTGCAAAACAAACATCCAAATTTTTCCAAAAATTCCCACCATTGATCTTTTTATTGATCTTTACAATAATACATACTTTCTACACAATCCTGCCGCAGTGATCTTCAATAAAAAACGAATTAATTTTTTTCGTCATTATTTTTAACTAAATTCAGACTAACTGAAATTTAAACCATCTAACTCTGTTGTTATCAACATTTCACAGTATCCTTACGCTTTTAAAACTGGTGTTAGATTTAAGACTCTAAATTCAGAGAAGTCACATCAAAATATGAACCTGGACATCATCGGAGGATCCCAAATGTGAGGCTCTTAAGGTTACACTGGGGTGTAAATGACAAGTTTGGTTCTTAATATGTTGAATGTCTTCAGAAAAGTCATGAGAAACTTCAAGTTAGTTAAGAACTTTACCTTTTATTGTGCAGAGGATGAAGAGGCCGATGACGCAGTTGGTCAGACCACAGGTCGACTTGGCAACGCAGGACAGGATGGTGAACGGGTTCAGCAGGTAACTGAGAAGAAGAAATAGGGTGATGATACACCTTATGAACCATCAATGACAACACTGCTGTTTCTCTGCCTCGCTGTTCAGGTTTAAATCCCTACGATCAGCTATTTACATGTTATGTTTACTTTAGAAAAGACAAGATAAAATAAGATAAGTGGAACAAAGACACTTGTGGAAACTTCCTGTTCATCTGTGTGGTGCTGAATTGATTTAATTTCACACCTCTTTTCTTTATTTTTTTGAGTTGGAGAATTTACGTTAAAAAAAAAAAGTAATAAATTACACAATCAAAAAAATAATTGTTAAATGTGTGACTTACAACATGGCGACCTTCAGAGGGATGTAGTACATCTCTCTGGGGCTCCTGATGAGCTCCAGACAGTCGAGGGGGTAACGGTCAGCCTCCAGGGCAAACTTTTGCTTCCTGAACTGAAACAGAAACAAACACATAAGAAATATTAGATACGGGTAAAATGATACCGAATCACAGTTTTATCAGAAAGTTCAATTCACTGAAAAAGTCCAACTTCTGTAAACATCTTTATTAAAGAGTTAACAGGGTGTTTTTAAACACAGCGGCACACAAGGTTTTAAAAAAGTGAAAATTCTCTTTAAATATCCAAATTTTTAAAATCATTTTCTCAGTATTCATGCAGACATGGCTGTTTTCTTACCACTTGTTTGTTGTAGTCCTTCACTGCTAGGTAGAGAGCCACAGCAGTGATCACATCTGCTAACTACGGACACAAAAGACACAAACAATCAGAGGAGTGGTCTCAGAAATACAACAAAAAAATTCCCCAAATTAAAATCACTGGAGAAACAGAGGTCATTTTCTTTTTTCTGAAATCTTCAAAAACACATTTTCCTACAGCTGATATTTGTCTGTATTTAAACTGCTGTGACTGTTTTATTATTACTGTTATTATTGTCTGTAAAAACTTCCGCACTCACCATAAATGTGATCTCCGCATAATCGACCAGAAAGTGAAAAAGGTAAATGATGAGAGGAGTCTGAAGAGGGAAGAACAAGATGTTTAATGCCAGAGCAAAACACACAGACATTTAAAGACAAATAAAAACATGTGATATCAAGGAGTTTGGTCTGCTTTCCTAATCAAATAATTGTTATTGGATTCTGTCACAAAAAAAGTTTGTTCAGACTGATACTGTGATGTCCTTTCCTCTGACTTTGACTCTCAGGAAACAAACATGAACAGAATAAATAAGACTGACTTCCATCAGCTGATTTAAGATGCGTCCATCAAAACATTGAGACTTATTTACATTAAAATAACAGCTTTAGATCTTTTTATAGCACTCAATAACTCCCATTTTGCTGTTGTACTTTTTTACTCCTGCTTGTGTGTGTGTGTGTGTGTGTGTGTGTGTATCTCTCACCTCATGAAAAACATCTCCAGAGTATGGTGACACTCCCAGGTCCAGCAGAGCCAAACCCTCGATAACTGTAAACAAACAGTAAACATAGTGGAGACGAGATGACACGCTGTAAGTATTTAAATGGGCATGTTAAATATAACCCCCTGTCTTCTGCTGATCCGTCTGCTTGTTTCACTCATAATACATGATTATTTTGATACAGCAGTCTGATGTGACTGTGATTGATTGTGCAGTTTCATCTCACAGTGATGACTGAATTGTGATTAATTGTAGAGCCTTCTCTAATTCTCCTTACTCGTCATCAAACCAATCAATGAGCTTTTCCCATGATGCAGCTCGCTTTAACAGCTGCCTCATTCACTATTCATGCAGGGTCTGTCTATCATCACAGAATGAGCTTTTGAAAGTGCAGCTTTATGGCTGTGAGGCAGCTTCTTCATGCAGCTTATTCCAACAGCTCAGCTAACATCTCTGTTGAAGTGTTGACTGTCATTTCAAAGGGCAATTGGACTTGGTTGGGGTTCTTTAAAGTGTGTGTGTGTGTGTGTGTGTGTGTGTGTGTGTGTGTGTGTGTGTGTGTGTGTGAGAGAGAGAGAGAGAGAGAGAGAGAGAGAGAGAGAGACCTCTTCAAGGACCTCAAGCGAGTTTAGTTGCCATGTACTGAGGACCGAAAATCTCTGATACCGCCAAAAATCAAAATGTCGTGTCCACCAGCACCTCTCTCGGGTTACTAACGGCATATCTGACGGAGTCCAGCACATTAAAACGGTTTAACCGGTTAGTCGAAGAGAAACAGAGACAGTATGCTGACAGGACAACAATTCAGAGCCTTTAAAGATTTAAGTCATAAAACTGTTAACAAAGAGCCATATATTCCCCTTTGTAATGGAGCTAGTCAGTTTCTTTTTTTTCTGTAGGACAAAGAGAGGCGGTTTCAGCCAAACTGGTTTGGACTTTATTGACTCCACAGCACCGAGGAAGGGACCCGAGTGGTGTATTAGAACGCAAAATCGCCGTAAAAAAACACCAGCCCGCGCTTACCTCTCTTCCAGGCCGTTAACGGAGACACTACCTCCACACGCTCCGATATTAAATCCACTAAACTTGATCTATATAGAGCAGCACGTATGGTAACGGCTACAATCAAAAGCAGCGTTAAGGGAGCCGCCATCTTGACAAGGAAGCCCCCATCCGCCCTGCGAAATGCATAATGGGAAATGAAGTCTTATTTTTTCCATAATTTAAAAAGGGATTCAAACTAAAACAAAAACTAAAAAAATGCTATGGTATTCATTATCAATCTATTGTTATTCTTAACCCTGTTCATGTTGTTATCAACGAAGTATAACTAAATTAACAACTGCATTCTCGTATTATAAAGACTAATCTCGTAAACTCTCGAAAACGTTTTTTCCATTAATGTGCTCCCAACATTCTGTCGAAGTTGTTGCTGTGGTTAACTTGTAGTCAAGTCAATTCAAGGTTGCCTTATTTGTGGATTTAATATTTGCCCCTGTTTTTCCAGTTTTCTGTCCACAGTAATACACGGTAGTGTTTCTCAGGCCTGCCGTACTGACAGCAAGTAGCACGGCTAATTTACGGCTTATTTCTGTCCGTGTGAGACTGAGGAGAAATCATAGACTGTATATTCTATTCCTTATACAGTCTATGAGAGAAACATTAACACACTTCAACATACTGGAACCAAGGAAAAGGTAGAGCCCGAGTATGTTTTTAGCCGGGACCTTTTTGGTGTCGGATCAAAACACAGTTTTGACACAAAAGGGCTGTAAAGTTGAACAAAATGCAATTGTGTTGTCCGCAATAGATACAGCCACATTATCAAAATAAGAGTCCGTTTTAGTAAACAGCTGGGGAAGTAAAGCAAACAGTTTGAGTATGCAAAAACTGGAAAAAAGGCAGGTTTTCTTTTGGTTTAAAATATTCAGTTTAGTGAACTTCCAAAGTATCTATGTCTTCTGCTGTTATTGTCTTTTTAATTTTAATGCCTGTATGCTTTATTAAAAATAAAATTATCGTTTTATTGATGTTGATTACTTGTAATGGGTTAACTGCGCCAAGTCTACATTCATGGAAATTTTAGAGAATATCATCGTTCTCAGAGATTTTTTTCAACCAATCTAAAAGACTATTTTTCCTTTTGTTGCATTCAATTCAAAATTGTAAAGTGAAATCATAAAAAATGTTTGCAACGATGACCGCGATTCCTCTACATTGCAGCTGTCTTTGGGACTTTTACATTGAAAGGTTTAGACCGGAATACTTTAATGTTGCAGGGTAACGTGACGTTGGTTAGCTACCGTTGAGACTTTCGTTTTCATTTCTCGGACTGATACTGACTTAATGTTGCTTTAATTGTTAGATTACTAAACATGGCGGGTTTGGAGGTGTTATATGCCCATGTAGGCAGCAGTATTACCTGTTCTCAGGATGCCGTGGTGTGTTTCGTGCACTGGGAGATGATTAAGCGTGGGTTCAGGTGCATCGGCTCTGGGGATGAGGTAAGTTCGTTTAGCAAACATCAACCTTAACAGTCGAAAGCCTCATCTGATGAGACGGTTTTTACATACAGTGTAACGCCGAACAGCATTAACAAAAGTGGTATAAGCTGCATTTAAAGATTATCAACATCGTAATGGCTAACTAAATCCGGGACGTTTATATGTTTAAGCGGTTTATGAACACATTTAAAAAAACTTCGTATCAATAACCAGTTTAAAATGTCCTTGTATCATTAAAAATAGCACGAGGGTCAAAAGATCAACAATAGAATTGACCCACATCTTTAGCATGGTATTTGCTTTTTTTAAGGAATTTGTCAAACGCCGAATTAAAGAACGGATCCTTACGGTTTGGGATCACATGTTTGAATTGTTTTTACCGAGCTTATTGCCATGTACTATCCATGAAACGTAAAAACAGTCTGTTTTCTAAACGGGATTCTGTCCTGGTACGTGTGTTTGAATGCGTTAGCTGTCTCAAGATAGGAGTTATACTGTCTGTAACCGTAACTAGATATCTGCTCAAGGTTTTTGACCATATTGCAGCTTTTTCTGAAACAAGTTGTCATGTTTCACGTAGTGTTATCCAGCTAATGTTTGATAAACTGTAAATTTGAAGGCTATGAAAAGTGTCATGTCATTGTTAGCTAGCTTACCCAGTGCTGTACAAGAAGCATCTCATTGTGTCACTGCACCAGGGGGGACAAAGTTACTAAATGCATTTACTCACCTTACTGTAAATGGTTTTTTTCTACCCATACTTTATTTGTGGCATTCTTTTTTTTTTTTAATTAATCAAAATTTTCCTCCCTTTTTATGCCTCTGTCTCTTGTCCAGCCCCGCAGCAGTGATAAGAAGTCAGAGCTACTGCCTGCAGACTGGAGCAGCAACAAGGAGCTTTACAGTCTGAGATATAAAACCAAAGATGGGGACAACCAGCTGCTGCTCAAAGCCATCGCTGTCGATTCCACCCTTATCTTCAACCTGATGGTGAGAAACATGAGCAACACGTGGATGCCAACCACTAATATACCTTGCCAATTCTGTAAAACCTGAAACACTGTCAAATGTTCATAGAAACAGAATTTTGATGTCAAAATAGTGCAAAGACAACGTATCACATGTTGAAACTGAGAAAAATCTTTGCCTGTTTTAAATTTCATATTTTAATGATATTTCATTAAAGGGGGGGTGGTATATAAATAGAGTTTGATTTGTTTTGATGTCATTCCCTGTTCTCTCTCCCTTATTTCCTGCTCTATCCACTGTCTTAAATTTGCCAATAAAGACTGAAAAGTAAATAAATGAACAGGATCCTAAAACACCTGCAACTCCTTTATGCAGGAGCTTCTTTATTCTGTCTGGGTTATAAAATGCTCCCTTTAACTGAACCTGTAACAGACACTGCAGTAAGGACTACCAGCAGTCTCAGAGTACCCCAGTCTCTGCTGCTCACATGAAACACTGTTTCAAAATGACTGTAGAATCAAATCTCAGCGGTTATTTTTGGCTCAGTACTAGAATATGTTTTACTGTAAATCATCTATCACATGTATTGATTGTGTGTGTGTGTGTGTGTGTGTGCGTGTGTGTGTGTGTGTGTGTGTGTGTGTGTGTGTGTGTGTGTGTGTGTGTGTGTGTGTGTGTGTGTGAAGAACTCCAGCACTCAGCAGGTGTCTGACCTGACCGTGAACATCAGTGATCACGTGGATGCTGATCAGCTGCAGACATTTGACAGGTTTGTGTCATACTCCTCTTCATTTATTTTCCTTTTCATGTATTAAAAGGTCGTAAAGTCGCTGAGTTTTCACTTTAAAATGTAAAGTTAGTTTGATTTAGTTGTCTAGTCTGTGGTCATGTTACTCAGTACAGGACACCGGTGATTTAAGCCCTGTGCAGATACCTGAGGTAAAGGCTGGCTGTCTTCTCCAGTGTGTTTAAGGACGAAGACTGCTTGTCAGAGAAGGTGAGGACTCAGCTGCTGCCCCCTCAGGACAAACCAACAGGACAGAGGATGGAGAGGGAGAGTCGACGGGAGGGGGAGGAGGAGGAGGAGGAGAGGAGGAGAGAGGGCGACAGCGACCCCCTTCGAATCCCCGTCAGACATCCTCGCCAGGGAAGACAGCCAGACTGGTCTGTTTTTGAATCCTGGAGTTAATCTTACACCCACACAGAGTCCTGCTCTGTCATATAATAAACAACAAGGGGTTCTTTTAATGTGAAGTGTTTGAATTAGGCTGAATTATCCAGTCAGATAGACAAGCATGCTTTTGTTAACTAAATAGCTGAACAGCTAATTCCTACTCATTGTGTTTTTCTTGATTCACATGATGGAGACCAAGTGTGAGTGTGTTCAGAGTCTAACCAGTGTGTGTCTTTATGTTGGAGAAAGAAAGAAACAGATTCATTCTCTCGTCTCATCTGTCTCTCCCCCTCCTCTTGCCCCTACGTCCTCCCCACTGTGACCTGATCAGATGAGATTTAAGGCGATGTCAGCACTTTATCGACCTTGCTGTCGCCTCCTCGTCCATTGAGATGCAGGGAGAGAGAGGAGAGGAGGGGGAGGGGATGAAGATTAGATCTAAACAAAGACAGGTGATGGAAAAGTAAACAAAAGATGGAAAGGAGAGACACAAACTGATGGACAAGAGGAGAAAGAGACAGAAGAAGGAGAGAGGAGAAAAAAGGAGACGAGCAGACGACAGGAAAGATTCAGAATATCTGAAGGTTTTAAAGGCTAATTAACAATGCAGACCACTACCTGTCTCTGTGATTTACTTTAAATGAAAACCCCTAACATGATAACTGAGATTATGAGGAGGATTATTTATATTTAATGCTATTCTCCAGGATTACATTTCATTAAATATAACCCAGATCAGCTGTTTGTGGATGTAAAAATCCTGCAGTGAGGAAACAGACGTTTTAAGGGCTGAATCTCACAAGGATATTCATCGATAACTTCTCTGTCAATATTGATTATTTTTTTCACGCTTTATAATTTAAGATTAGAACAGGCTGCCTGTAAAATCTCAAATTTAAAACACTGAAGTTTCTTTTACAAAGACAAAAGTTAATCAGCCGAGGCAACTGTTTCAAAATGACTCTATAATCGGTCTATACCCTATATATCTATTTTTGGAATTAAAGGTTAATTATATTTTAAAATGTCATGTCGTGTGTGTGTGTGTGTGTGTGTGTGTGTGTGTGTGTGTGTGTGTGTGTGTGTGTGTGTGTGTGTGTGTGTGTGTGTGTGTGTGTGTGTGTATGTTTAAGGCCTGGCCCCATGCACCCCTTTGCAGCAGGAGGAGCAGATCTGGATCCTTTTGGGTGAGTCCGTCTAATAAACCCTGCAGATACTGTTGATGGGGTTTATTTTCAGATCTGAGTTTGAGTAAGCGAGCGCGATTTTAAAGGATGAAACAGACAGACTGACTGACTGACAGACAGCGGAGGATTACCAGACTCCATCCAGACCCTGAAAAGCTCTGAACTCAAATACCAGAGCGTCAGGATGCCCAGCGGGGCTCCTCTTTGAAGTGAACAGACGCCAAATTACCTTTTAAATTATTCAACAACAAAATCAGTGAATAATTATGTTTCACAAACTCAAACAGTTTGTTTTTATTACAGTAAAACTGACACAACCAGAGCAGCACAGGAACTTTCTTTGTGTGTCTTTGGTGCTTCAGAGTCATTTCATCCTCCCGTTACTTTATTGTGTTTTTATGATTTTGTGAAATTAAAAGTGAACAAAATTAGAGATTATGATTTTTCCTTCATCCTTCCTTCTTTTCTGGCTCCACCCCTGGCTCAGGTCTCGCGGCGGTGGTGGGATGATCGTGGACCCGCTGAGGTCGGGGTTTCCCCGCTCTGGTTTTGACCCCTCCAGTGGGATTCCAGACATCCTGCCCCCTGGAGCTGTTCCCCCTGGAGCTCGCTTTGACCCATTCGGACCCGTGGGACGACACAGACCGGGGTTAGGGACACAAACACACTCATACACACACAAAACACAGAGGAAACCCTGTGAATGATTATCTGACCGGCTGTTTTTGTGTGTGTGTGTGTGTTTGTTTCTCAGGCCGGACAGAGACCACATGCCCCCGCCCGGATATGACGACATGTTCATGTAGCACCCAGCAGCCTTTCCTGCCCCCTTCTTTAAGATCTGGTGTGATCCGTTTTACTGATCCACTGAATAATTTTCTATTTCCTCTTTTTGTCAGTGACAGTGTGACCTTTTCTAACCTTTCATATCAAATATTAACTCATGAAGAAGAAGCTCCCTGTCAGGGCGAGAGTGGACTATAACCACAGATGTGCTCAATCACAATAAACTTGTCTTAGTGATCGACGTCGGATTAGCTTTAGGTTAAGATCCATCATCCTGCAGATAGAGTCCGCAGCTAAAGTGAACATTAGTCATCAATGTAATATGTCTTCATCTCATCAAACTGCATCTTTAAGGTTTAATTTATTAGGTTAAAGAAACTTCCATTTCTTATATGTAGAGGAAGAGTTAAGACTTTTTTTGACTGCTGATACTTAAAGAAACCTGGATGATAAAATATTTGAAGCCAACATCCTCTAATAAAAATACTGGACTTCTCATCCTGCTCTTTGTGTTTTTTTGGAGCTCTTTTGTGTTGAGAAATGAGTTTTTTTAACTTTATCTCTTTGTTCTGCAGCAGAGTTTTCTCACCCAATCAGCTGATTTTCACATGTCAACATTCAGCCTGCCTCCGATCCACCTCTTCGTATGTTTCTAAATTAGCAGAGAGTTAGTCTGAGTCAGCATCTTTGGGCTTCATAACACCCTGAGACACCGATCAGTGAGTCTGCAGGTTTATGAAAGAAAAACACATTCGCATAAATATGCGAGCTATCCCTTTAAAAGTGAAGGATTGGGATTTTTCACCCACAAATATCTGAGAACTGTTGTGCATTTGTAATACTTATGGAAATGTGTGTGTGTGTGTGTGTGTGTGTGTGTGTGTGTGTCCTCATTGTCATTCAGATCACTTAGCGTAGAGGAGACCCTGTTTCCGTCCTCCACACTTCTTCCTTTCTCTTCTTCCTCCATCTTTTTCACTCATCCGTCTTTTGTCCCTTCTTTCTTCCTCTTTCTTTCATCACTCGTCCTTCTCTTCCTCTACGTCCTTCATTTTCTTCCTCCTTTGACTCCCTCCATCTTTGTCGTCTCCTTCTCCACCTCTGTTTCCTTTATATCCTTTTCCCTCTTATACATTCTCCTCTCCTCTTATGTTCTTCTTTCCTCTCCCTTCTTTATACATCCTTATACAGTGGACTTTCTCTCCACTTTGCCTCCTTGTCTTTTATTTTCCAGATGTCATTCCTCCTTTATTCATTGTCTTCTTGTTTTCTCCTCCTTTTCCCCTCTGAGTTTGTCACTTTTTGTTCTCCACCTGATTTTTCTTTATCTTTTGCTCTTGTTTCTTTCTTCTCCTGAAATCACAAAAACTTGTTCCCTCTCTAACCCTCCTTTTGTCAAAGATAAATCCCCTTTCTGTATCCTTTTCTCTCTGTCTCTTCCTCCTTGATGGAAAATAATTTATTTATGTCTTCTTTCTCTCACTTCAAACTCAACAAGCTGTTACCTCCTCAGCAGACAGGTGACAAACACATTTCTGTGCAGAGCTTAAAAGAATACTCCTCAAATATGCTGCTCGTTAATGAGTCAAACAGTTAATGCAAAATATAATTTAAATAATAAAGCACTTTTTATTAACATAAGACCTTAATATTAAGTATTGTTGGTAAATAAACTCCACAGGAGGCGCCAAAATCAAATAAAACAAATAAACGTTCCCCACAGGAGTTTGAGTTTTTGGGGAACGTCATCCTGCATCACTCTTGTCTCATCCTTATCTTCACCCACAGTATCTGAGAGAAAACCAAGTTCAAATTTTTGTTTTCCCTCTCAGTAAGTTTGGTTTGATCTGAGAGAAATCCACTGTCACAGCAGCTCTCCTCCACACCTGTAAAAATGAACCAACACTCAGCAGGCGTAAAACACAGAAAGGCCCTATGGTCATCCAGGCTGCGAGGAGAAGTCATTAAAAAGTCACACACACACACTAGAGTGGCTCCAGGTCTCAGGTGGATGTAATAAATCTCTGGTTGTCTCTCTGAGAAGACAGGTATGACACGCTGCAGGGACGATGCATTTAAGGTCAGAACAAAAAGTCTGTACAGTGACGTGAGCGTGTGGAGTCACTCCAGTTCACATTTTACCCTGAAGCTCATAAAAAAAGGAGAGTAAAAATTACACAAAGAAGTATTGTGTAAAGGTGAACATCCTGCTTATGTCTGCGCTTTTAAAAAAATTTTAGAAACCACATGCAGCAACTATCCATAAATATACTGTAGAAGTCTGGTTCTGCATTGAAGTCCTTTTTCAACTGCCTTCTCTTCTAATCTCAATTGCTTGCTGCAACGATTGCAGAGATGGTGAACTGTCTTAAAAGCTGCATAAGTTTTCCCTTTCTGTGTTTTGTCAGAATCAGCTTTATTGGACCTGGAAATGTGCACAATTGGCTGTCTATGCACAAACACTAGATTATGTCTACATGTTTTATCACACTTGCATGCAGGTATCTGTTTGCAGAGAGAATCAAATCCTCTTTAGATCACTGCTGTTAGGATGTTATCACAGTGGATGGAGTCTTGCTTGCTTTTGCTCTCCATATAGACCGTTTTTCCTGCAGACATATTGTCGGCTAATACTTCTCAGACAACAAACATTACTAAAATCTAGACCCAGGGGTACAGAGTCCACATTCTTAGACCCTGGAAATGGAGATTTAACTTCCTGTTTATAAAAGGAGCTCATTCAGGTCTGTTTGAAATTGTCAAAATAGGTTTGTACATATTTGAGTCGACTGACCTGCAGAAGAAACAAACAACTAAGATATTTAAAAACAACAGCACAACAGAAACTTTATTGTTCACATTAACAAAACCAGAGTTAAAAATCATCCTTGTGGTTACAGAAGGTTTACAGCTCAGTATGTACAGAAACAAGGCAGCAGACCTTCACAGAGTCAGACAACAACATGCAGATCATCAACCTCCTGAAGAGCAAACAGCAGCTGCTTATCCACTGACCAAAGACAAAAGAGAGAGCGAGGGAGGGCTGTTTGCCTGAAACAAACAGGAAATTCCCCTGTGCATGTTTAAGGTTTTAACAGTTTACTTTCACTCTCATCTGATTTCAGACTCAGTCATTTGTGAGAGGAATGGTATAAATCACGTTGAAAGCTAATAAAAGTCACATTTGGATTTTGGACAAGATCGTGATTTGGTTAGATTATAACATTATTTTCCAGTGTACACGTCTAACTGTGCTCTTCTCAAAAACAGCATTATTTAAACCTCTGATTGTTCTGTTGCTCTTCTCTCACTTTTACAAACTTTTGACACTTTGAATTTGAGCTTAAACCTGTGAACCAAGCATGCAGGTGCAGCTATATCACATAACAAAAAAACATGATAAAATAGTGATATGGGTTATTTGACAGCCCTCGTTTAAATCGTTGTTTTTTTTTAAATTAGTATTATTGTTTGTATTTTATGTGGGGAAAAAAAATTAAATTTACTGTTATATTTAACAGTGAAACTACTAAATCATAAAAATATAGAAAACTGAACCAAATCACAAAACCTCTGTCGGCTTTATAACTCATTATTAAACCCTGTTTTCCCTCAGATTAAAGGGCTATTTCACTTTTCTTTTCAGTTACATTACAGTGCCGTTGAAATGAAATATCTTTCTGAGATTATGATTTCTCTGAGTAACAATAAATAAAATCAGTTTTCAATAAACTTTTCCATCAGCTGACTGCCAAACTTCTGTAAAACACATCTTTCAAATAAAGTAATACTGTATATTATATTAATGTCATTTTAATCTTTTATTTCTGTGCTTAATATCACTTTCATTGTTATATATCACAAAGATTCACATCTTCAGTTTACAAACAGACAATAATCTTCTTCCTCATGTCATAAATACCTCTTATATTTCTTATTTGTTTGTATTTTCTTTCTGGTTTTCTGAAGCCATAATTCACCTGGATAGAAAAATTATAACATCATATCTTTTGATAAAGCTCTCTCTGATATGTTAACGTTGTATGACTCCTCACAGACTGATGAATATTTAATTTCTGCACATTAAAATGACTAAATTGTAAAAATATAGATATTAAGGTAGAATCAATCTCTGCGAATGAAGGTCTTTGTACCCTCGGGAAAGTCTTCACCCAAAAAATCTGATTTCTTTTTTTTTTTTTAAGTGTCGTAAAAAAAACCTTCCAACATCAATAATAATAAAATGAAATGAAATGAAATGAAATTAAAAGTCATCAATCAAGGTGAAATTGAAAGATTTAATTGAATTTAAAAAGTGAGCTAGATCAGAGGAGTTTGTCCAAACAGTTGTGAGGTGCATTGCCATTATCTGTAATTACTGGAATTATTGGGGGTAACCAGCAGGGGACAGTCTCCATTATTTGACATCTTTTCGAAGCTGCTTTGATCTCTTCCCTCCATGGTGAAATATGGCTTCATTATGCTAAATTCACATCTCTAAAGTCTGCAGGTTTCACACAGAATATAACACGAAGCAAGAATGTTTGTACAGGAGAGATTAGGCTGAAGTCATGTGACTGTTTACACCAAACTGTGATGAGTTTTAGTGATATTGCATGACGCTGCTGCTTTAAATATTACATTCATTAAGTCTCTGAGTTAAATGCTACTGCTTTGCATCAGTGTGTGTGTCGTAATTTGTGTAAATAAAGGTTTGGAGTGAAAAAGTGGAGGGTAAACAGCTGTTTTTCAGGTTTTATCTCCACCTCCTGCGTGTTTCTCTGCTGCAGCAGGATGTCCGTGATTAATGAGTCTGATTTAAGGTCAGACCCTGAACTTTGCTGACGTGTCCTTCAGTAAAACTCTGAATCCCAAACAGCTGCTGGAACAGTGTGCTGCTGATGACCTTTGACCCTGGGTGTGGAGGAGAAATTGTTGGTCTGCAGAGGATTCAGAATCACTTCTCATGCAGATCTGATCTGTTTGCTTTAAATACCGCATTTGTGTGCACCCTCCATTTCCTGCAGGCTTGGTGTAAAGCCGAGATTACTGCTGGAAGTGAAAAGGACAGATGTACGCAGGTGTTGTGAAAACAAGGTTAATTACTGCAGCCGGGTTCTACAAAGACGGTGACAAAAAGCTGAAAGGGAGATCCTCCAGGAAGCTGAAAACATCAATTAAACCCAACCAAACATTTAGACCTGAAATCTGTGGATCGTGTCCGATGAACAGATTCAGAGAAAACCTGCGATTTTACTTCTACTGGATCTGTAAACCAGCTGCAGACTAGAGCTGCTATGATATCCCAGTGTAGAAAATAACCGTTTTTTAGAATAAATAAGTTGTTTATGTCGTGCTAAAATACCGCTAGTTTAGTCCTGGATGCTGGTTACTACACATAAAAAAATCTGAGGATAGACGAACTGAAGTGCCGCTGCAGCTCCTGTTTAATCAGTGAAACTTTTCCCTCAGTCTGCTTCACAGCTTCAGATAATTCAGATATTAAGAAGGAAGAAATCTGTCCTTTCTTTGCTCCTCGGGTTCAAATTTAATTTTCAGTCTTTGGGGAGGCATCTGCAGGTTTCTGCATCCTCCCCGTGTCCTCACAAGGACTTTCCATGACATCTGAGACCAGCAGTGGCCGATATAGTCTATTTCTATGGTAACAGAGTCCTCCTGATGCAGACAGAATAAAGATTGATTTTCTGCGTCTTTGTCGGAGGGGCTGGTGTGTGTTCATGACATTCAAACATGTCACTGTGGCGCAGAAACAAGTTTTAATACGGTCAGACTCAAATGTCCTTCCTGTGATCCCCTACACTCAGGACTCTCATTCAGGGCTTCCTCTGAAGGACTTCAGCTCGCTATATTCACTTCAGTTTAAGGAGTCATATAATCTAGATATAAACGTTAATAAGTAAGAGTGCGCACAAAACTCTGTTTTTATCTGCAGAAGTTTGAAGGAAGATGTCTCCTAAACTTTAAAACCTGTGCCCTAAAAGTAGAGGGGAGACCGGGGTCATTTGTAACATATCATTTTCATCATAACTGAAGTTGGACTTTGTTTGGTGAAGGAAAGATTCATCATACCTGGCAGACCCGAACGGCCATGAAACAGTGATAATTTTTCCATAGTGTCAAATTAAAACTGCTACATGGATTGGTGAATTCAGCCAAAGTTGTAACATTAAATCTAAAGACTTTAAACTCCCCTCATCACCTCAGAGGCCTTCTTCATTTTCATTAATGTAATCTTTGATCTCTGACCTGATTCTGTCCACCTGAGCGTAAAACTTCACTCACTTTAAAACCTCTCAGACCCTTTTTCTTTCCGCTTCTGTGAGCCCGACCTGTGTGAAGTGAACCAGCAAGAGAAATCATCTCTTCATCCTGTTTCTGCAGACTCTAATCTCTCCCTCTCTCAGGTCTGTCTGCAGGAAAAACCCTCAGAGAGCTTTATTCCCACTCCTTTAAACCTCACACTGGGCTGTTTATTCCCTGGATTCTGTCCGTTTCAACCTGAATGTGCTGTTTAAGTATTTATCTTCATGCAGAGTCACTCCCTGTCCTCTCCTCCTGCAAGATGAGAGTCCACCTCTTCAGAAATCTCCTCACGTCTCAGCTGCTCTCCATCAGCTCTCCCTCAGCTCCTCTCTCCGACTCTGTTTACCTCTTTTTCTCTCTGAAATCCCAGCTCAGTCTGAACGTGTCTATGACGTTTGTATCTCTGGATGATTCTTTATTACTGTTCAGTCTGTGATCCACCTCTCTGTACTTGCTGCAGCTCTCTGACAAGTTTTCTCCTTAAGACACGTTCTGCAGCTCGCTCGGGTTCACTGCTCGTTCACGTCACTTTGGATTTGCTGAGTCAGAAAACACAAATGTGTGTCAGACTGGGTGGAGCTGCAGCGGAGTGCTGAATGTGCAAACATCAGTGATCACATGATCCGGCGGTCTGAGTTACACTGATTTATTGATGAATGGAGCAAAAAGATGCTCAGTGTACTTCAAAAACACGCAGATCAGAAGCAGAACCGAGTCTGGATCTGACTCTATGGATCTATGGGAGCTTTAAACTCACTCCTATTAAAGGTCAATTTCCGATATTTTTTCTAATATTTCCTCCTCTCTCAGCGTCACCTGAAGTGGCTGCAGGTTCACCTGTATTTGCTAAAGGACACATCAGCAGAGACAGGATTGAACTGTGATGGTTTGTTTACAGGACAGCACATCCTGCTGTATTTACACAGATCAGTTATGACGTTTTTGAAAAAAAATTTTTTTGCTTTTAAAATCACCTCAGAGTAAGAAAAAAAACCTTCAAAGGGAAAATTATTTTCTATCTCTTTGAGTTTAATGTGCTCACATTATTCGTGTTTTACAATCATTCTCACAAAAGTTTTCTCTTTATGTGCTAAACTTTAACATTTGGTACAAATATTGTCCAGAAAAATAATCTGAATGTAGTATGAGGCTCTTGTGAAATGCAGTTTTTCTTCAGGGAAACGAAATCTTTAAAGCTCCTGTGAGGAAGTTTTAGTTTGTGGTGATTTTGGTGCCTCCTGTGGACAGACCAGTCTTTGCTTATCTTGTCCTCTACATGATGGGTGTTGTCTGATGACCTTTGACAGTCAAATGTGTCAGTATTAATGTAGAAAAACTAAAAACTGGCTTTTTCTGTGTCTACTCTGACACTAACCCCGTTGCACCATCTCAGGTTTTAAAATGACGATATTGAAATGATCCGTTTTGTGATGATGGTCTCGTTTACTTTTGTAAGTCACAGAAAAGCTTCAATATGTATTCCATAGACATTAGGAAACTCCTCATAGGAGCTTTAAGTGGTCTCAGGAGATACGCCGATCAGCCCTAACATCATGACCCCAGACAAGTGAAGCATTTTGTTACCAAAGATGAGAAGTTGAAGTCAGAAAACAGTAAGTGACTAAACCATGATGGTCAGACCGGACCAGGAACACTGCTAGAACTGTAGATCTAGCAGAGTGTTCCTGGTCTGCAGGATATAAAGTAAGGCAAATCTAAAGCAGACACATTATATCCATTAAGATACATGGCTTACTCTAAACCTAGAAAAGCTTGATGCTCATCCTCAAGTTTTTTGTGATCCATCTTACTATGTCAGTTCTACACAGCATCATTCACACACAGCAGCTGAGCCACTAACAGTCCGACTCACTGAAGGCTCCCCGGGTCAGTCCGGATACTGTCTGCTGCCACAGTGCTGCAGTCCCTCAGTGAAGTGAAGTCCCTGTGTCAGGTACAAGGGCGATCTTTGGATGCCAAAAGATGAGGGCACTTTCACTGCTGTCTCCTTACACACCTGCACTGCCCAAAAACTCCAGACCAAGACCACCACCAATCCTCAGGTCTCCTCAGATACTGCAGAGGTCTAATGGAGCGATCAGGATCTGGTGAGATCAGGACTGTTTTTGGCCTGAAGTGATGGGGCAAACACATTATTCCAATAGGTAGTCAGAATATTCTGGCTGATCTGCGTATTTGGTAGTTCTTTGTTTTTTCACTAGTGCTTGGGCTAATTTACAGATATTTAATTCTGTCAGTTGTTTTTTTTTTAAGATATATTTCTGAAAGCCAAAAATAGTGTGAAGTCAGTAACAGACTAAAAAACAAAACTTAATTTTCTGAATGTTGTCGCCTCCTTCGGTTTTCACAAACGTATTTTGTCTGTTTTAAACAAAGTAAAGCTGACGTTTCAAAGCTGCAGAAGAAAAAAAAACACAAAGGTGTTTGCAGTTTTGCATACCTGTGTTGCGTATTTGGTTTGTGAGCTTCTGCTGGTCGTTTACATCCGACACATCTACATGAATATTTACAGAGTATTCATATGGAGGAGTAAAAACGTGATACATATCTAATTTACAGCTTCAATGTTTGTGTTGATGTACAGAGGCACCAACTAAGTGTGTGTGTGTGTGTGTGTGTGTGTGTGTGTGTGTGTGTGTGTGTGTGTGTGTGTGTGTGTGTAGCTACATTGCCCTTGGCTAATTGGCTCACTATACAGACCTTCATACGTTAGCATATTAATAACAATATTTGCGTTTACACAATTTACAGTGTGTGTTTACTCATTAAGGCATATAGTATCCTTACATGACATAAATAACATGTTTACATATCATACACAGAAGGGGGCGCTGTGGCATTAAAGGTTCAGCCCACTGCTCCAGAAACAGAGACCAAGACGTCATTTCAACCTTTGTTTTTACACTAAGTTTGCTGTTTTTTGTCTTCCATCATCTGTGAGAGTAAAGCGGCACATTCCTGACGAATCTCATGATGGCATATGAGTTTCACATGCAGGGATGTAGAAAAGCCCTGCACGTAGTTTCATCAAAGGGTGAAAGTTTGTTGCTGCAGATGTTGCTGCAGAAGTGCTCGCAAGGTTCAAACGTGTACAGCTATTCGATTTGCTCGTGCAAACATCCTAAAGCCTGAGAGTGAATCTCAAATCCTTTTGCAAGATTTCTCAGGGACACAGTGCCAAATGATAATTCACCAAATCTTTAAGGGTTTCTATCGACTTTCATCTGGATAAAAGCAGGAAATCTCTACAGCTGATGCAGCGACAAGCTCAATTAGTTTTATCAGACATTTAAAGGGTTATTCCGGCAAACCTCAGCCTTACTTTTACACATTTTGGGCCTTAAATGACCTCAAAGGAAGAATGTGAGGTAAGGGATTCATGCTGATATCTGATATTCAGATATTTTTAGGCTCATCTTGGCTTATGCTGATATTGATCTGAGTAGGGGAGACCAGGGATGGGTGTCTCATTTTTACTCTTGAGTGAATTATTGAATCAATGAGTGAAACAAACTAAACAGGTAGACCAACAACTCCCATGAGCTCAAATCAGTGCGGTGGCTGGAAAACATCTTCCTTTCACCACAAAAGCTCTTTTTCATGAACTTTTTGAGGACAAACTTTGATTTTTGCAGCAGCTGTTACAGCTGCGGGACGATCTCTTCTACAGCCAACACTAACAATCTTCTCATTTACACCCAAACATGTGAAAAACAAAAAGAGCCCAGGTTTAAAAACAGCAGAATTCCCCTTTAACATGTTGAGCATCAGATAAATATGATGGTAATTTGTCTTTCAGGAGCTGCGGCTGATGTAGTTTTACTGTCAGTGTAAAGATTTCCTCTCAGTGATGTGAGCTGAAACTGTCTTAGATGCTGAAACTTTAAATAAAGGATATTCAACATGAAGTCTGACTTTATAGTATAACTGGAAGCAACATTTATGCATATGTGACATTTACAGCCTCAACCACCAGCAGGGAAAAACGTCACTGTCATCACCATCATCATTGTTGTTTTTTTCCCTCTTTTGCGGAATTGAACGTCTTCTGTATCCGTCTGAGGATTCAACCTCTTTCAAATCCCTGAAAAAAAGCTCATGTTACAGCGGATTTTAATTCTTTCCTCTAAAATATCCACTGAATCAATTTGCAGCAGAAAAGCAGAAACAAAGTCTTAGAATCCTGGGAGTGTTGAAGAGGAAACAAACAGAGAATTCAGAGAGGAACTTTAGGAGGTGACTGCAGAGTCAGATAAAGGTGCAGAAAAGCTCTGTGACTGCTGATGCAAAGCTTTCTGGGTAATCTGACTCAGTGATTCATTTCAGTTCAACTCCTCCCTCTCTTTCGGGTCCCCTTTGATTTCTTAACACCACTTTTGAGTTATTTTAGCTGAGAACAAACAGGCTTTAAATTTGTGTTTAAGTATTAAAGCTGCACTACGCAGTTTTTGGCCACTAGGAGGCTCAATGCACAACCTAAAAGGTCATTCGTAGGCAGAGTTACACTTTTTCTAGAGGCCAGTGATTTACCTGTAAAGCATTTTAAAAATGTAGGCATTGATGATGAATGTTGATGTAATTTGAACAGTCAAAAACAAAGGGTTTCATTATAACAACAGCTAATGGGACAATAACAAATGTTTAAAGGGGAGCTACTAAGCTGTGAAAACAGTAACACCCAAAGATTGTTTATGACTGTATATCATTGTTTTAGTTGTAGGTTTACAGGGTTAACTTTGTGTGCTCTTCTCTGGTGGGTTTGGTTGCAAACGTCACATACAGGTTAACTTCACTCTCAGAAATGTTGCTCTGATTATTCTGACAGCTAGCATCACATTTTCCATCATACTCATTCAGAAATCAGAGTCTCTTGTCTTTTTATCGTCCATATTTTCACCAACTCAGCAGCAGGTCAAACTCTGATCATCTAATTGCTTCTGTTAATGTCACCTGATGGACGAGCGCAAATGTGACTCTATAAATAAGTTTAAATTCTGTTTTCTGCAGCAGCGATCAGCCTCCTGGGCTGTCGAACACAATGTGCTTTCACTGTTAAACTCTGATTTACATACTTATCTTCATATACTTTGACTGTAATCTTTGATAAACAACCATTCACTATCTAAATGTGCTCTAGTGTTTCCTTACCTCTCCTGCACCAAACTCTCTTTAGTTCAGTGGTACATCCATTATGATTGGTCAGAATAAATATCCACGTGCTCGCTCCAGCACAGAACGTTGTGCTCAGCATGTGCTCCTCCTGTCAGCACAAACAGGGGACCTGCACCATTTTGCATCCCCAATTCACAGCTCACTCCAAAGACGCTGCAAAGTGAGATCCATCAGACGACTCCATGTGCAGTATTTAAAGACGAAGAGGAAGCAGGAGGGGTTCTGCTTGGTCCTGGTTCTGGTTTGGAGTCCCTGCTCGTCCCTGCCTGCATATGATTCCTCGTCTCTGCATGTTCAACCAAAAATCCCACACCTCCCTCCCCACCCTCGCCGACCACATCCTCCCCCGTCGCCAGCTGCTTCATCCTGAGGTTGATGGAGCCATAAGTCCTCTTGGGTCGTACAAATGCTGCTCTGCGTCGGTACATCTCCCCCCTGCAGATGGACACCATGAGCAGCACAGACAGGAACATCCCGCCCAGCGTAAGCAAGCCCAGCCCCGCAATGATGCACTTGTCCAGGTGGGAGCCCAGCTGGGCGTAATACATCTCCAGCTTCTCCATCTGACGCGCTGACACTGAGTTGGGGTCCACTTTGGCCTCTCGGGGGATGGTGTAGGCAATGACCACCAGGACAATCCCGCTTACCAGGAACACCAGGGCGAAGATGAAGCCATAGTCTGCAGAGTGGTCGTCTGCAGGGTTGTACTCAGTGAAGTCCTGACTGTCCTCCTGAGTGCCGCCCCCGTCATCCTCATCGTACGACCGTGGAGAGAGCTCCTGGTGCTGCTCAGCCTGAGAGGAGGAACAAAATCCAGTTCACTGTACTTTAGTCATCTAATGAGTTTGGAGAAGCTTTCACATTCAAGACATAAACAAATGCAAAAATGTTCAGAAGACTGTAAATCAAAAAAGGCTTTAAGAAAAGACAAAGAATTAAATATTCAGCCTTAGATGAGGATTAAATGTTTTCTGATGAATCTCACCATCATTGTTGCTCATTTAATCTCTTATTGTGTAATTAGACTCTGTCTGACATGCACTGACAACCCTGTGTGAGCTTCAATTCTCTGATTTGTTGAACTCAAACTCATGTCTGGCTGGGAATCTTTGGGTTTAGCCTTGAAGCGACTCTTTAGCTGTTTTTTGGACATTAATGTAATAACTGACATTTTGTCTCATTTACCTTGCAGTTGGCTGAGGTTGAAGGTAGACATCCTGCAGACACAGTCGCCCCCTGCTGGTAGTCGTACTCCTCGTCTTGCCGGTAGGAGGCGTTCTCAAACCCCCGGGCAGAGCAGCCTATTATGGTCGATGTCCAGGGGGCTGAGGGCGGAGTTGGTGACATGCCCTGCCCTCCTCCTGCTCCGCTCCGCAGCTCTCTGAGCTCTACGGCGTTAAAAGACTCCATCGACGTCTGCTCGCTGTGCTCATGTCTTTACCATCACTCCTCCCTCTGTTATCACCGCTGGATACAGAAAAACATCCGATTGGAGAAAGACAACACACAAGCTTGTTTTATGCTTGTCATACACAGCTACAATATTGCGTTCACTTATCCTCCTCTAGGAAAATGAACAGATTATTAAATATAAAAATGTTATATAATAACATGTTATAAAAGATCAAACTGTTTGATGAGGGAGGATGTAAACGCATAAATTTTTGCTCGAAAAATGACTCTTGCTCCAGTGTGTACACTTGTTTTGCAGAACTTCTGCAGTCTGCCTCAAGTGAACACTTGGGGAACTGCAGTTTTTTTTAGCACTTCCTCATCAGCTTTATCAAGACTGGAGGTTTCTGCTTGGCCCTATTTTGACCAAAACAATCGACTAAATGTATCAATAAGAGGCTAACAGGGCAAATGTCAAAGGATGAAAACACAGTCACTATTACAGAGAGTTTCATCTTTGTTTTTACATCCTTTCTTAGTCTGTTCTGGTTTTGTTTACTATCTGGCTTCCAAGTAAAGCATTTATGCTATTCAGTTTCAGTTAGAAAAAAGCAATAAATAAAATTTTTAACAGCATGTCAACAATCTGGTTGGCAGTATCGATCATCTATGTTGTCATGAGCATGGACCAACCAGAATCGGGGGGCTTCTTATAATAATTTTGTGTCTAGTCAACAATAGTGGTAAAAGCTTGTACTAAAGAAAGCGATCACACACATGTTGCTGAGGTACAGGTTTAATCTCTGGAGCTGCTTTCAACACCATGACAGCTCTGACCTCTTCACCGGCATGCAAAATATGTCTGCTCATAGTACATGTTAGCATTGGGACATAAATTTGTAAACCCTTTAATAGAATAAAAGCCTTTCCTTGGAGCTCTAAATTTGACTGGATATATTCTTATTGCTGCAGAGGCAGCTACAGTCTTGTCGAGTTATTCAGGACACCATCACAAACACAGGGCTCACCTTGGTTGTTATTTACATCCATTTTCTGGTCCTCTCATCACCATTTATGCTGTCATTCCTGTTGAGCCCAATAAAAGATAAATCAGATCCACCATCCCTCACATATAACCACACACCACTGACATGAGGATGTAAAACGAACTATGTGCATAAAAACACTAATAAAACCCAGTAAATGCTTGCTTTTAACCTCATTCAAAGCAATTAAAATGGCTTTAATTGCAGATTAGATTTTTAGTTTTTCTGCTCCATACGTCAGTGGAGAAAGTGTAAGTGTTTCTGAGCAGGTTAACACCTCGGAGCTCTGGGTGTGATCTTCACTCATGCGCATTTCAGGCTCAGATCTCTCTTCAAACAACACTTTCACACCCGTTTATTCCAGTCAGAATCCAGTGAGGTTTTTAAAGCATTTAAACAGATGTAATCTACGTTACAAAGCCTTAATCTGTCCTCCTGACTCTTAATCTCCCCCACATCATTACACCGAGCCCAGAATAGAAATTCAGCCATAAATCGCGCCCAGAACTAGAAAACATCATGTGTCTTTGCCGGGATTTTACAGCCTGTTTTCTCCGGAGAGCTCCGGCCCACTGACACAGTTTTTACCCGAACATGGAGCGCTACAGCCGGCATGGAGTCTGGGAGTCCACCGCCACCAGAACCATGACCTTGTGATGCGCAAAACTGCCCAAACATGAGCCTCACGGCTACCCTGTGTGTGTGTGTGTGTGTGTGTGTGTGTGTGTGTGTGTGTGTAAGTGAGATAATATCAGCCGGGACTGATAAGCACCACACCGTCTGACATGCCTTTCATTACCCGGACCTGGCGGCTGATAAGCCGGACTCAGGGCGGAGGGATAACCCGGGTCAAACAGGGTCTGTTTCTGAATAAATGTATGCAAAATAAGAACCAATTTCTCCAGAGGAAAACACCGAGGAGGATTCAGCCTCCAGGCAGGCAGCATCCTCCCCGCCACCCCGCTGAATCACGGGTAAACACTGCCGATCAGAGTCCACGATCTGCGGGTTGCCGATAAGAGGAGGCGGGGTGTGACAGACGGGTCTTACCGGGAGATGAAGCCTCTCTGCCAGGCAGGATTCAGGATGACTTCCGGAGGGATGGAGGATGCTGCTGCTGGAGGAGGAGAGGAAAGACAGGCAGAAAGAAAGAAAGAAAAAAAGAAAGACAGACACACAGAAATAGAGAGAGAGAGAGAGAGAGAGAGAGGCGCCGTGGTGACAGTGAGCATGCGCAGAAAGCAGCCTGTGGTTTCTCCCTGCCGGTGTCAGAGGAGCTGGTGGTGATGGAGCTGATGGAGTCACAAAGGGAGGTGTGAACAGGAAACACAAATGAAAACATGAATGAATAAAAGGCATTTATATAAATGATATGAAAGATAATAATGATATTAAGAAACAATGGATAGATAAATGGATAACTTGGTGGATGAATAAAATAAAGAAGAATCAATGGATAATTAATTGGAAATTAATAATGGTGATGGATAAAACTATAAATTATGACATTTGGATGGATGGAAGGATGAAGAGAAGGATGGAAGGAAGACTGGATGGATGGAAGGATGAAGAGAAGGATGGAAGGAAGACTGGATGGATGGAAGGATGGATGGAATGAATAGGCAATCAAGTGTTGGATGGACAAAACATGGATTGCTGAGGAAATGATGAAAGGATAGATGGATTTATTCAGTTACAGAGATAGATACGAAATGTGTACTGTCTTTCACTGAAAATGTAGCAGCTATCTCCTCAGTGTTTGTTAGTTTGACTCAAAGACAGTTTTCAGGTCGCCATGGTTACCTGTCACTCTTAGGTGTCCCCGCCCTGCCCGTTTGACTCTTCATGGAACCAGAAATTCAAACTGATCATCATACTGCACTGAAGGAGACTCAAAACCAGAGACTGAGACCAGAAACTCAGCAGGTAAAAAGATTATTGGGGAAGTGAATCAGTGGAGACAAAGGGGCTGTTTTCCTAGAAATCAGGTAGATTTTTACAACCTGTGGAGTCACCCCCTGCTGGAGAAACAGCTCCAGCTCCAGTATTTTACATGTTTTTACTGTTAAACAGTTGAGACTGAATATTTTTTTGATGGTTTACAAGCATTTGAAAATTAATCGAAGTACAGATGCAGCTAGACTTAGAAATGAAGAGATATTAAAACAATGCTCAAAAACACCCATTTAATCTTATAAAAATTACTCTAGGAAAAAAATAATGTACTTTTCTGGCTAAAATGACCAGAAAAGGATATCTTAAAAGGATGCAAATGTTGGCTGTGAAAAGGAAATTAATTTTAAATATGAAATAAAATCCTTCAGGGCCGCAGAGATCAGACTAAACATTGAGATGAAAATGAAAAAAAAGAATTTGATTCTTTAATTTTGGATCTCTTAATCCCCCCCACAGTACACCACTGCCTGATTTTAGAATTGGAAGATGAGAAAAAGGATTAATATCTCCACAGAGAAACCCGTCCTGTTACCATGGTAACCCTTATCTAATACAGGCATGAATGGTTTCTGGTGAATAAAATCAGGCAGGAATCACACAAAGATCAGCGTTATCTGCATCAGCTCCACCTTTTAAATAAATCGATGTTTAATATCCTTAAAATAAAATAACAAAGTCATCAGACAACAAACTCAAAAGACCAGAATGCACTGCAGCTCCAGATTAACAAGCACATCAGTGAGCCACACTGTTGCTTTTGGTTAATTTCTTATTTACACACACTGTCCATCTGACCCCAAATACACTCAGATAACTCACACGTTAATTAATCCACCTCTGAAAATAGTTCCTGACTTAATTTCATAAAATATGGCTTCAAACTTTTGATATCTAAAAACCAAACATTGATAAATGTCTCCTTTGAGGGACATCTTCAGAAGGGGAACAGGAAAGGTGCTGCTTTGTCCACAGGGGGCACCAAACTCAGACCAAAAGTTCCTCAGAGGAGCTTTAAGTGCTGCAGAAACATTGAATTTTATAAAACTGCTGAGCTACTGGAGAAATATGCCCTGCAAAGCAAAATGCTTGCTTCAGGGGACAAATAATAAAACATTTGGAAACCAAAATGATCAGAGGACATGAAACCTCATTCTGACTTCATATCCTCAGGCAGGTTTTCTCTGAACTCTCGCTGTGCTACGTCTCAATCGGAGCTCAGACACACTGTCAGTCTGCAGAAGTCATTCACCTAAAACTCATCGGAGTGTAAAAATGTGGAATAATCTTGTGTCACGGCGGCAGCGATTTCTCCAGCCTCGGGCAGATTATCAGTGCTCACCTTGAGCAGGCGTGAGGTCAGAGGAACCATCTCTCTCTTTCACAGGCAGCCTAAAAACTGAGCCAGGCTAATTTTAGAGTGGGCCATTGTGTTCAGGCTAACAGGAGGAGAGAAGATAATGTGTTAAGGATGATATGGAGCTTTATGGGTGTCATCTATTCCTTTCTTTTATTCCCTTTCAGTCATCACCAAGTCTGTGTGCTGAAATATTCAAGAGTTAGGAAGAAAAGCACAGAGAGACAAACACCCCAAGACTGCAGGAAGAGTTTAAAACACTGCAGCTAGAGGACTCAGAGCTCCTGTGAGGAGGTTTCATCATCAATACATAAACACAGTTTGATTAAAGTACACTTTATTTTACAAAAGCTGACTGTCTGTAGAAAATACACAAAATCTTTGAAATACACAAGCAACACAAAAATGTTCTTAGCATTAATATCCTCACTCTTGATTTTTCTCTACAGTAACTGGTTAGTTCAATTTCATATCCGTTTGCTGATTTTTTAATTAACAAAACCAGGTGTGAATATGAACATCATGTATGTTAGAGACCATTTTCTAACATGTTAAAGTCAATAGAAGATGAAGTGTAGATACTACACACAAACACTGTCTCATGTGAGCCCACTCATTGCTGGCATTTAATTCTTATTACAAATTTACACAAAGTTTAAAACAATAAAGAGTAAAAGTTAAAGGAAAGAGTAAAATCTGACTGTAAAGACCTCAGCAGACACAACTAATACAGGACAGTGAGATTCCTCTAAAAGAAAACTTTGGACAAAAGTTCAGAGATCAAATATTGAAGACAGAAATTGACCTGATGTGAAGAACGGTGAAAGAGCCCCTCTGAGTGTAAATGGGACATTAACCCTTAAATAAGAGTTCAAATATTCAAGTTTCTTCTTTTTTTACTGTCACTTTTTAAATTTCACCTTGATTCACTCTTGATTTAAATAAAGAACCCGATGAAGGTTAACATCAAACTCTCTCTGTGTGACAGCAACAAAATAAATTCATTTCACTCTGTCTGAATTTAAGATCTTTGTCTGGATTTAAGGACATGAACATACTCTGCGACATAAAATGTGCAAGATTCTCAAGGCAGCTTAACAAAAACATTTTAAGAGGTCTGAAGTTTTTGTTAAACTCTGTTTTTTTCCCCCCTGAATTCTAAGATGAAAAATTACAGATTTTTAATCAAATCCCGTAATCCCAGAATTTAACCTCTAAATTCTGACTCTGATCTTAAATTCTGACTTTGATCGCTAACTTCTTCCCTTTATCTCTTGATCTCAGAACTTGGACTTCAAATCTCAGAATACTGTTTATTAAATTCCCCAAATTTTGACCTAGAATTCCAGAAAAGGCTGAAATTCTGATCATTATTTCAGAATTGTGAGATTTTAATAAAATGTAGAGATTCAGATTGGAATTATAGGAAAAAAATTTAATTTGGAACTTATTTTTAGACCCTGACACTTGCCTCTGATTCATCACTTCAGTGTCAGAATTCTGTTTATTTGAACATTTTGATTCTGATCAGATTCTCATTGAGACTGATGTTGAAAGCTCATAACTTTTTTGTGTTTACGTGTTACGGCTCTGCAGTTGACCTCCACTTTTTGTGACTTTCTGAGGAGAGTGTGTCGGTATGACTTGCTTCCTGGCAGTTTGAGAGCTTGTACTTGTACTTGTGTCACCATTGAATGTTGCTGAAGCATGTTTGTGATTGGTCTTTACTGTCCAGAGTAGGTCAAATCAATGTCAGCACCTGTATGTGTGTGTGTGATTCACCTGGCTCATCAAGATATCATTCTGGACTCGCAGAACATCATCCAGTCTTCATTCTTACGAACAGTACAAACACAACCCTTTTTTTATACATCAAACAGTCAAAGAGACTTCTTTTTTTCTTCTGCAGTTTAGCAGCAGAAATATAAAATTACAGCATCATCAGTGATGCACAATAATCCCTGACAGGTGAACACAGGAGTGTGTTCAGGTATTTCAGGTACAAACTGACCATAAAAGATGATTTTCTCTCATGGAGGTCAGTTCAACAGTGAGTTCTGAATCAGCTGATTGATAAGATTAATCTTTTCACTGACTGTTGTCTGATCTGCTTTCTGTTTATAAGGCTCAAATATCAAATCCATGATATTTCCCTGTCGTCAAAGTCTGTTTTTAGAGTTTGAGAATAAATTAAAGGTGGAATAAAATCAGCTGGTATGGATGAAACAAAGAGGTTTGATTTAAGGGATGTCGTCTGCTCAGGCTGTATGATTGTAAAATAAAGATAAAAACAGATGTTTAACGTCTGCTTCCATCTTTTTCTACGTTTCCAAACTGACCATCGGTCCATCAGTGACTCTGTCGCTCTGACACGACATCCTGCAGACGCTTCAGCAGCACGTCTGGACTGCTGCCATTCTCTGGACACGCCCTCTTGCTGGGAGAGTTGCAGGCAGATGGCATCATCACGTCGCCCTCCATAGTAAACGCCCTCTTCCTGCTGACGGAGCCCTGACGGATCATCCGGTTTATGTCTGATAACTCCTGTTTGGTTGACGAGGAAGCAGAGAGAGAAAGAGGGGAGGTGAGAAAACGATGAGGTTCATCTTAAAAATCCTCACTTGGTGTTTGTATGCGTTTGCGTGCGTGTGTGTGTTTACTTTAGACGGGCTGCTGTTGATCCGGTAGGTGTAGGAGTTTGGCGTGAGGCAGCCTGCAGAGTTTTTATGAGGAGACACGTAGAGTGAGTGTCTCTGAGAAACCCTTCGAGGAGAGAGAGGCTGAGTTCGAACTGACGGGAACGGAGAAAGGGGAGGGGCGTCGACCTGCTGGAACATCACACACACACACACACACACACATATATATATATAAAACACAGATTAAATATTTATTTTTATTAGCAGTTCAGATGTGTTTTAGTCACACTGTGGGATTTTCATACCCGATTATCATGTGTGGCATATCTCAGCGCAAAGCTCTTCATCTTCAGAATGAAGACACTGTTGTAGAACTGGATGAGGTCACCACGCTCCTCCTCTCCTGAGTGGTCAGAACTCTCCTCTCCTGCTGCCTGAGTGTTTTTCTCTGCAGCTGAAGAAACACGTGCATCAGGTGTTTTATATGAATTATCAAATAAACACGATAAAATTATGGCCGAGGTTAAAAATGACCTGCAGGTCTCCACAGTGTTCAGAAACCTGAGCATGTGTGTGTGTGTGTTCTTACATTCTCCCCCAGAAACAGGATCCACCTCCATGTTTTCATCAGATACCTGCTCTCTCAGAGTGCGACGCAGTAACACACAGCGATACACCTACACACAAACACAAAGACAAACAGGAACATTTACCTCTTCAGAAACAAACTTTTCACCAGATAAAAAAATGGACTGTCTTAATTTCATTTATTTTTAAGTGGATTTTACAGTTATCTGTGAAGTTTTTTAGGGTCTAAAGTCAGCCATCTGAATTTTTCTTCCACTTTCGTTTTATCAAAGTCTGAATGAACACCCACTCTAAACCATTAAAACAGAAGAAGAGGAAGACTTGGCCTTAATGAAAAATAAAATCTTAATTTCACGTCATGATAAGAAGAGATGGACAAATAATCACAGCACAAAAAAGTCTAAATTATGTTCAGGCTGTAAGTATTAGAAGGTCTGTCACAATTAAAACCAGACAAAGATTATGTTTCATGATAAAAATTTAAAAATGTTTAATAAAAATGCAAATATGAAACAGTTAACAGTTAAAATTATTTCACAAAATACTCCAAATTATCAATAAAAACGTCAAATCTGAGATAGTAAACTTTTAATATTGGGAAGGAAGTCAAAATTATGAGATAAAAAATTTAAAATTAGGTTAATGGTCTAAATTAAGATAAAAAGATTTTAAAAAAACAGAGAAAAAAGTTGAATTAAGATTAGGAAAAAGAAACTTTAATAAAAAGTTAAATATGAGCTGATATGCTGTAGGTTTGAGAAATAAGTCATAACAAAAATCCAAACAGTTCAAAAATTATTTGATTAAAAGACAAAACAATATGATAAAATCTTATAGTTATGTGATCAAATTTATACTAAGATTAAAAAATCTAAATTGTTCACCTGAAAGTTTTATCTCTGGCAGAATTAGTGATGAAGACATCACATAATCACGTAAAAAAAAAATCACATAATTTAGAATTTCGATTTTATGATCTTGAGCTTTAATCATGTAACTATGCCTTTTCTCTTATGTAAATGAGCTAATACTTAAGATCTTTTTTTCTATTACGGAAGTCCCTCCTCCAACTAACTTTTTAAAACTGGTTAAAATGGGCTTCTATAAAATTCGTCCTTCTAACAGCCATAAAACTTTGGTGTCAATGTCAGTTCAGTTGTTTTAAGTTGATTTTCTTCGTCTTGCAGCTTATTGTTTGATTATTCTACATAATTTTACACACATATCTGTCTCTGTAATGTGTGCTGGACTCACATGGCTGTGGGCCTGGGGTTGGCTGCGGTAACACTTCATGATGTCATGAAAGCTGTGGGTCTCTTTGGTGATCTACAGGAAATGAAGAAATCACAGATAGTGCGTTTGGAATAAAAACAGATAATTCAGCCTTTTTTGTCAGCAGTAACCCCCCCCCGGGAAATGCTGCATCCTTCAAAACCTCAGTTCAGAATTCTCTTCATGGTCAAAGGTGTGATGAGCAAACTCTCTGAATCACTCACTTTGGCTATGATGTAGACGCTGCAGAGCAGCAGCTGGTCCAGGTGTCTGTCCTTCATCAGGTCAGTGCTGTGGACCAGAGCATGTTCGAAACACGTCCAGATCTTTCCTCTCAGCTCTGACGAGATGTCCAGCTTCAAACACAGATCCCTCAGACGCACACTGGCCAGGTGATATACCTGCAGACACACACAGCATGACACACAGGTAAAACTTCTGTTGAGTGTGAGCGTGGATCTGATGGAGCTCTCAGATTTACACAACACAAAACATAAACAAGGGAAATATTTATATGTACACGCAACCTTAATCAAGAATTATCACTGCTCAGGGACTGTTAACATTGGAGAATATGAAGTGCTCTGCAAAACTTTTAAAGTTAGAGTCACTGTGTCACATGACGACCCCACCATTGAAGCTTTTTATATCAGAACCTAAAAGGTGCCGCTGCCTGAATACAGCAGAAAACACATCTGTTTGGTGTACAGAACTGTATCTGTTTACACTTTAGAGAAGTACCTTATTTTAAAGGAAGAATGAATAAAGGATGGAAGATCGAAATAAAGAAAGGAAAAAACAGACAGAAGGTAGGAAAAATAGAGAAAGAAGAGAGTAGGTAGGTACAAGGGATACGAGGAAGGAAGGAAAAAAGAAGGGAGGAATAATTGAAGGAGGGAGAAAGGAGAGAAAGAAGGAGAGAGCAAAAATGGATTTAAGGAATGAAGGAAAAGAGAAAAGTAAAGGAAGAAATAGGGAGGAATGAAGAAAGAAAGGGGAAAGGTAGAGATATGAGGAGGAAATGATAGGAAAATGGAGGACAGAAGGGAAAGGAAGATGGATCAAAGAAAGGAGGGAAGAAAGGATGGATGGAAGGAAGGAAGGAGGGAGGTTGTAAGGAAGGAAGGGAGGGAGGCCAGAAGGAAGGAAGAACAGAGGAAAGGAAAGGAAAAAAGGATGGAGGATGTAAGGAAGGAAGGAAGGACAGAAAGAAAGAAAGAAAAAGGTGATAAAAAGAAGGAAGGAAGGAAGGAATGGAAAAGGCAGGAATGAGAAAATGAAGGTAAAAGAAGAATAGGCAGAAATAGGGAGGAAAGGAGAAAGAAAGGGAAAGGGGAGCGAGCAAAGAAGAAAGGAAGGAAGGAGATAGAATAAGGGAATGAAAAAGAAAGGAGGGAAAGAGGAAGGAAAAATAAAGAAATGATGAAAAAAGGAAGGAACGCAGAGAAGACTTGCTGTATGATTTATTATACTGAAACTAAAAATATTCTCTTCAAAGATTTTTCTCTTTATTCAGAGTTTCAGGCTCCAAACTTTTGAACGTAAATGTGTAAAATGTGAAAGCAAATCATTCACGTTCACATCTGACCTTTCTGAAGAACAGAGCGAGGGATCCAGTGCGTCTTGGTCGTCCGCTTGCTGTCTGAGGGTCAGAGGCCGTGGTAGCAATGGTGATGCGGCTCGGGGAGGCGAGGCGGCTTGGTGAGGCGGTGAGCAGGAACTGTGCTGTGATGGGGGCCGAAGAGTCACACGGCTGAACCGGGATTAGAGTGACGGTGCGCTCGTTACTCACACCTGCAAAGAGGAAGACCCAAACAAGTGAAAATGAAGCCTGTGCGTATTTTATGGCACCGACTGAGATCAGAGTTTACAGAATGAGACATTGATCAATCTCTATAACTTGAAATAAATCAGCAGCAAATGAACTCAGAATCTACTCAAGTGTTTTTGTTCTACCCTGAAGCGGGATACTGAGGACAGTGGTCTGTCCGCCCTGAGCTCCGATCCTCAGCGTGCTGCCTGATCCAAATGTTAACCTTTTGGCTGGCGAAGACATCGGGCTTGTGATGGGGGTCACTCCTGATGTCTGAGTTGGGGGGTCATCACCAAAGAGACGCCGTTTAGCACTGCCGGCTGCAGGTGAGCTATACCTGTCATGGACTGAGAGTGGAGAGGGAGGGACATCTGCAGAGAGCAGACAGGTGTTACAGGTGACCATACTCAACCTGAAAACAATAAATAAATGTAAATACTCACCTTTACGAGCGCTGCCCAGGCCTGATCTGAACTCCCTGATACGAGGGTGGATGATGGGGGATAAAGCAACCAGGGGGAGGTGGGTCGGACCTCCACCTGAAGAACCTGAGCCTGTGTCCAAACTGGAGGTGAAATTCACCTGCAGAGAGAAACAAGAGAAAGTGAGAAATGTGATGATAAAGATTAGGGGTGTCACGGTTTCGATTTTTTATCAAAATCAATCTAAATTACGGCATGGTCAAAGAGAGGATTGACGATCCCCTCCCTCCACATCCGGAAGGTGTGCAAAGTGGAAGCAAATGACCACACCCCACATTGTAGCTGATGTAAGCCTCTGTGAGTACTCATTTTTGTTGTTATTATGTAGGGCTGCAGGATATGTCGTTTGACCCTAGTCATCACGATGTATGTGTGCGCAGTAGTCACACTGCAGAGCCTGCGATGTAGGAGGTGAATGAACTCATCTAATTTCAAGGGTAGCTGACTGAAATAAACTACATGTGACTCTGCATGTGCTGTGCAGTGATCCACCAATCTCATTCGTTCTTTACTCAGATGCCAAGCAGACTCCCCTACCGGCCATCAATCAAAATCAGAGAGGAGGAAACCACGCCCCTGCACATGGAGTGAGTCACTGGCGCTGCCGGTGTTGTGCTGAGAAATGCATGCCCCCCAAGAATTACTTTTGGAACATTACTCATCACTGTTTAGCCCAACAAATAAGAATTGTATGGGTTTTAAATTGTACATTTCCATGGACCATTCTACTATAAGTGGTGCACGCAATTCTTGGCGGACATGTGTTTCTCAGCACAACACCGGTAACAACAACAATGGTTGCAAAATGAGCAAGGAACATGAGAAAACCACCAAAAAATAAGACTTGTTGCCAAAAAGAAAAGCAACGTCAGTTATCTGGAATTATTTCAGTTACAAGATGGATGATGTCAACCAAACACCTGTTGTGTGTCTGCAGTGCCCTTCATCTGTTGCCACAAGGAGCGATAACAAGCCCCAGCACAATAAAAGCAAGCTAAAAATGTCTCTAAGACAGGCAGATGCAGGTTACGATCAGTGCAGGTTAACTGTCCACAAGATTTCAGCAGAGCAGCATAGGATAAAGTGCTATTCAGGTCATCTGGTGAAAATTCCCTTTTTTTTTTTAATATCGCAATATATATCACAGGGTTGAAAAAAATATAATGTTCGTTTTTTCCAATATCTTGCAGCCCTGTTATTATGTTTGTTTTTGTTGTTTTCAATTTACTGAAAACAAGATTGTTTAATAAATTATTTAAATTTGACCATAAGTGCCTAATGTGATACATTACACAAAAATAATGGATATTGCATCACTTGTATGTTGCCCATCTTTTGAAATAAGATTTACTGTACAAAATGTAATGAATAAAATCAATGACCATAGACTAGACTAGTCTAAAAATGGCATAGGCCTCTAGGCTGCAAGAAAAAGAAAAAGAATCAAGAATCAAATCGTGACCCTAAAATCGGAAATTAAATCAAATCAAGGATTTGTAGAATCCCAGGTTTCCCACTGACCTCCTCCACTGTGGGGACTTTGTTCCCTGCAGCCTGTAAGGCGCTCCAAAGGGCTGAGTCTGCACTCCACGCTTGGCTCTCCAGCACCTGCTCCTCTATAGAGTTCAGGTGTTTGACCATGTCTCTGGACAGACCCTCCTCTGAGCGGATAAACACCTCGATTACCTGCACACAGAAATGAGATCACTCACAGCTGGAACATTTAACCAAGAATATCGAAAAGAGGACGTCACCTGACAGACTCCCTGTTTACTGTGGTCATGTTTTTTTTTTTTATGTGAGTGTGTTACCTTAAAAAAGTAGAAGGGAGTGAGTTTGAAGATGTTGATGATCCAGGGGAAAGTTCTCTGAGAGCTGTAGGAGAACAACACGACCTCCAGACAGCACGCCATCAGAGAACAGTGGAAGATATCCTGCTCCAACAAGACCTACAGAAACACACAGAGACACAGACACACACAGGTTTATCCTTAATGTTAGCAGAATAAAAACAGACAAATAAAACATGTTTTATACTTTTTTATTGCACTTAACTGAAATATTTTCTTTTATCTTTTAAGTGAATGACAAACAGAGACTGGAGATCAAACGATTACACTTGACAAGATTGGAGTTTCTGCAGCAGAGCAAATTCACAAAACCTAAACTTTTGCTTGAATTAATAGGGTGCTATTTTGAAGTTGTGTTTTTTTACCACACTCCTAGGGCTGCACGATTTTGGCCAAAAATAAAATCCAGATTTTTTTCTCTGAAAACTTGATTTTCGATTTCCATTTATAAGGGTTGTTTTGGCCGGTCACGCCCAGGCGCCATGAAAGATCATTTCCAGAGATGCAGATAGACATCCACACGGAGCTGAAATGGTAGTCATTTACAGATTTTTGCACTCTCTGACCCATTTTCAAAAAGTACAGTTTACAGTCATCTGAAACCCCTTGGATGAAACACAGATAGGACAAAAAACTTTTGCATTTACTCCTGAATTTGTTTCTGTGTGGATGGGTTGATACTAAGGCTGCAAGATATTGGAAAAAACTAACATTGCAATTGTTTTCAACCCTGCGATATATATTGCGATTACTAAAAAATACAGGAATTTTCACCAGATGACCTAAATAGCACTTAATGTTATGCTGCACTGCTGAAATCTTGAGGACAGTTAACCTGCACTGATCTTACCTCTTTTTGTGAATGTTAGTAGAATTGCTTCTGTCTGTCTCAAGAGATATTTTTAGCTTTTATTGTTCTGGGACGTTATTGTGGCGACAGATGATCATAGAACACGTGTTTTAGTCGACATTATCCATCTTGTAACCGAAATAATTCCAGAAAACTGACTTTCCTTTTCTTTTTGGCAACAAATCTTCATCTTTGGTGGTTTTCTCTTGTTCGTTGCTCATTTAACAATCGTTGTTGTTGTTACCGGTGTTGTGCCGAGAAACACGTCCTCCGAGAATTGAATGCACCTTGCAAAACGCGCACCACACATAATAGTGGTCCACAAAAATATACATTTTAAAACCCATGCAGTGCTTATTTGTTGGGCTTAACAGTCATGAGTAAAGTTTTGAAAGTAATTTTCAGTGGACAGGTGTTTCTCGGCTCAACACCAGCAGCCATGTGCAGAACATGTGCAGGGGTGGGTTTCCTCCTCTGTGATTTTGATTGACAGCTGGCAGAGTAGTCTGATTGGCAACTGAGAACTGAGTCTGATTGGCAACTGAGTAAAAGACAAAGGTGATTGGTGGATCGCTGCACAGCACATGCAGAGTCACATGCAGTGTATCTCAGTCAGCTACCCTTGAAATTAACTGAGTTAATTCGCCTCCGACATCGCAGGCTCTGCGATGTGACTATCGCACACACGTACATCGCGATGACGATGCTTAAACGATATATCGTGCAGCCCTAGTTGATACCGCCTTCAGACAGACTTTGCAGCAGAGAGTGGTTTGCTCTTCATCCGAGACTGCAAAGCCGTACCAATTCCACATGACTGACATCCTCTTGTACTATTTAACCATGAAATTACCGACTGGTGTGTGTGGGAACTGGGGTGCGCTCCCACAGGAAGGGGGAGCCTACGGTGGCCTGGAGGCACGAGACATGATAGAGAGGAAAACTGATTTGATGATTTTAATTTTTTTAACATCATCATAATCAAATTATCTGATTATAGTTTAAAATCATTTATCATGCAGCCCTACACACTTCTGACAGCAATACAATGTCCCAGAATACTGAGCAGAAGTTATCAGGTTGACCCTCTAAACTTTTTGACTGAATTTTAAGATGTGCTGATCCTCAAGTCCAGGGAATAAAAGCATCAAAACATTAAGTTCTCTGAGTCACTGCTTCATAAAAATCTGTCTGGATGTAAAAAAAACTTTGCGGAAGCCCCTCTAAAAACATGGATGATCATGTTTCATGTTACGACTCTCTTACACTCATGTCTTTGCCGTGCAGACGTTTGGTCTCCTGAACCATCACATTCTCGAGGATTTTGTAGTACAGGATTTCTGCCAGCTTCAGACGGTTCTCTGCAAAGTCTGAGAAAACATCACTTTTTTTAGTGTTGTTAGTTTTTAAAGTTGGAAGTAATATTATAAGAGTGAAATTCAGCAACATATTTGTAGCCAAATTATACAAAAACACTCCAAAAGAAACTTAAATATAACAAAAGAAAACCAGAGAGCATGTGTCATACCTATATGAGAGCCGGGCATGTCCTCTGAGTCGTTGGTGTAGTGCTCTTTGAATGTTTGTCCCAGTGTCTTCACTCTGCTCAGGATAGACTCTGTGGGATCTCTGGAGCACAACCTGCAATAAAAGCAGACGCGGCCACTTTTACTGGTAGATCATAATTTATATACGCGGAAGAAAATGGCTGAAAGGAGAAATAAAAAGTATAAATGCTCAAATGATCAGAAACCAGAGGATGCAGAAGCTCTAAAGTTGTTACTGGATTCACAAAAATCTTTGAATGTTGGTTTTTAAAAGTGCTGAATCATCTCTTTGAAGGCTGCTGCAGCTAGCTCACTAGCAGCTTCTTGTTTTATCATCATCACTACCCTGTTTTATGACCAGCATGAAGGACAACGAGAATAAACTCATACTAGTCCTGTATGCTTTTTAAAGCTATGATCTACCATTTGGAAGCTTGGTACTTAATTCTAACACCATTTAGAAGGACGTTATGGTCCTATGGTCTGATCTATGCAATATAAAGATCAGAAAGAACGAAAAAAATCCATTCAGTATATCCGCTGCAAAAAGGCATAATAATCGACCAATCCGAGCTGCCGTACCCCGGCGGTTCAGAGTGGTCCGTAAGTCCATCCAATCCCCTGCCTCCCCTGCTCCACACCGTCCCGCCCATGGTCCTGCCTCCTCCCCACTACCCCCCTCATGTACATGCTATTAGCAAGCTGCACAGCTACTGAAGTGTAATGTAGCCGGAGAAGACAAACACCAAAACCAGGAGGCTGCTTCTGTTGCCCTCCACATTGAAGGGAAGGAAACGTAAAAGTTTTGAGGAAAAGGCTGAAGTAAGGAAGAAATATGAGCGATACAGGTGCCAACGGAGAGTCTACATTGCCGAAATGTAAGACCGGTGGAAAAAGCTGCAGAAGGATTTGGGACTGAAAACTGATGCTGAGACAGCCGAATTTCTGTTGAACAGATAATTACTTTGTTTACTACAGTGGGAGATGTCTGCTGAATAACTCTGGTTAGTCTGTGCCTATACTGGCTGATGACTGAACGCTGTTGGTCGGGTAGGCTCTGTCAATAGATTTTAGCATAAGTGAGCCATGCATCTTTAGCATTGTAAACTGAGCTGGTGAAGACACGCCGAGAAAGGTTAAGCCTCACCCACAATCGGCTCTGCTCTGACCGGCTAGCAGTGGCGACGCCAGACCCACTTTGCCCAGTTAATATATGGTTTTGATCGCGCAAGTCCTATTGAAATGGCTACCACTGTGTACCACTGCTGATATTTTCTGCCGGCCGGCTTCTTTCTCTATCGGAGGGGGCGTGTTGTTAGGAGGTGACATGAGCTGGGGGGGGGGTTCAAATCTGTCTCACAGCCAAACTGGTTTTCAGATCTTGGACCATAGCTTTAAGGAAATATCAATAGCACGATAAAACATCCTTTCAGCACAAGTTTATCCCAACAGCCCTACTGCACATGATAACCAAGTATAAAGACAAGCAGAGAGGACAATGAGACACTGACTTGAAGATCTGCATCAGGTGCTCGCTGGGCGCCGTCCTCAGCCCGGCCACCATGCTCTGCAGACGACTGACACTCTGAGTTGCTGAAGAGACTGGCGTGACGAGCAGGTCCTTCTCTTTGAGGTAAACTCGACCTGTCAGGGGTGTGGAGGGGGCGAGCGAGCCGGACTGAACAGAGAGAGAGAGAGAGAGCGAAAGAAAGAGAAAGAGAGCGGAGAAGGGATAGATTATTTGGCCTGTTTTTGTCAGATAGTGTGTGTTTTTTCTGTGTATGTGTGTTTTTGTGCATCTGTAAAATTCAACCTCTGATAAAAAATACTCGAACTGATTTCTTCTCCATGATCTGTATATGATAAACTGGTTTACTACACGTGTGTGTGTGTGTGTGTGTGTGTGAGAGTGTGTTTTTGCCTTTTCCACATGTTGCTGCAGTGTGCTGTGAGTGTTGGTCAGACTGGCTGAGGTTTCCTTAACGATCTTCCTCGGAGTCCCGATTTCCTCATCTGCGTCAGCTCCAAGAAACACCCGCTCATCAAAGTCTCCCACCGTCAACACGTACTCCTCATACTCCCTGTTTATCGCTTTACTGCGCACACACACACACACACAAACACACACACAGTTAAACAAATCCTAAAGCATTCAGATAAAATGCTCTTTGTCAGCCTTACTTGTTATCGATGAAGTTCTGAGGGTCCAACAGCTCAGTCAGATTGTCTTCATCGCCTTTCAGGATCTTAACAAGAAAAACAAATGATGATCAAAAAAAGATTTAAATACTGTAAACAGAAAACTGAGATGAAACTGTGTGTGAGACTTTGTACCCGTCTCTGGAACAGTTTCTGTATGTACGGTTTGAAGTAGTGCTGCTTGATCCCTTTAGCTTCGACCACCAGCCCATCATGAAGCTCACACAGACGCTCCAACACACAGGGAGGAGGCTCGTCTGCTGAAACATGGCTGTCAGCACGGTACATGGCAGGAAGACCTGAACACACAGACACACAGAGATTAACACTGCTCCTGCACATTCACACACATCCCTACATCTCCTGACAACTAAAAGGACAATCATGGACTATCTACGCTCAGTTATACACCTAGCAACATGTAGTAGCCTCCAAAGGATACAGGTAAACAGAGAAGTACATACCGGTGACTGCCATTAGACTATAAACAGCTCAATATCAACAGCTTAAAGGGAAACACACCCTATCAGCACTTTTGTCCGAACCTGAGGTGGAGTCAAGACTTTTGAGCTGCCAGGTGAGTCTTTCCACCATGTTATCCCCTCTCTTTATCAGATTTAGATTTTAAGAATGAAAAAATTCCTCTGTCTTTAGGATGCAGCTGCAAATGTGTAGAAAACTACTCCAAATTTACAGGCGTTGACACTAAGAACCATATAAAAATATGCAAGAGGATATTTTGCACAAGGACACTTTGTCCAGTGACACTGCAGACTTGTCATGAAGGTGTGTCTATATCAGCCAGAGTGCAGAAGATTGCAAAACTTTTGTGCGATGTACTCTTGATGCAAAGATTCACTTTTAAATACAGTCCCTGCATGAACTGCGAAAGATCATGTGGACTGCTGAGGCTGCAGGAAACATGTTTTTTTTTTTCCCAAAGGGTTGAAAATGTGTAAAATGAAAAAGTTTTTATTGTTTTTCATGAGGTAATCTGTGCAGACTCCATGGAGTGTTCAGACTGAAAAAATTCTGAAACATCTGCATAAAGGTAGGACACTAATTTGCAAAGGACAACAGGACTCACTGCCACATCTTGTGTGATTTGGCTACAAACATTTCAACTCAACTTATTACAATCTGCTCAGGTGTACACAAGTGGGCGTAACACAGGTCAAATATTAGCGTTGTTCCCAGTGTACACACACCTCTACAGCAGCGGATTTGTTTTACTGTTTAGAGCAAGTAAAGACAGTCTGCAAAATGTCCAAAATAGTTAAGTGCAGAAAAATATTGATAAACAGAGCTAGGAATAAGTGTCCTCACACACTCACACACACACCTCTGAAAGCAGAGTTTATTAGGTCCTTCCTGTTGGCACACAGCAGAGCGTTTCCAAACACGAGGTCCAGACAGCAGAGCAGCAGGTGGTACGAGTTCACCAGGTCGTCTCCGATCATACGAAAGTTACCTTAACACACACACACACACACACAATAAATACACACATCTTATATCAGCATCCTGCCTACAGCTGCTACAGTAAGACTTTGACTTCAAAGAGAGAATCTTTTCAAATCTAACTTTTTTTGTCTACAATTTGTTTTTATTACATTTTAATTAAAAAAGATGACATTTGAAAGTCTTTAAAACAAGTCATTAAAATTAAATAAAGAGGTGATAAAAGGGAAAAAAGACAAAGTTGAAATATTGTATGGAAACTTCCAGAGTAGGGTCATATAATTATAGAAATGGACAAACTAAAACTAAATTATTAAGTTTTTTAAAATTCTTTCTTTAAAGTTATCTCTGACCTTTGTCATGGTCCTTTCAATCTTATGTGCAGCCTTTAACACCGACTCATTCAGTTGTGCTCTCTTTGTAAACTTGTTTTGTTGATTCAAATATCTGTACCTAAATCTGAGTTTTCACTCAGCATTTTGTGACGTGTAAACACAGTGTAACCCAAGTTTTGTTTTGTGCTCTTATTTATCAGCAAAAATGAAATCAGAGGTTATTTAATAGTTTATGTGTAATTAACGTGAGCAGAATAAATATACTTGTGTTTAAGAAAAATGCACATCACAGTCATCATCTAAAATTCATTTTCAGGTGAAATGATGAACAAAACTATGTATCAAGTCTCGAAAAAAACATGCGTGTCTGTTCAAATTTCAGTGATTTTAAAGACTTTATTTTTTAAGCTTTGGAGAGTTTTAGAAACCTATGTTTGTATTTTTATGTTTTTTTAATGCGTCTTGATATTGTCATGCTTATTGAGGAGCAAATTGTGTCCTAACAGCACCAAAGGCAAATGTTCATTTGTCTGCAGATTTGTTCTTGGTACCTTTGGTGTAGACGAACAGAGTCCAGCAGAACTTAAAGACATCACTGATATGACACGGCAGTCGTCTGGAGGATTATACAGAAGACACAGACACACAGACACACACGCACACACACTGTTAGACTGAGCTTGGAGAACATAAACCCCTCTGCTGACCCTTAAGCTTGAACACATGAACAGGACAAAAAAACACTGTAAACCTTTGATTACTGTGGTTATAAATGTGTACATAAATATGTGTGTTACCTGTGTTTCCTGCTGCGTGGCTGCCTCGGTGGCTCTCCTGCTTGCGGGTTTTGAAACATGTCCATGAATATTGGCTCAAACTTTCGGAAAATGACAGTGGAAACTTCAAAGTTTCGCTCAAGGCGGTCCATCCTCAGCCTGAAATCCTGAGGGAGGTTTGACATGTCGGCCCACTTCCTCATCTTGGAGAAGAACTGGATCAGACTGAGAGGCAAAACAGAGAACTAACGACATCATAACGACTACTTTTAATATAGTGTTTTAACAAAAGAAAGTGAAGGTAAACAGAGCATGTCACTAGAAATAAAGAAAAAGAGTTTATTTTATCTTAGACACTGCCCTTCTTCCTTTTTTTCTTCATCCTATTTTGCAGCATTAACTCTAGAAGCATTGCACAAACATGAATGAATGCACCTGCACTCTCCTGTATTTGTGCAAAAGGCAATAAACATCTGCTCTATTCATTTAGTTCTTGTCAACAAGTCTCAGTCTCTCAAAGAGCTCTCAGTCTTGACACAGTTATTCACACACTTTGTTATGATTTCTGCAGAGCTGAGGCGGACTGACCTGAGTTTGGAGGTGCGAAGGATCCTGGTGAGGGAGACACAGTTTCCTTCCATTAACCCTTTCCCCACCGTGGGAGTGGATCCTTTCCTGCAGGCTGCATATAGAGAACATGCCAACCAGTGCACCACCTCTCCCTGCAGCAAGAAAGCAACACATTTAAACATAACTCATCTTGTTCCAGTAAAAATATCAAATAATGCAAAACCTTATGCACAAAAGTGCCACAGAAAACATAAGTATGTCTGTGAGGGAAATAACACAATGGTGCTTTCAGAATTTCTTTCTCAAATCCAGTTCAGAGCAGTCACGTCAAATGTTTATCAGTGTCAGACAGCTTGAATTGAAACATGTTAGTGTTTCCTTTTGTAACTACATAATTACAAAAAGCCTGTCCGGCTCATGTCTGATCTCGTCTGAACTTTAAGGTCAGATAACAAGCATGTAACTGCTGCTGAAACTCTCATGTGTCACAGTGGAGCAGAGTCACAATGATGAAGGCTGTAAAATCACTTTGATCCCCACTGTCTGTGAAGATGAGTACGATGATCGTGTCATCAGTTTTCAGCTGTTACCTGTCCGTCTGGATGAAGAGCAGACACACAGACTGTCCTACCATAACATGTCAGTTAAAGGGGAAGTGCTGCAGGATAAAACCTGCTGATCTGATTGATTTCAGCTGTACGACAGAAACAAGTGATACTAATGATCTAACAGACAGACTGTGATTATCCAGTCTGAGCTTGTCTAATTTCAATACATGTCAGATTATTATAATTATCTATGTGTTATTGTTCTGTCAGGAGGGTAACTAAAGGTTTCTATCATTAGATAAAGAAAACGGTGCTAAATGATTTGGGGCCATTTCTACATGATTTTATGTTAATTCCAGATTACAAGGTGTGTCAGGTTTATTGATAATGGGTGATGCAATATAATGGTAACAATTCCTGTCTCCTAATTATTCTAATATATGGTGCTAGCATCAAATTAAACATGGAGTTGTTTTATATTTATGGATATGTTCACTTGTAAAGGCTATACTTAACAAAAAAAATGTGTTTAAGTCCATTTTCTGCGTGTGTGTGGCCCTTATCATTTGTGAAGTGTAGTTTATATCTTTAATACTTTGGGATATATTTGTAATACTTTAAGGTATATATCTTATAATTGTGGTGTTTTAGCCCACTACCAGCTTGTGTATGGTCTATTTATGTTTGTGAAGTTTAGTTTTAGTGGAGCTGTTTCATATTTAAGGATATAAACTGATATTTCAGGGTATATTTGCACCTTCTAGGCTAAATGTTTCATACGTTATATGTTTAACATTATTGTGGTGTTTTAGCCCACCTCCAGCGTGTATGTGGTCCATATGTTGCTGAAGTTGTCCATGGCTTCAGCCGCAGTCTGCTCGTCCATGTTCAGCTCCTGACACAGACCCTCTAAACTCCTCCGGACCGAGCTCTCCTCCATCCTCCCGGACTCAGAATCCGACGACTCCTCGCCCCTCATTTGCTGAAAGTCGCCGTTACACTTAGTTTAAAATTCTCCCCGTGGATTAAAATCTTTAAAACCAAAACACGACGATCCCCGTGACCGTATACAAACAACACCAAGCTTCCCCTCGACCGGGGCACTTCCGCTAACCAGCCCCACAATGCAGCGCGTTGGCGCGAAAACTCTAGAGTAGCGACCAATCAGAGGCGAGGGAAGAGTCGGTCCTCAGCCGGAGTTCTGCTCACCCAACCCCCTTCTCCTGCGCTCGTGGAAACCTCAAGCCAGAGCGAACTGTTACCAAGCAACTGGAGTTTTAAACATCTGACCGTTAAAATTACCGAGGTTTTAACGATTTTTTTCGAAAATCATTCAAGTTTATCATAACTTTTCTGCCATGTTTAGTTTTATTTAAGACATTAACTTGCCACATTACCCGTGGGCTTTGCTTTGTTACTGTTGTTTAAACCTGTAACAAAGACCGAAAGGAAAACCAGCCTCTGGAATTTCGAGACGCGTCTTTATGAGTAAATTCAAAATCAGTTTGTTGTTTGGTTGAACTGTCAAGGAAGTTGGTTGGAAGACAACTCTACAGACTCTCAAGATAGTAAAAATATAGCTATACAAAGTTACAGACTTGATATCAACACCTCTTAAACACACTGATATCACTAAATTTGTATGCCATTTAAATCACCTATTCGTGGCACTTTGGTATAACCTCATATTTGTATCAAAAGGTGAATATCAGTTTCCATCCAATGGGAAGTTTTTTTTTTCCTTTCCCTTTTTTGTTACAGTAATACATTAGTACCAATGATAGCTAATTAGTGAGATTTTTTAACCTTTCAGATAAACTGTAATATTATTTTGTGTGTTTTTCCCTCTTTCAAAGGTCAATACAGTTTTCATCCACTGCTCCTGGGGGGTGAATTGCCAAGTCACCACTCGGGAGCAGTGTTGAGCCAAGACAAGGAGCCCTGCAGCCGAGCTATTTTTACGACTTCTGACCAAAGACACAACTGGGTGAGGTGGTATAATTGAACTATGTAGCAACGGGGAAGTGCAAACAGATAACCAAAGTTTCTAGATTATTTATTTTTCTGACATGAGAGAGCTGCATTTTATTGGATTTGCTGAAGTGATATATGTCAAATTTTAAAGTTACGACTGACCAAGTTTTGTGATAAAAAGTTTAGTAATTGACTATATGTTGAACTGATCTTATGCTTAAAGGCAAATATCTTCCAACATTAAACAGACACGAAAATAGAAACAGAAAAATCTTAATGACATAATATGCAATTCATAAAAAAAAGGAAATAAGTGACCGACAAGTTATCTTTACATGGAATTTGAAAACATGTTATTTGTTATGAATGAGCTGTCCAGAACAGGTATATTTTATCAAAGAAAAATCACTCTACAGCCTCCCTGTTGTGTGTAAATTTATTGATGAAAGCAGCAGCTGTAAAATAAAGAAAGTTTGTGATCACAGGTGTAAGTGAATACTTCAAATTTATCAAAGAAATAAAATCCCTTTATGGTGGAAAAAAAATAGGCAGGGCAAAGTTAGAGAAATAATACTACTGTAATACAGATAAACACCTGAAACAGAAAACACCAAAATGATTTCATGGCTGAAATACAAGGAAGTCTTACATAATATGTGGTAAGGCAGAGAGCTTGAAAACAGCAGACAGAGGAAAACACAGTCAAATCTTTATAGTGACTTAACTATAGTATAGACAAACCTTTTCCAGCTACTATTTTTTCCATTAGACTTATGTAAAATTGTTTTTTTGTCATTCTTCTACAGTGAATACAAAGTAAAACCAGGTAGCCCCTTGCACCCCTACGCAAAACCTGCCGGTAAATTAGCTTCAGACACGCATAAATACGTGTGGTTTTTGTTTGCTTTGTTTATAATGGGTGTTTGATTTTTGTAAACTGGTGCATGCACAGTTGTAAAAACAGAAACAGCATGCTGTAAAATACTCCTTAAAGGGGTAGTTTTCTCTTTTTTTGAAGAGGGGTTATATAGGGCAGAAGAATGTGAAGTATCCACCAATATATCCAAAGTGGCTCTTTGACAGCAAAGACAAGCGCAAAGTATTTACTCAACATTCTTCACATTTACGCCAACATTAGTGTTAAGATCTGACTTCTGATAATGTGTTAAATTACATGATAAAGGTGAGATGTGCAGCAGATTACTCAGCAAAGAAGCTGAGCTAACTCAGATCCCTTATCACTTTAACTAATAATTATTACCTCATTCAACCCCACCAAAAAAGAAAAAAACTGCCCCTTTAACAAATCAAAGTCCTTCACATAAAAGTTTCATTTAAAATGCAACGTAATCAAGGGGGGAAAGAGTTTTAAGAGTTTAAACATGCTCCCTGTGGCTGTTTTACACATATTGGATTATTTGGTCATTAATACTCATGCATTGATGGAGTAGCGGTAAAAAGGTGCATGCATGTTTTATTTCCTCTCAGTGAGTAGTGTATCTGCTGGTGTCTCTGGTCTCCGTGGTCTTTATCAGCAGTTTGGGAGCAGGAGAGCTGCTGCTACTGTGATAACCATTAGTACTCTTAGTACCTGCACAAACAGAGACACAGGGGAAAGAAAATATCAGGAGAGACAGAGATAACAACAGAGGAAAGAGTTTGTTATTTTTGTGACGAGTGAAAACAAGTCAGAGGATAAAGAAGAAAATGAGCTACAGGGGGTTTTATGTAAACTGGGTTTGAACCGGTCCATAAGGATAAAAAATCAAATTCATGGGTTAGATGACACAACAGTTTTGTGCAAAGCAATAGCAGAGATAAAGACAATGATACAAATCATACTTTTCATTAATTAAATGTAACTTAGTCATTGTTTGTCTGATAAAAAGTTGAAAAATTAGCTCACTATCATCTTTAAATGGCTATTGTTGTGCACCTGTACATCACATACGACAAAGAAAAGCAAATAAAAAAACATGACAAATTTACGTAAAGTTAGATGTTTTGCTCTAAAAATATCTATAGTTCTTGTTTCTACTAGTTTGAATCCCCCTGTGTGCTTTGTGCTGTAACTTTATAAAATCTGTTCTCACAGTTTTTATGTGTACATAACAACTGGAGGTTTCTTGATAAACAATGAAGAAAAATTATCTTTTTAAAAATGGCCACAAGAGCAAGAGTGTGTTTTAGTTTTTTATTCAATTTGAATATAAAGGAGAGCATGATTACGTACAGTGTACCTACAAGACTGGTTTAAATACACACATACAGACAGACACTCTGCACCTGTCTGTGTAACTTTAAAGGTGTACCCTCCTGTGAGCAGGTGGAGGTCTGAGCTGCATCTGTCAGAGTTTGTTACTCACTGTAGTTGGAAACAGCCTGGATGTTGCAGATGGACTGCTGCCCGAGTCTGCAGAGAAAAGACCAATAAAGTGTGAGGCAGTCATTTTATTTACTTTTAAATCATGAAATATCCTTTTCCTCTCACCTGTCCTCCTCCCCCTCCAGCAGCTTCCTGTAGGTGGCGATCTCAATGTCAAGAGCAAGTTTCAGGTTCATCAGGTCCTGCGGAAGGAGAAGAAATTCTTAATCTTGGTGCAATTGTTAAGAAAGTCTAATTTGAACCAGAATTACATTTCTGATATTTAAAAGTTTAAATAGACTGGATCAACATGATCCAGATACTGAAACAGATTCTCTTTGTCTCACCTGGTATCCTCTCTCTAAACTGGAATCTCCTGTTTTACCTGAAACCCAAAGTCATACCTGGTCCTCTTAAACCACACTTCATAACCTCTGGTTTTATCCGGTACCCTCTGTCTCACATAATCCTTCTTGTCTCATCCAGTCCAGTCACCTTCATCTGGTTTAGACTGTCTCTCCTGCAGCATCTGCCCCACTAAGTATCTTCCGTCTCACCTGGTACACACATCTTACTTGGTTCCCCCTGTTTTATTGGCACCCCTTGTTGTACCTGGTCCTTTCTGTCTCACCTGGTACTCTCTGAGCTGTCGGGCCATGTCTTGCTTGGATCTCTGCAAGGCATCCTCCAGGTCTCTGGTTCGAGCTTTGGCCTCTTTCACAGCCAGTTCTCCTCGCTCCTCTGCTTCAGCCAGCTGGTTCTCCAGACCCCCACGCTGAGAACCGAATACACCAGGTCTGGATCAGAGTCCGCTCAAACACAACATAGTTAGTACATGACACCTTTGATCCTGTTTTCATGTACCTGAGCTTTTACTGCCTCGATCTCACTCTGCAGTCGGCTGATCAGCCTGTTGACCTCGCCGATCTCCCCCTTTACGATGCGAAGCTCATCTCCAAACTGGCTCGCCTGGACCGACATCTGGTCAAACTGCAGAGGGTGCAGAGAGAGGGCAATGTACCTTATCTTTGAGTAAAGAGCTGGTTACAGTTTTGGTGAATCACAAATGTTGTCTTGAGCTGGTTCCTCACGGCTCTGTAACGTATACATGATATCTTTGCATATCTTCTTCTTGGTTAAACACTTGTTGCTTACTTTGCTCTTGTACCAAGCTTCGGCCTCCTCTCGGCTGCGGGCTGCGATCTCTTCGTACTGAGCTTTGACCTCTGCTACGATCTGCTCCATGTTCAGGCTGCGACTGTTGTCCATTTGCACCACCACAGATGTGTCCTTGATACTGGCCTGCAGCTCACGCAGCTCCTACAGCAGACAAAAAGATAAAAATGAATGAAAGCAGCAGGGAACTTTCTGAACTCAGCAAAGGATCTGGCCACAACAATGAAATCAGATTTTCAGAGAAATTTCTGAGTACCAGTGGGAAAAGTGTGCAAACAGAGCAAAACTGAAGGGTTAAGACTTGGAAGCTTTCAAAGTTTGAAAAAGTTCTGAAACCTCCTCATAGATGTTTCGTAGGAAGTTAATTTCGTCAGTCAGAGCTCCAACTTTATCCTCCAGATCTGCTTTCACCAGGTAGGCTGAGTCCACGTCCTGAACACAGAGGAATCAAAAACACACACAAAGACTTTTCTGTAAATCCCACTCAGACAAATTCCCTCATGTTTGACTTTGGCAGTTGTGTCTGGTTGTTGTTCCAGTGTAGTGGATTTTATGTGGGAATGTAGAGATTAAAGAGTGAGAACAATGACAGAGGACAACACAGTGGTTCGTTTTACTGACCACACCTGCATGAATGTGTGTGTGTGTGTGTGTGTGTGTGTGTGTGTGCTCTCGCACTGACCTTCTTTAGGATCACAAAGTCATTCTCCAGGTTGTTTCTCTTGTTGATCTCGTCCTCATATCTGCGACAGAGACCAACACACATGATATAAACTTTGTTGTCACCAAAGTTTGGGACTTAATTTCCAAGTGGTGTGTTATTAACTTGTGTTTGAAGTCCTCCACCAGGCCCTGCATGTTCCTCAGCTCTCCGTCCAGTTTGGTCTTGTCATTGTTGACCAGGTCCATCTGGCGCCTCAGACCCGCCATGTAGGCCTCAAACAGGGGCTCTACATTAGAGCGGCTCACCCCCTGACTCTGCAGCAGCTCATGTTTGGTCTCCAGCATCTTATTCTGCTGCTCCAGGAAACGCACCTGTTAGATAATGAGAAAGAAGATCTCACTGTAAGACCTCACTGCGTCTTTACAACAAACCCTTTGCTGCTTTTGTCTACAGTGCTGTTGTTTCTCGGGTGGGCTGTGGGTGAACCAAGCATGCAAATTCAAGACAACTACTTCTGGGAATTTGCAATGGGAATGTTCACCTTTCTCTACAGTTTTACGCCAAAATACATCACAGGTCATGAAGAAAATACAGTAAGTTCAGGCTTCAGGTGGATGTCCTTCTCTGGACAGGCAGGGGTTAAAGTGATAGCGTTGTTCCACCAGATCACCAGCTCGATGTGAAAGTCTCCACCTGACTGTACCTGCTCAGCTCGAGTTTCCTGCCCGCAGCAATGGAATCTATCCCCCACCTTTCATACCTCCACCTCCAAACACAAAGCCTGTGTCCTGTTCAGACCAGAATAATCTCCCTGTGAGATGCCACCACTCAGTGCCTGACCCGCTTTATCAGGTTACAGCCAAACTAAATGGACTAGAATGGGACAGAAAGTTTCAATATCCAGCGATCCAAAACCCCTGACTTTGGCTTTAAATGGAGCTTTAAATCCCTGATGAGTCACAGACTTTCTGGCTGTTTTTCCGGATTAACCTCCAAACCTTGTAAAGAGCTCCTCAGGGATCATTTCTACACTAACTAGCACCATTACATACTATCATATTTCCCTGTAATCTTGTGTCACTGACCCCTCATTTACCTCGTAGCAGGGCTGTCATCCTGAAACAAACATAACTTTGTGTTCTTGATGCATCAAACTAATTAGCTCTCTGCATGAGGGGAGCAGCTCTTTAAAATTTCAGAGCTGCTGGGATCAGGCAGGTTGGGTTTCAGCAGGGGTCTGTTTAGTCGTCAGTGGACTCCACTCTGCCTGTGAGCATCTGCTGTCGTTAAAAGCATTCAACATTTCCCAGAGCCCAAGGAACTTTGAGTTTCTTTTGCCATCATTTAAAAACTGTACATAAAGATGAGTTGTGCCTCCTCAACATGTCCTGTTGAACGAAAGGTGAGCTAAAATACCCCAAAGTTATCTCTCAGGTTTCAGATGCTACGTTTTCATTATGTTACAAGACATGAACGTCATGTTGAAGTGATAATTCACAGGTAGACAGACGGATGGGCTCAAACATTTTTCCAAGAATTTCCACAACTTTCAGTCTTTGAACTGATTTGTTGGTTACCTGAACACTGGGACACAGAGACCTCATCCAGCTCATGAATCTGCCTCTGTTTTCCTGAAGTGCATCTGCTGGTGTGAGAAGCAAACAAAGCCTCTTTTGTGTGAGTGTGTTATCGACTCCGTGAGAACGCAGAGATGTTCCCTAAGTACGGTATCAATATCGGACGTTATCACAAAGCTGCTCTCTTTCTCTCTTCCTGTGAGAAATTAGTGAGAGCTGTGTCCTTCAGGAACATCAACACCCAGATTCACTTCTTTAATGCGACAAGCCTGATCCGTAAGTGTCAAGACTCTGGGTGTCATGTTCAATTTGAGGAACATTTTTATCACCAATTCATCCACTATGAATGAGTTAAAATATTTCTATCATATCATGATTATGACCCTAAAATTATGGCATCAGTTCTTAAAGGAGCTAATATTTTCTTATGACAATCTGACAGGTATACCTGGGGATTATACTTAAGGACAAAAAATGACCTTCTAAACCACAGATTCCCTCATTTTCATTCTTTTCTGATACTTTCTACTGGTTTCAAGCCACAACAGGTCCCCATGTCAAGAACAAAAGCTCCTTAAATCACAAAAAAACTACCTGCACATGACCAAAGAGCAGGAATTGTGTGTGTCTTTAAATATTTAGTTGATGCAAAGTCACAAATTTCCATGCAAAGCAACTACAACAATAATCTAAAAATTTATTCATATTTTTTCTTTCATTATCAAAATTATTGAGACAATCCAGTTAGAAGTGCAGTTTTAGCTTTAAACTGTAGGTGAACCTAGACCAAAATTTGAGGAAGTGTTTCCACACATCCTTCATCATTATATGTAAATGCACTGACACAAGTATGCATGACTCTACACAGATGCAAAGACACAATTTAACTTAAGAGAAAATTCTGTGCAAGACTCTGTCACTTTTTACTGACGTACAATGGCACATCAGAAACACCTTAACCAAACCCAATGAAAAAAAAGTATTTCCAAAGTTGTTTTCATCCTATCTTGCTGACAGACCTGACAAATCCTGAAGTTAGACTTTGTGCAAATCCACTTCCTTTATCCACTTCGTTAATTTTTTTGCCTGATTAATGTCATTTAAGGTGTTTATTTGTGTTATTAATGCTTTGGTATGACAGGTTTCAGCTGACTTTAGTGTGGCTGGTGAAACAAGAGCTCACTGGAGATAGATGGACAGTTGCTGAAACTGAACACTGTTGTTGATGTTAGTCAGAGGGATCCTGGTACTGAGCCTCGCTAACAGGTCACCAAACTGGATTCTGTTTGGCCAGATATGCTAAAGTTGAGTTTCCAGGCAGTTCTGAAGGTACTGATATTTACCAGCAGGACTAAACACATGATTCTGTTAGTAAGTGGGCATAAGTTATAAAATCATGAATGACTTTGCTCTTTGCTTTTGTTGTTCACATGGCTTTTAAGTCTATCTGGAGGACACAGTGGAAGATCTAGCAGCCAAAGAGACAGACATGTCCCTCAAGAGGCGATAGAAACCAATAACAGCTAAAGGGAAAGACCTATAGACTTTAAATCCCCAGGTGGACACACACACACACACACACACACACACACACACACACACACACACACACACACACACACACACACACACACACAAACAAACAAACTGAATACCGTGTACAATAAATTTACTTTAAACTCACCAACAGCAGCTATTAACTGGTAACCTGTTAAGCTGCTTACCTTGTCTATAAAGCTGGCGAAGCGGTTGTTGAGGCTCTTCATCTGCTCCTTTTCATGGGCTCTGCTCATTGACAGGTTGGGGTCAATCTCTAGATTGAGAGGGGCCAGTAGACTTTTATTGACGGACAGAGATGCCAGCGGGGTCCCCAGGCCGTGGTGATGCCCATTTGTCCCTGCATACAGAGAGCTGCTGCTCAGGGAGATCCCGCTGAAACCGCCCTGAACTGGACCGAACCCACTCAGCCTCCTGGAGCTGCTACTGCACCGGACTGAGTTACTGGAGCTGATTCTCTTTGTGCGACTCAGACTCATGATGGAGAGAGGAAGAGAGGTGTTCAGATGGAGGAGAAAAGAAGATGAAAACAGCTACAAGACAGACCCGCAGAAACCAGCCCGTGCTGAGTAGAGAGTCGCAATCAACTCAAGGGGAGAGAAGTGAAGCAGGCGAGTATGAGATGACGGACCACAATGAGATGTCTCAGGTGTCTCCTGCCTTTTTAAACCCCACTGGCTGATAGAATGAGAGAGGGGGGACAAGTGGAGCAGAGGAGAGCTGTGGTGTCAGGTATCGAGGGGTTTGGTTTTACAGGTAAATAGGTTACCTGGACACACTGGTCCCTTTGGCCTACTAAAGGTTTCAGCATCACAATACATACCTTGGAGCCTGAAACTTGACAACTTTTCCTGAAATGGCCCAAAATACATGAAATTAATTTAAAAATATTCATGTGTATTTTTGTTTATGTGCTACACATTTTTCCCCTCTAAGGCTGCTACGGGTCAAATTTGACCCATGTCTATTTAGATGGATTTTAGATCTAGCAGTGTGGGACAAGTGACAAACAGTAACAACAGTGTTCAATATAAGGTTTGTTGTTCAAAAAGATATATTCAAATCATTATGAAACTATCATTACCTTGACAGAAACACACAGACACACACACACGCACGCACACATACAGTCACAGAGACACACCTAGACAAAGGTCAAGATGACCTAACCAGTCAAGAGAACTTTCTGTGACAGAAAGCTGCTCTTTGAGCTCTTTGAAGGGGCAGGAGGGTCCTAAAATATAGGAATAGTAAACAAACAACACATGAGTGATCATATATGGAGTACAAAGAGATCAGAAGTCATCTGGAGGTCAGAGTGTGCCTTGACACGGATGTAACATGTGCACCTGCTCCTGCAATATAATGTACAAAGTAACTAATTGGAATCTGTTTGATTGGGAGGAAGGTGGTGGGAGTCGTAACATTATGAGAGTAGAGAGAGCTGCCATTCAGTGGCAAACACATTTGCAAGCTCCACACATGGAAAGTGTCCTACCTTTGCTTTGAATGCAGAGACTAGCAGTGAGGACAGTGACAAACAGTGAGAACAATGTTCAATATGAAGTTTGTTGTTCAAAAAAATATATTCAAATCATTATGACTTTTATATTTTTATGTCTTACATAATATTACATGACATTATATTCATGACGTTAACGTTTATACTGATGACATTTATACTGATTTTATACTTTTTTCTCCTTTTTCTCTATTCTATTTTAATTTTTGCTGAGCTGCTGCTTTTCAATTGCCCCTAGGTGATGAATAAAGCTATATTGAATTGAATTGAATTGAATTGAATTACCCTTTGCGATAGATGTTCTTCTCCAAAACATATATCAGGGCTCTCAAGTTTTGAACTAAACTTAGAGTGAGATTTCCTTGGGGGCGGGGATTGAAGATAATTATTAGTAGATAAGTAGATTGAAGATAATTATTAGTACAATTATCTCTTAAATACAACGGAGTATAAGGGGCACAATTAGAAAAAAAAAACGTTTTTAAATCTTAAAGAATAAAGTTATTATTTGGGAGAATAAAGTCATTAATATCAGTATTAAGTCGTAAAGTTACCTGTTGTGAAGGAGAGTTGTTAAAATCAGCACTGTGGAGCATTTAGATGAATTGTACTTTAGTATAGGTTTCACAGACATGGAGATACTTAATCCTTTGGTACATGAGCATTACACTGTCATGAGTATCAGAACTTATATTTGAGATATATGAGAAATGCTGCTTTTGTGGAGGGGAAAATGGCTGGAAATGGCTGTACAGAGGCTAAATTCATCAATACAGCTGTTAATAGCAATAGCATAGGGCTTTAGTTTATCATATGAGTTTATATGCCATGAGGTGTTGAGGTCTCTGCATGTGTAGGTTACTGACTTGCTGTAATCATCGGGTCTATCTCGTCCTTATAAAAACCTGCTCTATTACGGCGAGTGTCTGTCTTCTTCTGTAGTCAAACCGTAAGATATCAAAAATCTACCCGGATACAGCAATGCTGCTTTTTGATTGGCTGTTCAGTAGATATACTTTATTTGATTGGCTTGCGCGTGGCACGCAGCTTTCTGAACTCTCGGAGGAACTCAGTTGATTCCCACCTGTTCCATAGTTAAAGAGGTGCAACTTGGTGGACATCACCATGTACATTTAAATGCGTGAGAAATACTATGTGTGAGCGTGTGAACGGGTGGGAATGCGTGTGTCACACGCTGAATGCGTGAGACTTGAGAGCCCTGATATATATTTCACCAAAAAACGAGTGGTGTTAAAACTGAAAAAATACACTTTCCCTGCTCTTTAAAACATTTAGGAAGGACTAATCAATAATTTTTTGAAGTAGCAAAGGTCATTTAAATATTATGAATAGGTTTGGTGAAAATACTTGCTACAGGAGGGTACAGGATTTGAACAGTATGTGAGGGTTAAATGAAAGTTAAGTAATAGTCCGCCATCCTCCTGGTTGTGTGGCGGCAGCCTACTGCCTCCCAGAGCCCTCCTTTTGACGTTCTTCAATGTAAAAGTGACTTGGCCAAAGACGTATACCAATATGGAAATGTGCCTCCCTCTTGTGGCGTCATTTGGTACTGCAGCGTTGTAACGTTGAACCACGGCGAAAGTTTAGATCAGACACCCTGTGTTTGATTTGATGGTTAATTTCACAAGTGATGTTCAGCCCATTTTAGTTTATATGACGTCATCATTGTTCTTCACAGGTTTCCGTTGTGTAGTGGTTATAACGTTCGCCTCAGAGCAGTGGATTAAACATTAAACATTGTTTAATCCACTGCTCTGGTTCGCCTCACAGGCCACGGCGAGGCGCGTACAATTTTGACGCTACACACACTCTTGTACAGTAGGTGGCGGTATGCACCTGAACGTTACTTGCGACCCGCCATTAAACGAAAGCTGAAGAAGAAGAGGAAGAATTGTCCCCCCACAGCCGCCGTTGCAGTACTCGGAGACGAAGGTGTCGGCGGTGGTCATCCATATTGTCTCTGATACAGCAGAAATCCCATCCTGGCACAGACACACCGGTGAAAGAGGGAGGCGAGGACCGTGGCTTGACGAAACTCTGCTCATCGGGAAGCATTTTTGTCGTCGTGTTGCTCGAGGGGGTAAGTATCTGTTTCAGCGTAGCTCCGCTGCTGATAGTAATGACTTATATTCTCTGTAGAAGATAATATATCACCGGTGAAACTAGCAGGCGTTGACGTTGGCCACGCTAATGTTAGCAGTCTAGCAATGTAGGCCCACAGAAGCTACAGCACCTTTTCCCCTGAACGTTTCCTAAACGATTCACCCAGATAATCAAGCAACACTCCGCTGCTACAGGGATCTGTGGAGACATGAGGGAAACGTGTGTGTTCACCCCCGTGCAGACAGTAAGATTTAGTGTCAATGTCCACATCACGCTAACATCACGGATGTCACAATATTAGATAATAGTTTGACTCAAACGGTCCTAGAGAAAACCTTCTTAGAAAGAAGAATACAACGGCAATAATAAAGCAGAATAGTTAGTAATTAAGGTGCTAAGTTAGCTTAGGTGCAGAAAGGACCAGAGTAGGTTTTAGTTTGTGTATGGGTTATTATGGGTAATCATAAATTCAGGTTTTAACAGAAAGTACAGCTATTTACTTTTGTATGCACACTAATATTTCTGAGTTAGGTTAATTGGCTGAGGCCAGTACGTGCAGGTTTTCTAGTTTTCAGCTGATCCTGCAGTCCAGGTTCAGACCTGACGTCTAGAAGCTGCTTAATTGGTGTTAAATCTGGTCAAATCATGAACATGCTGGGCTGGGCTGTAATTCTTTACAATGTAGGACTCTTTGACCAGGTTTGATCCTTGACAGATAATACAAGTATTCAGTATTCAAATATGGACCATAAATCTTTGCATGGATTTCGTAAATCATTTTGTTATAAAGCACACTCATTATTGATTCCCTGTTAAATTTTAATGAAACTTAAAAAGGCAGTCTGTCTAAATTGTTAGTTTATGAATTGATTACTTGTAGACAGAAATGTACAAACTGAAATGGTATTAAACTAAAGTTTCTGGTGCACACCCATGTTCAGGTGTCTCACTGTGAAAGCTGGATGGTTGAAGCAGTATATTATTTTATTTTTTTAATAACAAAGGAAGTAGAGGTGTTGCAATATCAATCTCAGGATGAGATCATACTGTTATATCAAGCCCATGGTATGGCATTAGTAACAATATTCAAAAGAAAAAAGCAGCTGTAAACTTGAAAAAACGCATGGTTGTGACTAGGGCTGGGCAATATGGGGAAAAGTTTATCACAATATAATTTTTTCATATCAAGGTGGGGGGAGGCATGATCTGAGGAAGTGCCAGGTTTTGGGAGAAATCTTGAATGTCAACACTACCCCTTCCAACCAGTTTTCCCCTCAGCTCCTCCTCTTCCTCCCTCTCTGCTCCAGCAAGCTCCGCCCACAAACAGATGCTCCTGCTCGATCGTATCATTTCAATTTAATTCAGACATAATACAAATAAATACTTGAGGTAACTACAAATGGGGCCCAGTCAACGTGAAAGTAAAAAGCATTGGTGCTACTGTAGATGCCAACAGACTAACAGCAAACACAATGTTTGCAGGACTTCTACAACTAGGATAAAATGACATACTCCAGGACCCGAGCTAAACAGTTTAGCGGCTCTACAACACACAGCAGGTCCCATTTAACAAGAAACACTTCTATTACAGACACTTGGCTTGTTTTGTTAAAGCAGTTTACCTGTCCATCAGAAAGGTTAGAGGGTCTGTAAGTTCCCTAAGCTTTCCCCATCGTTTATAATGATGTTGACCAGGCTTCTTAGCACTTGTCCGGTCTACCTTCTTTTTAAGCACCCGTTTTTCCGCCAGAGTCTCCGGTATTTAATTTGCTTTCTTGCTTGTGTTTAAGGCTGCACGATATTGGAAAAAAATAATATTGCGATTTTTTTCAACCCTGCGATATATATTGCGATATTAAAAATACAGGAATTTTCACCAGATGACCTGAATAGCACTTAATGTTATGCTGCACTGCTGAAATCTTGAGGACAGTTAATCTGCTCTGATCTTACCTCTTTTTGTGAATGTTAGTAGAACGGCTTCTGTCTGTCTCAGAGATATTTTTTAGCTTTTATTGTGCTGGGTCGTTATTGTGGCAACAGATGAACACAGAAGACGTGTTTTGGTCGACATCATCCTTCTTTTAACCGAAATAATTCCAGATAACTGACTTTCCTTTTTGGCAACAAATCTTCATTTTCGGTGGTTTTCACTTGTTCGTTGTTCATTTTGCGATCGTTGTTGTTGTTGTTAGCGGTGTTGTGCCGAGAAACACATGTCCTCCGAGAATTGCATGCACCTCGCAAAATGCGCACTGTTTATAGTAGAGTGGTCCACGGAAATGTACAATTTAAAACCCATACAGTTCTTATTTGTTGGGCTTAATAGTCATGAGTAAAGTTCCGAAAGTAATTCTCAGCGGACACACGTCTCCCTCCATGTGCAGAACATGTGCAGGGGTGGGTTTCCTTCTCCCTGATTTTGATTGACAGCTGGCAGGGTAGTCTGATTGGCAACTGAGAAGTGAGTCTGATTGGCAACTGAGTTAAGGACGAAGGTGATTGGTGGATGCTGCACAGCACATGCAGAGTCACATGGAGTGTATCTCAGTCGGTTACCCTTGAAATTAAATGAGTTCATTCACCTCCAATATCGCAGGCTCTGCGATGTGACTATCGCACACACGTACATCGCGATGACTATAGTCAAACGATATATCGTGCAGGCCTACTTGTGTTTTCCATACTTTCTGGTTGGTTTCTACATCCATACTGTAGCACGCTAATGTGGTTTCAGCTCATGAAAGACACAGGGGAGCAGTGTCTGCCTCACAACCAATCAGGTTGGGGGAGGCAGAGAATTACTTTGTTTACAGTCAGGAAGAGTGGGCAGCTCAAAAAATTTAAAATGTTGACTACACAGATATAACAAAACACAGCGATATCGTGTTATTCCCAAAAGTCATCAGCAACTAATAGCTATTGACTGATATTAAAAGCGTTTTTGTGTAAACCACAAAAAAAGATGTTTCTTTAACGGAATCCTGCCTACCCCACCTTTTAGTCTTAAATGGAGTGTAACAGTGCTTATTGGTAGCATGTCATTTGCAGTACAGTAAGCTACTGCATCTGTGATGTTTTTGGGTCTCTTTGACATTTTGTCGTAAGGCGTTGCGCTAGAGAATGGTAAGCTGTTTTGGTTGCACAGGTGCCATGGGCTCCTTGCTCTGCTCTAGGTTTGTAACCTCCATTGCGCATGCCCTGCTGCATGGCACTGCTTCAGGTGGTGAAAAAGATTTGAGGTACTCCCCGCCTCTGTGGAAACATGTACTTGTAGCAGAGACAACCACTTTCTTACCTTTAAGCACTTCCAAAGCAATGCTTGACCTAGTCATTAGAGACACGATAAGGGTGAATCTCAGCACCAAGTCGTGGCCTTTTTACAAGCGCCTGTCTCCGGGGAAAATTACCAAGAGGTGCTCTTCCAAAAGACAGACAGTCAATCTTTAACATTTATAAGAGACAAAGTAGCTAATTACCAGCAAGAACCCCAGACTGAATACACATTCTCCCTCTCTCCTTGACTGGAGAGAATCAAAATTGTCACCTCAGCTTTAAGGGTAAACAAAAGAGCATGTGAACTCAACTCAAGAGTGCACCAGGAGCACTCATCCTTGAAACAGACCCCAGCCATAAATTCTCAGAGTGGCTGATTTTCCCCGTGATTCTCTTCAGGTGCAGAGTAAAGAGAATAACTGCAACTGATTCTTTTTCAGGTTTAATGGGTACTTCACAAGGATTATTTTTTCTGTACACAACATGAGCAGTGAGACAGTCTTTGTCCCATTTGTCTAGCATGTTTATAAGCCAAACTATTTTCTATAGACCAAGAGCTCCCCCTAGTCGTGTTTTCTGGATATGGTTCTGGTCAGAATCCAAATGGGTCAATGACATACAAGGTTTTTCAACATGCCAGTTTTAAAATACCAAAAAAAAAAAATTCATTTTGCAACAGTTCAAACACTAAGGATGTTGTGTATACAAAAATTAACGTAAATTTTTTAAATGAAGCAATGTTAGTGTTTTTTTTTCATATAGATGAATTGCCTGTGGCCTTACAAAATGTTGTGGTGCAACCATGATTTATCTCAAAATTATTACATTTTCTTACCATACTTAATAGTTTTTTTTACAAATTGTCAGTAATATCAAGTTCATAGAAACAAAGTGTTTGCACTTCATTTGAGTTTTTGTAAATGGGGATCTCATATTTTAGCTCTATAATGTCACAGTCGCTGTATTAAATTTAGTTAACTGACTAGATTTTTCTTTAAATTGCATAACGCTGATAAAAATGTTTTAAAACTACCTTTCACTTAAGCATATTGTATCAGGTTTCAGTTTCAGAAATTAGAAATTTTAGTTTGTATTTAATACAACTAATGTTATCATTGGTTGCACCACATGATGGGTGGTCGCGCCAAATGACCTGAAGACCTTGTATCATCAAAAATCAGTTTAGAGAGACCAAGAAACAATTAATTCCGTGCAAGTTTTACATTAAATCAAATTTTTATTAACATTTCATACATGAACACAAACATTTCATTTTTTTGACAAAAAATGAACTGTGTGTTGTGTGCATGGCCCAGGTCTTTTTGAACTTTGCCCAATCTTGGCCGAATCTATGCCAACTCCTCGCATAAACAACATGAACACAAAAATTTCATTTCAGAAACATGTTTTGACAAATATCTAACCGTGTGTGTGTGCGTGCACATGTGGATATGTGGTGCTGACCCCAGGCCTTTTTGAACTTCGTTATGTTGAATTTGGCCCAATCTTTGCCCAATCCTAGCATGAACAACATGAGCAGAAACATTGTATTTCATAAACATCTTTTGATTTTTTGATAGAATTCTAACCCCGTGTGTCTGAGTGTTTGTTTGTATATGTGTGTATAAGTCAATGTGCCACTAACCCCAGGCCTTCATGAACTTTGCCCAATCTTGGCTGGTCAACTTAGGCCCCAACTACACGAATGCGGATATATTTAAAACTGCACATATTTATGTCCGATTAGGCCTCCCTACCACACTAAAAGGGAGTTTGGAACACTCAAACTGGATAAATCTGAATCAGAAAAAACAAGTGGAGACATAAAAAAATATCTGTGTAAGCGGATTCGTGTGGTTGAACTTTTACGGATAGATGACGTCAAACTGCAGCTCGCGCATGCGAATTAAAAAGAAAAACAACAAAAACGATGGTGGACATACAGGGTATTCTTTAGGTTTGTTTTACCCTTTTGGGGCTAATTTCAGCCTTGCAAGTGAACCTTGTTTTATACAATTACATCCACCAGTCAGCCAGCTCACAGAGGCGTCTGCTTTGTTACAGCCACCACACTGTCACATGGACCCGACGCACTAGCGTAGCTTCCGCAAACAATGCATGACACATCACGCTGTTACGTTTCATCGGCCAATCAGGTAGCTTTGTTCCTGAAAGAGGCACCAGATAGGATTGAGTTTGAAGGCTACGTGTGGACGCAGATATTTTCGAGAACTAACGTGTGGACAGATACATTTATTTAGACGGGAGTACAAAAATATCCTGATAAATAAATATCTATATACGTGTAGTCTGGGCCTTTGAGTAGCGTGAGGTTACTGGCTCAGGTTCTGCAAGGACATAGAGAATATCTTTCTTGTAGTAATGTATAATATCTGGCACTTGTGGCCACACAAACAAGTTATTATTTCCTGACTGTCGCATGGAGGTAACATGTACTTCCTCTCCCACAACCTGAAGGACCTGACCTACATACGGAAGTTCATAATAGGTGACTATGACAAACTTTCCACTCCAGTCTTGAAGAGGTTGTTTCTTTGGGGGCTCATGAGCGTTTAAGGGATTGTCAGTGGTGTTCCTCAAATCTACTTTCACTGGCTGGTATGATAGGCACGTCTTCATTTCTGCATGCTGGCAGAAGTATGAAACTTCCCTGTGACAGATTTGTGCAGCTTGTGAAGACAATACCTGGTGTATTTTTAAGGTTCCCTTCACAGCCGTCAATTTCCCTGGAATCAGCTCATCATATTTCTGGATGCTCTCTTGGTTTACCCAGTAATGAGTAATAGTTAACCCGGATTTTTTCATCAGCATCTCATACAAATCCAGTGGAGTCCACAGCTCACCTCTCCGAAGAACATAGAGATCTGCATGTCTCTTCACAGCACCATCAATACCATCCAGGGCACCCTTTCCATGGGACTTTTCTGAATAGTTCCATGAAATGTGCTTGGACCCAGGGGGGAAAGGCACAGTACTGAGGAGGTAAAAGTTGGCTTTGGTCCTGTACTGTGTGACAGGTCTGTCACTGATGACATGTAGGGCCATAATCTGTGGGTAGGTTACCCGAATCTCTTTCAGAATGGGCTGCAGGTTTGCCCATACTGCCCGCTCATCAAGGTGGAGGCTGCCTGACAGCGTTGTGTATGATTTAGTGCCATGCACTGTGTAAAGATCAGCAGTGTGTATTGTTGCCTGTGCTCTGCTGCCTCCAAAATGATAGGTTTGTATTTCTGTGCTCATCTTGCAGGCGTAGTTTTCGGAAAAATCGATGTGAAGCGCAGCCTCAGCCTCAGCTTCAGCTTCAGCTTTTGTATTAGTCTACGGAACTGTTTCGTTTGATGGATCCAGTTAAACTGGTGTATGGCTAGGCATTCTGGCTTTTTGTGGAACAGAACTTTTAAGTCTTTGATGGTCCCAGTATGTGTTTGTTTTAAAACATTTGCAAAGACTTCCTCTACATTTATTGAAGTTACTTGCTCCCTTTGTTCCCATGAAACCTCAGCAGAGGGTGTTTCAGGTAATTTGATTTTATCAAAGCAGCACTTTGGGCATACATGATCCTTACACGCTTTGTTTTAGGGTCACAAACAATCGTATTCCATAATTCTGAGATGCTGGTTGTTTTCAACAGCCGTCTCTTGGCAAGTTTGTTGACCAATAGCAAGATGTTCTCATTTTCCACACATGCACATGTATCTCTGTCTGGCCTCTGGCTCTGTGATGTAGAAAGGCCATCCTCTGACACTTGTTGCATACATCAAGTGATGCCGTACATACAGCCGCTCTCTAAACAACTGGGGCTTTTGGCCTGGAGCCGATGTTGTCAGACGGTGCCCAACCTTCTCTGGGTGTTTCGACCCTTAACCACTACACCCTCCAGTTGGCGGGTCAGCAGTGGTGGCCAGGTCACTGCCCATCAGCTCCAAGCCTCCAGCCCTCCTCCTCCCTTTTGAACCACAACCAACAAGAGGCTCGTTCTGCTGCCTCCCCAATCCTGCGCACAGCTGCCTTGCGCTCTCTGCCTGCCACGCCGAGTGTAGTGAGCACCGACCATACAGACTGCGCTGGGAACCCTCTACACCCCACCTCCATTGGAAATAGCCATGCTTGCCAGCCTTTCTCCCTACACTCCATGATGAGGTCTTGGTATTTCAGGCTCTTCCTCTCATGGGCCTTATCACAGCCTTCCTCCCATGGCACTGTTAACTCCACCAGGATGATCTTCTTAGCCTGCTCTGACCAGATGACTATGTCAGGCCTCAAGGTGGTCTGGATAACAGGGGGGAAAGTGAGCTTCCTACCCAGGTCAGCTGACATCTCCCATCCTTGTGCCCCCTGGAGGATGTTGGTCCTAGCTCTCTTCACAGAGGACGTCTGCTCTCCTGCCCTGATGAACTGTACTGTTGGTACTTGTGGCTTGGGTGCTTGCGGTCTTCTCCTGGCCTGCTCCAGGATGTCTGCAATCATGTGGAGCACCTGGTCATGCCTCCACCTGTATCTCCCCTGGGCCAGAGCTGTTTGACACCCTGCTAGTATGTGGGACAGGGTCCCCTTCTTCCCACACAGCCTGCAGAGTGGGTCCTCCCTCAGGCCCCACGTTGCCAAGTTCACTAGGGATGGCAGTGTGTCATACACAGACCTCAAGAGAAAGCTTACACGGAATGGCTCCAGCCTCCAGAGTTCAGACCATGTGACCCTCCTGTTTGGGAGGTCCCATCTGGTCCATGTCCCCTGGGTGGCTAGTCCGACAGCCTTCGCCTTCCCTGTTTCCTCCTCTTGGTAACGCACTTCAGCTTGCACCATTTCCCTCCTCTGCTGCACACTTGCCTTCTTCCACTGTGTGAAGTGTGATGTTCCTAGGCCCTGCCGACCAGTGCAGACGTTGCTAACGATGTCCCTCAACTCCAAAGAGCTTTCAGCTTGCCTGACTGCAGTGTCCGCTACCCACTTGCGGCCAGTAAGACATGGAGAGATTCTGTTCCACCTCTGTTTGATACTGAGCATGGAGCTCTATCAAGGGCTTTGTTAGAACTCTTCTGTGCATTTTCTGTTTATTTTTGGTAATGGTGTCTTTTTTTCCTTGCTTAAAGACAGCTGTTTTCATCTATGGACATACAATTGAAAATTGCTTGCTTTCTTTTGCTGACAGTTTCTTGTGCCCCTTTTGGCTTGAATTTTTTTAGTGATGCACGATATGAAAAATTTCAACCGATATCGATAACCGATAATTTTCTTCTTCTCATGGCCGATACCGATAACCGATAAATTCATATTTTTACATTTATTATAATCTTCATATAATCTGCAGTTTGTGCAGGATGCAGCGATTGAAAGCTGATATATTTGTTGCTCTGGCCCATCTAGAACAACAAACTTAAGTTTTCGGCTCTTCAAATGTTTATTTTTTCCATGTCATCACAAAAATATGTGGTCATTAGCTATAAATAACAATAACAGAGCAAAAAGCAGAACTTCATTTGACCAAAACAGTGCATCCCCTGAACTGTTCAACAGAACTGTAAACTGTAAAGGAGCTATTATGAGACGTTAGGATTAGCATGCTGACCGGACTAACATCTGACGTCCATATGTCTGTGGTAAAACTCACGTGTAGTCCGTTCTTGTCGATCAGGTTGTGAATGTATGTGGCGACAATATCATAGAGTGCAGGAAGAGACACATCCGAGAAGAAGCGGCGGCTTGGGAGAGTGTAACGTGGCTCCAAGTGTGCTATTAACTTACGAAAACCCGGGTTCTCGACGATGGAAAAAGGCTGGTCGTCAACCGCTATGAATTCCATCACTTTGTCGTTAATGGCTTTAGCCTTTTCGCTGTCTCTTGAGAAGCTTTAGCAGTTTTCAAACGCCTGTTGAATGGGGACATCGATCCTCCATAGTGTTGTTGTCTTAGCTTTAGTACCGCTAGCAGCTTCGGCGGCTGTCTCATAGTCCTTTAATACTGCTCCGCCGCGATGGCGACTTTTTAGATGAGCTATCAGATTCGTTGTGTTAAAACTTGACGTCTTCATTCCGCCTCTCGGAATCCTTGCTGAACAGGTTTTGCATATAGCAGCTGTTGTCATCTTCTGCCACTGAGAAAAACGACCATGCTGGTGAAGACATTTTATTATCAGTCAGGTAGTGACAGGGGTCAGGCTTGGGACCTGCGAGTAAGGCGCGACGGGCGGCTACTCCGCCTGCAAACGTTACTCGTAATTTCATTAATATATCGGATCTTTCTATCGGAAAAATGCACCTATCGGACCGATAAAAAATGACGTAATTTTCCCCCAAATCGGCCGATATTCTATCGGTCCGATAAATATCGTGCATCCCTAATTTTTTTGCTTAGGCCTACTGTTTGTTTCGCCATTACCCTCTCCTCACTCTTTCTGGATTTATCCCTTGGTTTTTTAATCTCTGCTAGCTGTTTCCTGAGACGTAAGACCTGCTTTCTCAGTTGACACTTCTCTTCCTGCAATGTTTTGCAACGTTTTTCTGTTAATGTATTCTTTCTTTTCTTCCTCTCTGGTGTGGAGCACACCGGTGGATGAAAATCCTCATTCAAAGGCATGGGATATTCCACAGCTTGACCTGCATTTTCTGGCTGCTCTTGTGGCTGTTCTTGTGCAACATCTACACCAACAAAATTGGTGGAATATTCTCCATGGATGGTGATGTAAGGTTTAACACAGCATTTGCCATCTTTTTTCTTTCTCTGTAAGCACTGGATGCTGCCCTCCATTTCTCTCTCTGCTTCATTTTCATTCTTTCTGGCAGGTCACTTGTCTTTACATAGGGAATCTTCTGCAGTTTCCTTCTCTGGTAGCTGAAACAAGTCCTGTCCTTTTTAAATTAAATATACATCTGTTTAAGTATTTTTCATTGAGAGAGTGCTTATTCCTGTTCCTGGGGTCGCGGGGGGACTGAAGCCTATCCCAGCATCTTTGGGCGAAGGCAGGGGACACCCAGGACAAGTCGCCAGTTCATCGCAGGGCTGACATATAGAGACGAACAGCCATCCACACTCACATTCACACTAGACACGGGAGCGGATTTTCATTTCTGTCCCTTCCCACTCCCAGAGAAAAAATCCCGTCCCGTCAAATCCCAATCCCAGACCGGAGTGAAAAAATTAATCTCGCCCTGTCCCACTCCAGTAGAATGACTCCCACTCCCATCCCGCTCCCACTCAAAATTACTCCCACTCCTGTCCCGCTCCTGTTTGAATAAAACCAAACATGTTGAAAAAACGTTGCATTTTTTATTTTAGGTAAAAGTGCAGTGCATAAAAAAGGCATTGCTTTTAGGTTTCACATGCCCGACATTCAGTTGGTGTAAACAAAGTGCATATATATACAATGGCGTTTATAGACTAAATTACTCCCTGGGCGAGGGGACTAAAACTAAAACCTGACCTTTCTTGCCTTCCTTGATGCAAAATCATCAATAATCTCGTTATAAGAAATCTGAAGAAGAAGAAGGAGAGGAAGAAGTTGAAGAAGAAGACAAAGACCATACGCGGCTACGCTAAACGAGCTAATGATGGAAGAAGCACCCGGGAGCGACGCTCTCTTTCCGCCGAAAAAACAAAAAAAGTCAGCAGTTTGACATGCTCTCCCGTATGAGGCTCTCTGAACATCTGTGCGTGCAACACACAACTCTTTTATCAGAGGCTGCCCTGAATGCATCACTCCGAGACAGTGCAAGAATATTAACATAAATATTATATCTCTCGTTAAATATAGTTTACAGCTTAAACTGACCTGAATCATCCCAAATTGTACATTGAAGTATCAATCCAGTGTCTGTGAGGCTCAGCAGAAACACAGAACAATCTTCAGTTGTCTGGAAACTTGGGAACTTTGGACAAATATAGTGATCCAATTCATGAATGAACGTGGACCATAAAACTACAGGAGACTTCAAGGAGAAATGACAATACAGGAGGTGGGCAAGCAAAAAAGCCTCCCGCATGCACGACCACTCCCACTAAATCTGCGGATATTAAAGTAAAAGGGTAAAAAACTTTGTACCTGCGGCGTCCTCATACTGGAGCCAGGATTTTCTTTGAATCTTCCATTTCTCGTTGAAGTTCCTCGCTTTTTTCATCGACATTTCCCCTTCTCTTCCATCTTTTTCATCCACCCCTTTATTTTTTTTTTTGACAGATCACTGATTCCCAGTATGTGTTGCCACATATCGAACCAAACAGCACATGACGTTGGTAACCTAAGCAGATTTGTAGTGTCACACATAAATAGCTCAACTTAGAAAATAGTTCCGCTCAGAGCCCCACTTCAGTGTGACACACAACAAATCAGTAGCTGCTAACGTTAGCTACCATTGTTATTTATAATTCTATAGCTATGCTTTGTGACACATCGTGCATATTTTGTTGCATGTGTATCTGGACATACATCTACCCGCCCCATGGCAGGTAGCCTTCCAAAATTAAGTTACCAGTGGAGTATTTTAGTTGCATTTGGCAGGTGGTGACCGGCCAGCCAACAGCCCTAGCCGGACAGAATATTTAGGCGTCATGTCATTGACCCAAATACGTATTCCTTGAATTTTATTTGTTGCATGTTATATACCTTGAAGCTTAGTGAATGGTACTCCCAAAGTAGTTTAGCAATATTAGAAGTTGTAATTAAAACTCTTTATGCATGAGTTAAGAGTATTTTGATCATTTTATATGCCATGTTTTGTGTACCTCATCAGAATATATAGCAAAATAATTACTAGTATAGGTTGACAAGGTTATATCCAAATTTAGTGTTATCATTTATGTGTTTCTTAGGCCTGATAGTGTTTTAGTTGTAAAAGATCATTTAATTTTCATCTCTTTATCTGTCAAAGAGCTTGTTAATCCTCAGGTTATAGAATGCTAGGAAAATTACGGTTTTTGCTCTGCATTTAATGTAATGGTTTTCATGCATCTGCTCATAAGAAACGATTAATGAAATTATATCATATGTAACTTTATCATAGTGAGTGAGTAAAAGGGATCTAATTCACTTGTTGATCCAGCAAGTTAAAATTTAATTCGCCTACCAGCCTGGTCAGGCCACGCTGTGAATGATTGGCGCCCCCAACCCCCCCCCCCCCCCTTTGGTTCATGCCCCCCACAAATGGGTTAAAAGCGCTGAGCTTGCGCTGTTCACTCTCTTATCATCCTCTTATTCTCTTGTGTTTTTTTCTTTGGTTCCCCCCTTAAGTTTTCAGCCTGTTACCAGAAACTTGGATGTATGCTTGTGTGTGACATCAGATTCCCCGTTCTGCTGATGGCTGCGAGCCAAACCCGCCAAAACCACCTGTAGCATAGACCTTCGGCTGACCCACTCCAAGAGTGCCCGCTGAGAGCCATCATCAAATAAGTACACAAACCTCTCAACTCTCTGAAGAACAGGGTTGATGCTGTCTGATGCGTTCATAGCTTACATTTGCAATTATAATTTGGCTCTTTCTCTGAATTTCCACCTAATTCCCTTCCAAAATTTATTCTCTTGACCTCGTTAACGTAGGTTAAATTTGTCCTTATTCACTCACTATCATTAACCTCCAGTCTTAGCTCAGTTTAAACCATTCCTCCATTCATCTATTAAGTGTGCCTTTATTCTTATTTGATCATCATTTATTGAAATTATGTTATCACCTAACATTCGTCAATAAAGTATCCATTTAATTTAAGTTGTCATCTCTTAGTGTTCCTTCCAGAAGTGAAGTACCTAAAATGAGAATTCCGGCCTCAGATGTGAGATTGATTTAAATCTGTTTAAGATTGACTCAGCGTTTGATTACTTAATTAAACCTTGTTTTCTTTCTTTTTCCCACCAGAAAATTTGAGTGGTGCCCGTTTCAATGAGTGCATGAATGTCATAATTTTTATATTATTTTAGGACATTTATAATAATTTCCAATTGCTACATACTCTACATAATTTGCAGTGCACATTACTCTGCTTCATGTCTGACCTTAAGAAAACGAAATACCTCCACACCTGATTTTCTGACGTTTTCGTGCCAGTGTTGTCAACAATGTTGTCATCTGTTGATCCTTCTTCTACATTTTTGCCGAGGATAGCACTTATTTTCTTTTTTTTCCCACCGAAAGTGCTGTCGGCTTCGCATTTTAAAGTGGTATGGTTGTGTGTAGCTGCAGCCTGCTACTAATGCAGTGTTTTGCTACCTGGTTCTAATTCAGTACATGACTGATTCAGCGTGAAGTAGACCCGAAGCAACTCCCCTTTGCATTGGCTATTTGTATAGTATACCAAAACATGGCAGAATGCAGACTACCGAAAAGCACATTGACCATGTATACATCGATATTGAGGTTAATTTTTGTATATATATCTTTATCGTTTCATCGCCCAGTCCTAGTCATGATTTATACCCATACTTGGGCACTGGCATGTTGACTAACCTTCAGAATTTTCCTTTTTTTGTTTAGTTTATTCACATCATCATTACAATATATATAACAAATATACATATACAAATTTATACATACATATAGGGGTGGGATGATTAGTTGACGTAGTCGGCGTAATTGACTACAAAAATTCGTTGACACAAAAAACATGCGTCGATGCGTTGCATGATGACAGACAATGGCTACTTTAGGTAACTGTGGAGGCATGGACGGCAAACGAGCTACCCAATGGGGTCTATTTAAAACCTACTTACGCATGATGAGTATATGAGCAGCTCTACTCAATCAATGCATATGTTCTTCCTGGCTTCCCCATTCACATTTGGAGCGACTTTTATTTAACCGTGGCGGTGCGCCATGATTGATTGTATATAGGGGAAACCCTGTTGTCTATTGCCATGTCTTACTCAGCATTGTAAACAAACACTGTTGCCAGCATTATTTCGACTGTGGCCACAATGCATTACGACATAACGTGCCTTTTTGGTTGGTTGTGTAGCACTGACTTCTCACTATTAAATGAAAGATGGTATGAATGTTATTTATTGTTACTTGACAGTCATTGTAACTATGAGTAAGGTGAGCATGCACCTGTAAAGTGAGGCTGCTAAGCAACAATAACCTATCAGGTTGGTGCTAAGGCTGCACGATATTGGAAAAAAATAATACTGCGATTTTTTTCAACCCTGCGATATATATTGCGATATTAAAAAATACAGGAATTTTCACCAGATGACCTGAATAGCAGTTAATGTTATGCTGCACTGCTTAAGTCTTGAGGACAGTTAACCTGCTCTGATCTTACCTCTTTTTGTGAATATTAGTAGAATGGCTTCTGTCTGTCTCAGAGATATTTTTAGCTTTTATTGTTCTGGGACGTTATTGTGGCGACAGGTGAACACAGAACACGTGTTTTGGTCGACATTATCCTTCTTGGAACTGAAATATTTCCAGATAACTGGCTTTCATTTCTTTTTGGCAACAAATCTTCATCTTCGGTGGTTTTCTCTGTTTGTTGCTCAGTTTGCGATCGTTGTTGTTGTTGTTAGCGGTGTTGTGCTGAGAAACGCACGTCCTCCGAGAATTGCACGCACCTCACAAAACGCGCACTGCGTATAGTAGAGTGGTCAACGGAAATGTACAATTTAAAACCCATACAGTTCTTATTTGTTGGGCTTAACAGTGATGAAGAATGTTCCGAAAGTAATTCTCAGCGGACACGTGTTTCTCGGCTCAACTCCGGTAGCGACTCCCTCCATGTGCAGAACATGTGCAGGGGTGGGTTTCATCCTCTCTGATTTTGATTGACAGCTGGCAGAGTAGTCTGATTGGCAACTGAGAACTGAGTCTGATTGGCAACTGAGTAAAGAACGAAGGTTATTGGTGGATCACTGCACAGCACATGCAGAGTCACATGCAGTGTATCTCAGTCAGCTACCCTTGAAATTAACTGAGTTCATTCACCTCCAACATCACAGGCTCTGCGATGTGACTATCGCACACACGTACATCGCGATGACGATGCTCAAACGATATATCGTGCAGGCCTAGTTGGTGCACCCACAGGCTGGTTACCTGAAAATGGTATACTGCGGTTCACAGTTAGCCTGGCTGGGCCATCCTGTTAGGTGAATCACTTGATGTTCCTTCTCACAACAGTCTGGACTTCAGCCCATAGAGAGCGTGTATTCCCGATCAGAAAATAACCAGGCCAATCAGAGACCATGTTTTCACTGCTACCCAGACAACAGGGAAAGGCAGCCCCTGATTGGTCCATGTGTAGTGGTGACGTCTAACACATGCTGCAGGACTTTTCAAAGCCCTGTTCATTCAGAACGCCGTTAATTCAGCAGTTGACTTTGCAAAGTCATCAGAAATCGTTTATATCCGACGTCTTCTGCGGATATAAACGATTTCTAACACTGAGTAAGACACCCCCCCAAGAAAGAAAATGTTGCCAACTGCTTCCTTCTGTAGTTATACCAACTTTAGTAACAACTGCATGATAGCAATACACAGCAGTCTACATCTCCACGCTCAAACCTCAAACAAAAACCACTCTATAGTCACAAATAATGCTGAGAACAGCACCTAACTTCATCAACAGTACATGAAGGGTCCCAGCCATAGTACTAGCATCAAACACCTTTTTAGCTTTGCCTGCTTTCTTTAGCAAAGAGACTAGGGATGCACGATATTTATCGGCCGATTTGGGGGGAAATTACGTCATTTTTTATCGGTCCGATAGGTGCATTTTTCCGATAGAAAGATCCGATATATTAATGAAATTACGAGTAACGTTTGCAGGCGGAGTAGCCGCCCGTCCGAGACGCGCTGGTTACGTCATCTATCGCGCCTTACTCGCAGGTCCCAAGCCTGACCCCGTCACTACCTGACAGATAATAAAATGTCTTCACCAGCATGGTCGTTTCTCTCAGTGGCAAAAGATGACAACAGCATTGCTATATGCAAAACCTGTTCAGCGAGGATTCCGAGAGGAGGAAAGAAGACGTCAAGTATTAACACAACGAATCTGATAGCTCATCTGAAAAGTCGCCATCGCGGCGAAGCGGTAGTAAAAGAATATGAGACAGCCGCCGAAGCTGCTAGCGGTACTAAAGCTAAGACAACAACACTACGGAGGATCGATGTCCCCATTCAGCGGGCGTTTAAAAACTGCAAAAGCTTCTCAAGAGACAGCGAAAAGGCTAAAGCCATTAACGACAAAGTGATGGAGTTCATAGCGGTCGACGACCAGCCTTTTTCCGTCGTTGAGAACCCGGGTTTTCGCAAGTTAATAGCACACTTGGAGCCACGTTACACTCTCCCAAGCCGCCGCTTCTTCTCGGATGTGTCTCTTCCTGCACTCTATGATATTGTCGCCACATACATTCACAACCTGATCGACAAGAACGGACTACACGTGAGTTTTACCACAGACATATGGACGTCAGATGTTAGTCCGGTCAGCATGCTAAGCCTAACGTCTCATAATAGCTCCTTTACAGTTTACAGTTCTGTTGAACAGTTCAGGGGATCAAATGAAGTTCTGCTTTTTGCTCTGTTATTTTTATTTATAGCAAATGACCACATTTGAAGAGCCAAAAACTTTAGTTTGTTGTTCTAGATAGGCCAGAGCAACAAAAACATCAGTTTTCAATCGCTGCATCCTGCACAAACTGCAGATTATATGAAGATTATAATAAATGTAAAAATATGAATTTATCGGTTATTGGTATCGGTATCGGCCATGAGAAGAAGAAAATTATCGGTTATCGGTATCGGTTGAAATTTTTCATATCGTGCATCACTAAAAGAGACCAAACCTTGTTTGTGGGGGGAGCCCTGACGAGTCAATCACCGAGTTCATCCGAGTTTCGCAACTCAAGGAAGAACCTTTATGATCAATTCTTCTTGGAAATGCAATCAGACCAAGACGCTAAGGCAGAAGAAGTACCGCTTCTGCAGTGCAAATGATTATTATGGTGATTATTACTTCAATTGTTTCACTCAGTGAGAAACACTTGAGCGTTTCACCTAGAATTCTTTTCAGCAGTCTCTCTTTCCACTGAAGGAGCTACACAGTTACATTTACATTACGTTACGTTACCCACGCTACTCGCTATATTGACTGTGTATAAGCTTGAACGTTACCTTTCTCATTGATGGACGAGGGTCTGACAGGATTTGATGCACTTGTTGATGACTCAAAACAAGTTGAAAATGACTTTGTGTGTTGTTGTGCTCACAGTGCGGGTAGAAATCATTAGTGGCGCAGTGTTATGAATGATCATTTGAAATTTCAGAAGGGGTGCACATAATTCAGCAGTGGTGGTGCGTTGCTGCTGAACGAATGTAGGGGAAACACTAAGGGCTTTTTTGCAAGAGCCTACAAACGGCCACCAAAAAAGCCAACCATTTGCAATTTTGATGTTATTTCTCATCCAGTCTTTAGTTGAGAAACCTTAAGGAAGACTATATAAGAAATTCACGTGTGTAGATCAAAAGGCATGGCCATGGCGCCCCTTTCACTTTGATGTTTTCACACCATTAATGAGCCACAACACTTGAAGGCAGTCACAAGCACCATCTATCACAACTGTCCTGGCTGCCATGGAGAGCATTGCACAGGGGTTAACAGGCAGTGTGACATTGCGGTGGTCCACTAGGGATGTGGTCCACAGAGGTGGCAGCGACACAGCTCTGGCCCGTTGTTGCCCCGCGGGCCGCTAGTTTATTGTTATTATTAACCTTGAGAGTTTTAAAACTGAAAAACCCTCAAGACAGGCTCAAACCTCATGAAATTTGGCAGACAGGTTGGCCCCAGCAAAAATTTGTGTGTTTTAAAGGGCCCCTTCATGGATGAGAAAAAATGATTCACTAGCGCGTCCTACAGATTATCATGCATGGGGAGTTTTTCGTAGGACTTTCCGTACACTGGTTCCAGCTCCACCAGATTTTAGTGGTTTGATAACAGTCCAGCACCAGACAATTTGACACCAGGCTTGCATCAATGATGTAGTGCCTTGTGCCTGTTGGTGCCCTGCAGGGCGCCAGTTCATCTTGGTTTCAGAGTGTCGCCATTATCATGGTACCGTGTAACCAAAAGTCTCCCGGTCTCACAGCAGACCTGAGCGTTAGTTTTATTGCTTTGTTTGTAATGCTGCAGCTAGAACAAAGTAAAGAAGAAAGTTTGCCCTCCTCCAAAACACCAGGATCATCTACTTTTATCATTTTCAATTTTATCTTAATGTTACTGACATATTTACCATGATCAGAAGTAAAACGTGTGCCGTCTCAACATTACTTGCTATGAGAGTTTTATCAGTGCTTGCTGATTATAGGGTTTGTTAGCCTTGGCTTGCACTTTATCTGCTTTGAGTGGTTAAATAATCAGAGAGCTTGATTAAATCTGCAGATTCTGTGTATTTTTATTTTTATCAGACAAAGTGCTATACATTCACTCTTGTTGGATCTGTACTTTTGTTTATGTAGTCATACTTAGAATTTCTGTTCAAACTCAAAAATTGTGAGGTAGGCATAAAAATGAGGAATTCAACATATTCTTCCCAATTTCTTTGACAGCTATCCCACCGTGCCTGTGGTGGCCCCTTCCCCTCCCCATCCTCAGCCCCCCCCCCCAAATCCCTTGCCCTGTTGGGATCAGCCTCCCCCCTTGGCCCCCACCTTCCCTCCTCTCCCTCCCTCCCTCCCTTCCTTCCTTCCTCCCTCCCTCCCACCATTCCTTCTGACCGTCATCTCCTGCAGTGAAGGCTCCCCACCATCTTTGCCAAGCTGTCGGACATGTCAGGACCTGTGCCAAGCCGGGCCAGGGTGTACACTGAAGTCAACACTCACCGGCCGAGGGAGTACTGGGACTATGAGTCCCATGTTGTTGAATGGGGGTAAATACCTCTTTGACCTCCACACAGTATTTGCACCATACTGCTTGACCAATCTGTAACCCAGCACATGTTTATGATCCTTTCCTCACAGAAACCAGGATGACTTTCAGCTGGTTCGGAAGCTAGGGCGCGGCAAGTACAGTGAAGTCTTTGAGGCAATCAACATCACAAATAATGAGAAGGTGGTGGTGAAGATTCTCAAGGTAAATCAGTGAAGAGGCTTGGATTAGGTCAGTGCCTCTAATTGGGTGATTTAATGCAGCTGACCAACTTTGCCTCACCTTTTTACCTTTAGCCTGTGAAGAAAAAGAAGATCAAGCGTGAGATCAAGATTTTGGAAAACTTGCGTGGGGGTCCAAACATCATCTCCCTCATAGATATTGTGAAAGACCCAGTAGTAAGTACATGTTATTTTTTTAAAACCACTCAGCTCTCTGTTCCTGAATACTGTAGATTTCATCATTTGATGTGAATTGCCTGTGTTAATATTAATACAAACATTCAGTGTATGTTGAGGTTCTGAAATATCATTACTGTACTGTATCAATAGTTTAGTCAGCCCACCAGCTGTGCAAGCTTGTCCATTTCACTTGTGCTTGGGAAGTATGTTTTTGTAAGTACCGAAGGTAGATAGATGTGTCCAATCAGATATACAGCCTTTTATTTCTGTGTTGTGTCAGGGCTCTCCAAACATTTTAACAACCTAGAACAAGATCAATAAAGATATTAATTTATTTATATTCTTATCCTTGATTAAAGACAGCACGCCACACTGTCCTGGATGAAAACACAAACAGTAGAGTAGATCTTCACAGCCTGTCAGTCTTTTACTGTCAGCAGGTTCCAGGAATCGATGAACCAGATCCAAAGCTGCAGACCAAACAGATGTTAAGTTTCATTACACATGGTGATGAATGTGAGGTGTCATCTTGTATTTTACTTTGGACTGATACAGGAACGAATGAATGAATCATTCGTCTTTTTACATTGCATGTCCAAGTTAGCAAGTTTACTTCCCATCCTCAGTATAAAAACATGGAGCTGTAGTGATGGGACAAAGTTCTTCCGCTACCTATCAGAGGTAGTAATGGAGGTTCTGTAAAAAGGAACAGCCAGCACATTACAGCACCATGTGTGTGTCAGTGCCTGTTGGAATATTATTCCAGCCTCATAGCGCTATTTTACATGTTTTGCTTCTTGTAAGTCACCCATCACGATCACAATGTGATGTTAGCTCACACACTGAGATGGCAACATAAAACCTTGGCAGCATTCATTTCATTAGTAGCAAGCTGAGGTCATGGCAGGACTTGGTTCTGGTGCTGCAGCAGATTCTTAGTGCGTAAAAGCGCTTTGACAGAACAGTCTACAGGAGTGTCTGTATGTTTTAATGGGGGTTCCCTTCTGAACTAATCTATCTTTAACAAAACCTGTTTTTGTGCTGATCTATAAAAGATGGTTTCTCAAACATTTAGCATTGGAGCCTCTTTTATTGTGCACATAAACAAACTTTGCACTGGACACCAACTTTTTATGTCATTATCAACCATTTATTAACAAAAAGATTGATTGTATTTACTGACATATAAATCTGCAAATGGAAATGATAACGAGTGGTTACCTGTAAGTTGCTAAAAAATGCTTGTGGAGAGTCCTGATTAGGAATCACCCTTTGCATTAGATAGTTTGTAGATGAAGCAACCCTTTTGATTATTGCTCTAGATGCAGACCTGGGCACTTTACGGCCCCAGGGCCACAGCCGGCCCTTTGTATGTCCCTGCCCAGCCCTTTGTGAGGTCAGTCAATCAAAACATGCTTTACAAGTGTGTTGCTTTTATTTTGAAATCCAAACCTTTGTTTTATTTCCATTTGGACGCATGTGCGTAATCCTAGATCTGCATCGGTTAACAGAGACAAGTTTAAACTTTGGCAAAATATACGTAGACGCCTCATAGTTGCCAAGTCCACTTACTTTAAATGATTTAGGGCTTGTTTTTCTCAGAAGTTGCTTGTAAAACTTGTAAATCGCGGGTGTGCTTTTTTTGGACTTGTTTTAGCTAGTAGTTGCTTATTTGAGCTTATTTTGAGCTCTCTTTTCTGAGTTGAATAGGAATGAAATGAGTCTGAATGTTGCTCACAGTGTGGCTGCCCTCCCACTTTGTTTGGAGCTCGAGTTCGAGCCTTGAACCCGTTTTTATTAAGTTACTTAGCTGAAAACTGCTCATACTGAGAATATCATATACTTCTTCCAGTCCAGGACGCCCGCCTTGGTCTTTGAACATGTTAACAACACCGACTTCAAGGTAAGAGCTCAACTTTTTCTCTCTGACTTTGAGTTTCTTCAGCTTTTAGAAACCTCCTTTCTTGGCATGCTTGTTGTTTTCCTGTACATGTATGCAAAAGTCCAGTGCTATGTGTTCGGTGCCAGGAGGCAAGCCGTCCTCTGGTTCTATCCTTAATCACTGGCACATTTGCACGGATGGATCTGATTGTGGTGTTGCTGCACTATGATTGTTGCTGCTGTATCACCAGAACAAGCTTTCTGACTTTGTTTTGTCTCCAGCAACTGTACCAAACCCTGACAGACTATGACATCCGGTTCTACATGTATGAAATCCTCAAGGTGAGCTCCCGAAGTACAGTTCAAAATCTCTGTTTGTGCCATTAACCAACTTTCAGACAGATAGATAACAACAATCCTTGCTCTTCTCTGCAGGCTCTGGACTACTGCCACAGCATGGGAATAATGCATCGGGACGTGAAGCCACATAATGTGATGATTGATCATGAACATCGTAAGGTGAGTTTGAGTCTGCAGAACATAAACTCAAAGATATCAGAGTGATCAAAAGCAACAGAAACTTACTTATACTGACATTTGTTTGACTCCTTATCTCTTTCACAGTTTTTAAGCTGGGATCTATTAAATTCATAATATAAATAATTATGTTTATACATGCATTGTGTGTTTGTTGTGTATAATGGTCCTATTAGAGCCTGATATGAAACAGTGACCCAAAATGTTATAAAAAAAATGTAACAAAGCCCAAAATGTGACAATTGGTCAACAATTTTTACAAAATGTTGAGCCTGAAATGTGAAAAAAAGAAAAGTAATTTAAACCCAAAATGTAATAACTGACCCATAATGTAACAAGTTGCTACATTTTGGGCAAAAAGTTATCACGTTTGGCTCAGCATCTTGTTACATTAGCGACCAGTTATTACATTTTGGGTTTTATTTCTTTTGTTTTTATTACATTTTTTTAATGACATTTCAGGTCATGGTTACATATCTGGCTCTAACAGGGCTCATGTCTTGTTCTGTAGTTGCGTCTCATTGACTGGGGTCTAGCTGAGTTTTACCACCCAGGACAAGAGTACAATGTCAGAGTTGCTTCCCGTTACTTCAAAGGACCAGAGCTGCTGGTGGACTATCAGGTACCTGAGAACTAGTTCACCTTTGGTGCAGTGAAGTATTCAAACAAGTGTTGGATAACCAATGAAACGAAATCATCTCCTTTTAAACTTTTTTGTTAACACTGGAGCTCCTTACTGTCACCCCCCCTGTACTCCTAAAGCTTGAACTGTGTGTTTGTCTCAGATGTATGACTACAGTCTGGACATGTGGAGCTTGGGTTGTATGTTGGCGAGCATGATCTTCAGGAAGGAGCCCTTCTTTCATGGCCATGACAACTATGACCAGGTAGGAGAAAACAGGGTTTATATCTACACGTGGAGTATGTTGTCTTTAAAGATCAAAATCATACAAAGCGACAATCGCCTGTTATTTTTGAGCACAGAAGTGACTGGTGCCTGTGTGCAGTAGATAACTGTCTAGAAGGGTTTAAGCCACCTATTCAGATCTGACAGACTGTTTGTGTTCCCGCAGTTGGTAAGAATAGCCAAGGTTCTTGGGACAGAGGACCTTTATGACTACATCGACAAGTACAATATAGAGCTGGAACCTCGTTTCAATGACATTCTGGGAAGGTAAGATGTGACTGCAGTCACATGATGATCATGGTAATTATATCCTGAATGTGCAGTAGCTGTATGAAACTTTGTTTTTGGTGCCATCATGATCTCATACGAAGCCAGAGAGTCAGGTTAGGGATCAGCTCAAGGAAGAATATTTATGATCATAACTTTATAATTTCCTTGAAGAAATAATCACCATATTAATTATTTTGCACTGCAGACGCGGTAGTTCTTCTGCCTTAGTGTCTCGGTCTGATTGCATTTCCATGAAGAAATGATTATAAATGTTCTTCCTTGAGCTGCGTAGCTATGGAAGCTGATGATATGATATGCTGTGTCTCCTGATGACATCCCCAAGGGGATACATGTACAGGTTAAAAAGAAGCGGTAGTCATGTATTAAAAAATACACAGTCGTGGTCAGACAGCCAGGTCGAAAACAGAGGACACTTCGATGGACAGGAAATGGGTTATGACCCATTTGTTGGCTGTGTGGCGTGCTGCTTAAAATCGAGACAGTTTGAAGGTTTAAAAACTCTCTGGATATTGCATCCGAGGTATCATCGACACGTAGATTAAAATCACCAGTTATTTAAGTCCTGTTATAAAAGGTGTGGATAATTGATAAAAGTTCAGAAAATTCCCAGAAAAAAGAGCTAGAGTGATGGGGTGGTCTATACTGTGAGGCAAAAAATTAGAGGACTGCCAAAAGTAAAGGCATGGTTCTCAAATGATGTGTAGCTTTTTAAAAACACTCCATTTGAGGTCAGTGAGTTATTTGTAATAGATGCCATCCGTCCTCTTTTAGCCTCTGGTAGAAAATTAAAAAAAATAAAAAATTTGGTGGGTAAGCCGGTGCATCATAGCCAAGCCATGTCTCGGTTAAAACAAGACAGTCTAACTTGTTTTCTAAATCACAACATTCATTAAAAAATGTTTTGTTTAAAAGAGAACAAGAGAATGATACACATTTTGATTTATCCTTATTTTCTTTTTGCGTGGCATATATAATTGCTTCCTTCCAACTTGGTAGTGTTTGAGCTTTCTTTAAAGCCAAATTCAAAGGAGGAAGCATCACTAGTGTTAGTTCTTTTCTCAGCTCCGTATACCATTCTGCCAGATAGCTGTCTGATCCTGGGGATTTATTTGATTTGAGTTTACTAATTGCTATTTTTTTAGTTCTTTTTCTGTTACATCCTCCATCATTATTTTATTCTGTTCTTCATTTAACACGGGTACTTCCAGAGAATCTAAAAAACTGTATTTCAGCTGTGCTGTCTCCTGTCTTTGTAGTATAAAGAGTCTTATAAAATGTTTTAAATGCTCCCAGAATTTCATTTATTTTATTTTTTTTGTTGTTTTGGTTATTGGGTGTTTAATTTTATGAATTGTGTTCTGTGCTTTTTTTTATTTTGATTTCCAGGCCAGAACCATCATTGATTTGGATCCACCTTCATAGTACCTTTGTCTAAGAAACATTAAATTTTTCTGAATTTCATGTGTTGTTAGATGATTAATTTAGTTTCATTTTTTCATTATTTCCTCCAGTAGATCCCGTTTTGTTATATCTTTTTTTTCTCCAAGTCTTTTAATTTATTTTGTAACTCTCCCAGTTTTTTATTTCTCATCAGTTTTGGAGGAGGATATTGCTTTAATTTTCCCTCTCAGGACAGCTTTTAAGGCATTGTACAGTATAGGAGGGGATGCATCCCCTTTATCATTCATTTCCAGACAGAAGTGGTTCTCTCTTTTAATCTGTTTTTTTTTAAAGTGAGAATCATTGAGCAGGCTTGAATTTAATTTCCAGCTATTAATATTTTGATTGTAGATTTAGATCTACAGACAGGTATATGGGTGCATGATCACTTAAGTCTGTTGTCCCTATTTCACATGTGCTTATTTTATGTTTGTCTTTTCCAAAAGTGGAGAATAATCTATTCTTGTGTATAATGAGTGGGGTGAGGAGCAATGGGTGTAGTCCCTTTGATTGGAATGCAAGTCTCTCCATATGTCAATTAGGCTGTATTGGCTGAGTGAGATCGTTTTGGTTCGTTCCACTTCAGTGGGGCAACATAAACTGTGATTCATAAAATAGCTCTATTGATAGTAAGTACTAAAAAAAAATATCTACTCATGCCATCCAGTCGATTTTTAGTAATCAGTGTTTCGGTGTCGAACTATTTCCTTTCTGCGGTGTAGTGATACTTGCACACACGCAATCGAATATGCAGAGGGGTGAAGCGATTTTTGTCACGTGGACCAATTGGAGCCGAGTCTCGTTGCCATAGTATCAGAAATACACAAACATGGCGACGAGCGCATCTAGCAACGAGACAAGCGAAGAGGAAGAAAAGAACAGGAAAAAAAGAAAACAGCCTTCAAAAGTGCATAAAAAAGGAATGAAACGATGCTATATGCATCTATCATCTGTCCAGAGTGAAGAACGAGATTCACTTTCTAGGCACTTTTTCCTCTGTCCCAATACAGCCTAAATTAGACCAACCTCCTTAAGTTAACATATTAATTTTCTTAACCAATGACCTCATATTATGTGCCTTCTCATTTGAAGTATCCAGTTTTGGCTGCAAGTGTAAATCTCCCCCACAGATTAGAAGGTCTGCTGTCTCTGATATCATTTTATCAACAACTTTCTTAACTTTCTTATCACTTCCGGGTGGCGCGCATACATTTAGCAACGTAATCTAGTTTCCCCTAATGTTGCCTCTTACTAATACAAATGGTCCCTCCATTACTGGTCCATCACTTATCTCAAATATTTTTTTAAAGTGTAATTTACCTGATTTAAGGACAGCGACTCCTCTTCTTTGTCTAGATTTATAAGAAGAGGAAAATATGCTTGTGAACCCAATCTTTTCAGTTTCTCCCTTCCGCTGTGCATCATCTTTCCTGAATTCCCTCAGTTCTCTGAGTATTAGGTCCAGACTCGCATTGCTAGCTTTTTCCCTTCCGTCTGCTAGCATGACGTTTTACTTAAGCACTAGTTGTTCTGAATTCGAGTTGTTGTGGGCTGTTCTTTATCTCTACGGTCGGGAGCATGTTCTCCTATGCTGCCATCTTCTTTCGTGCCAAACCCGCAAGTTTTTCCCTGAGTCCTATGTTTTTATTTTTCTGTTTTTGGTCTCCAGGCATTCTCGTAAGCGGTGGGAGCGGTTTGTTCACAGTGAGAATCAGCACCTGGTCAGCCCTGAGGCTCTGGATTTCCTGGACAAGCTGCTACGTTATGACCACCAGGCTCGGCTGACTGCTCGTGAGGCCATGGATCACCCTTACTTCTGTAAGCCGTCCTCACAGAAAACTTTTGCTTATCAGAATAGAGTCACAATGACCCAAAGCAAAAAAATGATTTCTTCTTATTGGTTGTCCCTGCAGTCCCCATCGTGAAAGATCAGTCTCGTGTGGCCGGATCAGCCAACATGCCCAGTGGGAACCCAGCTGTTAGCACAGCTAGCATGATCACTGGTGAGGACATACATACATGCCACAAAGTGCCCTGTAGTCCTGTAGGCTGTTTATTGACACTTCCGTGTGGAGTTTTCCCACAGCGCACACTACTTAACAGACCATTTTTTTCTAAATTTCATAAAAACTGTTTAGCAAGTCTTTCCAGGCTACTGATTTGGAAGACAGATCATCTAAGCTGTAGAGAGAGTTCAGATTTGTGGGGCCACTTTGTTGTTTTATCATCATGCTGTGATAAGGCTCAGTGTGATGATAAAAAACTATGATGTGCATTTTAGTCACATTTTGTTCCAGCTCAGGATTTAAAAATCTGTACCCCAAGTCAGAGGGTCACACCCATTTGTACCTACAGGCAACCTATGTTTATAAGATGTTTACTCTTGCTCAGTTAAAGCACACTCTGTTTCACTTTTTTTTTTTTAAAGGGGACCTGCCATCAAAATTTCATACCCAATTTTATCATTTTTTCATAATCCTTGATGTCCTCTGATCATGTTTGCAACATAATTTTAGCTGAAAAGTTATTTGATGGTTTGTTTTAGTATGCCTAAAAAACCTTACAGGAAAACCAACTGATTTTGGCTCATTAACATTTATGGTAATGAGCTTTGCTCTGATTGGATCGCTGCTGTGAAGCCTGCTGTGCTCTTATTGGCTCAGCAGTGGAGGTTCAGATTTCGGTTTATCCATTTTGCTAATGTGTGCTTAAGTAAGGTGCCCAGATGTCTGTAATGATATACGGGGATATTCGGTGCGGTGGCGGGGAGGGTGCAGGGGCTGTGTGATCACAGACAAAGTCTCGGTACTATTTAGTAGCAGCGCATGCCCCTTGAAATAACCCCTGTAAGAACTTTTGTTCATGACTGCTTACTTGTGCGTCCTACCTATTCGGCTACTGTAATAACCGTTGTTCGAGCCCACACGCAACATTTTTGCTCTCATTCATGAAATGCTTAACTCAGGGACATTTTCGGGGACAGCTTTTGCCGGGGACAGGTCATCCAATTCGGGGACTGTCCCCGGTAATCTGGGACGTCTGGTCATCTTATGCCAAAGGCTAAAAACGGCAGGTATTAAACCATATATTTTAGACCCCGAGTCTGAAGAGGAGGTGGAAGTTGAAGAAGAAGCCAGACATCTCCAGCGGTGTTTTCATTCATTCTGCCCAGCTTTAAGTTAATTTTCCCAGCAGTGAACCCAAGGAAACACCGGTCGTTTGGAAGAGACCCATAGCGGATACAGTGGTAGCTGGGTCTCGCTCTGGCTGGAGAGTGATGTTGACTGAATGAGTACGAGAATGAGAGAGTGGGTGCGGCTCACTGAGGACACGCTCGTGAATAATAATGAGCAAGGTCAGCGCGACGTCAGAGGGACCTGCTTTTTCAATTGGCCTGGTTTACCCGTTTCTTCATTTTAAACCTTTACAGAATGCAAACGATGTACCGGTTTATTTTCACATTTACAACATAAGATGAACATAATATGGACCTTATCTGACACAAAAAACACACAAAATTACATTTTTGATGGCAGGTCCCCTTTAATTCAAGTTTTTAATTCAAGTAATCAATTTATTGATCTTTTCAAGGCTCGGTACATGGCAAACTCAGTATTTTTCTGCATACAGGAACAAGTAGTTCTTAAGAGTGAACTGTGACAGACTTTGCACATTTTTATCTCTTGAAGAGCAGAAAATACAAAAAAGTGAGTGCACAATAATGCCAACTAAACATGTATTATATCTGTACACACACTCACATCATAAAGACATGTCGCTGTGGTACACAGCACCACCAAATCCCCCCCTGAAGGAAGCACAATAAAGCAAGAAAACCAGAGTCCCAAAACCTAGAGGGGGCCATTATTTACCTTTATGTAGTCTCAGAACTTGTCTCAGGGGGTCACCCCCTCCCCCCGTCATCACAAGCTGTTGTTGTGCCTATTAAATTACAGAAAAGTTAAATTTAGTAATATTGGGTCATTGAGATTTATGGACCTGAGGAAATTTCTGCTCTGAGCCAGTTACTCAAAATATTTAGAATCTGAATCCAGGGTCTGATTGACACGCATTCCTACATGCAGTGAAGAAGGGTTCCACTTGCCTGATTACATTTCCAGCACAAATCATTATCCAGTAATTCCCTCCTGTACAGTCCAGATGGTGTTTAGTAGTATCTATGTAATTTGTTATATTGTGTAAGTTTACCCCTTGCCTCTCTCAAATACTTACCACACTTAGCCACAATTATTTCCTATCTATCATCTCTAATCTCTCCACCCAGGTCTCTCTGCCAAGTCATTTTTAACTGGTTAGAGTCGTAACCAAGAGAAGAGTTAGCAATTTTGTAAAATTGTAAGGCTTTTCATTTTCCAAGTTGAAGTTTCATATAGTCTATCACCACATTATCAGTAATATTGTATGGTTTTGGTGAGATACAACTCCTTATTTACAAGAATTTCCAAAAGTTATCTTTTCCGGTCAGCTTGAATTTCTGCAACAATTTGTCATATGACGAGAACACCCCATCTTCAAGAGGATTGTTAATGGTGCTTAAACCTTCAGAGTGCCACTGTTTCCAAAACACTGTTTTTTTCCCCAATACATACATCAGAATTATACCACAAGGATGAATAGCTTTGTAGCGTGTGTTTAAGTTTAAACATTTTATGTATCTTGCTCCAAACACCCCTTGAATATAGAAGTATTGGATTTGTAATGTTAGACCTTTTTTGTGATAATACCTCTATGGGTTGGAAGCATATCTCCTTTTCTACCTCCATCCAAGCTGCTTTATCCGCTGTGACTGGCCAGTACCTTGTTATTTTGGCTCATTTTTTCATTTTTTATCTCAAAAGCTAAATAATATAATCTGAGGTCTGGGAGGCCCAGCCCTCCCTTTTCTTTACGTGTACATAACTTTCTCAGTTTATTTCGTGGTCTTTTCCCAGCCCACAGAAAATGTTTTATGACATCATCTAGTTGTCTTAAAGTGGTGGGTAGTATCTTCATTGGTAACATCATTGCCACATAACGAAACTGTGGGGTGACTATCATTTTTATAACATTTATTTTTCCCCATAATGTGAGTTTTAATTTTCCCCACTTAACAAGATTTGTTTTTATCTTTTAAACTAAGGGGTTAAAGTTTAGTGCCACTATCTTGTCTATATCTTCAGAGAGTTTGATGCCAAGATACTACCTGTCGTACCAAAAATTAAACTTCTCCACTATAGATAATATACATGTCTTGGAAAGAGGCACTGCTTCAAATTCGCTTCAGTTGATGAAGTATCCTGAAAATTTTGGAAAGGATTTTATGGTGTTCACCAGATGTGGCAGAGACGTTAATGGCTCGGATACTACTGCTAAGATATTGTCAACGTATAATGATAATGTATGTTCACTGTCTCCTCCTCTTACTTCTCTTATTCCAGGGTGTGCTCTGACAAACCAGAAAAATTCTAGATAAAAAATTTGAAAAGAAAAAAAGAAAAGCTCAGTTGGCACAGATAAGTTTCTTAGAAAGGTAGCAGAATAGCAACAGTGCTACTTTAAGCCAGTGGGTACTCTTTTTCCACTGATATCCTAAACCTGTCCAATTCCATATCACCAAATCTAATTTTTAATATGCAGTCTTCCCTGATGTCCATCAGTTGCTCCTAATGTTAGCAGTGAGCAGTCCTTCGCGCTCTACATTGCGCTTGAACACCAAGGACCCTGGACCAAATATAAATAAAATTAATTCCTATCCACATCTTTCAATAAAATTTGCATTTCTTCCTTATCAAAATAAATCCATTTATACACCTTTTAAGAATGTCAAATAAAAAGAGGAGCTTCATTAGCTTCAAAGCAAACATTATTAGACTATTAGTGATAGTTAAGGTTAGCTTTGCTCTATCCCGACTGAGGTACTACTAAGGTAAGGCCGAACAGCTTAAAAACGTAGTTTTAAAAGTGTTCAAACTCATCTGGCATCCCATATTCTAACCGGATTTGATATTATGTATATCCTGACAGAGTGTTTTAACCATGGAAAATTGTAACATCAATAAATTTGGTATGTTAGCATGTTGAGTGTAAAGCTACTCGAGGACATATTCACTTTTCAAAACAAACGCCCCCTTGCATATATTTATTACATGGGATAATCACAGGGTTAAACAAGCAAACAAGTTTTCTAACTCACCACAGGTATTATCAGAAGAAAAAGCACACTCTGGGTAGCAGCTTCAACTTGGGGCGGATAGAAATTTATAAAAGTTGCATGTTTTTTATCGTCACAAAGCCATGCTGCATCTCTTAGCAACTCTTGGTAGGATGCAGATGGTGCGTTCAGGAACGTCAGAATTTTCTATACTGCTGAAAATAACTGGGGTTACAATGGCTTACACGTGAAGGATTTGTGTGTGGTGGAGACAAAACGACCCCTGACAAAAAGTGGTGGGACACATGCCCCCTAAACTGACGCCTATGCATGCCACATATAAGGTACAGAGCAAATTTGAGGTGGTTCTCATTGTATATTCTCTTTTTAGCCTAACTGCTAGATTGTACCTTTGCGGCCTTTGATGAAGATTTAGAGCTTGAGGGTGAAGGCACAGTTTCACTATCATTGCTGTTCGGTTCTTTTGGGGCTTTTCTTTTTGGAAGACGATCCACTGTTCCTTGCCTTTTGTGAAAGCAAATGTTTTTTTGATGTTAAATGATAAAATGATGTGCTGTGCAGTCAGACCTTGCGCTGACCCCCAAGGGGTGGGCTATTGACATTGCAACACATTACTGACAATGGGACTTTTGGTAATGAATGTTATGTATTTATTTATCTAAAATGAATTTACTTATTTATTCATGCATACATGTAAAAAGAATGTATTTATGTTTTCATTCATATATTTATAAATGAAATGTCAGAATAGGTCATTTTTTTTACAGCATCCCTGAAGCAGTCAGACAGAACCCCAGGGTGCCACAGCACCCATTGTGTGAAAAGCTGTTTTAGATGAATGTGGTTTAGGAGGGTGGGGTTCTGTATTTGTATTTTTTTTTATCGTGCTTTACTGGACAGTGTGCTACTTTTTTTTTTTTCAATGAAGAATGCCTTATAAATAAAGTTTGATAGATTGACTGATATTTCATCTATCCATCTGTTTCTCATGTGTTCTGATCTATGAGAGCTCCAGCTAGAGTCGGTCTTTGTTTGGTAGTTTGTCACACCCTCATTAAAAATGTTGATTTCTTGGTTAGAGTGTGCTGAACATTTTGTTACTATGGCTTTGTAACCACCTCTTCCCTTCTTCCACCCTCAGGTATCTCTGCCTTGCCAGCCTCCACTGCCCTGGGTCCTCTCACTGGCTCACCAGTCCTGTCTGCTGCCACTAATGCCCTGAGCACTCCGGTGCCTGCTGCTGTAGGCGCCCCACAGTGACACTCCCAACTAAAACCACACCCACTCTCCCCTTTACCATCACCTTCACCCAGTATGGGGGTGGGGGGTAGGGGGACTAGGCATCTAGACAATTTGCCAGTCCTTACCACATCAAACCAAACTCGGTGTTGCCGCGCCCAACCAAACTCCTGGCTGGAGGACGCCTATGTCTCTGATAAAGATGTTTTTTCCTCTTCCTCCTTGAACGAACATGTTAACCTAACAACTGAAATGATTGTTCTGTGTAACTGAAATATATAGGTATTCTTTTCATTTTCCCCAATAGTGAATACAAAGGAGTGTTTCTTTATTTGTGTGGTGATGAGTCTGAGAGTGAGTCTTGTCCACAGCTGAGCATGTTTAAAGTTCAGATTGTGACGGCAGTGGTCAATACGTACATCAGTGGAGGGAAAAAAGGAAGGCATTGGCCATCAGGACCAAAAGGAGCACATCCTGTATAGTTTACTACTGCAGCACAGTCAAAAATAAACCCTGATGAGAACACATACTTAGACCAGTTTAGTGTAAACACCCTCCAGATCACAGCATTTTGGAAGTGTTCGGTGCTGTTTCTGTGCTCCAGCTGTATGTGAACACAATGACACTTCAACACTGTCTCTGCCTGAGTCCTTCTGTCTTGCCTTACTTACCAAACCAGATAACCAGTTTTCTTTTGATATGTGACTCTCCCCGCCACACCATCCCCTGTTAATTAGTTTTATATTGAAATGTATTGGATTGCTGGATAAAGTGGTGTAGTCCACTTTATAGTGTTGTACAATGAACTCCTAAAGAAGCCAGGTATGGTTCATTCAGGTTCTCTAAGAATGGTTCCTCAAACGTGCTGCTTTCCACTTTCTTGAATTACTTCAAGTGGCTTTTCTTGGAATATTTCAAGACATAACCAAAGTTTACTCAGTTGTTGGAAGAAGAGACTGACCAAACCCAGCTTTTGTTCTGAGGGAGTGACTCATGGAGATGCTTTAACGCAGTGAGGGTTCAGGGAAGTAAAACCTGAGAAAAACCTGCAGGTGACTGAAGTTCTGTTGGTGTTAGAGGGAAGTTCAGCTCTGTTAAGTGAAGACTTTCATCAAAATGTCAAGAACTGAAGTTGAATAGCATTTGAAGAGTCGAGTTTGCCCTGTGTTTTAGTGCCAGAGTTTAAAAGTGCAAGTTTTAAACCCTGCTGTAAATATGCATTTTTTTTGTTTGTTTTTTGTTTTTCATCTCAAAATCTGAAAATGCAAATAAATCTGAACATGTATACATTGACCTGAGAGCAGAGCCATTTGAATCCCCTATATCACTGTATATATTTTTATGTCCTCATGTAGAAGCCTAGTCTTTGAAAATATTTGTGTAAATAAACAGGTTTTATTTATCAGGTACATCTGACTGATTTATGTCCGTGTTCATATAGAGAGCTGTCCAAACGCACACTACATAATTACTTTTAAAGTGATTCTATACAGCAGAAGTTCACCATGGTCCCAGGATCCCTAAATAAGCTCCCTTGGATTTACAGTAACAAGAATTCACAACAAACATTCAAATATAAAGACTGTCAGATTGTGTCTCATTGATGGTGTGGTCCTGTAATGTGGTCCCTGTCCTCGACATAATTTGGGGTCTGAATGACTAAAAAGTACAAAATGCTGCAAAACAACTGCTGCAGACAAGGTCAGAGCCACCATCAAAGTGAGCTGATTTAAACAAACTCCAACCCAGAAAGGCCATTGTCCTGCCCAGATTTACTCATTCTTTCTTAATTCTGTTTCCTCCTAAGAAGCTTACTGTCCCTAATAGCTCATCGGTGCACTGCAGGCATTAGAAGCCACCAGAGTTCATGTAGATTTTCCTTCTGTTTCTTTCTTTTTCTGATGGAGAGGGTATTGTTTCAGATTTACAAGTCTTCAGCCCTACCTAAAACCAGCAGATTAGCAGAAGTGCTAACTGTGAGAGAGATGTCAGAGTGATGGCCTTGTTGCCCTTGTTTAAGTGTGGCTATGATTTGTTGCCTTACTCAAGGGCACTTGGACAATGCTCAGGAAGTGACCAGCTACCTGGCTGAAGTCCAGATATGGTCTGACCACTAGTTGAACCAGTGACCTTCTAATCCTCAGGTCATGTCCTTCCAGACTGAGCAACTGCCACTCCCCAAATTTGAAACAGGATCTCAACTAGCTGCAGTCTGCACATTCACCACTAGATGGTGCACAATACAACACAGCAGACCTGAGGGTTAGGCTTATCTGACACTCAGGCTGTGTCTCATTTCAGAGACCGCAAACAATCAAACTGATGATGATCAACATTTGTGATCCAGAGGGAGTCAAGCTCCGACGAGCACCACGTCTCTGACACCGGCGGTAACCTACACCTGCAGAGACACCAACACCTTATTATGGCATATGGATTCATATCATAAACTAAAGCTCAATGTCATTCACGGATATTTACGGCTGCATTGACAGATATATCCGCAGCATATTCATTTCTGCCTCCACAAAAGCAGCGATTTCCATCACGTACACCAGTTTTTTTTCCTGTGGAAAAGACGTATTTCTCATATATTCTTTTTTTAAGTCTTTATACTTATGACAATGTGATGCTGATGTGCTGATGTTAAATCTCGAAGTCTTTAAAAAAAATTCTCAATACGGCCCTCATACTCCTCCATACAAAACAATCATTGGATGAATTTTGTGGGAATGATCTGTGCTTGTACGTATCTACTATTTTGTGTCTGTGCTTAGTGGTGTCGGTCTTGAACGAACGGATCAAAAGAACTAGTTCTTTTTGGTGAACGAAATGAACTAGGTCACCCTCCCTAAATGACCAGGGGCCTCATTTATAAAGCTTGCTTACGCAAAAAAACTGGCTAGAAATTGCGTACGCCACTTCTTACGCAAGAGTTGGGATTTATAAAAGAAAAACTAGTGTAGGAATGTGCGCAACTTTAAGCAAACTCCACACCTTGCTTACGCACTTATTGGAGACAATCGGAGCAAGGTGAGAATAGTCCGGGTGATGCGTTCAGCACAACGGATGACTCGATGCAGCCTTTCTGTCCTGAGAGCTGCAGCTGCCGTACCAGGCAGTGATGCTCGCAGAAAGCACAGACCCCACTGTGGCGGTGTAGATAGTTTGCCAATTTGAATTTACAAATGTGCAAAAAAACAAATTCCATTTACATGCATTTGTTTTAAGATTAATATGACTAAATCTTTTTGGTTTACGAACTTTCACCACATAAGCAGCGGTGGATAACGGAGCGTTTTTTTTTTTTTTTTGAACACATGCACGAGTGTCAAACTGCTTGTTTTTTCTGATCCTCACCTGTCGCCGCCACGCTCTGATGGTGCAAAGCCACTTTTTTCTTTGCCTCCACCTTTAGATCAGACCACTTCTTCTTGATTTCGGCACAGTTTTGTTTTCGTCATCGTCGACGAAAACAAAACTCCACGTGTTTGCGCGCGCGTGCGTGTGTGTCTGTGTGTTGGAGGAGCACAGCAGGCTGATGAGAGCTGTCAGAGCGGACAGAAGCTGCTCCTATATGTTTAGCGTTTAACTGACTGAGTTTTGCAACTCTGGTCGTCATTTTCGTCTCGTCCCATCAACGTAAACGCACTTTCGTCTCGTCACATTTTAGTCATCTCCGACTTATGTTTAGCTCGTCAACGTTACGTCTTCGTCGTGGAAGAAAAGGGAAATATTTCCGTCAACAAAAACAACCAGTGTTGTTCTCGTTGATGAAAATATTTCCTTTTGACGCTGGTGTTGACGAAAATATTTGACGAAATATGACGAAAACAACACTGTTTCGGCAACGCTGCGCTCAGTGCCAGCCGCAATTACCGCCACGGCTACGGCGTTTTTATTGGTGATGCCACTCGAATGGCCGCCGAATAAGGTCTCCCGTCTCGCCGCCACCTCATTTACAAGAACCTCCACCTCAATCTCTGAAAAGATTCTTTTTCTACGACTTGCTGATGCCATGGTTAAGCGTGAAATGCCGTGGGTCCACCAGGCTTATTTACATGCAAATCACATTCATAGGGTAATTTGCATGACCATACATGGTGAATTTTGGGTGTGGAGAGGGCGGGGAAGAATCAAATCCCTGCTGAGCAACTTTCTGGCTGGTCTGTGATTTATAAAGGGAAAGTGCGTGCAGGTGTGCGTAGGCAGGGTTTTATAAATCAGATTTTTTTTTTGCCTACGCACTTTTCAGCTTTTCAACTTACGTACACTTTTAGTATGGATCCTACGCCAGGTTTTATAAATGAGGCCCCAGTTCAGTCCGTTCAGTTCTTTTGATTGGCTGAAGAGTCAGTTCACCGTTCCTTAGGGCAGGACTATCTCCGTGCTTGCCTGTCTTATCCTATGGTCGAGCCTCGCTCCGTGTGTGGGTGGGGCTTAGAGAAGCAGCAGCAGCAGTACTACTGAGTGAGCTGACTGAAAGACCGGGATGACCGAAAAGAACGAATTGAACGAAAGACCGAGTTGAACGAAAGACCCGGACCGATGAACGAGTTGACTGAAAGACCGAGTTGAACGAAAGACCCGGACAGATGAACGAGTTGACTGAAAGACCGAGTTGAACGAAAGACCCGGACAGATGAACGAGTTGACTGAAAGACCCGGAACGATGACCGACTCGGTCTCTGTCTTTTCAGTCAGCTTGGTCTGACCGAGAGATTGACCGACTCTCAGACTGACTGAGTACCCCCCCCCCCCCCGGCTGATGCTGCAGCAGCCTGTGAACTCCTCAATGGTGAAGTGTCCAAGCTACAAACATCGCACCCTCAGTCTCTGATCATCATCTCTGGAGACTTTAATCATGCATCGCTGTCCTCCACTCTCCCTACCTTCAGCCAGTACGTGGAATGCCCAACGAGAGACAATAAAACTTTGGACTTACTGTATGCAAACACCAAGGATGCATACACCTCCAGAGCAAAGGAGCCATGTAAGGACTGTAAAATAATTTCTCTAAGTAGTGAATAATGGTGCTCTGTTGCCCTGAGTCTCAACTTCTTGATGCACTTTAGAGCAGAGGCAAATCGGGTAAGGTACAAGAATGAGCTGGCACTTCATCTACAATTCATCTTCATCTACACTTGAAGAGAGCTTTAAAATGACACCTGAATCAGCTCTCTAGGTGTCATACTTCCAGAGATATGAACACTTTTGTAACGCATGTCATGCTAATCAGCCAAAAATTCGTTAGCCCCTATCTCACTAATTAGATGGCTTTGAACAATAATATTTGAGCTCTGACAGTTTCTCCTGAAGGCCAATCACTCCACCAAGTTTCATCAAAATCTGTGACGTGAGTGGCGATTCTTGGTTGAATTGACATGGAATGACCCTCATACAGGATGGAATCCAGTGGAGCTTTAATCCCCCTCATGGAGCCCATCATGGAGGAGTATGGAAAAGGTTGGTACAGCATGTCAAAAAAGTGCTAAACATAGTTGTGAGGCAACAAGTGCTAGATGATGAAGCTCTACACACTGCTCTGTGTGAAGCGGAAGCTGTTTTAAATTATCGTCCCATTACACCATCCAGCGACGATCCAATTGACCTGGAGGCATTAACGCCAAATCATCTTTTGCAGCTCAAAGCAAAGCCACTGTTCCCACCTGGATTGTTTAAAAAGGAGGACCTTTACACCCACAAGCGCTGGAGACAGGTACAATACATTGCAGACTTGTTCTGGAAGAGGTGGGTCAAAGAATATCTCTGACTAATGCAAGCTCGCCAAAAGTGGAACAGAGCAGAAAAGCTTTGCTGTTGGAGACCTTGTGCTTGTTATCGATGACTCAGCACCCAGAAATTCATGGCTGTTGGGACGGATCACAGAGACCATGGCAGACTCCAAGGGTCATGTTCGATGTTCAACTACAGAGCTGGAGCGGCCCATCACCAAACTGTGCCTTCTGTTGGAAGAAGTGTAGTTGTGTTCCTGCTGTCAGAAAATGGAACATTGACTCCCCACACACACTAAAAACAAACCTCATGATGCATACATACACTACATTTATACCAGCAGTACATTCCACATAACGCACATGATCCTGCACACAATGCATGTTATGCATATCTTTTGGGTTATTGTTAATTATTTTGTTGGACTAAAGGGACATACAAAAAAAAAAGGGGGGGGGGGGGGGGGGGTTAACTAGTATTAATTTGGATAATGAAATGCAACTTAGTAGGATTTAATATTCAAGCTTGCATATTATTTCTTAAGGCTACATATGTCCAATTTATAATTTGTTGTGGTAACAATAACTAGGGGCCGGAGTGTTGTAGCCATTTCATTTAAAAAAAAAAAAACACTGTTTATGACACACATCCCATTTGTTTGGTTGGATCTAAGCTGATTTAATTATTGGTTAGTATTTCGGACGTCACCATTTTAGCCACATGATTATGATCACACGCCACAGCTGGTGGTGTCAGTCTGCCAGTGTCGGGCAGGTAATGGTTGTGGTTTGATATAGTTTTTGACCACACATACTGGATTTGTTTTAGTTAAAACAGAAATTTCATTATCTTTTATTCTATCTTTTCAAGAAGCTTTTTAGGAAATTTAAATTTCTTTTTTGGAATAAATCTTTCAGATTTTAAGTGGCTGTTTTTTGGAGTGCGTGCGAATGCCACAAGCCAGTCATTGCTATGACATTTAGTATAAAATGTATTTTTGTATTCATAAATCCCACTATTGTCATTTTTCAATTTATTACACAGAATATCAATGTTTCTCCCCCCTGGTTGGGATGTTGACATGTAGTTATTGTAAGACTGGTTTGTGCTCAAGTCCTTTTTTCTGTGAAGCTCCGTTTTTAAAAGTTATTAGGGGGTTCATGTTTTGTATGATTGACACCTTATACAGCCTATGGGCATTCAGGGATTGCATAGCTCTCCCGGGAGATAGGCTGTCTGAGCCGAGCGTCATCACAGCGACTCTGGGCGACTGCGTGGTTGAATGCGCGCATTGTTACTGCGCGGCGCTGGTTTAAGAAAATGAAGAAAAATCCCGGAAATACCGAGAGCTTTTTGGCTTCAAATCCGTATACAGGAGGTAGGCGGAACCAAGTTGTCCATAGTATATACAGTCTATGGGTATCACAAAATAAGATAATGAATGGCAAAAGGACACAAAACTATGATTGCCTTGTTGATGAATAAATTTGTTTAATATTCCTTGTGACACTCAACTATTGTTTCAGATAAAATTGTTACTTGTTATTCATATCCTTAGAACTTTTGTGTTAAGTCAATTTGTCCCTTAGGCTATTTTCTCTTAAACTATTTTATTCGTGATATATTTATGGCCTATTCTTGCAGAGTTTAATTTGTATTGTATTCTTTATTTATGTCAAACTTTTAATCCTAGCAAAAGTTTGTTGGCCAGGGGCCTATTCTACGAAGCAAGTTCAACCTAGCGCGGTAGCCAGCGGTCTTGCTAAACGGTCTTACGACGCTGGTTATCAACTTAGTAAGTGGATCCAGCTTTGCTATGAGTGCGTGCAAACATGTAAGGCGGAGCCTGCCAGATCTGACCAATCGCGAACATGGACCAGTCTGGAGCGTCGGAGCGGGCCGGAGAGCGGATGACCGCTTACGTTACAAACGAGGAGGAGACAATCATGAGAAAGTATGAAGAATTCAAATCTATCATAAACCTCAAAAGCAACACCAATGCCGCTGCAAAAGCACGGAAGGAATGCTGGCAGAAAATTGCAGACAGTCTCAATGCTTAAGTATAGTGCACAAAAAATCTTTGATGCCATTATCACCCTGAAATAACACTGTTCAACATGCGCTTTTAACATGCACCAGACATGTCTAATTCTTATCCAAGATGAATTCATTCATTTGTTCATTCCTATCGTGTTTACATTTTTGTGTGATATGTAGGCCATATGAGCCTTTTATAAAGGTGGTCATCCGGAAAAGTAAGTGGGTCCGTGCGGTCCCTGAAGACTCACGCACCGGAGTGCTCCTCGGACAATGCGAGCACCGAGGTCTATAGGATCCTCCAAGAATGGACAAGCCATTTTTCGAGAGAGCTCATTGGTCAGTGGGCGGGGTTTTTATACTCAGTGAGTTCAATCTGGAACCTAAACTGCCCTGGAGCAGGTTAGCCGTTCAGTGTACATTGCCATGGAGACTGGCTTAGAAGTGAACCCGCGTCGTAGAACAGGAAACCCCGAACTTACCCTCGAAGTTACCTCGCTAAGCAGTAATCCTGCTTCGTAAAATAGGCCCCAGGCACTTCAAAAGATGTGTGGTAAGTCAAAAGGTGTGAATAAATGTAAGATAGTGTTGATTTTTTTCCCCCCATTTCTTGAATTAAGGTTGTTAAGAGATGGGAAAAAAAAGGCCTGGTGGAGAAGGTATTTTTTTTTTTTTTAAATTGCGGCTTGTGTGAGTGATGCAACAGTACTTAACAGTAAACAATACACAGAGCTTTTTCTCACCATTTTATTGTGCATTATGTGAAGAGACACATACATAAACACATCATCAGGTCGATTGCCTTATTCACACTGAGGTGACTCTTCAGACTTAGATTATTGTAGATTTTTTTATCGATCAAATGTCAAGTACACTATGTTGTAAGCAGTAAGGTAAATGATAGAGATTATTTTCTTTAAAAGTTGATGTATGTGAAGTACAGGGCTAAGAAAAGCAGGCCACTGATGTCTTGCATATTTATGCCTGATGTTGGTAATGCATGTTCAGTTCAGTCCATAAATTAACTGGTTAGTTGGCTTCCTGATGGACAGTTTTCAATGGAATTTTTTAACATGTGAGATGTCCTATGTCATATCTGAGCCATATGGAAACTTCATGTGAAAATCTGTCATAGTTGCATGGCTACACAGTTTGCAGATGGTTTACTTGAAACAGCAATGATTCAAAGTACCTTTGATGTCTAGAATAACAGTTAGTAGCCTATTTGAATGGCTGTTTTCGAGACTTATCTTTACAGGTCTTATTTAAAAAATCAATCAAGCAGCTGCAGCTAGAGTCCTGACCAACAGCAGGAAATCACACCTGTCCTTAAGTTACTGCACTGGCTCCCTGTGAGTCAAAGGATAGAGTTTAAAATCCTGTTACCGGTCTACAAATCACTGAATGGTCTTGGGCCTAAATACATGTCAGAGCTGCTAGTTGGGTACAAAGCATCCAGACCCCTAAGGTCATCAGGGACAGGTCTACCCATTGTCTCCAGGGTCAGAACCAAGCAGGCCCTCACCTGTGGAGCAAACTCCCTGAACACATTAGGTGTGCACGAACTGACAGCATATTTAAACCAGGGCCAAAACACTACTGTATACTGCAGCTTTCCTAAAGCGTTAATTCCTTAAACCTTTACTTTGTTGTTCCATCAATTTCAACTGTTTTAATGATTTTAAATTGCGTATCATGTCTTTCTGATTTTCAGTTGTTTGTCTTTTTGATTATAAATCATTTCATGTCTTTCTGATTTTAAATTGTTTTAATCTCTCCTTTTTAAATTTTTTTTATGTATTCCCTTGCATCTGAAAAGCACTTTGAATTGCCTTGTGTATGAATGGTGCTATACAAATAAACTTGCCTTGCCTCGAAATATTTCATGTCCCCGTGGTTTTTATGCGATAATTATGATCATATATTGTGACCACAGAAGTGCAGAATTCATCATATTTGGTTCCTTGATGGCGGAATGTGTTTTGCAAATATACAGAGATCCTTTATTCATAGAGATCATGTGGAAAAAGCTAAAACGATGACCCCCCCAGAGACTCTTAGATGATGTGTTAAGCAGATTGGCAGCCTCAGATCAGACACCCGAAGCAGGAGGGGTTGGCACATATCTCACAAGGATCCAAGGGTGAGATGATTTTCACTGTAAAATGAAGAAAATTGAAATCATGTTTTTAAATGTGTTTATGACATAGATGATATTTTTGTCCATCCCAAGAGTCCCGCTTTCCTGTTGTATCAAGCACTGCTAATATGTATAATGGGATCTGTATCTGTCTGCAATAAGGGTGTCGTCTGTGTCTAATGAGCTTTAATGGTCCCTAAGGAATATTTGCTAAGCTTTTCACAGGCCTCTCATCTGGCATTATCATTTCAGAGCCACTTTATGGAGCAGAAGTAGCAGGATGTGGATAATTAGATGTGTAAACAGAGAGCATTATCAATTTGAGAGAACAAACTGAAGCCTGTTGTCATTGTCTTTATGTCAATTTTGAGAGAGAGTGTGTGCCAGAGCGATGAAAGTGTTGATTCAGTCGTTTCTTGAGAGCTTGGGTGTGATCCTATCCTTTGTGAAAGGTGAAATTAAACGGGTAGTTCAACATTATGTCAATATTCTACAACCTGTCTTTTTCATGGTTGGATCATGAAAATGTAATAACTCTAATGGCTTTATGGATAGATGACAGAAAAACAAATGGCATATAACTTAATATGAATTACTTCAGATGTGCTCTAAGCAGATTTTTTACTGTTTTTAGTTTTACCGCTTAGCCAAGCTAACAAGTTGTTATTTTATTTGCATTTTTGCATTTTATTTGTTTTCCTTTGTTTCCACCTGAAAAACTAGGGCTGTCTTATTTTCAGGGTCTAAACTTTTGAACGGTATTTGTTCATAAGCCCTTGTGACTGAGGCTAGCCATTGCCCACAACCAAAGCACCAAGGGGATGGCGTACAATTCTTATTTGTAGGGCTAAACAGTGATGAGTAATGTTTGCACAAAGTTCGGGCTTTCTTTTGGCCTTGTTTTTTTATTGCTGATACAGAAAACACATACCAACTTTATCTAGACAAAGATGTCATCCTTAGGGTTTACAAACAAACAAGAAGTTCATTTTATTGTCTTACATTCGACGTTTTTTATTCTCTTACATTTGATGCTGGCGGGCACCGCTCTGTTCTTCACTCCTCTCTTCTAAACCCTTTTTCATCTCTTGTGTTCAGAAGTCATTTTTACTTCACTGTCCACTCCTTTACTTTTCAGCACTAGTTTGATATCAGTGAGTGACTTGCGGTTATATTTGATCAATTTCACCTTCTGTTGTGTGGTGGTGGTCGGAGAGGCCGTAGGCGCAAACTGGCAGCCACATTTCCGTCAGTCTGCCCCAGGGCAGCTGTGACTACAAAGGTAGTTTACCACCACCAGGGTGTGACTGTGTGAGCGATAGTGGTGTGTCGGTCATGAACAAACAGATCAAAAGAACTAGTTCTTTTTGGTGAACGAAATGAACTAGGTCACCCCCCCTAAATGATCCATTCAGTCCGTTCAGTTCTTTTGATTGGCTGAAGAGTCAGTTCACCGTTCCTTAGGGCGGGACTATCTCCGTGCTTGCCTGTCTTATCCTATCGTCGTGCCTTGCTCTGTGGGTGGGGCTCAGAGAAGCAGCAGCAGCACTGAGCTGACTGAAAAGAGGGAGACCGAGTCGGTCATCAGTCCCTTTCTTTCAGTCATCTCGGTTTGACCGAGAGATTGACCGACTCTCAGACTGACTGAGTACATGCGTTCACTCTCTGCGAGGTGCTGTCAGCCTGTCACTAGCCAACCGACTTGTGAACGCAACAAGATGTACTGAATAAAATAAACTATAAGGCAGTCTCTTGCGGGGGGTATCTGTACTCATGAGTCCAAACAGTGCCGCGGCCGCCGCACGAGCCGACAGCCGAGCCCGGGCAAGCGGGACAGTCACACACACATCAGGCACACAGCTGCAGCCAGAGGCAGAGACTCACAAGCAGAAGGTTTAGCATGCTAAGCTAACAAACAGCGGTTGATAAGAGTACGTGGGGTTGCTTGAGGCAGCCAGATGCGTTTGTCCAGCAAAATATCCCGATGCTGTACGGTGTCTGTGTACAGACACATCTGTATTCAGCCACCATTTGAATTAGTACCAATGTGTAATGTGCTAGCCTAGCTATATAGCTTGATTTAGCTGGGTCAACATGCCGGTGTAAAAAGTGACCCTGTTACCTGGAGTTTTTCGAAAAAATGTGCATGAGATTGTCCCAAGTCACACAGCTGTTGAATACGTATCCTTAGATCTCTCTGTGTTTTGAATGTCAGCAAAGACGTAACTGTTGGAAATACTTGATGTTATTGTCACAAAGGGAGCTAAGAGGCTCTCGTTCGTTCAGAGTCTGAACAGATCTTCCCCTGCATAAACCCGGTCAGCCGTGTTGAGTCAGTCCGTTCGCTCATGTTCACGTTCGTTCAGACGCTGAACGAACGTGAACATGAGCGAATGGACTGACTAACGACCAATTGACCGAAATGACCAGATCTTTTTACTGAACGAACCGGAATGATCTGGTTCACTGAAATGAACGGTTTTGCCCACCACTAGTGAGCGAATGAATGATGTATCCAATGTAAAGCGCTCTGAGGGTCTCTGATAAGGCGCTATAAAAATCTGATGCATTATTATTATTATTATTATTTTTATTATTATTATTATTATTTGCTTGTTGTAATGTTTCAAAAATCCAATATGTAAGTGGCATAACTTCTCTCCATTCTTTTACCCATTGCAGTGAACTGCTTCTTGATAAATTGTGTTTACATACAAATCAGTAAATACAATAAAATAAGACTTGAGAGAAACACTGTGGAAATTATCTAATAATGTGTTTGGGCAGAAATTAAATCAAAGCAGTCATATATTTTCTCAACTATTTTTCTTTGTTTTTTCCCTCCTCTTTCACCTGCTCTTACCTAATCTTGAGAAAACAATTCCTGTCCTTTTCCCCCGACACACTGGCCTGAAGATCCTTGGTAGGAGAGGGTTGGCACAAGCAGCTTCAACGCTTGTCTCAGGGAGAGGAAGGCTAATGTCACCATCTTCTAAACCCATCAGCATCTTCAGCTGCTTCACTGACTCCAGAGGAAAAGATTTGTCTCCAACCTAGTGAGGAAAGAATGAAACGTACTTTGAGGAACCAAATCTAACATATTTCAAGAGTGGGTGCTTTAAAGCCAGACAGAGATTGGTTCATCTGGGTCTAATGGAAATTAAAAGTAGGTGCAAAGGCTGAAATTAGCATTAACTTGAGCCAGAAGAGACGATTGAATAGCCACTTTAGTTGGGGCTTTTCAGGACAGACAGAACATGACTGGACTGATAAGCTACTTTTGGTATGCATGTGTTGTGTTGGAAGAGTGGAAATATTCTCATAAATCAATTTCCTGTCCACCTTCCTGTTAAGTTTTGATATCATGAAACGGGGTGGTATGAGGTTACCTATTAATAGTCAAAGTAATACCTGCCTTGCATAGCAGTTTCCTGTTTTGAAAAGTTGAGCAGTGTACTAAACCTTTTTCCAATGTGGACAGGGGTTGGCAACAAAAGAAAGAGCAATGACATCATATGTTAATGCTATTTTTGATTATTCTGACAGCTTACTCTTTTTTTTCAAACAATTTTCAATCACAGAGGGAAAAAACACCAGAAGAAAACAAATAATTGTGTAACCCTGTGATTATTGTGAAGGTGCCTCAATCGCTGAGGCACAGTTGCTCCTGTGAGCCACAGTTCCCATGTTTATGGGATAAAGAGGGAGATTGTGGGGGTTGTTGGCTAAGAATTGTATTGTGAAATAAAGTCGTGGTAAATAACAGTGTCTCCACCTGCTTCATTTGAACTTTGGGGCTCCTCAGGGGTCTACTCTCGGTCCTTGACTTATTTATTTACATACTCCCTTTGATGCAGAGTTCAGACTACATGTTGTAAACACAATAATAGCCTCGTTGGGACTCATCCCCCTTGAAGATCAATCATTTTACTCTGAGTGATATGTATGTTGATTTGAAGTGGAACTCTAAAGCAGAGGAACAGTTTGTCGAGCTGTGGGAATAACACTCCTACCCTTATGATTTATTGATGGACTAAAATGAGATAAATATATAATATAATCTTCTGTCTGGCTGTTGTTTGGTCCAGCCCCCTTAATTTTCAATATTATTGCATCAGTCCTGATGATTGGTCAGGTATCACTGTGTAGTCTGTTGGTCAAGTTGCAGGACAGATGTATTGCTCTGTGATCACCTCATTGTAGCAGACAATTAAATCTGACCATGCCAGAGACCAAATCATTTTGAATGGGCCCTGGTATTTCTAGTGAAACACAACTTGAATTTCCCTTTCCGGGATTAATAAAGTTCTTCTTATTCTTATTCAGCTGTACTAGGGCTGTATGATGTATCGTTTGAGCATCGTCATTGCACTGTAGGTGTGACAGCTGACTGACATACATTGCATTTTGACTCTGCGTGTGCTGTGCAGCGATCCACCAGTCACATTCGTTCTTTACTCAGTTGAGTATGGCCCTACCAGCCGCCAGTTGAAATCAGAGAGGAGGAGACTGTGCCCCTGCACATGGAGTGAGTCGCTGGCACTGCTGGTAACTACAACAAGGATTGCAAAATGAGCAACGAACAAGAAAAAAACAGAGACTTGTTGCCACATCTAGCAGGTCAGACATGCGAACTGTGAGACGAGACTGGAGAAAAACAATAGAGGGATTATACGTTTATCAACACGGTGGACGCACGCAACGTAACTGCAGTAGTCACGGTTATCCTCAGTTATCTTGTAGTTGCATGTTGGCAGCTTACTATGACAGTTTATTCCCCGGTGATAAAATGAGTTATGCTTCTAAATAAACATTAGTGAGTGGGATACGTCTGATCCATACACGTTAAATGCAGTCGAGTGGATAAATGACGAGAAAAAACACACTTAGGTGGGTGGACATCCATTCGTTCCTGATGGGACACCAAATCTCTATTCTGGGGAGAGGCTGAAATCCTACCAGATACTGGATGGTTACAGCTACAGATAATCATGTCCAGGACTATTACATGATTACAACACTGAAAACTTTGTGGCTCTTAAGACTAAGGTGCTGCCTGGTCAAGACAAGAAAGAGGACAGAGATAAAGTCTGGGTCATTGTGAATAAGAAAAATGACAGCATCATGACCGCCAGCTGCACCGGCATGGCCAGGTGTGTAATTGATGATTCCTCAGCTTCCTCATCCCTGTAAAGGACACCGGCATGAAGCTGGTTTGAAGTTCAACAGACATTTGCACGGGGTCAACCTCTGTAGCACCAGCGCATGGACAAAAAAGTTAACATACAGCCCGAGAAGCAATTCTACTAACATTCACAAAAAGAGGTAAGATCAGTGCAGTTTAATTTTCGACAAGATTTCAGCGGTGCAGCATAGCATAAAGTGCTATTCAAGTCATCTGGTGAAAATTTCTGTATTTTTTAATATCGCAATATATATCGCAGGGTTGAAAAAAATTGCAGTGTTAGTTTTTTCCAATACCATGCAGCGCTGATCTGTATTGGATGTTAACCTATAATCTGGAAACCTCCTCACAATTCAGTAGTAACTAATCTATAAAATATTTCACTCAGACCTGGATATCAGACTGATGAATACCTAAAGGGTCATCTGGCTTCATCACACTTGATCAAAGTCAATTTTTCAAGCTGTCTTTACTGTAAACAAGCTTCTTATGTTTGACACAACATCTCTTTAATTTAACCTTTATAGTCTCTGTGAAAGACTTTTCATGTGCTGTTCTCAGTGCCCTTTGTGGACATAATTTACACTACATGCCAAAAGTTTGGAGGCAAGGCCATTACAGGCTGAACAGTTGGGAGTAACTTCACAATGCTTTTTTTTTTTAATCCAGCATGAGTTTTATGTATTTTGGGATGTATTTACTCCATGATCAGATGTTGCTTTCATGGAAATGCATCATTTTACTCCATTTACCTTTAGTTATACATCAATGTTAACAAACCATTACTAATTATATGTCAGCAAAAGATAATAAGGGCCTAGTTTTAGGGTTGAAAACATTTGCAAGAGTCACAACTTCAGTGCAAAAGCAAAAAAACAAATCACAGTTGGATTTTTCATTTCAACTTTTTGGCTTTTGAGAGTCTGCATACTAAAATCCTAATAAATCTCAACTGCGTTCAAACTACCACAAAAATGGCTAGAAAGAAGCAACTGAGTAAAGAAACAAAAGTACAGATTTGTACAATGAGGAAAGAAGGATACACAGAAAATGAAATTGCAAAATGCCTAAAGGTGCTTAACAAAGGAGTCCACTACACTCTGAAGAGACTAGAGGAACCTGGAAGTTATGATGATAGAAAAAGACCTGGACGAAAGAGAGTTACTACAAAAGCAGAGGACAAACATAGCATTGTCATCAGTAAGAGAGATTGGCAAAAGACAGCACCAAAAATAAGGGAGGAAATCAACATGACAAGGTTGAAACCCATATCTCTGACAACCGTGAAATGACGTTTGAGAAAGGCTGGTCTGAAGGGTTGTGTATCTGCAAAAAAACACTACTTCGTCCACAGAACAAGAAAAAGAGATATGAGTGGGCAAAACATCTGAAAGCACCATGTGTTACACCCACAATTCAGCATGGAGGTGGTAGTTCCATGGTATGGGGATGTTTTGCAGATGATGGAGTAGAAGATTTGTTTGACGTAAAGGGTATCATGAGGAAGAAACAGTACCACTCCATCCTCCAGCACCATGCTGTTCCATCTGGACTCAGACATGTGGCTCATAATTTTGTTTTGCAGCAAGACAATGACCCTAAGCATTCTGCCAAGCTCTGTCAGGGTTACCTAGACAAAAAAGAAGAGGAAGGTGTTCTTCAAAAGATGGTTTGGCCCCCTCAGTCTCCAGACCTTTCTCAAATTGAGTTTGTGTGGAATGAATTGGATCGATTGGTCAGAAAAATGTGTCCCACGAATTAGCAGTTTCTTTTTAATGAACTTAAGAAAGCTTGGAATGCAATCCCTGGAACATACCTAAAAAAACTTGTGGAATGAATGCCTGGTATATGCCAAGCTGTTGTTAAAGCCAGAGGAGGTTACTTTATAGAAAGCAAAGTCTAAGCAACAATAACTCAAATACCTAATAATTATAGTCAAAATGTCTTCTGATGAGTTACTCTTTACACAATAGTCATGTTTATTGTGTTGCAAATTATATACATATATATGAAACTATGATCTTTTTTTGTACAAATCTGATCTTGCTTCCAAACTTTTGCCCTGTAGTGTATATTTTTGCCAATCCTGAGCCTGAACAAGTGTAGTTGGTTATATTCACCAAAACATGCCATCTTGCTTTCTTATAACAGTCAAATATTGCACATGGTGAGCATTTGTTGGGAAAAAAGGATTTGACAGTACTGTCACACCCACTTCTTTTCTGTGCTTTACATCATTTCACTTGACACCTACACTTCTAGTCAGCTGTTTCAGACATTAAAGACTTATGTATACGTAGATATACTCAGTCTTACAAGTAAAGGTATTGTTTGCGCTTGCAGGTCACAAAGAGGAACCCAGTTCTGTGTCTTGACAGATTTCCAAAATAAGAGCTGAGAGATTTTATGTTCTACTATGCGGAAGGCTTCTTTCACTCATGCGAATGTGTCCCACTTAATGCTGTCGCTAAAATTTCAGAAGGCATTAAGAGAAATAATCACATTACTCCTGCCCCTACCAGCTGTCAGCCTTTTGTATACTGTATTGATTTTAATAATGTGCGAGTCACTTTTAAAGCTTTAAATGGCCTCACTTAGGGCTCCAGTACCAAAAACAAATGGTGCCAAAGGAAATGGTGATCTGACAGCCTTGAGGAAAATATACCAAAGATGTAAAATGGTTCTTCTTTATAAAAGATGGCATGCTGATTGCCGTACACTGAATGTAATATGCCTATATCAAAGTCCAAACTCCCCCCTTTTAACAAACTATGGATTTGACAAAGACCACATAGAAGCTCCATGAGAGCATGACAAACAGAAAAACACAACCAGATCAATATCTTGAGAAATAAAAATGTTAGAAGTATTA